TTAGAGGACGAGGCAACGGGCTCCGCATTAGAGGATGAGACAACGGGCTCCGTATTCGAGGATGAGACACCGAGCTCCGAGCTCGTTTCAAAAGTGCGCGTATCAAGGTTATTGACTGATGCGACAGAAGCGGAAGACTCACTTGCTGCTTTGGCAGACAATGACGCGATCGAAGCCAGACTAGTTGCAGCTTTCGATGCAGACGATGCACCCGAAGCCAGGCTCGTGGAAGCGGCGGTTGCAGCCAAAGCCAGACTGGTGGAAGCGGCTCTCGCGGCAGAAGAAGCGACTGATGCGACGCTGGTTGAAGCTTTCGAAGCAGCAGTTGCAGCCAACGCCAGACTCGTGGAAGCGGCACTTGCGACAGAAGCACTTGCCATCGATGCTTTGCTGGTCGCAGCAATTGACGCAAACGATGCGATTGAGGCCATGCTGGTCACAGCTTTAGATGCAGAAGATGCAGCTGAGGCAGCTTGGCGTGCGGCGCACACAGGGCTGCCAGAATTTGATCCCACTGTCGACGCCACAGGGGTTGTAGCAAGAATCCACGAGTTTGCTGAAGCTGGGTCTAGGGTCGGATCCCGAAGCTGGAACGCTTTGCCATTGGTGGTAGTGCTGCCGGGCCATGCTCCGCTTGTTCCGTATGTGACAGAACTGCAGACCTCATAGTTAGCGTCGCCTGATTGCCCGATGGAAATGGTGATGGTCATGCCGCTGTTCGTTAATGCAAATCCGATGACATTATCAAAATCGGCGCCATAAATGTTGTCGCTTGCACCAACGAAGCGCAGCCACCAGGAAGAACAACATTGTTAACAATTTGTTGGCTGTTGATGTACATGCCAGTCATGCTGACAGATGAGCTCCCCTTGTTCATCACCCTGATGTATTCACCTGATGGTCAACAAACACAAAAAGAGGAGTGAGCAACAACTCAACATCCATCCAACAGAATGAAGAATCGAGCGTTACCGGGAATCTCATTGGAATCAATCATGTCAGGGTTGTACATGAACTCGGTAATCACAATCGTAGAGCACGCAGATTCTGACATAATTCAACAAACTAAGTGAGACGACCGACGAGACAAGCGCTCGCAGAACCGAAAAAAGTCTACGACTCACGTTGAACGTAGGGGCATTGGTAGGGCTCTCCATATCCAGTGTTGCCGCCACTCCAAGCATTCGACCCAGGCCAAGACACAGTGCCAGCTCGCCACAGACTGGCAGTGTCGCCCGTGTTCCGATAGTCCTTCAGAATGTAGGACGCGTAAGTACCTCGCGAGGGCCATCCCGTGGTAAACGAAACTGATTGCCCAATCAATTCCGCCGGCGTGATTGCGGCTGATAAGCGGACCGTATCGCCATCGTAAAGCCACCAGACGGAGTCATACGTTGCAATGTAGCCGGTAATGTTACCATTGGTGGTCGTGCTAGAGGACCCCGACAACAACGAGCACGACATTGGCGGAAGTACAGCAGCTGCCGTGAATGAATTAACCAAAGAGTTTTCATCGCGCAATTTAACGTTCGCCAGGTTGAGCGATACGGTGGCACTGTTGAATAATTTGATGTAAGATCGCGGTCGCACACTGGCGGAAGCAACAGGCGTGAATTCTGTGATGATGGCCGCGCGGGTTGCGGCCATCGAGAACTGCTGACACACACCTGGCGAGCCTTTGTTGGTCAGAGAGCCGGTCCAAGCGGACGGCGAGAGTTCCCAGTTGGAACCTGTCGGTGCGAGGTTGTAGTCTCTAATGACGTACGAGGTGCCTTGGGTTGACGTTGGCCATGAACTCGCCCCAGTCCCAATGGAGACTGAGGTGCACGTGGTGGAATACAGAGAAAGTTGGATTGTCTCAGTGGTTGTCGATGCCAGGGAGAAGGTCGACCAAACGTGGTCCAACTTGACGTTGCCATTGGAACTGCCATTGTTGGATCCGAGCAAGGCGCACCCGAGTGGAGGGATGATTACGTCCGACGACATAATTTCAGACGTGCCACCAGAGACATGCCCCAATGTCAGACCGTTCAGTGCGATCGCATGCAGTCGATTTGAATTGAACAGCTGAATGTATTGGGTAGCAGTGCTTGCTGGTCGGTTGAGAATCTCGACAATTCGCAAGTCGGTGCAATCTAAAAATCACAGCAACACATTTGACATTTCAGTGAGTTCTCAGAAATGAAGGCAGATCAGAGGGCGAACTCGCAAATAAGCTCAATAGAAGAGAGAGAGAGAGAGAGAGAGAGAGAGAGAGAGAGAGAGAGAGAGAGAGAGAGAGAGAGCCAATCATTGAGAATAGACCCAACAGGTGCAAGAAAAATAATTACCAAAAACCCCACACAAAAACTCAAGCTCAAAGGTGTGCGTCATGCAGGAGATGAAACCAAAGCGCTGCACCGTCGAACGAGGCCCAACACGAGAGGACACTCTACTCATTGAGAGGAGGGGAGCCGTGTGAAGGCGAAGCTGGAGCGCGCGCGAGAAGGCAGAGAAAAGTCCAAAGAAAAAAAAAAAAAACCCCCAAAAAACCCCAAAAAACACGAGGAGAATGCGGCGGTGGGTGTTTGCGGACCTGCGTTGGAGGGATCGAACAGGCAGGCCAGCAGGGCTACTGTGAGGGCCACCGTCATAGCGACTGTGCGAGGCAGAGCGAACGGCAGTGACACGCGGCGGCGCTGTTCGGCAGTAGCGAGCACATTCAATGCAAGATCACGCCTGTCACGAAACCGCATCATTGTGTGTGAAAAAGGTCGAAAAAGAGAAAAAAAAAAAAAAAGGAAAAAAAAAAAAAGAATGCAGACTGAACCGCAATCGCATTCGAGCATATGGCGCTTTACTCGGCTGCGACTCAGAAGCACCAGACGAAGCGGGATGAGGAGAGCCAGAGAGAGTGAGGAGAGAGGAATGGACGAAAGCGGGGAAACTGAGGGGAGATCGCACGTCCTGTGAGAGCAGCGGTGGCACGAAAGACCAAATGTCCAAAAATGTCAAGAAGTCGTTCGTCAATGTGTCAAAAGCTCAAACAGGCCCCCAGCAAGGCTGAACAAGCCACGGACAAGAAAGGAGGCTAGAAAGCCGGGGAATTGAGGTGTGGCAGCGTGCAGAACGCGCGGGTACCTCTCGCCCACCAACAGGGCGATTCCGAGCGTTGGAGAGAATTTCTTCCAAGATGCACCGTGATTTCCCACTCGAGTCGAATTTCACGAAACTTGGCTGCATCAGGCAATCAGTGCAAGTAAGAAATAGAGCACTCCAAAACAAGCAACACCGCCCTCTGAAAACACCTCCACCCTTCACCCGCGCCACGTTCAGCGCTCCGTGGCTGCTCTGCTGAACTGCACCAGTGTTTAGGGCCTTTGTTTCTGACTTGTTGAGCAATCCTCAAACGTTTACCTTCTGCAACCTCGCTTTGCGTGTGGCTGTGCATGTTCAGCATCTGCATTCCGTGTATCCGCCTTGTTTTGACCTCCACTCCCTTTGTTTCATCTTGATTGCAAATTGACAGCGCATTTTTTCATTGGTCAAGCGTTAAGAGATACTACAACGACAAAAAAACAATCAAACACTCTTGGTCTGAAGCAACCCGCTTCGATCACATCGCATCCACATTTTCGGCATCAAGTTTCAGCCGTTTGTTGAGTTCAGGATCGCTTTCGTGACCATTTTCGGAGGATTCTGCTTCATCTAAACAATCAAAGCAACAAGCAATACAAAAAATCCAACCATCCAGGAACACGCCGTTAGCAATGTCGAACAAGCAAAACAAAGGTTTTGTTTGGACTTGGACTTTTCCCAACATGGTTTGTTCTCCACAAGCTTACCTTTTCGTTTGAAAGGCGACAAAAAGGCCACGGCACTGCCATTCGCTTCAGTGGAGGCACTAGCACTGGCAGTAAGGGCGGCGGCGGTGGTAGCCTTGCGCTTGATCAAATGAGAAAGGTCGTTCACGAGCGGAGCAGCCGGAGTTGCAGCCGCTACCACACCTGTCGGGGTCTTTTTCTTGATCAAATGACTGATATCATTGACACTGGTTGCAGTGGTCGAACTGGAGGCTGATAGCATGGGCTGCGTTACAGCGACTGGGGCTGGAGCGACAAGAGTTTTGTCATCCAGTGTTGGGAGCTCGGCAAGCAGCGCTGGCGCGGGTACCCCTTCTGGGTATGCACTCGCAGCAAGCGGAAGTCCTGCATGTAGCAGATTGCCAAGAGGACGGATGAAGCAGCGCAGCACAACGATCGATCAGCTGCGGCTTGGTTTTCACTCACAACTCAACGCGAGCTCTCCCTTACCGATCTCGCCTTCTTTCCAAGTCACATAAGAGCAATATCCATCTTGGGAGGACATCATGAGAGTGTGGCCATCCCCGGACCTGTTGAAAATCAACACTTCACAAGTAAGCTTGGCGGAACAGACAAAAAACACCGAGCATGTTCAGCGGCTCATACCATGCAATGTCTGTAAGCGGAGCGTAATGCAAATTGGTAAACATGGCAAACGGAGCGCGTTGCTGCGTGTCGTAAACTAAAACAGTGTCGATCGTTGCAATCGCGAAAATCATGCGGTAAGGCAGCTTCAAGAAGGGCGCAACAGGCTCTGCCAGCTGGCGGTGCTGAAACAAGGCGGGCGAGCAACGCACGGCGATGGCGGGCTTGGAAAGCGCACAGATATCAAACAGCGGGGCATTCAGGTACGAGCGAGCAAATGCGTAGAGCGTGTGAATGGCAGTTGCACGAGGAGCCGTCGTTGTTTCCTCGGTCGGCTTCTTGACGCCGTCGCTCTCCTCGGACTTGGTGGCTCCAGCCTCTTGACCAACAGGAGCTGGTGCAGCATCCGCGTTCGCGGCTGGTTTGGGAGCCGTGCGACTTGCAACCTCGGGATGCAACAGGGCAGATCCCAAACCTCCGGGAGCAAGCAGAAGCGCACCGTCTGGCGTGAAGCCAAGGCGGCGGAAGAAGCTGGGGAGCGTCTCGTCATGGAAAAAGCGGGTCTTGTTGGACGACGAGGCTGCCGGATTTGCGTCCGTTTTGGCTGCAGATCGAGCAACGCTCGTATCCATGGGTACAGCTGTTTCTTCACTGACTGCTGTGACGGCCGGGGTCTCCTCGACTTGCTCAGCAGCAATGGTGACTTTGACGGTGGTCGGACTGTCAGAGTCGGCCAGTGTGACGGTGCGCGTTGTTGGGTCTGACGAGTCTGTCGTTACACTGCGCAGTTTGGCATATTCTGCAAAGTCAAACCGGGTGTGTGTGACAACGGGCTTGATCTCTTTGATGCGACGGGTGGTAGTCGTCGCCTCTTCGGGCGTTGCGGTGGAAGCGGCGGCAGCACCCAAGGCCTTTTCGCCAGCAACAGCCTTCTTTTTCTTCTCCTCCTTGTCAACCACCGAATAGATACACAAAGAGCGGTCACTACTTTGGGAGGCGAGGTACTGGCCAAGAGGATCCCACGTCACGCCTTGAACATAGTGCCGATGGTCTTTCAATTGTTGTAGGGGTCGACCTGAGACAAACATCCGATGCCATCAGTCACTGGTTGCACATGTACGCGAGATGAACATCGGCGAGAGAGGAGATGGAGGAGGATGAGAGGAGAGAAACTGGCATATACCTTTAACCACATCCCAAACCACCACAGTATTGTCCACAGAGCCGGAAATCAGGTAGTTAGCATCGGGGGACCAGCAAATATCCAATACATCTTCAATGTGCATGCTGTGAAAGGCAGAGTGGACAGAATAGCGACGAATGAGGAAAACGCGGTCATTGACAAATCAAAAAAAGGCCCTCGCGTCTTCAACAGAAATGGCAATCATTAGATGCTCACCGGAGTGCCGTCCGCACGGTCCAGGACTCCTTATCCACCGAACCATCGTCGCGCGCCAGCCCTCCAAAAGCCGACTTTGAGGGATCGTCGGAGGAGACTGCGGATCCACCGGCGTCCGCCAACCGGTCGTTGCGCTGCCAGATGATAATCAGGCCATCATCGCTTGCCGATGCAAGGACGCGCTCTTTGGTTGGGGCAAAGCGGACGCAGTTGACGGCCTTTGTGTGGCGGACGAGCGTCGCGAGAAACTCGACCTGCCGAACAAGAGTCGTGAATGAGCAACCGCAAGAGCAGCACGACAAGCAACAAGCAAAGCAACAACAACAACAGCAACAACTAAAATCGAGTGATCCGGCGAGAGTGAAGGCGATCCGCGTCAAAGCGGCCAAACAAACTGAATGCTGGAAAATTTGGCGGGAAATGAAGTTCTTCCCGCCTTTTTTTTTTTTTTTTTTTTTTTTTTTTTTTCCATTGCTGTCTCAGTTGTGACAATCCACAAAGAACAAGCGCGGCGAACTCGAAGCAGCAACATTGACTTTGATGAATGAGCTGCGTTTTCGGGGTTGGAGCGTGTGTGTGTGTGTGTGTGCGGTCGCATGCTTACTTCGACATCGTATGGATTTGCATTGGGATTTGCCTGCTTGCCCTGCTGCTGCTGCTGCTGCTGCTGCTGCTGCTGCTGCTGGGACTGAGACTGGGACTTGGCTGGTCCGATGTGCCAGATGCGAATATCATTGTCAGCGCCGCCTGTTGCCAGCGTGTTGCTGTGCATGTGGATGTCGACGCTGAAGACGGGCTTCCGAGCGTGCCATACAATCTGAAGCGTATCCGAGCGCATTTTCTGAAGTGAAGACTGAATCGACTTCAATAGAGCAAGCAAGAGGATAAAATCGTTAGAGTAAAATGTGTCACTGCACTAATGTCAAAGTATCGCAATGGTACGGTAGTCTTCATTCTACTTGTGGTTGAGAATGGCGGATCGGACTGAAGTACCACCACCGCAGCAGCAACCACAACAACAACCACAACAACCACAACAACAACAGCACTCACAAGAACAGCAAATGTCGGATCACGAGCGAGCACTGCACACAATCGTGTCGCTCGCTGCAGGGAACTCGATGATGCAGCGTGCAGCTCAACGGCGAACGACGGCCAACCCCACTCCGCCGACTGCGACAGCGCCAGGTAGCAATAGTAGTAGCAGTAATACTATTGGTAATAGCAACAGCAGCAGTAGTAGTAGCAGTAGGACGAATGCAGCAGCAGCAGCAGCAGCGGCAGATGGCAATGCAGCGCCACAGCAACCACCTCTTCCTCCTCCTCCTCACCACCAGCAGCAGCAACAGCAACAGCAACACCAACATCAGCAACAGCAACAGCAGCAGCCATTCCAAGAGGCCCTCGGGATTGCAGGGACGGCGCTGGGCAAGCTCGGACCGGACGAGCTCTTCCTGCTGCGACCCGAGCTCGGCGACCGACTCTTCTACACGCTGCAGCTCGAGAAGGCCCGCGAAGGCATCAGTTGAGTGAATGAATGAATGAATGAGTGAATGAAATAGGGTGGGAGATGGATTGGCTGAAGCGCGTGCTTTTTGTTTTGATACCAAGTTTCTAAGACTCACGAAAGCGAAATGGATGTGGTCGATGCAACAACACCTTGGATTAATTCTGTTTTTCCTGGCTAGTTCCAATCCGAGTCGAAATCACGGCGGCGGACGACACGCAACGCGTATGGTTTGAGATTGAGAACGACGACCAGTTTGCTACGCTGCTGCACCACAACGATGCCATCGCGCTGTTCAACACGAAAGAGTACGAGTTTGCATACTGCATGCAGGATTTGCAGCCGTATGACGACTACATTTTCCACCATGAAGAAGGCACGAACGGCGAGCAGTTGGAGAAATTCACTCGCCAGCAGCATACTCTGAGTCTTGTCGATGCTCAAAAGTTACTGATGAAGCGCCTCGAACCACAGCTTGGCAAACTGTTGCCGTAAGTTTGTTTGTTTGTTTGCCTGCATGCAATGCTTGCTGGGGATTGCATTGCATAGTCCTGGTTCCACGCTCAAAACCCTCTTGTTTTCGCGTGCAGATTGATCAACGTGCTCGAAGACCGCGAAACGCGACTGGAAGTGTTTAACTTTGACATATTTTTTGCATCAGACACCCATGTTCTTATTGGCCGACACAAGTTTATCATTTGGGACGAGGTGAGCAGAAAAAACCAAACAACAAAAGCGTTGCTTGCGTGCGTTTGGCCCACAAAACTACGTGAGCAATTGTAGCTCACGCGAGGATTCTGTATTTTGGTTCACAACCTCCCACCTGGTTACTTAGGTCTCATTGCGGCAAACCATTGTTCAACTGAAAGTCTCTGTTGCGCGATTTTACGCCGCACTCGAGTCCAATCGTTACGAAGAGTTGGCCCCATTGCGCAACCGCATAGTGAAGACCGTCCTGGCTTCCAGATACTGCTGCCAAGAGGTGCGCGCGATTGCTCGCGAGGCTGCGGATTACCTCGTTTTCGGAGACCACGACAACACAACCTGGATGGATATTGCCGAGCAGCTTGTGACAACTCAGCCGTCGCTGGCCGAGCAACTCGTGGCCATGCAAGCGCTAGCTCAACAGCATCCCGTGCAAGTGGGGATTGACGAGGGCAGTGCTGCTCCACAATCCTGAATCTGAAATTCGGTCGATCGCATGAAATACAGGCTTTCGGCTTGACAGCTCTCCCCCTTTTCCGTCCCTTCCCTTTTCCCTGATATCTGCGTTGTTGCTCTCCGATATTCAATGACGACCGTCAACGTTCGGAAGCGGAAATCGCATCTTGTTCGTTCACCGCCTCGAATCCGCTTCCAACTCCCTCTCCCCATCGTCCCTCCCATGGTCCCGATGCCACTTTCTAAACAATATGCTCCTCTCTAGACACTCTTATTCCCCTATCAATTGGGCTGTTTTTTGTGTGTGGGCTCAGTCTTCGACCACTGAATCACGAAACCACTGTCGAATCTGCGTTTCGAAGCGCTTCTTCTTTGCTTTGCCGCGCCGATCGAAAATGCCTGCAAACGCTCGTTCTGCGGCAGTCCAGCACGGCATTGTCCGTAGCGGTGGCAGTGTCGGTCTGAGTCATCCGGCCGGTCCTCGTCACTGGCAGCGGCTCACGTCGGTGGTCGCCGTGCATTCGCCGTCATCATCATCGCTGCTCCTGCGACTGTCCTCGCTCTTCTGCTTGCTGCTGATGCTGATGCTGACGCTGATGCTGATGCTGCCGCTGTCCGGCACTCGTTCTGCTGCGGCCGCTGCCTCGACGTCCCAGTCAGACCCAGCCAACAAGCTCGCCATTCCCAGCTGTGAGAAACCAACCAACCCCCCTTCGCTCGCTTCCCCGCGTTCCAGCCGCACAGAGCACCAGAGCACAGCGTCCAGAGGAAACAACAAGGATCTGAGAGGAAGGAGGCGCGGGGTGTGTGTGTTTAATGCCAGGATTCGAATTGTCGGAGATTGTAGAAGTGAAGGGTGGCGACAACTCTCAGAATTCGCGTTCTCAGAATTCGCGTTCTCAGAATTCGCGTTCTCAGAATTAGCGTTTTACGGCGGGGATATCTCGTGTCTAGATTCGCGTTCTCAGATTCAGCGTTTACTGTCAAAGATAATCGAGTGGTGTTCTCAAACCAGTCGAATCAAGACTCGTTCGATCAGAGTTTGCCCCCCGAAAATCACTCATGCTCGATCTTGAGATTTGTTGTTGGGTTGGTCTGAGCGACAGGCTGTCTTTGTTGTTGTAACAACACTAACAATTTGTATGTCTTTCTATTTTTGTTTGTTTTTTGTTTGGGTTTCTGAAATGGCGGACAGTACCGTGCGGAGCGCATTTCGATTACTGGTCAGAGTCGTGTGCAGCAATCGGATCGCAGGCATCAAGAACGTGCTCTCATGGCGGTAGATTGCTCGACCCAACCAGCTGCACAACGCACTTCCATCCCCACTCCAAGTCGTGTGGCATTCTCAAGATGGGCTGCCAGTCAATGTGCCGAATCACTGCCCCGAGCTGCAGTACGTCCTCCCGTCCTTGTTTTCCCCCTTTGTCTGCTTTGAAAAACAAGCACCGTTGCTAACTTGATGTCGCTTGTCCAACAAACAGGTGGCGGCACATTGAGCTTCACGGCCACCAGCTATCGCGTGTCCTCGGATGCCAAACAAGTCACTGTCGCCGTGCATCGGATGAACGGCGACAACTCGGATGCGTCCGTTCGGCTGCACATTCACAGCAACAAGCTGACTTCGCCCGAGGCCGCGCTCGCGAGCGCCGACATTTGGCGCCGATCGTTTGTTCTTCGCTGGCTCGCGGACGACACTGCCAGCACCAAGCAAATCCCCCTGCAAATCGCCGACATTCACGACGGCGGCCAAGTGTCGGTCTGGCTCAGAGATATCGAGGGGGCGTCGCTCGGTGAGATTGAGCACGCCGCGGTGCAAATCATTGACAACCACCACGAAACGGGCATCCTTGACTTTGCCCAGTGCGAGTACCGTGTCCTCGAAGGTGCTGGCTCTGTCACACTGACGGTGCAGCGGCGTGGTGGGACAGTTGGCGAGGCGAGCGTCCGCCTCAAGTATGTCGGAGGCACTGCTACGCCTGTGGGCGACTTTGAGCGAATCCGCAAGCATACAACGCTGCACTGGGCAGACGGCGATGGCGCAGACAAGACGTTTACGTTGATCATTCACGACGACTCCGATCCCGAGCCCGACGAAACGGTTGAAATTGCGCTCGTGGAGCACGAGGGCGTCACCATCGGCCAGTTTTGCTCTGTGGTCGTTGTTGTCATCCTCAACGACGACGCCGATGGCGGCCCGATCCAGCTCGACCAAACAACGAAAATGCTCAGCGACCTGTTGCAGTTTGATGTCAACTTTGATGCGCACCATCGCCACTCGTTCTTGTCCTCCTTCCAGTCTCGCACTTATGCTGCCGGCGAGCTTGTCTACCGACAGCATGACAAGAGCACCGAGTTTTACGTTGTCGAGTCTGGTTCCTTGGATGTGCTGCTCTCCGAGCCGGGTCGCGATGCTCCTCGTCACCTCTCCACGATCACCGCAGGCGGCTCGTTTGGCGCCGTTCAAGCCCTTTACGGCACATCACGATTGACCACTGTGCGTGCACGTGAAGTCTCTCGGATCTGGCTGGTGGATCGCGAGTCGCTGCGTCGCTACCAGCTGTCGACGCCCGAGCTGTACGAAAAGGTCGAGTTTCAATTCCTTCGCAACTTTATGCGTGAAACGGATCAAAAGCCTCCCGTGGTTCTCTTCCCCGGCCTTGCGAGCAGCCGCTTGATTGCTTGGCGCGAGAAGCAGTGCCGTGGGTTTGGCATCCACGTCGGCGACCTCGTGTGGGTGAGCGTGGAGAAAATCTTGCAAACCCTGACCACCGACTCGCGGTGCTGGCTTGAATGCCTTGCCCTCGGCTTCAACCAAACCGATCCCGAGAACTGCAAGCTCCGACCTGCCGAAGGAACGGCGGCGCTGACAGAGCTCGCGCCGGGCGTTTTCACTGGCAATCCGACCACGATTTTTGGCGTTGTGATCAAGTCCCTCGCCAGCGAATTGCTCTACGACGTGCAGTCCATTGTGGCTGTGCCCTACGATTGGCGTTTGAGTCCAGACATGCTCGAGCAGCGCGACATGCTCTTCACTTCCGTCCGCGAGCGAATCCAGTTTGCCGTCCGTCACAAAAAGCATCCTGCCATCATCATGGCCCATTCTCAGGGTAACTCGCTCTTCCTCTACTTTGTGGACTGGCTCAAGCTCCACTACCCAACTTCTTGGCAAAGCTGGCTCGATGAGAACGTGTGGGCGTACTTTGGTCTGGGCGCACCGTTGCTTGGAGCAAACGAGCCCTTGCGCGGCATCGTCTCTGGTCTGAACATGGGCCTGCCCATCTCTGAACTCCAGGCCAAAACATTGTCGCAATCGTTTGGGAGCGTCCACTGGTTTTTGCCCCACCAAGACACTCGCATCCAGAAGCTCCTCATGGCCGCAACGAAGAAGAGCCGCAAAGCGCGCGAGCAGCAGCAGGACGAACTGCATCAGTTGGCCGATCACGAAGACGAGGCCAGGGAGGACGCAGACTTTGAAAAGGAGCACGGCCAAGACTTGCCAGTCAAGTTTGACGAGATTATTGCCTTCCGGTTTCAAAACGGGACCCAGCGCATCTTTTCTTCTGCCGAAGTAAGCAGTGGCGCCATGTTCGGGATGCTCGGAGAAGCGTTGAACGATACTCGCTTCTTGGACTTGCAAACCATGCTTCGCGAGCATTACCTGGAGCGCAAGCCAAATCCGTTGGCGGCTCCGCCCACGCGGCCTCCCGTTCGCCATGTGGTCATGTTGTACGGTGTCAACCTTCCGACGGATATTGGCTACGTCTACTCGCAACTCCCCAACACCATGGAGCCTCGTACGGACGCAACGATTTACGAGGACAAGGGCGGCATCTTTGGCATCAAGACGCGCTCGCCAGTGCTGTTGTCCTTGGCCAACAACCCGCCTTCATCGACGCTGGACGATTCGTCCCTGACTCGCCAGTTCACAGGTCGATATGCGGGACAGCGCAATGTCTTTGGCCGTTCTGGCGACAAGACCGTGCCATACTCGTCGTTGAGCTGGGCAAATACCTGGCACGAAGGCGAAACCAACGTGACTGTCGTTCCTTCGCGCAAAATCGAGTACTACCAGCATCCCATTGGCCAGTGGGGCGAGGAGCACGTTCTGTCATTGATGAACACGGTCGAGCCCGAATACACTCGGCTTTCCTCGTCGCACATGCACCAAGGCCGAGAGTTTACCACCACTGTCCTTGAAGTGAATGGCCTTGGTCATCGCGAGATTGTCAAGGAAAAGTTTACCATCAAGCTGATTACCAACGAGCTCCTCGGAAAAGTTGGCGGCGAGCTACGGAATAACGAGCTGTTTGTCGCCCCGGCGTCACGCAAAAAGGCCGAGGATGCTCATCGAGAGCTTCTTGCGCGCCTTCGCCGTCAATCACAGAATGCCGCTCACACCGAGCTCTAACCCGAGAAGTGTGTGTGTGTGTGTGTGTGTGTGTGTGTGTGTGTGTGTGTGCAAGGCATTTTCTCGGATTCGGGGATTCGAGACATTTGTCTTGCTTTCATTGCCATGTTGTCTGAATGAATAAGCGAAAAATTGCAACGACTTGGGACAAGCGGTCCAACTATTTGGACTTGAAGAGGGGAATATGCCAAATATATTGACAACTGAACGAGACACACCACAGAGTTGGATTTCACAGAACAAACAACTCGGTGGCTCACAGACGTGTAGCAAAACAACGCACATACACATTGACACAGCTTGCACAGAGCAACCAGCAAGGCCATAAAGTCGATAACGAATAACGAAAAACAAATAGCAACACCAAAGTACAAAGAACAGAGGAATAAAACCACCAAAACCCAGCCTCGGCAAAAGAAAAACAAAGACAGAAGAAAGCAAACACAAGAAAGAGTAAACGGGAACACACCCATTTACACGGGCAGGTGAGCAACTGCCGAATTCAGATTGGAAGCCAAGACGCCCAATTCTTTGATCACAGGTGTCATGCCAGCGACCACGTTTTGAACATTAAAGTCTGCGCCTTCGCCAACAGCAACATTCTTGAGAACGCCAGCAATCTTGGGAATGTGTGCAGAGAACAGTTCGAGCGCAACCTTGGCTTGATTGGTGCCTTCGGCAGTGATATCGGGCAAGGCAAACTCGGCAATGAGCACCATCTGGTGCGCAGAAACGAGTAGTGGCTTGACAGAGTCCAACGCCTCCTCGACGCCGTCTGAATTGGCCAGCGAGGACAGTGCTTGACGCGCTGTTCGCAACAACGACTCGGTGACCTCCTGAAGGATGGCAGACTGGTTTTGGCCCAACAGGCCCGAAAGTCGCGAGCGTGGGGTGAGCGGCGCTGGGGAAGATGCCTCCGAGTCCTGCGACACGGCCACTTTGTGCTTGCGAGTCAGATCCTCCAGAACGTCCAGGAAGCGCACGAACGTGACTTGGTTCTAACAATTGTTGTTGAAAGCAAGCAAAAAAGTCGGTTAATACCAATCCGACAGCTTTTCCGCAAAAAAAAAAAAAGCCACAAACCAAACTCAACTCAATCTCATGGCACAAAACGACCGCACGAATCGACATACCTCAGGCTGTTTGCTTTCCTTGTAGCGCGGATCCCAGGAAGGAATTCTCTCAACTTCCTTCTTTCCGGGGGCGTTCTGGCCCCTCTCTTTGTGGGCGACGTGCATCTTGTCGCGGCATTGCAGGAAGAAGCGATACAAGCGGGAGAGCTCAACCTCAAGATCGATTTTGGCATTGGGAGCCGAAGCGACTGTCACGGGGGTCTGTCAAAAAAGCGAACAAGAACAAGAACAAGAACAAAAAGAAAAGAACGGGTGAGTACGCTGTTTGCTGACCCTTGTGCTTCCACGTCACCATGGTCATCAGAACCGGGCGAGAGGGGGGGGGAGAGGGCGTTTCTTACCGATAGCTTGTCCAGGAAGGCTTTCATGTCATCTCGACGCTTGACAATAAGCTCGTTCATTTTCACCATGAAGGGCTCCTTACCACCAAACTCGACCAGGTTGGCAAGGTTTTGCAGAGTCTTGGCAACCAGCGTCAGCGTGCGACCAATACGGGGGGAAGGCAGGTCGTCCATCATCTCGAACAGCTGAGGGCCCAAAATGGCGGGGCAGAAGAAGCGCAGAAAGATAAATCCAGAGATGGCAGTGTATGGAATCACGGCGTCTGTCGGGAATTGCTTTTGCACAAGCTCGCGGAGATGGCCAAACAGCACCCGGAATTCGAAGGGACAGCTGGTTGCCGAGCCAAGGACGGCATCAAATGTTCGCGAAACGATGGCCTTGAGGTTTTTCCAATTCTTGCTCAAATCCTCGCCCTTGTCAAGGCGGGTTTCGTCGACTTCGCAATTGACGTTGTCAAACACAATGGACGAGATGATTGGCTTGAGGACGGAGTGCAGGTAAGGCATGCCATGCAATTTGAGGTAGGCATCGAATGCCTTGGTCGCGAGCGAGTTGCCGCGGAAAATGGTGTTGGGATCGGCTGTTGAAGTGACCTCCTTGCGAGCCATCGTGTTCAGGAAGGTGAGCGCATTCCCTTGGCCCTCAAAGATGCGGACAAGACAGCGGGCAACATCCTCCTTTTGGTTGCTGGCAGCTTGTAGCAACATGATGATGTAGTAATCTTGCTCTGGCAAAACTTCGTACAGCGGCAGGTAGGTGCTGAGCGACAGCACTGGGTCGTCAGTGTACTTGTACTTGATGCGCACTTGGCCAACGGTGCCGCACAAGGCCGGAATGTTGATTTTGCACTTTTCGTGGCAGTTCAGACCACAGTGGGTGCATTGGGCTCCTTCAACCATCCACATTGACGAGTAGCAGTGACCGCAGTTGGAGGGCTGCTTGAAGAACTTTGGCTCAAACAAGTGCGGCTTGGCGCGACCAGGGGCTTGCGGTCCGAGCGCAAGCGCTTTGAGCAAGTCGTCTTGCACTTCGAGCACGTACGCTTGTTGCGACGTAATCTTGTGACTCAACAGTCCTTTGCTCATTTTCTTGATTCGCTTCATCTTGTCACCGCGGCAGTTCGAAGGAACCTGCATGACGCACTTTTCGTGGCAGTTAAACCCGCAGTCCTTGCACTTGACGCCTTGACGAGCCAGGCCATACAAAAATCCAGAGCACACGTAGCACCAGGTGGGGGACTTGTAGCTGTGGATGGAAAACTTGTGATCGCGCGCAGCAGGCGCAGCGGCCATCGGATCAATCACCGTCTTGGGCAGCAGCGTGTGCGATTCGTTGTACTTGATGGGGTTGTCGTTGGGATTGACTCGGAACAGGTCTTCAAAGTCAATCAGCACCTGGCCGAGGAAGTCATTCTCGCCAAAACGATCCCAGTCCCACAGCGTGAAGAACAGGCAGCGGTACTTTGGCATGCCGCCCTTCTTGGGGATGCTGTAGTTGAACATTTCGTTAAAGACGGGAGCCAGCGTCTCCTTCTTCAGCTTGGTCTTTTGCGTCGTCTCGAATTCCGGATCGGGCAGCAGGTGCAGCACCGCGAACGGGTCGCTCAGGCCGTTCGCGTCCTTGCTGATCAAGTCCTTGGCGGAGACGACAACAACAGTCACCTTGTCTGCGTCGTCGGGCCCTGCACCCCGTGTGTAGATGACTTCCAGCGTCGCCGATCCCTTCACCGAGCCCTCGTCCAGAGCCGGTTCGATGGTAAACCATTCTTCGTGCTGCAAGTGGTCTGACGCCAAAAAGTCCTTGGGAATGTGCAGTTGGCCAAGCGGCTTGTCGCCTATTTTTTTTTGGTAAAGACAAGTGTTTGAGTAGTAGTTTTGGAAACGGCAAATGATTGAAGGACAGATCGAGTGAGACGAGTGGAGAGGGCAAGAGGCAACGCACACGACAATCACACTTGCCTCGCTTTTGCTCATTCCAAACGACGACAGAGAGCTCCTTGAAGGTGTCGCTCAAGTTACTGCGCGAGCATATCAAGCAATTTCCAACAGCTGGTGAGTTCGGGCAACAGAAGGAACGACGAGAGAGAGGGAACAAGTGTGAATGCGTACAAGGTGTAGTCATCGTTGTACAATGGCGCTTGATTTTTCTTGACCGTCTTGGTGCGGCCGCGTTCTTGGTTGTTAATCTTCAGGAGACAGTAGGTGCTGCAACGATCTGCACGAGCGAACAACGAGCAAGGTCATACAAAAGTCAGTCAAATACACAAAGACAGCTGTCGACGGGTATAAAAACGAGACCGCCATCGAGACCCAACCCCACCCCCCAACCCACCAATGCAAGCATGCTGCAGGTTTCATTCCAGGCTAAATAAATCTCCAGATCAAGGCGGCGCGTGAATCTGCAATGACACGCCCTTAGATGGGGGATTTTGATTTTGATTTGTGATGGCTCTGCTTTTTTTTTTTTTTTTTTTTTTTTTTGTTTCCATTTGTCTTCCAGCAAACAATCCTTTCGTCGCTGGAGCACTCCCTGCCACTTTCCGCCTGCCTCTCTGGGTTTGCGTTGACACATGGCAAGCCAACGGAACTGCCTCTGTGCGCGGTGGGTGTTACACACCATGCAAACCAATTCGTGGCTCAGTTGGACGGGGAGCGTTTGTGGCATTTCGCGCGTTGTGCGAGGACGCCCCCCCCCCGCCTCCCCGCCTCCCTCCGCCACAAACGCGCTGCTCCACATGAGAACGCGGACGCACTGACAGGTATTGACGGTTCTCGATTCATGAAAGTCTCGTTGAAACTCACACACAAACAGGCCTTTTCTTTTGTTTTGGTTTTGTATTGGCTTTTTTTTTTTTTTTTTTTTTTTTTTCCGTCATGTTCCACGAGAAGCGAGGCAGAGTTTGCAGACGGACGCGCATGAGAAGGAGCACACAGCAAGAGAGCACCAAGCACGAGCACGTTGGAGTACGAGTGTGTGTGGGCGAGCGTGATCGTGCACCAAGCACAAATGCGAGCGAAAAGGGCGTGCAAAGGGAAAAAAAAAAAAAGCCTCAAATTTTATCATTTAAATAATAATGTTCAAAATTTCCATGCTGGCTTACTCACCATCAATGTCGAGGTTCTTGGCCTCCACAACGCTCACCCACAGATTGTGGTCCTTCCGGATGTGCGCTCCATGCTCGCGCTGCGTGGCGCTGCGCATCAACGGCGACGCCATTTCGTTTGAAAGGGGCGAACAAACAACAGTACGAAAAAGCAAAAGACTGGACCAAGAGTTTGTATTGTATTGATTATTGTTTATTTTTGGTTTTTTTCGCGTTGGGCGTTCGGAACCGCATCGCAGAGCAAGTGAACATGCGCAACTCGAGCCAATGACAACAAACATGTCATACGCGAGTCTACGAAAGCCACGAGACTCGGGGGGGGGGACGGGAGCGAAATGGTGAGGACGCAAAGCAATTGGGGCGCGCGGCAACTCCAAATCGAGGCATAATGGATCTAACTATGCCAGATGCCAATCCCCCCCCCCTCTTCATTGAATGTACAAAGCAAAAGAATGGATATTTCTGCATTCTGCAGTAAAACAAACCAAATCCAGCGAAAAACAAACCGACAACGTTTGACAATGACTCCAGTTTCGGATCTTTTTGCACGGTTACTTACTCATCATTCCTTTGCCGTTGCCGTCCGCGTTCATTCAACAGGAGCAACAAACCAAAGGTCATGCGAAGGTTGGGTGCCCATTGCGTGCAGGAGGGCTGCATCCTTTGGTGACGGAGGAAAAGGGCTGATTCATCGCTTTGATCGCCCATAATTAGCGCTCACATTTTCGCAGAAGCGGTTGAAAATCCGCCGCCAAACATTCGCCCGAATAGTACGAGCACCAGCAACATGCTACTTCGAATCTGACATTACTGACAAATATCAACTCCGTACATGAAATTGTTGGGCGCCAATGCGCGTCCGATAGCTTCTGTGCTTGGGCGTGTGCTCCACTCAAAGACCGAGTGGTAGCGCCGCCCAATCCTGCGTGTGCCGCGATCTCGTGCTTCCCTTTTACTACTTTTGAGTTTCACTTTTTTTTTGTGCATAACCCAAGTGTCTCCCAGACCAAGCACCGCTGGCGAGACGGCAGGCGGAGCTTAACTCTTTTTCACAATCCGACGTTCTTATGTCTTTTTGCATTCATCAGAATCCCGGAAAACGAGCCCCCTCAAAACAAGTCTGTTTGCCAGGTCGAGGACCGTCAAATCTGTTAAATCTGTCTGTGCCTGATTCTATTTCTTGTATCGATAGCGACCCTGCATGACATTCCGAGCAGCAGCTGATGCGACCAAACCATTGACACCCAAAAACCTGACACCAAACTGACTCCCGCCAACGACATACATATGCTGGTGCCATGCAAAAAGACCGAGCTTTCAGAACCATGCTTTAGTGCATGCTTTGGTGTTGTTGTCCAAAGCCTAACCATGTATTTGCGCGACGAAATCACGAAATCACGCCCTCTTTAAATTGAATCTCATTCTCATCTTTTTTTCTCTTTGGCTTTTTTTTTCTTTTTTTTTTTCTTTTAAAATTCTAATGGTCGGTCGAATGCTGCCTCGCCCTTCTTTCCTCCCTTGGGGATAAACGATGACTCCCCTCGCCTGTCCACCACCGCTTTCCTCCTCTTTCCCCCTCTTCCCCCAGCATCTCCAAATCCCCTTCCGTTTTGCTCTCGACCACCTGCTGCCTGAAGCGCAACGCAGTGTCGCAAACAAACGCGCAGATCTTCTGTGGAGATCTGCTCGTGGGTTTGCCAAGAGCTTGTATTTTTTTTCTCGTTTTCGTTTGCTTCCAACAGTCCTGGCGTCTCGCTTGGACGCGCTGGTGCTGTGCGTTCAGGCAATCTGACTGCGTAGATACTACAGCACCCAGAAGCAGCCACTGGAGCGCCCGGTTGCACCCTCGGCAAGGCGCATCACCACGCTTCGCCTTTTCCAAAACAAAGGAAAAAAAAGCGCAAAAAGAGCGATCTTGGAATTAAAACAACGCGAGAATATGGTGATCACGACGAAATGAACCGAAGCAGATGCGCAGAGATGCAATCAAACAGGACCTGCGTAAAAGTGCGTTGGTGCGTGTTTCTGTGACTGTGGTGTGCTTGTGCGTCTGCGCGTTGTGCGCTTGTTGTATCTCGGCAACGATTTCACCTATTAATGCGAAAAATGCCCCAGAAATGGCGCAAACGAGCCTGGACGCATTGTTTGTGTGTCTGCCAGGGTGGCTCTTCGTGAGAGCGTGAAAAGAAGAGAAGAAAAAAGATTCACGCCGCTCGATCGCCCTTGCATCGATGGCGGTCCGAAGCCCCCGGGAAGGGAAGGGGGGGGGGAGACACGAGAGAGAGAGATGAGACACTCGAATGTTGCCCTGGTCGACCAAAATTCGATCGTAAAAATTCCTCGACTTTTTGTACCACCTTGAGCACACCCTGACACCTTCTTCACGACACAAGGACCGAAGCATTGGTCGTTGATCTCAAAAAGCCAATACGGTGGTCTTGCAAAGACATTCAAACTCAACGCTGGCATTGGCTTGCTCTTGTGTGTGTGTTTGGGTTTCGCAGAAAATCATGAAACTGGCCAACATCTTGTTCTTTGTTGCGCTCGCTTCGCTGATCAGCGCGTCCGCACATGGTGTGTCTATTGTCACCGGACCCTCGGACAAGGTGGTGTGCGCCGAGCAGAACGTGCATCTCAACCTGCTTGTCGGCGAGACTGGCGGCGAGACCAACTGCTGCACTGCGACTGTCGAGCGTGCCATCAAGAACGACGACGAGTGGGTTGCCATCCCGACCGTGAGCGCAACCACCACTGCTGTGGACGCCTCCTCCTCGAACGTTGCCATCGAGCTTGCCCCGAGCCAAGTCAACGACGAGTTCACCTACCGCATCACCATCGAAACGCTCGACGGCGCCACTGTCACATCCCAAGAGTTCTTCCTGGCCTTCTCTCTCCCGGCAGTGTTACAAGCCCCCGAGACCAACGTTGCCGCCCAGAGCGCCATTTCCGTCACGGCCCAGCTGACTCCTTTGCGTCAGGAGCCCGAACTCAGTGTCATTCGCTTTACCAACTCTGGTCCAGGCTTTCTGCAATTCCGCCAGTCCTCCAGCAGTGTCAGCGATTTCGAGTACGAGGTGGTGGACAATGTGAACGCAGACACCATGTTTGAGATTTTGCCCACGCTGACGCTCGACACGAGCACCATTCTGCTGGTGGACCAAGCGGATGCCGACCACTTTTTGGAATGGCTCGACGCCTTCTTTGCCCAGTCGCTCCAGTACCTGAGCGACCCCATCGGCGCCAGCTCTGTCGCCATTGCCCTTCGTGACTTTAACGGCCTGTCGTTCACGTCCACCAGCACCTGGCTTGGCATTTACACTGCCGCCCAGGCGCAAATCCACGACGCCGGCGCCATCGCGGACTTTGAAGCCGAGTTTGGCGGCCGCACCTTCACGTTGCTGTTTTCCGCGCCAACCAAAGTCGACGTGGTTGTGCGCAACTCGCAGGGCTCCTACCTCGGGTGGATGACGTCTCCCCAAAGCCTGACGGCCCTCACGCAGATTGATGCCACCCAGTGCGCGCACAAGTGGTTCCTCGACAACTCGCGCCTGAAGGCCTCCTGCTCATCGACGCGCGCTCTGTCGCACCTGCTGACCGCTCCGCTCCTGGGTACGGCTATTCTGCCCACTTCCCAAATCGCCATCATCTCGCAGTACACGACCAGCTCGCGCACCACCAGCGCCATCACCGACAGCACGTACTCGATCGGCTCGGGGGCCACCAGCTCGGCCGTCGGCGTGTGGTCGAGCCGTCGCTGCCAGCAGGTTGGCACATCGCACCTGCAGTCGCTGCTCGAGTGCGCTGCCCAAGACGACAACCCGACCTACCGTCAGGTCCACATCGAGCTCGGCGCCTTTGGCTTTGGCGTCAAGTACGTCACCATCGACCTCACCCACTACCCGCTGCCGTACCCCGTCGATGGCCCTTCTGCCGCCATCCTCCCGCGCCAGTCCGGTCACTCGACCTCGACCAAGTCCCGCCTCGAGCTGTGGGTTGCCCTTGCGCCCTCTGGCACGTGGATTGATGTGACCGACTCTGTTACCGAAGATTTCACCCGCGACTGCGTGAGTCGCGGCCAGCGCCAGCGCCCGTGCCGTGTCACGTTCGACGTGCTCGAGTACCTCCGCGCCAGCGACACCATTCTCGGCAACCAGGCCATCTCCGACCTGCGCCTCGTGTTTGACGGCATTGAGCCCTCGTCGCTCGATCTCGACGCCGCCTACCGCTACTTTGGCATCTCCGAGGTGCAGGCGATCGGCACCTGCATCTGCAACGGCCATTCGTCCACTTGCAACTACGCCACCGGCCAGTGCACGGGCTGCGAGCACCACACGCAAGACGACACCTGCGGCTCGTGCGACAACAAGCACTGGGAAAACCGCCGCAACTCGCTGCCTGCCGAGGTGGTCAACTGCGATCTCGCTGCTCCCGCCGTCGACAACGTGCTGGTCTGTGACGGTCCGGCCCTGGCCGACATTGATGTGTCCGAACTCGAGTCGCTGTTCTTTGAATCAGGCGGCCGCAGCGGTGTGATTGTTCCCGGCGTTTCTGCGCGCGACCTGCCCTCTGCCATCTTCTCCAAGTTCTTTGCCACTGGCGGCGCGTGCGTTCTCTGCAACTGCCACAACCACTCGCTTGCTGACGCCGGCCAGAATGTCCGCGGCTGCGACGCGTCCACCGGCGTCTGCAACTGCGATCCGACCACCGAGACAACGGGCGACCACTGTGAGTCGTGCCAGGCCACTTGGTGCCGCTCCACCAGCCCATGCAACAACACCCCCTTGTCGAGCAGCGATCTGTACGCGTGCCGCCTGCAGTCGTGCAGCAACGAGCGCTGCGACTGCAACGGACACTCCACTTTGCCCCAGGTCGGCGGCTTTGATCAGTGCGACGGCAACGGCTGCGGCTGCTCGTGCAACCCTGCCGACGGCGTCACTGGCCCCCACTGCGAGAGCTGTCTGCCTGGCCACTTTTCGAGCACTGGCGACGGTGTCGACGGCGAGACATGCGAGCCCTGCTTCTGCAATGGCCACAAGGGCTCGCCCGAGACGTGCGACGTTTCTGGCGGCAACTGCGACCAGGCTGGCGACCCCTGCCAGGACAACACGACCGGCTTCAACTGCGAGCTCTGCCTCGACGGCTTCTACCGCCCGTTCCGCCCCGACGGCTCCATCGACCCCACTGACGATTGCATTCCCTGCGCTTGCAACGGCCACGGCGTCGGCCCCGCTCTGTGCAACCCCAATGGCGGCGTGTGCGACTGCGACCCGGCCTCCAACTCTGAGGGCGATCAGTGCCAGTCTTGCATTGTCGGCTTCTGGAGTGCCACCGGCAATGCCGAGTCGGGCACCTCGTGCTCGGCGTGCGAGTGCAACGGCCACAAGGACTATGTCTCGAACGAGTGCAACGCGCTTGGTGGCGACTGCATGACTGACTTTTCTGGCGCTCCCCAGCCCTGCGACGGCAACACGAACGACTTCCACTGCCAAGGCTGCGTGGCCACCTTCTTCCGTCCTTGCACCGTTGGCGTGCCGACCGCTTGCTCTGCTGTCGACTACACGGACGACTGCTCGCCGTGCGACTGCAACGGCCATTCCGTGTCGCCCATCGGTGGGTTGGACACTTGCAACGCCGAAGGCGGTCTGTGCACCTGCACCAGCTCGAGCAACTCTGAGGGCGACAGCTGCGAGAACTGCAAACCCAACACTTGGAACGACTTTGGCAACTCTGAGGACGGCCGCGACTGCGCCCCGTGCGCCTGCTACGGCCACTCGGCCACCTGCAGCAACTTTGGCGTGTGCTCTGGCTGCCAAGGCAACACCGAGGGCAACAACTGCGAGCAATGCGTTGCTAGCAACAGCCGCGTCAATCCTGCCGCATTTGTTGGCTGGGACTTGCCGACGCCCGACCCGGCAGTGATTACCACCATGCGCGAGCAAGACTGCACCCCTTGCAACTGCAACGGACATTCGCTCAACAATCCCACCATTGCGCCGGGTATCTGCACGCCCGAGCTCGGCATCTGCCTGAACTGCGGCGGCAACACGGCCAACGGCGCTGCCAACGAGTGCGACACTTGCGTTCCCGGCTTCTTCCGCCAGCTCACCAGCGCCGGGTTTGATCCTGCCAGCGACACCTGCAACGCCTGCTCCTTGGTCGACGGCGACTGCACTTCGGACGCGCTCACTGACGCCTGTCGCCCGTGCTCTGAGCAATGCTTTGGTGCCAACACCATGTGCGGTGCCGACACTGGTATCTGCCTAGAGTGCGCTCTGTCGCACGCCGAGAGCCACCGCTGCGCCTCGTGCCAGAACGGCTACTTTGGCAACCCTGCTGGCGGTATTCCGTGCACCCCTTGCAAGTGCTACCACTCTGCGCCGAGCAAGTTTGACCTGCTGACCGAAACCGAGATTGGCACCTTCCAGCAGTGTCTCTTTGACAACAGCCTTGGCGGCGTCAGTGGCGGAGCGCAGACGTGCATTTTCGACCACAGCGTCAACCCTGACGACGCTGCTGCTGATCCCCAGAGCGCCATTCTGTGCAGCTGCCCCCGTTCCATTCCCGGCGGCTTCTTCAACATTATTTCGTCGGGTGTCGTGTACGAGGGCCGCACGTGCGACTCGTGCAACCAGGACGCGTACTTTGGCCAGCCCACGCAATGCCTCACCCCTGGTGTTGGCGGCAGCGGTCTTGGCGACTGCTTGTCCTTCGACACTTGCAACGAGTGTATTTGCAACGGCAACATTGACGAATCGAGCATGATGGACAACTGCGACTACTCTGCCGGCAACCCCAGCAACCTGATCTGCGAGGCCTGCCTCGGTCATTCGACCGGTCCCACCTGCGAGGTCTGCGAGGTTGGCTACTATGGCGACCCGACCCGTCTTGACACTCCCGGCACCATCGGCACGGGCTTTATTCTCGATGCCTCTGGCGAGTCGCTCAAGTGCTTCCAGTGCGACTGCAATGGCCACTCGATTGCCCGTGTCGTCCCTGGCACGGAGGGTGACGTCCACAACGATACCTGCACCACGGTTGCTCCTGGCTTTGTTGGCAACTACACTTGCGACTGCGACTCTGCCAACGGCTACACTGGCCCGACCTGCCGCGAGTGTCTGCTTGGCTACGAGCAAATCGCCCTCGGCAACAACCTCTTCCGCTGCGATCCATGCGACAACTGCACCCGCGACGCCGCTGACATCATCTACGGTCTGATCGACGAGTACGCGGCTCTGGACACTTTCGAGTCCGAGATTGCCACCTCGGTTGCCGCTGTTGCTGTTGCCATCAACGACCTGAAGGCCATCCTCGGCATTGCTCGACGTGACGCCGGCGTCGCTGCCCTTCCCGTGATGCAATCCCGACTGGACACAGTCCGTGCTCAGCTTGCCGAGCTCATTGCGAGCTACAGCGACGCTGCCACCGACGTTCACGTAAACTCCCGTATCGAGTCATTTTTGGCTCGGGTGGAGGCCTCCAAGGCTTCCGCTATTGCCCAGTCAGCGGAGTTTGTTCGCTTGCAATCCGCTTCTGCCACATTGACCGCACTTGTGGCCAAGTTGCCAGCTCAGCGTGCCCAAATTGAAGCTCTCGTGACTTTGTATGATGAGACCGCCGCAGCCTTTGAGTTTTCAAAGACGTATCTTGATGCCAACGTTGACATGCTGCGCGCTGGTGCCGATGGTGCCGAACTCGCTGTGGCGAGCGTTGCTGCTATGCAAGGCGATGCCGCTGTCGCCATCAGCGCGACCCACACTCCGCTTCTCGCCTTGCTTGACCGTGCTACCGCCGTTCTTGGCGACGAGGGCAAGAGCCACGTTGAAGCATCCCTGTCTTCGGCTCTCGGTCAAATCCAGGCACGTCTCGATCGCCTCGATCGCTCCATTCTGCTTCTGCAATCGTCTTCGGCCCAGGCGCGCGGCGCAAAGACGGAAGCTCTGCTTCGTTCTCACTCGTCTACCATCTCCAGCCTTGTCTCTCGCCTTGCTCTTCTCGAGTCTAGCGTCGGAGCAAGCGGAGACGTGGAACGTTTGCATGCATCTCTCGATCTGGCCATCAACTCGATTGCATCGACCCTCACTGCCTTCCACGTCGCTGCCGAGTCAGCTGAAGAGTCAATGCATGCGGCTCTGCAGGAGCTCAATCCCGCTCAGTCACCCGCAGTTCTCAAGCTCTTTGCTCTTTTGGAAGCCGAGATCGAGGGCCATCGCGAAGCGCTGCTCGAATCGTCCCTTCAAACTCTTGGTGCTCTGAAGGAAGCCACCGAGACTGCCGTCGAGTCAGCCGCTCGTAAACTTTCCACCGGTGTGGCTGATGTTGCTGTTCGAACGGCCAACGTGGAGACAATCCTCCTCGGCGTGAACACTGCGACCAAGTCGGCGCTCTCGCGTTTGATTGCAGCCATTGGCTCTCACAGCCGCTTCTTTGAGCTGCTTGAGACGGACGACAGTACTTCTCCTCTCGAGCGCGAAATGTTCGTGGCCCAATCCACCATGTGGGTGAATGCAAAGATTGCCATTGGTCAGGAACTCACCGCTCTGTTGGATGCGCTCCAAACCAACCTCCCTGAGATGGTTTCAAGCTTCTTGACGCGCAGCACTCGCATTCCTCTGAACCTGTCCCAAGCGCCGCTCAACTTGGATTCCCGAGATGCTCTTCTGACAGAGTTGAAGAATGTTGCTGCTCAAATCCAATCCGAGCAAACGGCCGCACTGGGCCAGCTCGAGTCCGCCATTTCTAGCCGCGCATCCGCCCTTGGCAAACAGCTGGCCTTCATTTCGGCTGAACTGCGCGGCAGCCTGTCTGCCGTTCGCACTCGCACCCTCGAGAACCTCGTCGAGCTCACCTCGAGCGTTGTTGCTCTGCCGGGCATCGCGGATGTGACCGATGAACTTGCGCTGATCCATTCGCAGATTGACGAGCTGCTCCAGTCTTCCTTGAGCGAACAAGGCGACCAGGAAACGCTCGCTGAATTTGCTGCGCGCGTTCGCGTCAATCTCCAGGAAATTGCATCCGAGCTTGGTCAGATCCGTCAGCTCATCCAAGAAATCGAATCTGAAATCGAGCGACAGTCTCAGATTCTTGACGCATCCGCGCTCGCTGCCAAGCTCACTCTGCAGCAGTTGTCGAGCCTGCAGACCAACCTCAAGCAGTATCTTGCCGTGGACGTCGACCTGAGCTCTGCATCGCCCCTCGATGCCAAGCTGGCCGACTCCCTGAATGCTGCTGCTCTTCCGCAGTGCAACCTCTAATCAATGGAACCAGGTCCCCTCTTGCCCTTGAGACCTTTGATTGGAACGTTGCTTACTCTTCTTCTTCTTCTTCTTCTTCTTCTTTTCTTCTGCTTCTTCTTCTTCTTCTTCTTCTTCTTCTTCTTCGTGTTCCTTTGCTGTGTCTCTTGCTCCGTGGTGGTGTTGCGCCTTTTTGCATTGCGTTGTACTGTTGGTGCAAAATCTGTTCTGCTTGCCCGTCCCATCGAAAGCTTGGAGAATTGCAAAGCCAGTTGGATTTTTTTGGTGTCGGTGTCAACCGTTTGGGCCATTTTTGTTGTAACGGAAGCTTATTTGACATCCAAAACACACAAACAACGTGCACAGTACGACTTGCGCCTGAATTCACAACGAAATAGAATTAGCAGCTCGCATCTGCAACACGTGTTTCCACCGACTGCATTTTTTTCTTGTCGAGTACAACACACCAGGAGAAGAGTTGCTTTCAAAACTTTACTGTCTAGTGAGATACGAAGTATATTGACCACTGAGCTAAAACGACATGGGTTGGGGTGTAACAGGAAGAACATGGTGACATTTAAAAATACAAGTGAGCCAGCGTTGTCGACGAAGGCCACTGGTGTTGTCGCTGGATGGCTTCGTCGAAATCGAACGAGTCTGTAATCCATTGCGGGCGAGTCTGCGGTTTGGCTTTCCAATGCTCCAGCATCGGAACGGCAAATCTGACCCCAATCTCGCGGGAAGAGTCCGGAAAACTTTGTGCAAACATGTGTTTGTAGATGATTGCCTCCTTGACGGCTTCTCTCTGTTGGTTCCAGCCAAAAGCCATGACAAATGAGTGCGTGAGCAAGATGAATACAAATGTTGTTAGCGAGCACAAGTTGTTCTGTGCTGCAGCGTTACCAAGGTGAGGGCAGAGTGCCGCACGCTCGTATCGGTCGGATCCGCAAGTTGTGCTCGGATAAAGTCCTCATGACCTGCAAGCAGACGCTCCTCCTGTTCGAGAATGACAGAGTGGTACGTAAACCCGGACTTGAACCGGTCAATCTTTTGTGCCACCGTGTACAGCTCCATGAACACTGGAGCTAGGTATCTGCTCGGGCGTCGTCGCCAGGTCTTTGCGCGCTTGACTGCAGTTGGCCCTCGGATTCGGGGTGGGGATGAGACGCATCGTTGTGCAATCGCAAACGGCGAAGACACTGGAGGGCTGCGCTCTGAGAGGCTTGCGGGAAGTACGGCTGGAGCGGGTGTCATCTTCCAGCGACGCAACGTTGGGGCATTACCTTGGCGGTGCTTGTGCCACAACCCGGGCGACGATGAGCAGATTCGTGGCACGTAATTCAGCGCCAGCCGGTCAATGTCGTTTCTGGTCATCACCCACATTCTCAAGAGTCGGACTTGACCTGTCGGAAGGGGTTTTTTGGAAGCCTTCTCAGGACGAAACAATGGAGACTCCACGTCCACGTCCGAGTCAGTTATGACGCTGGAATTGTCGGAGTCGACCTCATTGGTATCCTCACTGATAGAGTCATCAGAATCATCATCATCATCATCCTCGAGGTGCTCGTACTCGCGTTTGTGGATGCGCCTGCCCATCACCGCGTGCTGGATGGAGCGGGCTCGCTTGCGGCGAGTGTAGGGTTTGAAGGAGGAGTCGCTGTCGTCGGCACTGGAAGAATCGTTCGCGTCACGACGGTCTGCCGCGGCGTCGAAACCATCCATGTCGTGGAAATCAGGATTGGACAGTGTTGGAGCAACCGAGTTGCTGTCGTTGTCGAAGCGCTCAGGGCCGACGTAGCGACGCCTTGCACGGGCGAACGCCCGAGCTGGCACCTTCGTCGACGACTGCACTGTTGGCGACTGCGCGGAAAGCTGCTGCAGTTGATATCGTTCCATGCTGACGGGGCTGGGTTGTTCCTCTTGGAGGTCAATGGACATGGGAACGGAAGTTGTGGGTTCTCGTCGAAGCAGCAAGCCGGCGCCGAGCGAAAAGCTTGCCGTGTCTGTGGGTTGCAGCGCTACCTTGCTCAGCATCTGTAGACCACTAAGTGCCTCGGCAGTATGCGCGGAAATCGATGGCGGCTTCAAGTCAAGCGTGGCAAAGGTGCGCGAGGAGGGTGACCAATCCGACGATGTCATGGATGCCGCGCTCTTGCTGCTACTCGTGTTGAGTAGTCGTGGCGGGGTTGGCGTTGAACGAGCTGGCGTTTGCTGCACTTCACTGCGAGAGACGAGCACCTCGCGGGGCGGGTGCTCCAAAGCAGCCAAGCACAGCGCCGTCACAGAGTCAATCCGCGAGCGGTTTGCAGACTCGACCAGGATGACGGGTTCAGAGGGACGCAGACCCACTGTGACAGCGGCAGACTTGAGCACATGTTCCCATTGCATGTTGCGGCGAAAGAATAGGACTCTTGAGGTCGCGTGTTCATTGCCCGGCAGTGTGGCGTCCATCGTGACGGTTGTGTTGAGATCTGAAATCTGCAGTCACAAATTCCCCCCCCCCCCCATGGAACACGCGTTGCATCCAAATTAGTTGAGCTCGGCACATGTTTGAGAAAAGTAAGTTGGTGAAGGATGATTGGACAAGCGCATGGTTGACAATGGCTCTTCTCAAGACAAGACCAACGGTCCCAAACGAACCAAAAACAATGAACACACAAACAACACCAATGCAAGGAATCGTATGTGAGTGTTGCGTGCATGTGAACGCTGTGTTGATGCATGTGACACTCAGCATTGTCTTGCACGAAGCACTTTGTGAGATGAACTGGGCATGCTTTGCCCCCGTCTCCGCCAATCCGCCAGAACAGCAACAAATACGATACCCAACCGTCGATCTTCACACAATGTGCAGTCCCTTCATTTTACTGATCTCAAGAAATCCGTTGGGGGGAGGGGGTGGGGTAGGGTGACCATCAAGCAGGGAAACAACTCGAGCTGCTGATTTTGGCGGGAAAGATGAAAGTTGTTTCAAATACGTTTCATTTTTCCCGCGGCGTTCAATTTGCGCCACCTCTGGTTTTGCTCACCTGCGTCTGGGCGTCGCCATCGATCGCATAATTTGCATCAACAGCACGTACGCTGATTCGGTACACGTCGCTGGAGACGGAATCGCTGCAATGTGGTTGCGCGAGAGCACCGCCGAGAAGTGGCGCGCTCCCGTGAGAGCTCGACGACTCGCTCGCTGTTTCGCTCCCTGCACGACCTGCGATAGGAGTAGCTGTGTTGCTGGGCGTGCGATTCTCTGGACTCAGGCACGCGGGGCTACTGCTGCGAATGGGTACAGGCGGCGGCTCGCGTTCGTGCTGCATCAAATCACAACGAGCGGAATGGAACCAACGGGATGGAAAATCAAACAACAAGAAAGACGAAACAAAGAAAGAAAAATCAAAGAGGAATGGTTTATTCGACAAAACAAGAAGAATCAACAAAAAGAACACCGAAAGAAAAGAAAGAACGAAAAAAAAAAAAATACTTGTCCTCAAACCAAAATTTCAGTCCAAGGAACACCAAGAACAAGAAAAAAAAATTGCTGCTCAGGCCAGGTCCAATTGTCTTCAAGCATCAGTGGACGCCTTGCTCAGAGGGTCGTCAAAGATGGAAGGAGCGTCGTCGTCGAAAATGAAAATCTTGGTCTTGCTGGATTTCTTGGCAGCCTCGTCGGCAGCTCCCTTCTTCTTACCCTTGGGTCCAGAGGTGGACTTTTTGCCCTTCTTGTCAGCGCTGGTCTGGAAGAGCGAGTCCGTGTTGTCGTCACCAAACAAGCTGCGCGATCGGCTGCGGTTTTCCTCCTTTTGTGAGAGGTCTGTCAGCAGCGGCTCGCCATCCTCGCCTTCGTTCTCAGCGGCCGAAGCAGTGGGTTTCTCAACCGGGGCGTCAAAGATGGAGCCACTGGAGGAGGCGGCGGCAGTGGTTGCATCGTCCAGCATGGCAGAGGATTTGGCGTTCGTCGCGGTCGAGATGGCAGTGCTAAAGCCAAGATCCTCCTTGGCGCGGCCAGCCGACAGCATCTCAGGGGTGGGCGCTTCGTTCGAACGCGAGACCACAGCGTCGACGGCGGCCGACACGGTGGAGAGTGTGGAGAGCGTCGACTGCGAGCGCGGCTTGCGAGGGGCGTCGTCAGCGTCGGCAGTCGCAGCAGTCGCAGCGGCCGCCTTCTTTTTGCTCGACTTCTTGGCGGATGCGGGGGAGGTCGAAGCCTGGGCAAAGATGTCGTCCTCGGCGAACAAATCCACAGGGGTGCGTGACTTGCTCTTCTTTGCCGGCGCAGTTTCAGCCGCAGGTGCGGGAGAAGGAGCGGCAGCGGGAGCCTCGGCCTTGGACGGAGTGGGCGCAGCGGGCTCGGCAACGGGGGCAGGCGCAGGAGTCGGCTCTGCAACTTTAGGACTGGCAGCAACGACTGCAGGCTCGGCCTTGGACGCTGGCTTGGCAGGGCCAAAGATGCTGTCCGACTCGCCAAACAGGTCGACGGACTTGATGCTCGCTCCGCGTTTACCCTTGGTGGCGGGCGCGCTACTGGCAAAGATGTCTGAGGAATCGGAGTCCCCGAACAAGTTGCTGCTGGCTTTCGTCGAGGGCGCAGGGGCAGGGGCAGCAGCAGCAACAGGAGCGGGTGCAGCAGCAGGGGCAACCTCTTGCTTCTTGGCAGGGCTGGGAGTTGCAAAAATGTCCTCCTCGTTTGTAGAATCGCCAAACAGCGAGGCGGGAGCAGCCTTGGGAGCAGCCGACTTGCTTGCTGCAGCGGGCACAATCACTGGCGCAGCCGCAATCGTGACAGTCTTGGTGGGGGTCTTGGCCTCTGGCTCGTCATCAGCCTCGTCCAGGGTGGCCGTGCTGGAAACAGAGTTGCTGGAGCGGCCTTTGCGAGACGGGAGGCGGCGCGCCGTTTGGATCTTTGGACGATCCTTGTTGGCGTGATGCAAAATCTTTGCATTGTCTTCGGCAGGTGCAGCAGACGAGGTCGAGCCGCTCTTCGGGCGTTCAGAGTCACCCGAGGAGGTGGCAAGCACGTCCTCCGACGCAGTGGAGCCCGAGCGCTTGGCGGGCCGTTGGCCAGGCATCATCATGGCAGGGTTGAAGGCCAAACCTGCACCAAGAGCGCCGACTTTTGCCGACGCCTTTGCCGACACTGTTGCTTCTTGCGGTGCAGCCGCCGGCGCGGGAGCAGCAGCAGCAGCAGTAGCAGCAGCGGGGGCAGCCGGCTTGCTGAACAAATCGGACGTGTCGTCGCCAAACAAGCCTTTCGATGGTGTCTTTGACTTTGTGGCAGGGACGGCCTGAGCTGCCACGGCGGCAGGAGATGAGCCAAACAAATCATCCGTGTCAGAGCGAGGGCGCGAGGCAGGCGCGGCAGCAGCGGGAACAGCTGCAGCAGGCTTAGCAGCAGCAGCAGCAGGGGCAGGCGTGCCAAACAGATCTTCAGTGTCAGAACGGGGACGCGAGGTCACGGCAGGCGCCGCCGCCGCGGGCGCAGCAGCTGGAGCAGCAGCTTTGGGTGCCGGCTTGCTGCCAAACATGGAGTCGTCGTCCTCGTCGTCATCGCCACCAAACAGGCCCTTGGCAGGTTTGGACTTGACAGGAGCTGCCACAGGGCTGGCTTTGGGTTGTGCAGCTGGGGCAGCAGCAGCAGCAGGAGCAGGGGACGCAGCAGTGGGTGCAGCAGCAGCAGCAGCAGCAGGTTTCGGGCTGCCAAACAAATCGTCATCATCGTCAAACAGACTGACAGTTGGCAGCTTCTTGGCAGCAGCAGGAGCAGCAGCGGGGGCAGGCTTGGCAGAGCCAAACAGGTCACTTCCGCCACGACCACCAGATCCGCCGAAAATGTCGCCAGAATCGTCATCGTCGGCAAACATGGAGGCAAGCGACTTTTGGGCGCGGGGTGCGGCGGCAGCAGGGGCGGCGGCAGCGGGTGCAACCTTGGCAGGAGCAGCGGTCGCTGGCGAGGACTTGGCGCCAATCAATGAATTCGTCGCCTCATCTTCGTCCTCGTCGCCAAACATGCTGATGACATTGGCAGGCTTCTTGACGGATGAGGCAGAAGAGACGGCCGCGGGCGGGGCAGCGACAGGCGAGTCAGAGCTGCCAGCATCGGACGCACCGCTGCTTCGCTTGAGCGTACCGAACGGATCGGCACCACCAAGCATGGACACGGCACCAGGGGGCAACTTCTTTTTGGGGGGTTCCGCAGGCGCAGCGGCAACAACGGGAGCCGGCTCCTCTTCCTCATCGTCCTCCAGCGCTTTGGCAGACGCAGCGGGCAACGACGAGGCCGGTTTCTTGGCAGGAGCGGAGAGGAGATCGTCGTCCTCGTCGCTGTCACCAAACAACAGAGCCGCCTTCTTTGCAGCGGCTGGTTTGGCCGCGGCAGCGGGAGCAGGTGCTGCAGCGGCGGGCTTGGCCCCACCAAAGAGCGATGTGCTGCCATCGTCATCACCAAAGAGGTCGCTCGAGAAGGACTGCTTGCGGCGGGCAGGAGCGGCAGCCGAGGCTGGGGCGGCAGCAGGCGCGGCTTCCTCGCTCGCAACGCTTTGTGCGTCGTCGGCAAACAGGCTGCCAGCGGCAGGACCAAACATGGACACGCCACCAATCGGCTTCTTCTTTTTGGACACGGTCGAGGTGACGGTGCCAGAGCGAGGCTTGGTCTCGGCAGGACCATCAAACATGGAGCTCGTCTCGTCGTCCTCAAACAAGCCACCTGCGGCAGCGGTTGCTGGTTGCTTGCGAGACCGGCCTGACTTGGACTTGGACGATTTGGTCGACTTGATGGACTTGGTGTCGGAGCGGTCGTTGGCAGCCGCGTCTTCAGCAGCAGCATCATCATCATCATCGTCGTCGAAGAGGCCTCCAGAGGGCTTGGCGGCACGTCGTGCAGCACCTCCTTGGAACAAAGCTTCCGACTCAAACGGATCCCTGGGCTCGTCTTCGTCGCCAAAGAGACCTGCACCAGCAGCGGTTGCCTGAGTTGCCGACGAGCCGCTGCGTTTCTTGCTCTTCTTGTGCGAACGGTGCGACTTGCGAGACCGCTTGGAGCGGGTCGAGCGAGCATCGGCAGCCACATCGCCGGCATCCTCGTCATCATCCCCAAGGCGTGTAGGTGCGCCACCGAAGAGCTTGGCAGCCAGCTCGCTTTGGAAGTTGCCCTTGCCCGACGAAGGTCCGGCAAACGGATCTTGCTCGCCCTCCTCGTCGTCCTCGGCAAATGGATCGTCTGAGGCCGGCGGACGGGCGGGCAGCGCTTTGCGAGGCGCGGCAACGCTCTGCTCGTCTTCCGAGTACTCCGAGCCCGAGCCACTCTCGTACGAGGATCCCGAGCCGGACGCTTCCGACGAGGTGAATCCCTCATCGTCATCATGAGCACGTCCGTGACCGTGCGCGTGGTGTTGACCAGCAGCCTCATCCTCCTCCTCTGACGACGTGAAGCCTTCGTCGGGCGCGCCGGCATTCTGTCGCGATGACGGGATGTCCTGGTCCAGCGGCGACATGTCTTCTTCGTCGCTTTCTGCAGACGGGTTGCAAAAACCAACAGCAAGCAAGAGAGCAGGGGCAACATTCAGTGGTGAGATACAGGAAAGTACAGCAGCAGAAAAGCAGAAAATAATGGCGTTGGACATTTTCGACTCCCTACCGTCAGAATAGACGTCCAGCAAACCAACATCATCATCTTCGAGGAAGGCGGCAGAGCCGATCAAGTGAGGCAGAGGGCGATGCAGATAGACGTCCTTTGGCTCCAGCACCGTTTCTTGGATGTAATCCGACGGCAATCCTGCTTCTTCGTCATCCGAGTCTGAAAAGGGCACATGGCGGGCAAGCAGACGGTTGGTTGGTTTGGTTGATTGTGACAACACTCTCCACCCCCCCTTCCCAACTCAAGCCGCATTGCAAGACATGCATCCGACTTACGGTTGGGGTTTTCCGCCTGGCTGTGCACGAAAGCGTGTTGGAGAACGACCACGCCAAACTGGATGGCCTGGGAGAACTTGGGCACAATCTCACTTTCGAGCTGCTCGCGCGTCTTTTCCTGTGACATGAGCGCGATCGGAGCGGATGAGTAAAAACAACCGGGTTTGGTCCAAAAACCCGGATTTGAAGGCAAAGCAGCTTACTGGCGCGTCGTCGGTGGTTTCTGTTGGCTTTTCGGGTTCGTTGACCAGCTCGTCTTCGTACACGCGCTGCAAGAGACCATGAGCAACAACAACAATAACAACAGGATGAAGAAACAGTCAATGCACGAGAGTCGCGCTCGCGTCATTCATTCATTCTGCCACAAAAACTCAAAACTCACATTCTCAATGAATTGCGTGTTGGACAGCATCAAGAACTCGTTGAATGTGTTGTGCAGGCGAGCGTTGGTCGCTTGCGTTTCGTGGACCAAGCCGTCGACTTGCGACTCAATTTCGTGCGTTCGGTTGAGAATGCGAGTAGAAAGGTCCTTGAGGAACAAGAGCAGCTGTGTGATGCGCAACGAAAACAGTTGAGGATGACATTGATCATGCGAGGAGGCGTGTTACGGTTTCACACACACACATACACACGGACAAAAAAAAAAAAAAACCACCACAAACTTACACCAGAGTCGGAGGCCAACGTCCAGGATGCAGCGCCCTGCTTGAGCTCGTCGATCGACCAAGCGCGCTCCCACGAGCGATCTGCGCCCTGGGCTGTGGGCTGGATGGTCGTGCTTGTCTGAGGCGCCTGTGCGACGACAGATGCAGCGGCGGGCGCAATGAACGAGGCGCCGTCATCGTCGCTGTCGTTCTGAGCAAAGCCGCCAAGCAGCGGTCCAGAGGACACAGGAGGGGCGTCTCCATACAGACCCGGCGGCGGCGGTGGCGGTGGCGGCGGCGGAGGTGGTGGGGGCGCCATACTTTGAGCTGGTCTGTGACGATGGCCAGAATGAAGAGCTTTCGTAAGTGATATTGTTTGAGTAAAAACCGAGTAAATCTCGCTACGGCGCGTTCAATCAAAGTCGAACGAGAAAGGTCATGAGTTTTTAGTTTTTTTTTTTAGTTTTTTTTTTTTTTCAATGTTTTGATTGACGATTGCCGATGACCATGCGGCAGGACCAACGAGTACGATAGAGTGATGGAAAGATGACTATTGAGAAGCACGTCACAATGGGAACGGCAGCGTCAGCTCGAGCTGGCAGCGAAGGGAGCGGAGCACTGGGGAGGCGGTTGAGCTGGACTCGTGATGGAGAACGATTGCCAATGCAGCCATCCGAGCACCTGCCAACTCATCACCCACCCCCCTCAAGTGACAGAATGGAACAAAAGACCAAAGACCAGCGATGTGTGTCCACGGCAGTTCGGCGGGGGCGGGGCGGGGGGAAGGGCGGGGTCGAGGCAAGGAGAAAGAGAAAAGAAAGAGAAAAGGCTAATGCTGGGCCTCAGTCACTCTCGCTCCAAGTGCTTCAAAACAGACGCAGGTCACAGTGCGATCGAGCGATTGAAGAGCGTGAAAATCCATCAAACTCCGCCCCCACGTCGTAGCTGAACAGGGAAGAGCGACAGTGACCTTGTCACAGAGAAGAAAAAAAAAAAGCAAACAAAAGGCTCAATGCAAGGCAATACAAATTCAACAAATATCTGCTGCTTCCATCAGCCCATCAGCGACATCGTCCTCTCCCATCCTCACTCATCGCGAGTGTTCCCAGAAACTCAAGCAACAACTTTCGCCAAACGAGCGTAAAGTCTTGAATTGCAACTAATTCTCAAAGATACTGACAAAAATGAAAAGGTCGAAAAAAAGAAAAAAGGAAAAAAAAAAAAAAAGAAAAAAGAAGAATGGTTGAAATCTGAGTTTGAACGCGACTCGAAAACTCGGATGAATCTGAATTGGGACGAGGTGAGAATATATCTCTGTGGCATTTAGCCGCTTTTAGGTTCACAGTTGGCAGTTGTTTTTCATTCGATCGTATCAGAATATGACGCTCAGCCAGCGCGAGGTGTACGACAAAGTCAAGAATGCGGATGCAGATTTCGAGTAAGAAACAGTTGAATGTATGGCAGAGTGTTACAACGTGTTTCTTGACGAAATGAACAGTCTGAGTGATAATCGGATTGGCGATGCTGAAGCGCAGGCGATTGCTGAAGGGCTCAAAGTCAACAAGACAGTGACGCATCTAAAGGCTTTTGGTCGCAAGCATCGCGACACACTAAATTCGGACACCTCAGGCTCAGTCTCTCAGAAATACCAACTTGCTAATCGTACAACTCCAACCGCGCATTCCAAAAATGGCGACTCCTTCGTCAGCGTTCATCACAGCGTTCCGGCAGTTCCAGCTGCCCGCAGCCATGCTGCCAGTGTTCTACAGCGAGGCCTACAACATGGGGTTTGGCGGAATTGAGAAGGTCCTGTCGCCGCACCCATTCGACGCGACAAAGTACCGCGGCGTCTTCAAACATCTCCGCGCCGGACCGCTCGCGAGTGCGTTTGCGCCTGCGAGGATTATGGCGCCGCCGGCTGTCGCGTCCGACCAAGATCTGCTGATTGCACACTCGGAGGAGTACCTGCGCAGCCTGAAGAGCAGCACCACCGTCGCTCACATTGCTGAGGTCATCACTCTCGCCGTGCTCCCAATCTTCATGGTCAACTATGGCATCGTCACCCCGCAGCGCACCATGACATCGGGAACCGCATTCGCAGCCAAAGCAGCCATGCAAGCCGGGTGGGCCATCAACGTCGGCGGCGGGTTTCACCACGCCTCATGCAACGAGGTGTGGCTCTGAGTGTTGTTTCTATCTTTGGGCATTTTGCTGAGACGGATGAGAGGGATGAGGGAGAGAGAGTGTATGTGTGTATGTGTGTGTGCGTGTGTGTACAGTATGAAGGAGAAAGAGATCTCAGATCCGCTTTTTGATCTGAGCTCGTTACAATTCTCAACGCTCACTCTCATATAAATGTGCCTTGTAGGGTGGCGGCTTCTGCATTTTCGCAGACATTTCGTTCGCCATCAAACTCCTCATGCGCGAAGGCCTTCAGCGAGCCATGATTGTTGATTTGGACGCACACCAAGGAAATGGCCACGAGAATGACTTTGCACAAGACAAGGACCGTGTCTATATTCTGGACGTGTACAATCGGTGAGTCATTTGTGGAAGCTCTTGATTTCGCTCTTCTAAAATGCCCCTGTTGTTCACTTTGGCGAGATCTGTGCGATGCAGAGACATTTACCCCGGAGACCGCAAGGCGAAATCGGGCATGTCGCTGAACGTGCCTGTTTCGTCGGGCATTGCTGACGCAGAGTATTTGCAAACTGTCAACGAATCTTTGGACCAAGCTTTGGCGCAGTTCTCCCCCGATCTGATTGTTTATAACGCAGGCACAGCATTTACCGCGCAGAGACATGTTTTTCAGCAAGCTGGCAACTTTCTCTCGTTTCTCACCTCACCCGTTCACTCGTTTTAGGGACGGACTGCCTCATTCACGATTCCTTGGGAAGGATGGCCGTCTCTGAGCAAGGAATTCTAGACAGGGACGAAGCGGTCTTCCGTCGCGCCTTGAGCCGAAACATCCCGATCGTCATGGTACTTTCCGGGGGCTACCAGTCCTCCAACTCTCGCGTCATTGCAAGGAGCATTGAGAATATGGTTGAAAAGTTTGATTTGCTATCGCGACCCTGGCTTGTCAAGCAGTAGCCACACAACGCAAGTTCTAGCAACAAACCACACATTCAAAAAAAAAAAAAAAAAAGAAACAAAGAAGGAAAAAAAAAGTCTATATTCACTGTTTTACATTTTTGCACAGTAGTGCGCTAATCTTGGGAGATGTGCGCTGCACTAGTCTTCGGAAAAGTACGCGTGCTTCATCGCCTCGTAGCATGATATCGACACGGCAGTCGCTGGTGCCAGCCAAAGTGCTCGAGCTGCCATGCCCTGCGTCAAAGCCCGCCACCCTTCTTCACGCACAATCCGCAATGCCGCGTCTAGAGGACTTGCGTAGCTCAGACCAAGCCAAGGCGTCTGTGCGACGACGCCGTTCGCGAGCGCAGTGGTGCCAACCTGCACCTGCCACCGAGTCTTGATCACATCCAACGGATTGGTCATCAAAGCTGCAATCGTGGCACAAGAAACAAAAAACACCACAAGGTCCAATCCAAACAGTCGGGTGGAGGTCATGTGAGTTTCGAAAACGCACAGCCACACAAAGCAAATACGACGCAAAACAGGACAGGAGAAAAAGTCCCCACCTGCTATCGACGCGGCTGTCGTGCTAATTCCTAACGTGGTTGAAAAACTCAGAGGGGGCAAGTCTTCGGAATCAGACAGCGGGCGATGGCCTCGTATCCGCAATGCCAAGAGTTTGAGTTGCTCAAAAGTGACAAAGAATATTGCAGAGTGCGGGATAAACACGGTTAGAGTTGTAAAGTAGCCTCGATACATGCCGCGAATGCCTTCTTGCGCCACGATTGTTTTGAAGGCATGGGTGGACGATTTGTAGCGCTGAAGTTCGCCTCCTGCCGCCTGTGCTTCAGGTCGGGGGGTGCTTTTGTCAGAATAAGGCCGCCGAGCAACACCCCTCGCTTCTGCTCCAGCACAATGTTTGACCACGTTACCTGCAACCGCTGCTTGATCACCTCCATGGGAGTCCAGAAGAGGCCACTGACCACTTCGGCAGTGACGCCAGCCAACAAATGCGTAGCGAGGCCCTCGTGACCGCTAGCCAAGTGCCCTCGACCCGCGTTGAGCTGCGACGAGATGTACTTCTTGGCCTCGTCGTATGTGAAGAGGTAGGTCGCGAGTGCCGGAGCACCAATTCCCTGCACCAACGCCAAAAAGTGACAAGTATATCAGCGATCAGCGATAAGTGCTCTTGACCTCAAAAGGCGCTCCGCCATGGCGTCCTGTTCGCTTGATTCCTGTACCATTGCAATACCAACACCACTGTACAGGCCTCGAACGCCTTCCTGGGCGACGATCGAGCGTCCACATGCCCACGTTTGGCGCAGGGCAGACGTCAAGTGAGCTGGCGGTCGCGATGGCTCGCCAGTGTGCTTCGCCGACCACTACAAGCATGCATTCATACATGGCACAATTCGATGCAATAGAACATGGTGAGTGTCTTCAGATGTTTGTTTGAGCGCTCTGATTTTGCATCATTCATTGTGCGGCGGGAATAGGGCACAAAACTGACTGACTTGGGCCTGGACACCAAGGGGTCGATCGCCGCCATGACCCATAGCATGGCTCGTGCCATGATTGTGCACTTGCAAGCGTGTGCGGATGGTGTCGAACGGATGCGTCGTGAATCGCGCCAGGCCACTCGCAATCCCCGAAGCGACAAAGTGCTGCACGGACGACCCGAGCGACTGGCGCTGGGCTGGCTGGGCAACCACAGGGACGTCAGTAGTGACAGTACTACTGGCAGTAACAGCAGCAGGACCAAGCAGAGTCCGTGGAGGCGGTGATTTTTCAGCCATGCCAAAATCCCTCAGAAGCACGACTGAGCACTGCACTGTCTCAGCTTGGAGATGTAATCGCAACGAAAACACTACTGTAGAGCTTGAAGAGTCAGCAAAGTGTTTGGAAAGAATTATCAGATGGGAGGTGGCGGGGAGACCTGCGAATTCTCGTGCTTACAGGTAACAGTGCAAAACACCAACACACACCAAGGCAAAGAAACACTGAACCACGATGGAAACTACCACATCACCAAAGTGTTGCTGGGGCGGCTTTAGGAAGCATACTCTTCGGCACTCCGAAGCTCGCCATGCTCGCACAGCCAGTCGACCAACCGTCCAAGAAACTTGTCGTTCGAAACAGTGTCGCTGTCGCCAATCACGCACACGTGCCGACGTGCACGCGTGATGGCAACGTTCAAGCGTCGGTGTTCTGCCAGAAAGCCCACTTCGCGCTTGTCATTGGAGCGCACGAGCGAAATCACCACAGCCTCCTTCTCGCGGCCTTGAAACCCATCAACGGAGCCAATTTCTAGCTGTGGGTACTGAACAGAGAGCTTGCTGCGCAGGCGTCCGACCTGGGCATTGTACGGGGTGATAACCGCCATGTCTCGCTCCGTCACACCCGCGTCGAGGAGCCGTTTGACGTGCTGCACAACAACGTCCGCCTCGCCTTCGTTGGACTGGCAGGTCATGATTGAGAGAATGAGTCAAAAAGGATGACGAGTGTCAGAAAAAAGCGACAATGGCATCAACAAAAGAACGAAAGGGCGGCAAAATAAACACAAATTCTACTTCACCTTGGATTCATCGTCCGCTGCTTCAGTTTCGTACAGGGAGCAACCGGTCGTGTCGATAAAGAAAAGCGCACTTTCGGTCTCTTCGGTCTTCTTGACGCGCGGGAGTTCACATAGCAAGTGGGCTTGCACGCTTGGGGCGGAGGTGAGCTTGCCACCGTACATTTCGTTCGAGCTCCATTGCATGATCTTTGCGTTCATGCGGTATTGCACCTATCAAACGAAAAGAAAAAAAAGCAGACGAGATTGCTCAACACGCGGTCAATTGCTTGTCTCAATGCACGCCGAAAACAAGAGGACAGAAATTCATCCATGCCGTACTGTCAACATGCGCGTGACTTGATCGCCGTAAGCTTTGATCAGTCGGTCAAACAGCGTAAGAGACAAGCCCTTCTTTTCAGCAGCGTCCGAGAGAATGGTGGGAGGGAGCTGTTTGTGGTCGCCCGCAAGAACGAGACGCTTTCCCTTCAGAATGGCCATCCAACAATGAACCTCCATGGACTGCGGTGCTTCGTCGATGATGACCCAGTCATAGTTGATGGGCGACGACGCAATCATTTTGGACATGGCCCCGGTGAGTGTGCAGCAGGTGACTTGTGTTGATTGCAAAACCTGTTGCACAGAATCACGCTCTCGCTTCTTCAGCTCTTTTCGCAAATTCTTGAGTTCATTGTAGAGCTCCTTTCGCTCTTGCCGAGGAATCTGCACAGAGAGCCGGGTAAGTATGAGAAAGCGCTGAAACAATTTTTTAAAAAAAGAAAAGGCATGATCTCCAGCTTGGCTTACTGGACGTGCAAGCTTCTTGGTGGCAGCATCCATTTCGCGTTTAATGTCCGCGACGAGCTTTCCTGCGTCGCTTGCCGCCATGACGCTCTCGAGAGAATGAGCCAACACTGATGGAAGCATGCGAGCCGGATGGCCCAATCTCACAACCGACGTCTTGTTGGATGCAACCAAGCGCTCGACAATGTTATCTGCGCCAGAGAAAAAAAAATAAGGGGGAGGGGGCGATTTGAATGAAGCTTGTGCTTGGCTGGACTCATGCAAGGCGGCAAAACCACTTGTGGTGAGCGTTGCGTACCAACTGAAACGTTCGAAGGTCCACAGGCCAGGATTTTGACTTCAGGACCGTGACGCATCACAATTTGATTGATGAGCTCAACAATCGTAGTGGTCTGTGTGAGCAAGTCGCCTTGAGTGAGATGGACGGCCAGCCCTCCAAGCACCCCCCCAGAAAGCAAAACAAAACAACCCCCCCCAAACCTGACGACCACCAATCTCCGTTTACCTTTCCAGTGCCAGGCGGGCCGTGAATGAGTGCTACATCACTGGCGGCAAGACAAAAGCTCACGGCAGAGCGTTGCACGTCGTTGAGGCCAGGGTTGAGCCAGGAAATGGCAGAGGGTGCAATTTCCGTCGTAAACAACGGTTTGGATTGTCCAAACAGCACGTCGACGAGGTGTGAACACGGCAGCGAAGAGTAGGCGCCGAGACCCAGCTTGGAGATGACGTTGCAGCACCGCTTGTATGTCGTGTCGTTTGCTCCCATGTCGAGGCGCAAGACGCAGTCAAGCAGGTAGTCGGGCAACGGCTCGGACAACGAGACTGTGACGCGCGCATCACTGGTCTTGTAAACGACACCCGACACGCGCTGCTGCTGCTGCTGGCCATCATCAGAGGAACCGGCTGGCGCGCTCGCCTGCTTCATGCTCGAGGTTGCGCTCATGTTGACGCCCGAGCTTCCTTTGATATTCTGCTCTATCGTGACGATATCACCTGGGCGGAATTTGTTTGCGGGCAAGAGGTTGTCTGCTGCGTTCTTGCCACCGCCTTTTTGTTGTTGCAATACCAGATGGGGGTTGGCGTTTTGTCCCAAATGTACAACAAAATGCCATTGCGTTTTGTGTACAACTTTTGTGAGTGACTGAGCGTCTAAGAAACGAGACAACACAACGAGACTCGCTGCGATGGATTTACCGACGAGTTCGAGATCGACGTGGCACTTTCCACCAAAGCCAGTGTACGAGCTCGCAACCTGCATGTATTAGAATTCAGCAAAAAGCGTGGTTTGACAGCATGAGGTGGTGAGTGGGTTGTATGGACGAGAGGTGAGCGGCAAGTGACTGGCACCATCTCCAACACACACACACACACACACACACCATGAAATGACGAGCCTGTCTCTCTGTGCCTACTTACGGTGAGCTTGACAAGACACAGGCCGCGTTGCACGAGTTCCGCGGTCGTCAATGTCTGACGCAGGTTGTCTGTGCGCTCGACTTCGGCCTTGCGCTCCTGCACAACACCACAAAACCAGCCCCACCGAGCCACCCAGCAATACAAGACAAGGACAAAGCAAAAAACCACAGATACAAACAGATCCAAAAAGAGGAGAGCAAGCGGCGCCCAGTTGAGCTCCAGTGAGTTGGTTGGTTGGTCGAGCGCCCAAGCGTCATCCAAAAGCTCAGGCGCTTGGAGAAGCATAACCACGGGCAAGCAAGCTGATATAAACACACACACACACACACCAGGTCGATCAGCAGTTGCTGCGTTGCCACGAATTTGGCCACCGACGCCGACGTGTCTGCCATGATCTGACGCGCTTGGTGACTGAGCTTGTTGACAGGTTTTAGACTGATCTGAGCTGATTTGCGCTGTCAAAGCCATAATGGATGAGCTGTGAATTGGTGGTAAGCAGTCCTCCCACCGTCAACACAACGATTGCTTGGCTGACGCTCGACAGCGAGAGAACTGGCGTAGTTTGGAGAGAATAGATTTGTTGTTTCTTTCTCAGTCTTTCTCAGTCTTTTTTTTTCTTCTTTGTTTGTTTTTTGTTTGTGCAACATCAATGAGCATTCGTCTTGTACTTGCCGCTCTTGTGGTGGCTGCGCTCGTTGGTGTCGCGAGTGCTGCACCCGTCCACAGCATCCAGGTCTGCTTGCCTCCCAGCCCTTCTTCCTCCACTCGCTCTCGACAATGACTCCTTTCTACTTGCTCTGCTTCTTCTGCCCCCCCCCCTCGCCTGTAGCAGCAGCAGCAGCAGCAGCAGCAGCCATGAGCGACAACGAGCGGAGCTTTTTTTTTTGTGTGTGTGTGTGTTTGTTGGTGTGTTGAGGCGCCCTCCTGCTGCTCCTTCCCTCAAACCTCTCTTGAAAGTTGCGCAAGTACAAGCAAAAAAGCGCTCGAATGCAATCGTCGCAGTTCGACACTCGTCTTCTGCCTGGCTGTTGAGCGCGCTCGCCTTGCTTTTCGTTGCCGCTATTCGAGTGATCAGCATCCATCTCGCTTGTTCCCTGTTCCCTTCTCATCTCCTCTCTCTCTCTATCGCTCTCCCGCCAAATTGCCTTGCAATTCCATCTGAGTCATCTCCCATTTTCGATTCGACCTTGGAGGCTCAGTCTATTTCCATTTGGCAATGCATCCCCCACCCACTTCTTCTTCATCCCTCTCCACATAAATCACCCCTCCGCTTCGTATTTCAGGTTCAGCAGACTTACGGATAACAAAAGGGCAGCGGTTGTTTTTGTGAGAAACAAAGAGGACGACGAAAGCACTTTTTTGCAAAACTCCAAACCACCGGAACAAGCAGCGAGTGATGAAGAGTGTGAAGAGTCGAAGAGTGTGAAGAGTGGGAACGAGAGATCGCTCTCTCTCTCTCTCTCTATCTCTCTCTCTATCTCTCTCTCATCCCTCAGCGCTTGTTTTGCTTGTGGTTTGTGGCTTTTGCTTTTTGGGGTTTTGATCGCTTGTCTGGTTTTCACATTGCACTTTGCCTTCTTGTCACCCAAAGTCGACCTTCATACTCGTGCTGACCTGCCCCAAGGCCATGCGGAGGCACATTACCCAAACCAACAGACAACGTCCTCCATGCTCTCTCTCTCTCACTCTCTCTCTCTCTGTCACTCGCGATCTACTGGCTTACTTGCGACCTCTCCATCGTCAATCACCCTGCTTCACACTCCAAACAAAAGAAAGGCTCAGAGACGTTTGAAAGAATCCAACATCCAATAAGCTATTGAAACAGGCTTATCATTGGTCGTGTCAACCACCACAGCCCGAGTTTGCATGGGAACACAAACTGGACACTTTGAATGGAAGCAGAACAATGAAAAAAAGTCAGTCTCATCAGACGGCTCGGTTCCAGAGGCTACATTGGGTTCGCGCTGTTTCAAAAACCAGAGCAGAACGAGATTGTTCTTGATGCCTTGCCCCGCAGCTCTCTTCTCTACTGCAGAGAGCTAAACAAAATCACAGAGAACGAGCACTGAGCATCCCATTGATTTGGTTTGCAGTTGCTCGCGTCACCGAGCCGGGTGCTTGAACAACCTTCAGTCTGAAAAGTAGCTGATCCGAATCCGCTGCGTTTTTTTGCCATTCTCTGGGATCCGCGACTGAATCGAAGCGCAAACAATCTGCCAAACACATACCTGACCCTTGGAAGCTGAAACAAAAGAAGACCGTTTTCTTTGTTTTTGCTTGTGACCGATTTGGTTGCCTGTGGTCGCCGGTCTGGATGCTCGAGCTGTCAAAGTTGTTTTGATGCTCAATTTTCATGGGCGCCACTAGGGACTGGCCAGTAGAGGAGCTTTGTTGCTTCTTTTGCTCTCCCATCCCATGAGCGGATCATTGGGAGACCCAGGTGGAAAAGGAGCGATGTCAAGTTCCTTCCTTCCAAACAACATGCAAAATCAAAAACGCTTCCATGTTTGGTTTTTGTCAGGTTGTGGGCGTTTTGTCCAGTTTCGTTTCTTTGTCACCCCTGAGTGGGCAGAGACGCACTCGGTCAGCATCCGACATCTTGGGCATTCACTTGAACTGGTTGACAAGTGATTTGCCATCTCATTTTGGCTCGCGAGAGCACAAAATGGATGACTAGAGGTGCTTCGGGCGGTCTGTGGTGATTTCATCTTCATACCCGCTTGGTGCCACCTTTCTCTAACGGAAGGTGTGTCTCTGGTGGGCAAAGTGTGGAGTGTTTGAGGTTTTTGCTTTGGCAGCCTCTTTCGTCTGCATTGTTGCTTGGCTTTTCCACGATTTTTGCGTGGGGCTTTCGATGGCCTTGAATCTCGGTACCTGCCAAACGTCAAACGTTTGTGTTCTGCTTTCGTTGCGACCTGGCTTTGCTTGAACCTTGCTTTCGAGTCTTTTTTTTTGTTTGCTTCCATGTCCTTGTTTTTTTCCCTTCTACCCGCATTGTGGATGGATTCTTGTTTGTCTTTGATGCTTGAATGGGATTGAAAGGAATTGATGGCGGGGAGTGTGTTTTGCTTGGCTGGCAGGCGAGTCAGAGTCAGGGGGGGAGGCGGAGCAAGGGACGGAACTCTGGACTTTCAGCCCGACACCTCAAACCACGCAATCTGCACTGGATTTATCATCACCCAGTCGACTGCTCAGGACGCTGAGACATTCCTTTTGTTGCCTTTCACACCTCGCACGACTTTCTTTTTTGTGTTCTTTCAACTCATTTTCTGCTTTTGACGTTTGGATGTTTTTTGGCGTGTTTCAGCAACTCGAGGCCGGCCCTCCGTCCCCGTACCCGCTCTTCAAGCAATGCGACCCTGCGTGGGGCGATGACCTCATCGACACCGAGACCATCTGCCAAGTCGGCTGCCTCATGTCGTCCATCTCCATGGCCATCCACGGCTGGCAGATCAAGATTAACGGGACATCCTCCAACCCTCAGAGTCTCAACAATTTCCTGAGGGCCAACAACGGGTAACGCCTTTTGTTTTGTTGTTGCTGTGTAGGTGGTGATGTTTCGACGGTTGCGTGCCACAACTTGTCTCAATTCCCGTTCTATTCCACCTCACACACACCAACGCCCAGGTACATTGGCGACGATCTTGATGAATCTGCAGTGCCCAAGATCAACCCCGTTGACATTTCTTGGCCCGCTGATGGCATGCACCCCACCAACGACCTTTCGTTCGGCACCATTGCGAGCTACCTCGAGATGGGCCGCGTTGTCATTGCAAACGTGCTGCACGGTCGCCATTTCGTCCTCGTTACCGCTGCCAGCAACAACAACGACACCCTGTTCGTGAACGATCCCGGGTTTAACACCACATACTATAGCTATTCGGCGGATGTTGTCGGCTGGCGTTTGTTCGACATGTTGTAGCAACTTGTTGCCCTGCGTGTGCGCATTTCTCGCATCGACACATAAACTCGAGTTAGATCCATTTGCACATGTTCTATTGCTAGTCTCGGCCCCAAACGAGTATCAAACTTTTGCGTTTCTTTTAGTTGTTTCAGCTTCGTATTTTTGTTGTAAACACATCAGACGGACATGCACCACCCCTCGCCATCTCATGCCAGCTTGGACTCGACCTGCTTGAGCAGTTTTCGGGCATCCGAGTCGAACGCAGTCTCGGCAAAGTAGCCGTCGCTGTGAAAGTAGCTGCCCACCGGCTTGGAGAGCGACTCTGTGACTGGCGCCTTGCCGTACCGTTGCAACGTGATCTTGAGCGTGTATTCGTGCTTGAGCTTGTTAAACTCAGAGTCGACGACGACCGACTCTTGGGCCTTGGCGCTGCCTGGCCGTGCGGTGGCAGACACGTTCTGGCGCAAACCCTCAAACACGGTGACGCCCTCGGCAAAGAACGTGTACGCCGTGATGACGAGCATCAGTGCAAAGTAGAGGACGACGCATGTGCCAACAACGAGCGAGCTCTCGGGGAATGGGACAAAGTAGCCCCAGGCGAGCGCAAACCCGGTCAGCGCGATCGCCGCAGCCGACATCCCGATCTTGATATCCATGCGGCGATGGCTCTCAATGAAGCCGGCCTCGAGCGTCAGCAGGCCCCGCAGCGAGTCGTCCATCGTCGACTTGACGGCAACGCTGTCGTACAGATCGACGGCCGGGTAGCTCTCCTCGGGCGCTGTCTGCTCTGCCGCGCCGGCCACCTGCGGATCCTGCTGCTGCTGCTGCTGCTGCTGCTGTGCATTGGCTGGGCTTGTATGAGACGTGGCGGCGGCGGCGGCGGCGGCGGCGGATGAGGCTGGCCGCGACTTGACTGACTTGGCCATTCCGTGTCAATGCGAACTAAGGACTGCCAATCCAGGAGTCTCAGACAGCTCGAATGTGCAACAGAGAACACACAAATAACGAAAAAAGCTCCTGGGTCTATTGATGCTGTCTGAGCGTTTCTGAGCGCGCTCAGTCTTGTTTTCTTTCTTCTTTCTTCTTTTTGTTCGCACAGCACAATGAAGCTCGTTAGCCCCAACGATGTCAAGGTGTACAATGTGTCTGCCGGCAAATCCATGCCAGAGTGGATTTCCGATCGCAAGCGACGCTCGCTGCTCAAGAACGACGCTGGTAAAGCAAAGCCGGGGGTCCCCGCTATCATCATCATTGTCATCGATTGAACCAGGACAGGAGGCTGTTGCTGGGCTTCTCCGCGTGTCTCTCTCTTGTCGATGCTTGTTACTGTTCTATGTGATGATAGGAGTAGGGGGTGGTGGGGCGGAAGGGGAAGCTCTGCTTTGTGGAGTTGCATTGGGGTTGCCTCGTGGAGCACTTTGGATCCATTTGAGACCCGCGAGCCAGACAACTGCAACTTGCAAACGCCGTTGCCAATGAAGCAAGCTCAGCAACATGACGCCCTTCGAGCTCACGATCAGCCAATGTGGGAGCGGGGGGAGCAAAAGGGGGATGGAAGTTAGGCGACGGGCAGCGTCCGTTTGTTCCATGTGTGCTGCCTATCACAGTTACCTCAACCCCCCCCCCAATCCATCACCAACCACGACCACGATCGTCATTGACATTGCGAGCTGCTCTTGTCACAAGGCGGACTCCCGTGTGGGATTGCAGGGACTGCAGAAGAACCCGAAAAAAGCTCACGCTCACACAATGCTGCAACCTTTGGACAGAGCTCCGTCAACGCATCTCGCTGCTGCAGGACTTTGAAATGCCAACAGCAGCTACCAACCTGCGCGCTTCAAAGGACGGCCGATTCCTGCTCGCAACGGGCGTCTATCCGCCGCGCATTCGATGCTACGAGGTTTGCCCACACATTCTGAGTTGCACGATCTGAGAATCTTGCTCATCGACTCACCCTTTCTTGCAATCGGTACGCACCATTGCTGGACAGCTCTCGGAACTCGCCATGAAGTTTGAGCGATACCTGCAGTCGGAGCCAGTCAAGTTCGAAATGCTCTCGGACGACTACACCAAAATTGCCTGCTTGTCCTCGGATCGCTTCCTCGAGATTCACGCGCAGTACGGCACACATTACAAGACGCGCATTCCGAGATTCGGACGCGACCTTGCGTACATGGAGTCGGCAACTGAGCTGATTGCCGTCGGTGACTCGACGGACATTTACCGCCTCAACCTCGAACTGGGACGCTTCATGACCCCATGGGCCAGCTCCATTGGCTCTCAGGGCGGTTTGAATGTGGTTGCACTGAACTCGGTGCACGATCTTGTTGCGGTCGGCTCTGTCGACGGTCGCATCGAGTGCTGGGATCCACGGTCCCGCACGTGCCACGGACAGCTCGATATTGCAGCGATTCTTGCGCAAGGCAGCTCGATTGACTCTGCTGGTATTCCAGAAGTGACTGTACGCGAATAATCTCCTTCTTCTTTGTGCTTGTCTTGAATTTGGTCAACGTTGCCAAGTCTCACTCGCCATCTCCACCGCTTGCAGAGCATTCAATTTGATACAGATGGCCTGTCGATGGCCGTGGGCGTCTCCACTGGGCAAGTTTTGTTGTTTGACGTGCGGTCAGACCAACCTGTGTTGATCAAGGACCACCAGTACGGCTTCCCGATCAAGCGCATCAAGTTCCATCGCCCGAGTGGCAAAATGGTGACTGCCGATACCAAGATTATCAAGATTTGGGAGCGCAATACTGTACGTCGGATTATTCGACCGAATTGGTTGTTTGGTTCTAGTCTCGTCCTAAAACCAACCGTTTAACAAACCGGCATAGGGAGAAACGTACACATCCATCGAACCCGAGCACGACATCAACGACGCTCTGATGTACGGCGACTCTGGGTTGATTTTGACTGCCAACGAAGACAAAAAGATGCAAGCCTATTATGTTCCCTCACTTGGAAACGCGCCAAAGTGGTGCTCGTTCCTTGACAATCTCACGGTGAGTGCGGCACGTTTCTGTCAAGATTTGAGCGTCGAAGTTAGGCGTTTACTCACACACGTTTGCAATGTTTTTTTATTCTTGTTGCCATAACATAGGAGGAGCTTGAAGAGACTGCACAACCAGAAGTCTTTGACGATTACAAGTTTGTGACACGCAAGGATCTTGAAGTGTACGTAGAAGCGTTGCTGCTAGTTGCATGGGTTTCGTCGATTGGTTTTTGACTGCACTCATGGATTGCGATGCGTCGTGCCATGCAAACAGTCTTGGCCTCACACACCTTGTTGGCACGAATTTGCTTCGAGCCTACATGCATGGATTCTTTATCGATCTTCGCCTGTACAATCGCGTACGTGTTACTGTGCTCTTTCGTTCCTTGCTTTGACCGCTTGACACTTGAGTTACTCAACCTCTCTCTCTTCGCCTCCGAATTCTCACTCCCAGGCCAAAGCAATCGCCGAACCATTTGCCTACGAAGAGTATCGCAAGAGCAAAATCAAGGAAAAGATCGACGCCCAGCGCGCCAACCGCATCAGCGTGCAAAAGCGACTGCCCAAGGTCAACAAGGGCTTTGCCAAGTTGCTTCTTGACGAAGAATCGGCCGAGACCAACGCCAAGAAGAAGGCCGCACTGCAGTCATCCAACCCTCTCACCGACGATCGTTTCGGCGCCATGTTCAAAAATCCCGAGTTCGAGATCGATCCCGAGAGCGAGACCTTCCGCATTTTGCACCCAACCTTGTCAAAGGTACCAGTTGGCCTTGCTTGTAGCTGTCGATGGCACTGTCCTCGACGACTTGGAGATTTCATGTGGTATTGATGGTGTTCTCACCTGATTGTTCTTGAATGTTGTTTCGCTATCTTGCTCTCTCTCTCTCTCTCTCTCTCTCTCTCTCTCTCTCTCTCTCTCTCTCTCTCTCTCTCTCTCTCTCTCTCTCTCTCTCTCTCTCTCTCTCTCTCTCTCTCTCTCTCTCTCTCTCTCTCTCTCTCTCTCTCTCTCTCTCTCTCTCTCTCTCTCTCTCTCTCTCTCTCTCTCTCTCTCACGCTTCAGAGCACTGCCCAACTGCAACACATGTTCCGCGAGGTTGGCAAGCCCGCCAAGGCGGACGACGACGACGACGACGACGAAGACGAGCTGGAGGGACGAGCAAGTGACGACGACAACAGCGACGAGGAAGATGAGCGAGAAGCCGCGGCAGCAGCGAAAGCTGCAGCTCGTGCCAAGAAGGAAAAGGCAGCGGCCAAAACCAAGTTCTACGAAATCAAGGTTTGTGTTTGAATTTCCACGCGTTTTTTTTTTTGGCACTTTGGCTGAGCGCTCATGCTCAAAAACGACTCTGCTCTTTTGTAGGACGATGCAAACTCTGGTCTGGTCAATGCCATGGGAGCAACATCCGACAAGGCCATCGCCATTGCCAAGCGCCGAGCGGCAGTTCCCCTCGGAATTCGCGCGCAAACCGAGACAATCGACATGGCTACGGCCACGCGAGCACCTGTTGGTGCAATGCAGATGACTTTTGTGCGCGAAACCAACAAGGTGAGTCAATAATGGAGGGGTGGTGGTTTCGTGTCTCTATCCGCGAAACGGTCGTACTGACTTTTCGCTGCCCTTCGCTTCCCGATGTAGGACAAGGCTCGAAAGCCAGCAGCTCCCAAAGACGATATTCCTCGTGAAAGGCGCGGCGTGAAAGAGCTTCGACTCAAGAAGCAAGGTGGGCCCGCTTACTGGCGAGGACATCGTGTCAAGTAGTCGTTTTTGTTGCTGTTTTGTGCAAATTTTGTTCTGGCAGTGTTGAGCGTTCCTGGACAAACAATATATTGGAATATTGGACAAAGGCCGAATCGGGTTCTCGTGGCTTTGTTTTATTGGGGTGAGGAAGCGAGATTGCAGAACACGCCTCTATTCAAATCGAACAGTGTAGCAGCTGTGGTGGCGGCCCTCAACGGCGCCGAGAAGGAGCTTCATGAGAGGCTGAACGTCGCGATACGGCGCACATGCGTCGCTGGAAATGAGCGAGTTCACGTGCAGTCGAACGCGCTCCGTGGGGTGCGCTTGTTGGTCCGGATCGCTCAGGTGGTTGTGCAAGAGTGCCGCCAGAGTGGGCAAATCTAAAAGCAGAATGGCAATCACCATGGCCCATTCGAAACACCGCGCTTGCATAAACACCGACAGGAAAAACCTAGATCCAAGTACCAACCAACACATGAGTGATTCCGCCAGCAACAAAAAACAAGCACACAAACTCTGAACGCATATAAAATGGAAAGAAACCCCATACCGGAGCTCTCGAGCTTCGTCTGATTGCGCCAGATTGGCATGAACAGACGTCACTACGCCCTGCGGTTCAGAAAAGCCGGACGCCGACAGCGCAGACCAGGTGCGGCCGCGCGCCTTCGGAGAAGCTGGCAACGATCCGGGCATCTCAAGTGCCTCGGCATCCAAAATGATCTGCGAAGGGAACGCGTAGGCTGGTGCGTCGTGTGGAAGTGGAGTGGAGTCGGTTGATGCAAACTTTTCTGTGGCAAAGCAGTTGTTTGCGGTGCGAATCACAGCAGCCGCTACAACGAAACGAAAGCAAAGAGAACAAGGTTTGAGTGCTGGGCCGGCTGGAAGAAACGAAGCACGGTTGGTTTTGGAACCTACATGGATACGGCCAATGATACTGTTCGTGCAAAGACGTTAATGCATCTGCAAAATTGTCAACCAACGCGGCGCGGACTCTGGGAGGGAAGGAGAGAGAGAGAGAGAGAGAGAGAGAGAGAGAGAGAGAGAGAGAGAGAGAGAGAGAGAGAGAGAGAGAGAGAGAGAGAGACAAGTGCTGTTAGTCGCTGCTGATTGCACCAAAGCGCTGGAGAGCCACATTTCACTGTACCGTTCTTTTTGGAGCCAACCGATGAGCGGGAAGTGCAGTTGAGCAGCAAACGACTTGAGGACTCTGAGACGATGGGTTCGCAAGAGTCGCTTTGCGTTGCGCGACAACTTGAGTTCCAAGAATGCCCTGTCGTTGTTCGAAGGTACATCTTTGTGCTGCGCGCGGGACTCGGCTCGCTCGTCGTCTAGAGAATGGTGGGCAGCGGGTGAGGCATCCAGTTTGTGTTTGGACAGCAGGGCAACAAAGTCCCGCTCTTACCTGCGATGGCTCCCAGAAACCGAACAAGATCTTTGCAGAGCTGAGAGCATTAGGGGAAGAAGAGTAGAGTAAGTTCGACAATGCAAGCCGCACGAGCAAAACAAGGAAGCAAAAAAACCCCCCGAGAGTCTTACCTCCCATTGGCACTGATCGAGCGAAGCTTCAAACAACAGAGTGGCAAACTTTTGGAAAGAGATTGTTGTTGCAAACAAACAGTATGTGAGCAGCAGCAGTGGAGCAAACTCCTGGACACTCGTTTTGAGGCTTACCAGTCTCGAATCCGATGGCGGCTCCAAGCTCTGCAAAATGATCAAGTAGGACGCAGCGGTCGCCAGCCGTCCTTCGTTCAAACATTGCTGAAACGAATCAAACACACCATCAAGGAGCAGAATCAGTATTAAAAGCGCGGTAGAAAATGTCCAAACCCGCAGTTCTGTACCTGGAAAAGCTCCCGGGCACTACCAACAATCGAGAAGAGATAGTCCCACATTGCCACTTCGGTTTTGCGGGCACAGTGAACAACCACTTCCAGGAATTGTGGGAAACGGCTCAAAAAGTTCACCACGCGCGGAAGCATGGCGTCTTTGAGTGGCAAAAGAAGCAGAGGAAACAAAAACCCATGAGAATGCAAGCTCAATCAAACAACTTGCACATGCACATCGGCGTCATACCAGTATTGAATGCAGTCATTGTGCCAGCCTCCTCTTCCAACACCTCATGCAGCATGAGCTCCAGCGCATGTGAAAAGTAGGGCAGGGAGCTGAAACTGTTGGCAATCTCCATGGCAAGTCGATCGTGCCCGCGTTTAATGAGCTGCCCGAGGATGTGATGCAGGGCTGACTGAGAGCGATGCTCGAAAACGTAAAAGGGGAAGACGGTCGAAGATGTCGCCGAGTCAAAGGACACGTCATGCGCCGCACCGAGTAGCATGGCATCCTCAAACCGAACAGCTGAATTGCAGGCACAACAGCAACGACTGGTTAGAACTCAAAACAGGTGCTTCCAACTCCACAAAAAATTCACGAAAAGCAACGGCAACCATCTAGCAAAAAAAAAATACTCACTCTGTGGCATAAACCCGATCGGGAAGGAGAGCATGATACGCTTCACGGCAGCTTTGGACTGGGAGGATTCAGCCTGCGGGTCCAATGGAAGCCAGACCTTCATGCCAGCAGCGCCGCAGCTCAAAAAGACGGCTTTCGCTAAATTATGCTGTCGTTTGTGAAGACTGGGTGGTGGTGTCCAGAAGTGTTCGACCGAGGTGGCAAGGAGGGCTGGTGGCGTCACCAGAAGTTCATCCACATTCGAAGTGGCAATGTTGAGTTGAGTAACGGAGAGCTTGCCAGACACGTTCAGAAGAAGAGATACATGGGAAGCGCGATCTATGGGCGACACAAGAACCAAACCATGCGATGAGCAGATGCGCTATGCCAAGTGTTGTTCCAAAAAAACAAAACAAAAACAAAAACGCCTTCTTACCAGCCTCAATCCCGAGCTGTGTAATCATAAACGACATGACAGCTGCGGGGTGATTGCACAGCTGTGTCAGTCCGACAGTATGGCGTTTGGAAAGCGAAACGGCCAACTCGCCCGTTCGAGCGTTGACAGAGCGTTGGATGTGGTACAAGCTCAGCATGCGGTCTGACGTGTAAACAAGCAATCCGAGCTCGCACGTGTTGATAAGTAGAACGGGCCGGGTGCACTTTTCGGTGTGGAGTAGACTAGTCGAGTTGTCGAGCGTCCCGTGCTTGGAATACAATCGAAGCTGAAGAGCAAAAGGACAATGTCAGCGCCAATAAAAACAAACGGGGGGTGGGAGATGGAAGGGGGGAATGCTCAAGCAGGTGAATGCCACAAAACTGGTACCTCTGATTCTTGGTTGATTGTGCGGCATCCAACCACCAGAATATCATGGGCCCAGTGAAGCGCTTTGCAGGCGATTTCTCGCTCCTACAGCCGGGAAGAAATGAACTGTCAGCATTGCCGCAAAGTCGGCAACCAAGTCGACTGTACATACGTGATTCTGATTGGCAAAAAGGCGCCATTTCAGGGTCGATACGGTGTACTGTGCAAAGCCTTGTCGACCCGCAACCGCAATGCAATCGCCGCTTTCATCCGCGCAAGCAATCTGCTCGTCAAGCATCGCGTCGTGGAAATGTGCGTGAGTCGTCCGCCACCATTTACACCAACAAGTGTCGCGAGAAGCGTTCTGACCTTGATTGGCCAATGCTCTGCCATGTAGGTGAGCGGAACTTTGATCGAAAGCCATTGCGCAACCACCGAAGCGCCGTCGCTGTTATCAGGCAGAACATGCTTTGATGTCGATCTGCTGGGCAAAAAGTAGAGACGATCGTCGCTGTGGAAGAGCATGTGTGACCAGTGCGTCTAAAGGAAAAGGGTCGTGATGTTGGTGAGGGGGTGCGAGTTTCGCGGCAAGGAAAGTCTCCGTTGAGCGCTAACAGCAACACGTACCACACAGGAGTTGGCTGCAAGAGCACTACGAACAAATGCAAACTCGTAGATGTCACCTGAGCCCCCAGAAGAGAACAAAAAGTGAAAAAAAGTGGGCAATAAACGAGTACAGCAGGACGAATGCAGAGATAATTATCTTACCATTGGAGGACGAGTCCTGACCATCGTTGTCGAATGACGGGGCTATCAGTAGCGAGTAGCCTTCTGGGCCCCAGGTCTTAAAAAAAAAAAAAAAAAAAAAAAAAGGGCCGCAAATGTGAGAATCACGCTCCCCACACTGCACACGCGGATATCTACAAGGTTGACAAACGTTACCATGCTGCGAATACCCGAAAAGTTCATTCGCACGGTGGCATCGTCAGACGCGTTGGCGTTGAGTCCCAGCGTGGAGAACAGTGGCGAGCCACAGGCGCTCCACACGGCCACGACGCCACAGTCGGCCCATCCACACGCAAGGGCGCAGCCGTCATTCGTCCAAGTAAGCGCGGCCGGAGCCCCCAGGCCCGATCCGACGTGTGGAAGGTGGGAAGACGATGACGTAGAGGAAGCAGCAGCGGCGGGAATGGGCGAAGCCGAGCGTCCATTGTCACCACCAGATGGCAACCCATTTGTGCCGACGCCCTGATGGTGTGTCGAAGAGGATTGGTTTTGAGCGTGACGATGATCGCTGAGAGACGAGTTGCTGGCAGAGCGGAGCATGGACTCGTTTTGGCGGAAGCGGCGCGCGCCAATCACATGGGCTGGCCCCGCACTGACAGTGTGGCTGAACAAGACTCTCCGCGCCTTTTCGTCGACCATAAAAATCATGACCTCTCCGCTGCTCACAGGGACGTGAGGATTGTGTGTGTGTGAGCGACGGGGGGGGGGAGAAAAAAAAACAAGCGACACTTTGACCCAAGGATCAGCCATTACTCACTTGTCGCAACCCAGCGCAATGAACGAGTACAAGGGATTGAAGCTAACAGTGACGGCTTGTGCAATATCAGGAATCCAACAGCCCTATCACACAAATGCACCAAAAATCGATGAATGCGCAAGTTCGGTTGCCGCCCTCGCCGGATCCAAAGAGACTTACATGATGCTCCGTACTCGCTGGCGACGGAAACAGGCATACTGCGGTGCCATTAGAAAGTACGCAAACGTACATGACAATGGTTTTACTTCGCTGGCTAAAGTCGATGCTCTTGACGTACACGTTTTCTGTGTGAGAGTGAGAATAGAATCAATGCAGGTCACTAGGCTTTGACATCTGCACATCACATCAGCCAATCCCTTCGATGTGTTTGGTTGTTTGTACACACCTGGCATGCGCCGAGGGCCAGATGTGAAGGTGACCGTCTTCAAATCAATCATGGTCTCGGGATCGGCATGGCCAGCCCATCGGATGGGCTGCAGCGTGCCGTTGAGTGTAGCAATGATGAGATGTTGCGTGTGGCTCGCGATGCTGTTGTTTGTTCGTATCAAGAGCGAGCGAGAGAAAAAGGGTTAACAAACGACGAAAAATCACTCTCACACAAATGGAACCAAAATCAACAACCCATACCAAGACATGCCGCTGTCAACCACAGAGATGCTCTTCAGCACGAGCGATCGCGCGGGACAGCCAGCACTCTCGCCGGGCCCAGCCTCCATGGTGACGCCGTGCGAGAGGGTCAGATTCATGTCGAGCGTCCGCGCCTTGTCGTTGATTCCACCGATCGAGAAGATCAGCACGCAATGCTTGGATGTCTGAAGCCCCCCCCCCCGACACGCCAAAATCACACAACAAGCAAAGTGAGGCAGCCAGCCACTTCGTCGACTTGCAGGTTGGCAGGCAGTGAGTTACAATGACTGCAATGGGCTGGCCGTTCCGTCGGGCTTCCAAGCAATCTTTGAGTTGACTCCGTAGCGTTCCATGGACTCGCTCGAGCGCGTGAATGCAGCGACCACCGCGCGTGGCTGTTCGAGTCAGTTGCAGAGCAGCAGATTGGGTTGGGGAAGTGAGTGAGATACGAGGCGTTTTGGACGATCGGACTTGGAAGAAGACGCTCCAGCACTCCACTGCGTCCCTGTCATGTCTGGTTTTTGGAGGGGCGGGGGGGGGGCTTTTACCTTGTAAGACCACAGGAAGAGAGTCGCGTGGGTGGTCGTGGCGAGCCACATGCTGTCCTTGGCCAACGCCAGGTCGACAGCAACGGCCGCCTCGCTGGCATTGTGCGACGACTGAGACGGAGCAGTGGAATCGCGACCCGTGTCTGACGGTGGTGCTTGGTCATGCGGTTGTTGTTGTTGTTGTTGCTGCTGCTGCTGCTGTTGGTGCTTGCTGCTGCTACGCTGCGGGAAGACGGACGAGTAGACGTTCGGCCAACCCAATGGAAAGTACATTGGAAGCGAGCTGCGTTTTAGACGACTGATTGTCGCTCCCCGACTTCAACCCTTACCTGGATCGATATCCATGCGTCAATCTTTCAACAACTTATTCTCGACCACCTTCGGGTGTAGCAGCCGCCCCCGGTCGCTGAGTTGTTGTTGTTGTTGTTGTTGTTGGATAATGATCACTGATTCATGGCATGATAGTTTTGGCTAGTCCTTGTTTTCCAAAATGAAGAAGAAGGTGAGCGAATCGATGAATGCCATTCAAACGAACAAGAACAGGGGGGTTTGCTAGTGGAAGGGGGCTCGAAGTGTCATGGGTCGAATAGAGAGCGAGAGTGGTCGCAACGATGGGTCGAAGCGAAGGGAAGGGACGGGGGTGGTCGAAAGGGACGAGTCACGATGGATTTTGTGGCTGGCTCGAATGAACGAACGGTCTCTCTCTCTCTCTCGTTGTTGCCGCCATTGCGCTCGACTATGCGTGTGTGCACGTTGTTTAATCTCACAGCGTGGATGTCGATGGTGAGCGAGTGGGTGGAGTGTGTGATCAGAGAGGCGAGCAGGAGAATCGTTCAAAAAAAAAAAAAAAAAAAAGACGAGATCCCGCCTTCACCACTTCACTCCTCGCTTCACCCCTCACTCGTGGACATTGGTGGATGGGGATGGCATTTGCCATTGTAGCGCCCGTTGGCAGGCTGTGAGGCGGTGAGACTGCGGCGGCGAAGACACACATTGAAATTGGGGAAAAAAAAAAAAAAAAAAAAAAAGACCGCCACATTGACCCCGGAAAAGCAAAGGGAGAAAAGCGATTTAGTGAGCCGCGTTGGTATAAACTCGGATCGCCAGTGCTTTTCCAGCCATACGCATGCAATAATAAAAATCGCCGCTGCAAATGTCATTTGATTTGTTTGCTCTTCACTCACCTTTCTCCCCCCCCCCTCCGCAAACAAATGCCCCTTCTTGTTGGCTTCTCCCTTGACCTTAGGTTTTGTTGATGGGCAAGAGCGGGTCGGGCAAGACCTCGATGCGCTCAATCATCTTTGCCAACTACATTGCGCGTGATACTCGCCGTCTCGGATACACCATCGATGTCGAGCACTCGCACGTGCGCTTCCTCGGCAACCTCGTTCTCAACCTCTGGGATTGCGGCGGGTACGTTTGCTTGTGTCGCTTGAAGGGCACGCGTCGAGTTTGACTTGTGCAAAAACAGATTCACGTTGCTGCGTGTTCATGCTCCCTTGCGCGCAATGCCATGCTCATGCTCCTTTGATGCTCCTCGTGTGACAATTGCGAACAAAACAACAGTCAGGAGGCCTTCATGGAAAACTACTTTGCCAGCCAGCGTGACATTATCTTCCGAAACGTCGAGGTCTTGATTTACGTGTTCGACGTCGAGTCCCGCGAGCTCGAGAAGGACATGCACTACTACCAGACCTGTCTCGAGGCCATTCTTCAAAACTCGAAGGATGCCAAGATCTTCTGCCTGTTGCACAAGATGGATCTCGTTGCCGAGGATCAGCGCGATTTGGTAAGGCGTTGTCGTTTGTTGAAATGCGTGTGTTGTTGACCCAAATTGTCGGTGCTTCTTCAGCATCCTGACGACTGCGATACTCAATGCATCCGCTGCTCGCTGCCCTGTAGATTTTTGCCGAGCGCGAAACCGAGCTCAAGTGCCGATCTCTGCCGCTTGAAATCACCTGCTTCCGCACTTCGATTTGGGACGAGACCCTGTACAAGGTGAGGATTTTCACGATGAGTGATATTGTTTATTGGTTTGTCGTTTGCTCGTTGTTTCTCGTTCGCTTGTTGTTTCTCGTTTTGCTGCCGTCCTTTCTCAACTCAACTCCTGCTTCCTCGCTTTGTCACAGGCCTGGTCATCGATCGTCTACTCGCTCATTCCCAACGTCAGGCAGCTCGAGGATCACTTGCAGAACTTTGCCGAAATCATTGATGCCGACGAAGTTGTGCTGTTTGAGCGCGCCACCTTCCTGGTCATCTCGCACTCGACGCGCAGGCAACATCGCGACGTCCACCGGTTTGAAAAGATCAGCAACATTATCAAGCAATTCAAACTTAGTTGCTCAAAGTCCCAGGCGCAGTTCCAGAGCATGGAAGTCCGCAACGCCAACTTTGCCTCATTCATTGATTTGTTTACAACCAACACTTACGTCATGGTGATTTCCGCCGATCCTTCATTGCGTACGTCGAGCATTTTTTTGTGTTGAATTGAGCGTCGGAGGTTTGGGGGGGTTGACTACGCTGCATTCTTGTTCTAACCTTTGCTGCTTTTTTGTTTTCTGTTCGCAAAACAGCCGCTGCGGCCACTCTGGTCAACATTCAAAACGCTCGCCAGCATTTCGAGAAGCTCGAGGGCCACAACCAATAAACAAAACACGCAAAAGGTTTTTTCTTTTCTCCAGTCGACGCTCTTGGCTGGTTGGCGGGTCATCTTCATTTGTGAGGCGTCTTGCGGGCCGGTTCAAGAGCAGTGACACGGTGCTGTGTTACCGACCGCTCTGCTCGTGTTTGTGAATGGCTTTTGTTCATTTTTGTGCGATTGTTGTTTTGTTTTCTTTTTCCATAAATCCTCCTGTTATTGCATGCTCCTGAACGCGTCCTCGGAATTGTCCTGTATTGCGGCATCCTCTTGCAACAAGTAAGACATCCAACGGAAACCAAAAAGGAACATTACACACGTTGAACGAGCAACGACTGCACACATTGAAATCTCAATCATTCCCACGGCCGACGGGTCATGGGGATGCCATCCCTTGCATCGGCGAGGGTGGCACGGACGAGGATTCGGGTTGCTGCTGGGTCGCAGGAGCAGTAAAGCCCTTGGTTTGACCTGTGGCAGCGGCAGCAGCGGCTTGGATGGTGACTGCGTCGAGCGTCTCCTTCTTGCGCTTTTGCTCCTTTGCAATAGATTGCTGCAGCCGCTGGATGCGAGCTTGTGTCTCGCCCAGCGTGTTGCTCACTGTGGTCACTCGTCGCCGCGCAGTGATGAGCTTCTTGATGTAAACGTCGAGATTGACTGGTTGGGTGGCTGCATTGACCTCGTTGAACTGCCGCAGCTCTGCCGCAAATTCAAAACAAACACACACAAACACAAAGACACACACACACACACACATAGTCAAAATACAGAGTTGAGAACAGTATATCGCGAGCGTATCAGTGTGCAAGAGAGGGGAAACAAGTCGAGATCTCAATTGGAGCTGGTTCCCAGGCCGCGTCGCGTCAGATGGGCCACCTCGGCACGCTCAGGGACCCCTCCAGCAGTGCAAGTGATGCTTTCCAATTGAGACTGTTCGAGCCATGCTTGGGAGAGCGCGCCTCGAATCATGCTTTTACCAGTCATGAGCGATTCAATGTTCGTCTTGAGCGCGGTCTGGGCAGTCTGGACGCCGTCGACGCTGGACTCGAGCTGCTCGACAACGGGCAGCAGCAGCTGGAACAGTCCGGAGGCGAGCACGGCGGTCGGATCACTGCTCGGCTGGCTCAGCTGCGGCGCGGCGGCAGTGGCGCTGACAATCGACGCTTCAGCCATGTTCAACCAAGAAAAGAGAAGAGAGTGAGAACAGAAGCTTAAGCTGAGACGAAGGGATTCATGTTGGAGCTTTGATTTTGGGAGGCTTTCCAACTTATGACAACCCTCGAGCACAAAAACGAACGTCAACGGCACTGGAGATGGAAACAAAGCAAGGCATCAGGGTCAATCGTCTCTTGACAATCGTTACGTGACCACGAGACAACGTGCTGTACTGCTGCTTGACTTTTGTACTCTTACTGAGCAAAAGGCACTGATGGAACATCAACATTCACCACAGGCGCCGGAAAACTAACAAACGGGCCCACGGCAAGCCGCCAGACATCAAAGAGACAGAAGGCAATCATTGCCGCAGCAAACGCGTCGAGCATGGTCTGAGAGAGCGGGGATGCGCGGGAGGGCGTTTCGATGGGGTCAAACAAGGAGCACTCGTCGAGGCGGGCAAACAGCGGGAAGGTCGCCAAAAACAGCATTGCGTAAAATGCCGAGCCCACAGTGAGCATGAGCGTCCAGTCAGGGTAGGTCTGTGAGTTTGTTTGACGTTGAGTGTGTTTCGGAATTTGTGGGTGAGTGCACGAGCATGGTCAAACACACAAACAAACCAACACAAAACACGTTACATAGTGTGGGAAGCCACTGATCGTGTACGTCTCCATAAAAGCCGTAATGTACGCAATGCCAGTAATCGCCGCACAAAGGACGCCCGTGCGCCAGATGGCGGGCGTCTTGTAGCGAATGGCGCGCAAGATTTGCGTCGTAACGGAATGGTACGAGCAGAAATACGGATGCGTCAGCAAGTACATGCACACCGGAACGCCGTTGATCGTCCATCCGTCCGTCGGCACCGTGTACCGCATGCCGAGCACTTGGTAAAAGTAGTGTGTGTAAAAGTGGTTGCCAATGTAGCCGACAATGGCAATCCAGAGATTCACCTTGAACCTGAAACAGTACAGTACAGCAGTTTTTCGTTCGACAGAAATTCCCCCCAAAATCAAACATTCGCATCACCACTGTGAGTACATGTTTTCGATGCATCTGGCTTGCTCGTGCACACTCAAGGCGCACAGGCTCGCAATACGAGGAGCGCTCCAAAAAGCTTTTGGAATCGCTCAAACCCCCCCCCCACACACACACACACACACACACACACACACACACACACACCTACCAATGTCGCTCAAACAGCGGCCGGCCAGAGTCTGGCGTCGTCCACAGCAGATCGCACAGCAGCGGGATGAGCACGCACGGGGCAGCGGTCGCCACGCCGACGAACAGATACGTTTCGGCCGTGAACGACTCGTACAACTTGAGCTTGACGATCGCCGCGAGCACTGCAATCCACACGGGTGAGTAGCTCAGAAACACCCGCTCAGACCACTGCTTGCTCGGCGATGGTCCAGCAATGCTGCTCGTTTTGGACTTTGCTGCCGGTTGCCTGTTGGTCTTGTCAGCCACCATTGAAAGGGATTGCTGTAGAGCTATGGAAAGGAAGACTGGAATTGCACCGGCGAGATTCTCAGACTTGCACTGGAGCATTCGCATTGAATCAGAAATCACAAAAACCGACTCGGTCGTACATGCGTGTGCTTCTCACTCACTCAGTCAGTCATACTTCTATCGCTGCTGAATGATTGAGGACGCTTGCTACGGTCCGGGCGGAGTGACCGAGTCGATCAGCCTGCGAAAGAGCGCTCTGAAGGCGCGCATCGAGCAGCAGCGCGAGCTCATCGAGGCATTCGACCGTGCCCAGCTCAAGCAGCAGCAGCAGGAAGCCGCAGCAGCAGCCGCAGCAGCAACGGCGTTGGCGGCAATGCAGTCCCAGTCAAACTCGGTCCACTCGACGCCACGCAGCTCGGGCTTCTTTGGAGCGTCTGCCGCCGCGTTGCTGTCATCCAGCAGCTCAAGCACGGCGTCGCTCAACCGACAGTCCGCTACCGCCGGAGCAGGCGCAGGATTCAACAGTCTCGACTACTCCGACATGCGATTGAGCTTGAGCAGCTCGACACCAGCACTCCACCACCAACAACAACAGCAGCAACAGCAACAACAACAACACCAACAACAACAGCAACAACAGCAAGACCCTGCGCAGTGGTACGCCGAGCAGACCGAGCTGCTCGAACAACTCAAGGCCGAGCTGCAGCTGCTCCGCGAGCAGGGCGACGAGTTCAACCTGATCATGCACCGCGTCCCACACATTCTGAGAATCACTGCACAAGGCCGACTTGTGATTTACCGTGACCAGGACAGCGAATCGGAGGTCCGGTTCATTGACGAGCTCATCCGCGTCCGGCCGCTGGACAATCTGCGGTCGCTCCCGGAAACGTCCATGGGTCGATTCGCGCTTGAATGGGCCCCGTCGACTGCTCCAAGCAGCCTGGTTGGAGGCGGCAACAGCGCGGGCGCAAGTGGCGGAAGCAATGCAAGTAGTTCTGGCAGCTCGAGCGGGAACACGAGCAGTGCCTGGTCGACGATGCAGTTTTCCATTTCGACGCCGGACGAGTTCTTTGAGCTGATTGGCTGCCATCTGAAGCGGTACAACACGCGCAAGGTCAAGCAAATCCGACGGCTGCAGGAGCTGTTTTCGCAATCGCAGCTGGAAGTGGATCGCACCTATCCGCAGATTGAAGTCTTGCTCGAGCGGCTGTGGACGGCCATCTTTCCGCACGATCCGTCAACATCGCGCGCTCCACACCAGTGGAAGCTGCTTGGCTTCCAGAATAACAACCCGGCCACGGACTTTCGCTCGATGGGTTTGCTAGGACTGCAGTGTCTGACCTACTTTGCGGAGACCTTTCCGGTGGTCTTTCGCAATCTGGTTGCGGCAGACCGCGAGTACCCCATTGCTGCGGCGTGCATCAATATTGCAGCGCTGATTTGCCAAGAATTGCATCTCAGTGACAAGCTCATGCAGGAGCCCGTGTCATCGCCCAAGTGGCATTCGCCATTGCTCACGCTCATCTGCTACCTCGACCACGAGTTTGCCTTCCACGAAATCTTTTGTGCTGTCTTTGAGCTCTTTGACCGGGTTTTCGTCAGCTGCAATGCGGGATACATGAACTTTCAAGACGTGCGGCATCGCGTCAAGACCATCATGCTCCAATGCCTGGACATGCGTCCACTGTCCATGCTCGAACTGCGGTTGCTCATCGATCGACTGTACCCACGACCATGGCGGTAAAAAAAGTGTCCATTGGAAGAGAGGGGGGGGGAAACAGTGTAATAATTTATTTCTTGTTTACGTGCACGCATCAATGCGCTGTTTCTGTGCTATTCACATTAACCTCGGTGCGGTGAGCGAAAGGAGAGCAAAAATCAACGAGGTCGTTGAACTGTGGACCGACCGCCCAACCCATCAAATCCTTTCGTGTAGGCAAGTCTCTGTTTCTGTCGGCGACCAACAAAAAAACCAAACAAAAAAGTACAACAGTCGTGAGGGGCCCATCTGTCATCACTGCAATCCTCCTTTGTTGAGTAAAAAAACACTGGTTCTTACATTTCCGAATGAGGGCAGGAAGGAAGCAGCACCAAGGGCACGACGTGGTTGGTTGAAAAAGCTGGCATCAAATGTTTCGTTGGAGCTGGCAGAACTAGACGCGAGCCGTGGTCGCTTTGAGTCCACCCGATCGGCAGGTGTGAATGCATGTCGAGCTATCTTTGGAGTAGTCGTAGGATGAGGCAGGGAGACGACAACAGGGTCGGCATCCAAGTCGATAAAGTTGCTGTTGCTTTCGCGTGTGGCAAGTACAGGGGGAGAAGAGACGACCATGCGTGACGCTGATTTCAATCGACCTCTTAGCTCCTGTTCTCGGCATACTCAAAGCCATTTCAGCATTACAACGCAAGGAGATCAAAAAGCGAAAAAACAAAAAACAACAATCGACGACTGACCGCGAGTTCATTCTCGAGTGCTTGGCAGTCGTCGGTAAGTCGCGCTGCAGCTAGCTGAGCCTCGTTTGCGTCTCGCCGATGCTTGTTTGCCTGGTGTTTAATCCCGAGTGAGAATGATAAAGCGGGGAAAATTTCAACAACAACAACAACAAAAAAACCCAGAAATCGTTCGTCGTCTCACCTCAATTTCGAGCTGTTCGTATAGACTGGTCTTTTCTTGTAGCTTGGCATGGGTGTCAGACAGCAGGTCTTTTTGTTTTCGGAATTCCCTAAAAGCGTTGTCGAATTGTGAGAAACAAAATGCCAACCGACACACATCCAAAAAACCTTCCCGCCGCTTACTTTGACATCCAATCCTGCATTTTGATGAGCTCTTCGACAGCATTGGGATGAGATCGAAAGTTGTTCAGCTTGGCTTGCACTTTTTCGGGGTCGGCATCTCGAAACGAGACGCATCTAGAAGCAATCAAAAATCAAAAACGGAAAATACAAACGGTTGTGGACGTTTCAGCAACGACGCTTCGAAACACGGCGCTTCATTTCCACGCGTGCCTTTGGAGATCTTCACACTTACGCAGAAATCGCCAAATGCTCGCGCTTGAGCTGCTCGAGCTGCTTTTCGCTTTGCTGGGCGCGAGATTGCAAGAGCGCGTTTTCCCGCTCCAGGCTTTGCATGTTTGCCAAGCGAAGACTCAAGGTAGCACGAATTGATTCAGCATCGTTCACTCGCGCGAGCAGACCCCTCGCTTGGTTGGCTGGTGTGCATCGCGTTGAGCTCCATGGACAAAAAAAAAACAAATCATCCTTGTCGTTATTGGAAGAAGGCTTACCTGCCGCTTCAAGTAGGATTCGTTGCCGCTCGATGCTGACCTGTGACTCGGCTAATACGCGTGCATCGTGGTCTCTTCGCGCTCGCAGTTGCTGTTTTCAAAACAGAGTTCAAAGCGAACGGAGTGAATTGACACGCTGAATTCGCCAATGATATCCTTGGTTCCTGTCGCTTGCTGTACCTGCAATTCCTGCTGGATCTTTGCTGACGGAGGCGCTTCTTCCTCGTCTCCTAGGTCTCGCATGAGCGCCTGGTATCCCGCCTCTGCAGCGCGAGCGCCGTCGCTTTCACTGGTCGGCTCGCCGCGATTTCCAGCAAAGAACAGTCGCACCAACGCCTTCTGCGAGCGGACTGCGATACGGCACGTTGGGCATGAATTCGACGTCCCAAACCATTCAACGATACTGAATGGAGGCACCAAAAACAGAGTTGACACCATGAGTGAGCAACGAAACGAAACCAAAAAAATGGCGGGAAAATCATCCATTTCGCGCCATCATGCAAAGTGCAGAATTGGGAGCCAAAGCGCAACCCGGCGGCGAGTGCGACCGGTGGTGGAACACTGCAAGCAGCTGCGTTCAGTCAACGTCGGCCTCGAGCGGTGGCCAGCGACCGGGAGTGAGTGACACAAAGCGTGAGCAGTGAGATTTACCAGCTACGATGGAAGACGTGCCCGCCTGTGTGTGTGTGTGTGTTTGCACGAGCCAGAGAGAGTGAGAGCAGGTTCGATGAGAGCAAGATAGACACACGGGGGACGACGACTTGGTCAAGGGTCGTACAAACGACGGCGACGGACGCCTCCGACTCGAGCGCACAGAGGCAGATGGAACACTCAAACATGAAACAACGAGTGAGCTCTGCTACTGAGACTTTGTCATTCAACTGGCACTCAGACATGTGCGGAATTTATTGATGAAGCGACAGTAGTGTGACAATGAGAGTTGACGCGAGGAAAGGGCCAAGATCAGGTAGCGTGTCGAAGCAGTGAATCCCCTTTTTCCGCTTGGGTCCAGCTGTATTTGCGTGTAGTCAGTGCTTCATTCGTGGTACCGTCCACTCTTTAGGCCTCTTTCACCGAGAGCAAATGGGAAGCGGGGGTACCAACTCAAAGCACAGCAAAAACAACAAAAAAAAATCAATGCTGCGGCCGGAAGACGTTGTCCGCGAGTGCGCCCGTCTTCGGGTGGTCTGCAGGATTCGGCTTGAGTTCGTATGCTGTAATGATTGGAGTTCGATGGACCTGAGGAGACAAAACGAGAGAGAGTGAGGGCAAAAAAAAAAAACAAAAAAAAAAGGGTATCCTGATCATGGCGTCGTCATTTACCGTCATAAAGTCGCCTCGAAGTCCAATGAAATGAAGTCGCGTCACATCATCGCCGAAATTATCCGAAAAGAACATTGTCAGATGCCGAACTCCTTGAAATTTTGCGATTCTAACAAAAAAAAAACCAAAAGCGATGAGCCAAAAAACCCCAAAACGGCGTCAAAAAGCCTCGCCATCCCGCAATTTGCAACCTACCTGGTCGGATACTCAAGAGCGCCAGTTCGATCGTGCGCCAGATCAATCTGTTGCGTGGGAGTGGCGTCGCCGGCCGAGCTGAAATCGAGCTCTGGACGGTTGACAAACCTGGGGAAAACCACAGCAGTCAGAGAGAATAAGCATAGAAGGACATTGACTGGGGAGAGGGTGGTACTTCGTACAGCTTTAGTGTGCGAGGGTGCTGATCACCACCTCCTCCAATGACAATGACGGACTTGAGCGTCACTTCGCCCGTAAATCTGCCCCCCCCCAAAACATGAATCAACACAAGCCTGTGAGCGGATGCAATCACTGTGCTCAACGAAAGCAGCCTGTCTTACGGAATGTGTAGCAACAATTGCTCGTCGGCATCGCTATCTACCGTAATCGACGTGTCCAGCCGCTCGTGCCATGCTCGAAACAACTTGGCGGCGTTTCCAATTCCATTCATGCAGTTAATCTGAGGCCGACAGCTCACAACAACGATGAGCACATACAAACTACGCAACTTATACAGTGTCTTCATCCTCATCATCCCACCTTGGTCGTGTCGATGTGCTTGAACAAGCTAAACTGCTGGCCGCGCTCTGGATTGTCGTCGTCGTCGTCGCCGCCGTGCGAATGTCCGTGTCCGTCCGGTGCGCATGATGCATGGCTGTGTCCATGTCCGTGTCCACCTGATGTAAAAGGTTTCAATCCAATTCGTGTGCGTGTGTGTGTGTGCGTGTGTGTGTGTGTGGTGAGCGACACGAGGAGTAGTAGGACGACAGCGTTTGCAGCGTTACTCACTCATTTCCAAAGTAGAGGCTTGAGTTCTCAGACGACTCAAAAACTAGAGATGTAAGTAGACTGAGTTAATGCGACTGTCCATGTAATTCTGACTCGCATACAAACTCTCGTAACAGCTCAGCAGCAGACAATGTCCACTCTGGTTTCTCAGTCGCTCTGACCAATCGTTCACTCAGTCCTATCGGTCCTGTTCATGTTTTTGTTTTTTTTTTTTTTTTTTTTTGTATTCGAGTTCATTCATTTCATTTCATCTTTTTGAATCCTTTTGGACGATGGACGTCTCGCTGGAGCTCATTGTCGCGTTGGCGCTGACTGTGCTCGCCATTGCCGCCGCTGCAGGTAACGAACGCTCTCCCTCCCCTATCCCCACGCCGCGCCTCTGATCTCTACACTCGAGTCCTCGTCGGCTTCATCAGTCTGGGTCGGTTTTGGGGGGAGGTCACTCACTCGGTCGCTCACCGTTCTGCTCGTGTTGCTTTTGTGTATTGTGTGCTCAGTCTATCTGCGCGTCTTCCGTCGTGGATCGCTCCGTCGCTCGGCAGTCCTGCTCGTTGGCATTGCAAACTCGGGCAAGACGGTGCTATTCCAGCAGGTGAGGCTCAAGAGACCCGAGGACGGAAGGGGAGGAAGTGTGTGGTTCACTTGATTCAGTCCATTCGAGAGCGTGCCAACATCTCGACCACTGTGCAATCAAGTCGTGATACGTGCTTTGAAAAGCATGGCTGTGCTTGGGTTGTGCTTTAGTTTAATGCTCCAGTCCTGCTGAAGCAGCGATTGGACTCGACTTCAACCACAAAAACCCGACCGACTCTCACTTTGCATGACTTTGTTGCAGTTGTCGCGTGGCCAGTTCATCTCAACGTTCACTAGTGTCGTACCGAACTCTGGCACATTCGCTCTTCATGGAGATAAGGTAAACGTTGCGTCTTGTTCTTTTGGGTCGGCGGCCCGTATTTTGTTTCATTCATCCTCACTCGTTGTTCTGCTCACTTACAGAGCGCGACACCGGCGCTGTACAAGGTTGTGGACATTCCCGGACATGATCGTATTCGTCATCGCGTTCTTGACGAGCTGGCAACCGATGCCAAGGGCGTCGTGTTTGTGGTTGATTCCGCCAATTTGATGTCCGAGCTGCGAACGATGTCTCAGTAGGTCTTTTTGATTGTTGAATTCGAAAAGAATGCCCGTGTTCTGCAGACCCCTCTTTCGAGGCCAAGCATGGAAGTGCCATTTTGCCAGCAGAAGCTAACTAGCGAAACTCTTTGATCTTCTGCAGGTTTTTGTACGACGTCCTTTCCCACCGAAGCTTGGCTGTTCCTGTTCGAATTTTGTGCAACAAGCAAGACTTGCTGACAGCGATGGACAGCGACAATGTGAAATCTCAGTTGGAAACCGAATTGTAAGGCCAAACGCCTCCTTCAACCGTCTCAAAACTTGCATCGCACCAGCTCACTCGCATTCCCCCCCCCCTTACTTCTCGTCGCAGAAACATTATTCGCAAGACTCGCATAGCAGCACCAACGTCGCTCGATGAAACGAACGACACGACGACGCGAGAGCTCGGCAATCCCGACGAGCCCTTCAATTTTGAACAACTTGGCTCCCAAGTGACATTTATGGAAGCGTCGGGCAAGGACGGCAGCCATCTCGATGCTCTGCGCGATTGGATTGCACAATTGTAATCACCTCCCCTTTCCCCCCCCCCCCTGTTTGTTCTCTTCTCTCCCGTTTGTTGATGTTCAACTTCTTGTCTATCTGGGCACGCGCTTGATGCGAAAAATTACAAAAATACAATATTTGAGAATAAAAATCAGACAACGTCGACAATCAAAATTTTTGGAAAGGCAGAGAAATCGAAATCATCGAGTTAGTCCACCATTGTTCGTGGTGTAACCAGCACGCTGCAGTTGGCGGCGCTCTTCCTCTCGCTCCTTCTCCAGGGTGCCTTCGATGGCAGCTCGGAGCTCCTTGAGGGTCACGACGCCAACAACACGACCATGCGAGGTCACGAAGGCGTGCGTCAAGCCCAGCAACGAGAACAGCGTGTGCACCTACAAAAATCAGTGACAGTGAGCCAAACAAGCGCGCAAATCACCAGCAAACACCGAACAACCGGCACGGTACCTTGTGGAGCGAAGTGCGGGCAACAATCTGGAATGGAGAAGCATCCACACGGCGACCTGACAAGTCGACACTTTCGCGGAGCAGCTCGAGCTTTCGTTGAAGAATGGCCTCTGCAGGCACAGACAGCGTATGTTGCGCTCCATCATCATCGTTGCCGTCGTCTTGAAGAGCATCCTCAGAAACGAACGACGTGTTAAAGATACGAGTGGAGGCGCGTCGAACGGCAATCTCGCCCTCAGCCTGTACAAACGCAAGAATTCTGAATCAGCAAGCAGCAACAAGAGCAGGCAGCAACAAGAGCAGGCAGCAACAAGAACAGGAACAGCAAAAAAGCGCGAGCAAGAAAGACAAGAGAGAAACAAATGAGAAGGTGGAGCCACAAACCAAATAAGTGTCGCGGCCAACGCCGGGCTCTTCAAACTCGCGTGTGGGTGAGCCAGAGCGTGAGCCCGCGCGCGAACTCGAGCGCGAGCCGGCACGCGAGCCTGGCCGTGAGTTGTTTCGCGAGTCAATGCCAATGGACGCCTCCAAGCCAGCAATAGTCTGCTTCACATCGACGATGGCACGAGCCAGTTGTCGCGCCAGCATTGACTCCAAGTGGTCTCTTCGGATGGAGCCGATGAGGATCATGTTGTCTGGTCGGCAAAAACAAGAAAACAAACAAGGCACAATCAGATCAGGCCGCTTGTTTGCAGGGGGACGGGGTGGAGATGGTCGGTGATTGAAAATTACCTTCGGAATCGACAATTGGATAGGAGCGATGGTGGGACTGCGCCAACAGGCGCTGAATGTCCGCGTAGGTCGACTTGGCGCTAATCCAGAACAGATCCGAATTCATAATGTCTCCGGCGGTCGTGTTGTACGTCCTGAAATTCAAAAGCACAAAAAAAAAATCAATCAACTCGCAGTTCAAACAGACTGACTCCAAAAAAAAAAAAGCAGCAAAACGACCAACGCTGCATACTTTTTCTTGCGCAGATCGGGCAGATACGGAAGCTTCTTGATCTGGATGATGGACTCGTAGAAGGACGGCATGAGCGCTTGGGACACGGCGTTGGAAATCAGAACAGCAATCATGACTGGGAGAATGTGGTGGATTTGCCCAGTCAATTCAAAGACGATAACGGAGGTCGAGATCGTGTGGGTAACACCCGCAGCAAGGGCAGCTGCACCGACGACAGCATAGCCACCAGGAATGATCGCTGCAGAGACGCTGTCGCTGATGCCGTGCGGGAACATGACCGCCATGAGCTCACCCATGAAGCGACCATAGGCGGCACCGACAACAAAGATGGGAACGAAAACACCAGCAGGCACGGGCAGAGCAACAGCCAGGGCTGTCATGATGAACTTGAAGCACATGAACAGCAGAAGGGTGAAGAAAATGTTGGGAGAATCCCAGTCGCCCGACGTCGAGAGCTTCGTCGACGAAAAGAGCTCGTTGATGGCCTCCTTCTGCGTCAGTCCCATAAAGTGGCCCATGAACTTTGGAAAGTTGAACGTGGCAATCAGGAAGATGACAATGGTCGGATAAATGTAGCGGTTTTCGCCCAATCGCGGCCAGCGGGTAATAACGCGACGGCGCACTTCGATGAGTTGGCGGTGCGTCCACACAAAGAATGCAGCCAAAAAGCCGGCAATCACACCGATGATGGCAAAAGCAAAAAGCTCCTGAGCATTGTATGGGAATTCGTCAAACTCGGTCGTAAAGAGTGCGGTGATGGTGCCTGTCCGAGAACACCGTTCAAAATGAGATGCAGAAACACAATAGAGAAAGGATCCGGTGTCTACATACTTTCATCGCTGGCAACAAGAGCAAAGAGGCGGAACATCAGAGCGGCCATGACGGCAGCGAAAAAGCCACGCCAGTAGTTGCGGACGGCAAAGTAAGTGGACGTGACCTCGATCGAGAAGAGCACACCACCGATCGGCGCGCCAAAGTTTGACGACACTCCGACGGCACATGCAGCGCTGAGCATTTCCATGCGTCGCGCTTCATTCTGTGGCAATCAGTTGAAGGAGGAGTTTGAGCAAGCAAAGAACACGGCGCGCGGGGAAAAATGACCAATCAAGCCGGAAAGGTAAAACGTACGCGACCAATGCTCTTGAAGACGTGTCTTGAAAGTTTGTGAGAAATGATGGAAGAAATGTGCACTGAAGGGCCTTCTTTGCCCAAGGGAAGGCCGGCACCGAGCGCAGTGCACAGGCCCATCTGAATAGCAGCAAACAGCAACGAATTTACACGTTGTGTGGTCAGCCAAATGGCAGCATCACAGCAAACAACAAAAAACAAGGATGAAAAGAATCGGAAAAACGCACAAACTTGGCCAGGAGAGTGCGGAGAGATAGATAATGGAACAAATCGATGCCCTTAAGAATGGTTTTCATTTCAGGAATGCCAGAGCCTAGGAGAGTCAGCAAAAATCAAACGGAAGAAAAAAAACGACAAAAACACCGAGTCAGACGCAGAGCAAAACACTGCGAGATCGTTTTGCAACATTGAGAGGGGGTGGGAAGGAACACATACCAACGGCAGTCGGGGCAACATAGTGGGTGAAGCCGATCGCAAACACGCCGAACGTGATGGAGAACAAGATCCAGAGGACGTACTGGCCAAACACGACGTCTGTGACGTAAAGCATTTGTTCGCGCACTGCAAAGCACAACGCATTCATGACAGACAGCACAATGTTAGCCATGATGAGCAAACAGTACAACGGAAGACCGACCTTCCATGCCAAAAAACCAAAAAAAAAATCAAGAAAACGAAAACGTTACTTTTCGAGAGCGCGTCGACAAACAGATCGCCTGCTAGACCAATAAAGGCTGAAAGGATACCCAGGAGTGCCAAAAAGATCCAATCATCGCCAAAGCGCTCAAAAAACCAGTAGCGAATCCGCTTGAGGAGCACTGAAGAAGGAAGATGAAAGTTGGTTGTGAGTTTTCCAAGTACCCTCAGCCAACGCCAGCCAACGCCAGCCAAAATTCAAGACAGAATAACAACACGAGCGCCCATACATGTGGTGAAGCTGTTGTCGTAGTAACGCAGGTCCTTGGCTGGCGCGTCTGTGGTGCTGGCGACGGACTCTTCGTCATGGTCGCGCTGGCGGTTTGTGAGCCGCGCGGTCGCCGCGTCCGAGACGCTCTCGTCGCCCGTGAATCCGCCGACATCTGCATTGTTGTTCATGCGCACGTTCGATCGCAGCGAAGCGAGCTTGCTGGACGATGCCACTGCAGCAACGGTCGCTTCCGTCGAGCTCTTGTACCGCCCGTAGCCCTATCCCCCACCCCCACCCCGCAAGTCAAAGCACCATCAAGCAGCAACAGCAACAGGGTGGGCATGTTAGTAATGATTTGGAGTCGTGTCCTGCCAAAGCAACAAGAATTGACCGAGGTTGTGAAGGAGAAGACAAATACGCGAGGACACGCCCGTAGCAAGTTAAAACGCTCTTTGCCGCGGTTTTGCTACTGCTTTATTTCTACCGCACTCCCAAGCTGGTTGGGTTTTGGTACCCCCTTCCTCCAAGTCGTTCTTCCCCGCTCTTCCTTCCCCTCGCTTCCCCTCGCTTGCCCTCCCTTCCCCCGCTCCGCCGCCCCCTCCGCCGCCTGCGATTCCTCCCCACCGGTTGCCCCAAGTCAACCGTCAGAGTTTTGCTCGATCGCGCCAAAGTGACCAACTTTGGTTGATTCTCCATCAGTATCAATGAAAGCCTGCTTTTTTTTTTTTTTTTTTTTTTTGATTTTGAAAATGGCTGCGTTTCCATTGCGTTTCCATTGCTTTTTTTTTTCCATTATGATGATGATGATGATGATGACGATGATTGTTATTCTTCATCACGTACCATTGTCTCTTCAAAGCTGTAGCCGTGCTGAGGGCCGCCGCTCGGTCCTGGGCTCGACACGGCCGTCAGCTCTTGGAAGTCCTCCAGATTGGCGTCCATCTCTCGCTCGCTCCTGCTGACTCGCTGAGTGTGCTACTTTGTTAGTTTGTCAATGTCCTTGGGTGGCAAGCTGGGTGGCTGGAGCGATGAGCGGGGGGGGGGGAATTGCGCCAGAGTGGCTGAAAGTTGGACGAGTTCGAAGTTGATCAATGAAAAGGAGACTGGATCACGTAAAAAGAGATCATGAATCAGGTTCGGAGTGGGTGTAAGATCACGATGAATGAATGCACGGGTGAATGATGGATGGAACGGAGGGATGGCTCGGGTGGACAAGGATGGCCAGCTTGCCTTCTTTCATCAACAAAGTGGACAACCCCCAGACAGGACATGAACAAAAAAGACAAGGTGAATTTATTAAGCACTAATGCAGCTAATGCATGGGATACGGCGGAGGCACGAACGGTGGTGGCACTGGAAAAAATGCAAACAAATAAAACGGAACCAGAACAAATGAGTACAAATCGTCACTCGACCATGCACATCGCATGCAAAGTTGGCTTGACAACAAAAAAGAGCATCTTACTCATCATGTGCGGAGGCTGGCCTGGAGGCATCGCAAAGGGCGGGGGCATGGCGAAAGGCGGAGGCATCGGATACCCGCCAAAAGCCGGTGGTGCGCCCATCGGCTGGAATGGTGGTGGGATCATCATCGGCTGCAGCCCAATTTCACAGCGTACCAGTAAAGTGAGCCACAAATGCAAACGGTTTCCCAACGTGGGCGCTCTCCCTTGACGCCGATCTGTGATTCTTCTCAAAAGACCCAACAAAAACAATCCATCTCTTACCATGCCCGGAGCACCACCCATTCCTGGAGGCGGCAACTGTGCTTGAGGTTCGGCAAAGCGTTGGTGAGGCTTGGACACATTCGAGAAGGGGTTGGACGCCGCAAGCAGACGCTCGGCGGCAGTGCCATGTCGCTCTCCCTTCATGTCCTTCTTGAACGCGTAGGTGACTGAAATCTGACGGTTGCACAGATACTGGCCGTTCATGGCCTCGATTGCTGCATCGGACGCCTCGAACGACGCAAAGTTGACAAAGCCAAATCCGCGTGGGTTGCCATTTTGTTGATCGCGCATGATCTGGAAGCGAGAGAAAGGGAGGTGTGAATCAGCAAAGTCGGTGGGAAGGGAAGGAGAGACTCCGCCAAACGATACAAGGTGGAAAAACAACATTCTGCCACCCAAAAAAAGCACGAAATTTGTCGTACCTTCGGGGTGTGCAAGATGACGCCGAAGGCGCTGAATGTATCGAAGAGCATCTTTTCGTCGACTTCGGTGTCCAGGTTGCCGATGAAGAGGTTGGCGCCAATGTCAATGTCCTTGCGATCGGTTGACTGTCAAAAGAAACGAGCAAAAAAAAAATGAGTGATCCGCCTCCTCCTCATTGGCAAAAACAAGCCATGTCAAGCTCTCTCACCCTGCTAACTCGAATCGGCTTTCCAAAGAGCTTGATCATGTTGAGAATCTTGGTGGCATACTCGGCGTCCTCCTCGGTGGGATATTCCACAAAGCCGTACCCTTGCTGCAAGCCAGACACGCGGTCCTTTGGAATAAAAACGTGTGCTAGTGATTTCAAAGTCAGAACAGCGTATCCACAACGATGAGTGAGGCTTGTTGGCAGACGAAGCGAGTGAATGATTGAGGATGCATTGGGGTCTTCCGTTTTGTCCCGTCCTGATCACGGTTTTCCCCCTTTCCTTCCGTTCTGCCTCTAAGGATGGCACGTTTCATCTCTGAAGCTGAAGCTGCAGCTCCGGCGAAACGAGGCGGCCGAGCCACAGTCCACTTGGTCTCGTCGTTGAGCGATCGTCCAGCCGTTCAACCGCTATGCTCCTCTGTGCTCGATTGGTCTCTGCCTCTGCCACTGCCCCCTACGAAGGCAGAGACACGCCTTCCCCACCACTGCTTGAGCCACGACCACTTACCGACAGGACCTGCTTGGAGGAAGAGCTCCCACAGCAGACGGTCGTTGACGCGATCGTCGAGGTTGCCTACATAGCACGTCGCATCTGCACGAGGATTCAAGCACCCCCCCCCCCAAGGGAACATCAGTGGGAGAGCAAGAAGGTCAGTCGGCAGCACATCAACAAGGGTAACGGCCCGCAAGCAGGGATGGAAAACAGAAAAGGTTGACCCGTTTCTGAGCGGCTCAGACAAGGATGCACGAAATGCAATTCAAAAAAGACGCGCTAAATATCGAAAATCTGGATCTCTCAAACCTTGGTTGCGATTGTCTGCCTTGTTGGCCATCTGAGAGAAGAATAGAGACGATCAAAAAACACAACTGAGCTTTTTCGTTTTTGGATGGAAGATGCTTTTTTTTGTCTGAGAGCCTGAGTTCTACTCGCATTGCAGCGTAGGTACAGTACTTGGAAAAGATTTAATCTGCAAATCAACAGCATCGCGAAAAAGCGCCTTCACGACGAAACATCAAAGAACTTGTTCAACATGCTCTCCAGCGTTGCTGCGTCGTACTTGAGGTACTTTTCAGGAGTCTTACTGAATGGTTCGTCCTTGTATCTGTTCGAGAGTGACGATAGAAAACATGAGCAATAGAGTCAGCTTTCGATCGTAGACAACGGAGAAACAAAACAACACAGAATCCAACTCTTGAGCACGTACCGCTCAAGGAACTTGCTGTACAGCGGAATGATGAGCGTCACGTTGTCGCGGCGCAGTTGATCGCGAAGCTCGGGGTCGGAAATGGTGTACGACTTTTGGGTGCGATAGACCTCGTCAAACTCGTGATTAAACCCTTTGAACTTGTCCTTGATGGCAGAGCGTTCGCTCTTTGACAATTTGCCAGCTTTGGGCTGCTTGGTTTGGTTGCGGTTGACCTCGAGAATGTACTCGATGGCCTTCTTCCAGCTGACCTGGTAATCGTACAAGCAGGCGTGAATCAGCTCGGAGGCGGTCGCCTCAAACTCGGGTCCGAACGCCGCCATGTGCGGCGACTTGCGAACCGTCTTGAGCATGTAATGGAAGTTGTTCAGCTTGAAGATGATGCCCAGGATGTGCGATTCGTACGCATCGCTCTTGGCTTCGATGTTTTTGGTGAGGAAGGAGACGATCCGATCTGTCGGGAGAAAAGGGGGGGGAGGACAAGCCAATGACAAGAGTGTCAGATGGGCCATCAAAGCCGGTAAAACTACAACCCAACAGCACAACAAGAAACATCGTACTCATGTAGGCCACAAGCTGGTTGGTAGAGCCAGCCGCCTGCCCGACACTCTCACGAAGCAGCTGCTCGGCCGTTTCACGATACTGGAAGAGCTTGAGCAGATATGCCACGGTCTGTAATAAGGCGACAATTTGTGAGTCACGAAATTCACAAACAAGGCGTTCGATGTTCCCCTGAAGAATGTCGAATTTCTTACATTTCGAGTCAAAACGTGTACTGTGCCATCGAGGGATAACTTGGACTTGCTCGAAGAGTCGTTCTGCGTAAAGAAGAAGCAAGTCAACGAATCGCCCAAGACGCCACATGCCGTTGCATTGCCGAAACACAAAAACAAAAATAAAACAAAACCACCAGCCTGCTTGCCTTGGTTGCATCTTCGAAATCGTGAAGGCCTCGGTTGCACAGGGTGGATATGGTGGATATCGCAACGTCAATCACTAGGTCCCGATCGCCTGCTTCGAGAGCTCGCTGGAGTTCTTTGGACACGCCGCGAAGCAGCTCGAGAATGTTGAGCAGCTCAAACACGATTGCGCAGTCGCCCTTGCCCAGCTGACGCTTGCCCTTGCTGGCGATGGATTCGATCGAGGTGATGAAATGCTCGAGGGGAGCTTTGCAAAGCGTGGAGAAGGTCACGTCAAAGTGGGCGGCGGGAAGCACGCGCTGCGCGAGGACGCGCTCGGCCTTCATTTGCCGCAAAAACACGGTGATGGTGTCAAGGAATGGATGGGTGCCTTTTTCGTACGCCATGGCAGTCAGCTCTGATTCGCCGCTCTTCTTTTCCTTGCCCGGCAGGCCAATGGTGGACGAGGTGCGCTTGTGCTGGAAAGCGGCCGTCATTCGCCGGATTTTCATGGAATCCACAGCGGCGTTTGCGGCAGACGAGTCGGATGTGGCGGACGCGGAGGAGGCTGAAGTGATGGACGCAGCTGAGGCCACCGATGCCGAGGGCGCTAGCGAAGAGCCCGCATCCACGGAAGGGCCCGTGATGGCTGCAGGTCGAGTGCCCGCTCGCGCACCTGGCACAGATCCGGCCACGGAGGCATACATTTGCGATACAACCAAGCTTTGCAGCATGTCGACAATGTGGGCAGAACGGAGCTCGGCATACGCAGCACTAAACGAGGAAAGACGCCCGGCATCCGCCAGCCAGCTTGCCATCGTTGTGAGAGCAACAATGGTTGCTTCCGGCATCAAAGGCTTCGTCGCGACGCTTGCCCCATCAGCCGAAGCGTCCTCTGCTCGTGCGGAAGGGTGCGTAAGAGGGGGGCATCAGACATTGAACCAACAAAAAAATAGACCGAACGCGCAACTGCTCACCCCATGCGCCCGCAAGCAAGTCATCAATCGATTTCTTTTGGCTGCCGTTCTTGCTGTGATTGGAAACCACCGATCGGAATTCGGCCTCGAGAGAATTCAAGCCAGACTCTTGTTGCGATTTCTGCGCGAGTTCAAGGCAATGTCAGAGCAGGGGAGGGAGGTGCAGAAACGAAAGGCAAAATGCTGCCAACAATGAAACATGCGCAATTAATTGCACTTGACTTACCAGCAGCGAGACCGTGACCTCGGAGCCTTTGGGAGTCTCTTTGGCGAAAAACTGCAGCGCGGTCTGAATCCGTTGCATTGCACGCAGAAACTCCTTCAGGTTCTCTCCAGGACTGTGTATCGCCCAAGTAACGCGACACAACGCCGTCACACACACACAGGCAAAAGAATAAGCTTTTGAGCTTTCATTTCAAAAGCCACCATCCACAACTGAAAACTGCATCTCACCCTGCGAGAAGCACTGGAGCCACGTCGCTCACGACATCATAATTTGCCAGGCCAGTTTCAAAGATTTTGATTGTCGACGTGATGTGCTCCTGCGCCGAGGTGAGGCTCAGCGTCTCGTCGTGCACCGGACGGATGGACGACTCGAGCGCCACAAGTCGATTTTCAAAGGAAGTGAGCATTTCCGCCTACAATAAGCGTGGACCAATCCCAGTTAGAATAGAGTCAGATGTTGAATCGAGTCTGTCAAAGCTCTCTTGTGGTACGTGTGGATGCATTGACTTTGACTGCCTTTTGCATTCGTATGAACGAAGCGTCAAGGACGTAGACAGTGGCCCGCTGCTGCTGGATGTGCCCCATACCCCATCGCCATGATGATGATGATGACGATGCCTCGTGATTGGATGCTTGATGGACTCGCTTCAAAGTCCTCTTACCATGCCCTTGGACAGCGCAGTGGACTTCTTGAGGCCCTCGCGAATGACATACAAGCGGTCGTCGTCGGCCTTGATCCGCTCGTCAATCTGCCGCCGCTTGTCGCTGATGGCCGCAATGTCAAAGCGCGCATCACTGAGGACAAGCACGAGAAAGTGAGACGCGGGGGGGGGGGAAAGGAGGCTCAGCATGCCAATCAGGTTGAATCGGCTTCAATGGAGAATCGTTACCTTGCAAGGGCAGCCATACTGAACTGCTTGGAAAATAGCGACTGGATCACTGAATTCATAACCAGTATTTTTGAATAGAATAACAGAGTGAGAGAGAGAGAGAGAGAGAGAGAGAGACGTAGAGCTACAGAAGTAGATCTACAGTGGATTCGCATTGCGTTTAAGAAGAGCCTCGATCTGCATGCTTGCTGTCCCCTTCAGAGCGATTCTACTGTAGATTGGGAGTTGCAATCATTTGAAAGTGTTTTTGAGCTGTTCTGAGATTGTCTGAGAATGGAAAACACTCACATCACTCCTCATTTTCAATGCTGCAGATTGCACGGCAGATTAGAACCATGTCCACGACTGCCACTGCTCCAAGTAACAATCGGGCCTGCTATTTGTTTTGCTGGCTTGGGATTGGACTGGATTTCGCCCTGTCTGAGAATTCGAGTTTGGAGTGTGCAGCTCAAGATGGAACAATTGCCTGGCACTTGGATTGCCTGACAAACAGATCCGTTCAAGATTGCGCTCGTCCAGATGCTCTGTGGCGCAGACAAGCAAGCCAACCTGGACAACGCTGCGTCCCACATTGAAACGGCGGCAGACAACGGCGCCAAGCTTGTCATTCTGCCGGTAAGGCGAGAAACTCGCATATGATCTCAAGCCACATACAGTCTCGTTCTGGCTGGTATATCCTGCTATTGATGTGATGTCGTGATTTTTAATGTTTGAATCATCTGGTTGGCTCCTCGGCGCTTCTGGCACGGTACGCTTTCATGCAGGAGTGCTTCAATTCGCCGTATGGCACAAAGTTCTTCCCAGAGTATGCCGAGCCAATCCCAGGACCGTCGACCTCTGCCCTCGCAGCAGTCGCCAAGAAGCGCGGAATCTACTTGATTGGAGGTATGACGGTGCTCGCGTTTGGTTTGCCGCGAACGTTCATAGCTCGATTTTGGGTCATTCTGACAAGGCTCGTGTTGTTGCGAGATTGCGCAGGGTCCATCCCAGAACGCGATCAAGATAAGCTTTACAACACATCCACAGTGTTTGACACGCGTGGAGAGCTGATTGCAAAGCATCGAAAGGTACTTGAACGGCCAATCGCAACACAATTTCAGTTTGTTTTGATGCACTAAACTTGCACTGCTGTTTCTCGTATAGGTGCACCTCTTTGACATTGACGTTCCCGGAAAGATTCGCTTCCAAGAGTCTGAAACGTTGACGGCTGGGAATGCACTGACAGTCGTGGAGACGGGTAAACGCATCTGCACACAGAATTCCGTCAGTTTTTCATCCCTGCTCACCAACTGATTGACTCGACTGGACCTTGGATCAGAGTTTTGCAAGATTGGGCTTGCAATCTGCTACGATATTCGGTTCCCCGAGCTGGCCCTGCTGTCTGTCAAGCAAGGTTTGTTTTTTGGTTGCAGAAATGTTTGAGCGCGATCAAGCCAACCTCTCCATTGTGTTTTTGTTTTCTTCATTTCGTTGCACCAGGTTGTAAATTCCTTGTCTATCCTGGAGCATTCAACATGACGACTGGACCAATGCATTGGGAGCTCTTGGCTCGCGCGCGGTAAACTTGCGAACGAATGCGCTTTCATTTCGCTTGAACTTGGCTAACATGTGACTGTGACTTGTGGTGAAATTGCCCTTCTGTTCATAGAGCTGTGGACAACCAGGTTTGAAAATCAAGGGCTGCGATTTTGTGTGTGTGTGTGTGTTGTGTGCGATTTGGCTCACTCTTTTCGGTTTGTTTGCTTGTTGCAGGCATTTGTTGCCGTAGTGTCGCCTGCGCGAGATGTTGATTCTGGCTATGTTGCATGGGGTCACAGCACTGTCGTCAACCCTTGGTAAGTTGTTGATTCGTTCCTCGAGTTGGCGCGTGCTGGTGGACAAAAAACTCAAATACTGACGACGTTTTCTCGCAGGGGAGACATTGTCGCCAAAACCGACCATACTCCTGGTATCGTGTATGCCGACATTGGTAAAAGCAATCTGCGTGATGAGGCTGTTGTTGGCAAAGTCGGCCTCTTCATCTGTTAACGTTGATGTCACTGCAAAAACAGACTTGTCTATCGTGGACGCCGCTCGAAGCGCCATTCCAGTCCAGTTCCAAAAGCGAACGGACATGTACAAGGTCGAACTGCAACAGTAGCCATGTGCGAAGTTTGATCTCCTCATTGTACAAGACAAATCCAGCATTCATTATCACAATGGTGCACCTGGCACTCCTTCATTTGGCACGAAGCCGCAGATACTCGGGGTGCGTCATGCGGAACTTGACGCTCTGGTAGCGAGTCAGTTTAATGTTCGAGCGCACCTCCTCTGTGATTTTGGCGCGGTAGCCGCCCTTGCGGAGCAGGGAATCGATGGCCTCGATCTTTGTCCATCCTTGCTCGGGCATGACCTCCGGCAGGTAGGTGGCCGTTTCCTTGTAACCGCCTTCGGTGACAAACTCAATCCAGATGCCATGCACGCCAATCTCCCAATCGAGGTAGTCTGCAGCATCCTCAAAGTTGATCAGCAGCGACACGCCGCAGGTCAAGTGTGGCAGCTCTTTCTCGCTGATGGGAGAGAATCGCCTGTCCTTGAGGGCGCTAGCAGAAGCAACGAGTTAGTCGTGGTGCATCTGCACAAAGAACTCCCATCTCTCGCAATCGTGTTGGAACGTACCTTCGCAACGAAAATTCCGCCAACCCATCATGCAACGGGCGTGCGCTGAATGTGCCAATGCAACCGCGCAATGCGTAAGAATGCTCCGAATGAGCATCCTCCGACGACGTTGGATGCGAATGGCCTTTGTTTAGCATGTTCCAAGTGACAAACAGGGGACTGTGTGTGTGTGTGGAAGCAACCCGAGAACCAAGACGAAACATTGGTGAAGCGAGTGAGATCAGGTTCCAAATGGCAACCACAAAACAAAACAACAAACGCTCAAAATCTCGAAATCTCGGGAACAAAGTATTCAAAAATCTGAGAAATTCTGAGATTTGTCTTGTTGTCGGCGTTTGTCTTCATCCGGTCATCAATTCCGCCAAAGCACACGCTTCCATTGGCGCTCAGCCACCACCACGCTTGCTCATAAACCCCATGCTGCAGCCGCTCCAGTTCAATACCACATCCATAGCGAGCTCGAGTTCGCTTTCAGCTCTTTCATCGAACGAAGCGAAATGAGGTTCGGCGGTCGAATATGCGAAATTTGCGGGACAATCCGTTCTCGCTCACCCTGCAGCACCGCACAGCAAACAAGCAAAACAAGCAGAATTACACCAAAGCAACGTACTAGGACTCGTTGCCAAAGCTCGGAGGCGCGACCGGGTGCCGCGACGAAAAGTGGTTGCTGAGTGTGTCAAAGCAATACCGGCACAGGTCGGCCGAGAGCGCCGTCGTCGTTGTGGCTGACATGTTGTTCAAAGCGCACGCTTGGTTGGAACAGCACAGAAGGAGGAAGGGGGACAATATTAACTCGAAATTGTTAACGAGATGGGCAAAGTTGCAAAAGCGCAGGCAGAAACCGATGCAAAGATGAGTGAGTTTCAATGCTAAATTCAGTCACTTGGGATGCATTTGCATGGTTATCAAAAGGTGTGCATTTCATTGACGGATCAAAATGAGGTTTCAAATCAAAAAAAAAGAAAAGTTCAGAAAGGGTTTGTTTGTGTTTTAACAAGAAAAAAAAAAGCAAAAGGGCTTCGACAGCGTTTGTTTTTTTTTTACTCGTCGTCGTCCGACGCATCATCGCCGTCGTCTTCCTCGTCCTCTTCTTCTTCATCGTCATCGTCATCATCATCATCGTCATCCTCGTCCATATCGTCGTCGTCGTCGTCGTCGGCCTCGACATCTTCCGCAGCGCGGCGGCCAGACCGTTGTTCGTCGAGCAGATCGTCGTCGTCGTCCTCATCGCTGTCGTGGAGGTCGTCAAAGTCCATGGCGCCGTCGCCAGCAAGCTCGCCTTCTTCTTCCGAGTCTGTGTTGACATTTGTCGAGCAAAGTTAAGCGAGACAATGAGAATAAATCCAAAATGTGCTGGAAATCCTTTCACCCATCCCGTCACTCTCACCTTCTTGATAAACAGTGCGAGGCCGTGTAAGTTCCTCGTCGATATCGTTATCGCCGACCTCAACTTGAGCGCGCGAAGCAATCTACGAGCAGAAACAGTGTGAGACAAACGGAAGAGCAAAATGCAACGGAAGAGCGACGCCATCCTCCTCTCTTCAAAGAACCGCATACCTGAGAAATGATCAAGTCCAATCGACCAGAAAGCTTGAGGAGCTTCTTGAAAACGGACAGCCGAGCGTCGACGAGTTGATACAAGCCGGAAAGCGCCTCAACGAGATTGGGGACGGTCATCAGATAGGCCGTGTGCACGAGCAACAAGCCACGAATCCAGATGAGCAGGGTCAGGCCGCGACTGGGCTTGGCCTGGAACTTTTCGACAATTAGGGTCAGGAAGGGGATGACGTAGGATGCGGGAAGCTTCTTCATCGTGTTGCGAATGACTGCCTCGTTCGAGACACTCAAGCAGTCCTCCAAAAGCTGGTTGTCGCCGCTGTGCAGTGCTTGCACGAGCATTTGCACCAGCGAATGTGCTTTCGGCGGAGCTCGGCCGCTCAAACCGCCGCTCTGTTGTTGTTGCAGTTGTTGTTGCAGGCCGCTGTTCAGCTGTAGTGTGTCGAGTTGCTGTTCGAGTGTGACCTGTTCAATCACAATGTCCGTTTTCAAGTGAGACTGTAGGCTGCATGGATTGACGTTTCATTCCATCCCAGCAGACAGATTGCCCGCCTACCTCGTCGTCTGCACCCGATGACTTGGCCTTGGCGTTTTTGGCAGACTTGTCTGCTGTTGGTGCACTCGAAACAACGGTGACGTTCTGTTGGACGGCACCCGAAGATGCGCGGGCATCTCGCTACAAGCAAAAATAACCCCCAAAAAAAAACACAGCAACGAGCAACCCAAAGTGAGCCACAAGTCAGTCGAACGCAAGCACACGAGGCAGCAAACCACGCCCGACAAGATGTTGTGTCACGCACGTTGGAATCGAGCAACAAGCCGGCGGTAACATCGCGACTCAACAGCACATTCTCTTGCGCAACGTTTTGCTCTGAAAGGAAGGCCACGGCCTCGAAGGAAGGCTTGATCAGTGTGTCGCGGCAGACAGTCACGCGAGCGTCGGTCGACTCGGCAAAAGTCGCGGCAAAGATTGGTACTGGCTGGTTGGCGAGGCTAACGTTGCTGTTCTTGAATTGGATGGTGCTGACGGCCGAAATGACTGTGGGCTTGGATGGTCGCTTATCGACAGGGAACGACCAGACTCGTGCAACGCCATCGTCGCAAGGAGCGGCAATGTAAAAGTTCTGTGACAGAAACCGAGGATGGAAATTGTATGTGCGAACAAACACAAAAAAAAAAAAAGAGCGAAAAGTGAGTCAAAAACACCAAAGGAACCTTGCCAAAGCAATGATACAGAAACAAAAACAGAGAGAGAGAGAGAGAGACAGCGTACATCTTGAATACGGGAGCAGCTGGCGTTCAGCGGGACGGCCTTCTTGGCAGTCAGCGATGCGAGGGCGACCGAAACACCGGCAGCACTTTGCGAGGAAGGATCCCAGACGTTAATCATACGCTCGCCAGCAGCGACGGACACAAACAGCGGAGGAGTGCCGGTGGCAGTCGTTGGCAAGAAGGCGAGAGCGGTAACATTGTGTTCGTGGCCCGTAAAGCTCTGCAAAGAGGGGGAGAAACAAAACGATGAGACACTTTTTGTGTGAGAACCGGCTGCACGCCAACCCTCAGACCGAAGCAAACTCCCCCAAAGAAACCATACCTTGACTTCCTTCTTGGTCGCCAAGTCCCACAGCTTGATGGATCGGCCGGCGGACAGAAGCGTGCCGGATTCTGCGCTGTAGGCAAGCGCGTTAACGGCGAGCTTGTCGGCCTTCCACTTGCTGACCATCTGACCCGTGCGCGCATTCCACTCAATGATGGTCTTGTCTGCAGAGCCAGAGAAGAGAGTTTCGCCGTCCTCGCGCCACGCAAGGCAGTTGACGCGGTCTGCGTGCGGTGTCAGAGCGGCACTGCCAGCAGACGACGCCGAGCCGGCTGCTGCGCCAGCAAGCGTGTGCAGAATAGCGCCTTCCTGGATGCTAAAGATGACGACGGATCCCGACGCAGTGCCGTACGCCAAGAGTGCAGCTGGAGCAGCAGCAGCGGCGGCAGTGGCTGATTCGACGCGTCGCTTCTTGTTCTTCTTGCCCGTCTGCGCCCACCCAGCCAAGATAGACAAGATGAGTTAACAGTGCAGGTCAGGATCATCATCATCATCATCCTATTGCCTCGTCCCATCTCATCGGAGCTCATTTCCCCCCTTCTTCCTTCTCCACCAAACCGTCCCACAACCCCACCCCCACCCTCCACCTGTCTCTTGCTTGCTCGACTCTTGCATCGAACTTGTCAATCATTCATCATCAACATCTTTTCATGAGTCGGAGCTGCCTCTCTCTCAAAACGCAATGCAAGTCCACACACGTGGAAATCCTCCCGCTTCCCATTCACTCCCATTCACCCCTTTCACCCCTACGCTCACGCATCACCCCCTCTTCCCCTGTGGCGTTCGTTTCTTATTCCCATCTCGACTCTGGGCCAATCCTTGTCACTTTTCGCTGCGCTTCTCCCTCTCTCTTTGTGTCTTCCAATGCACTCTCACTCAATGGAGCTGAGCTCCTCGTGGCCCAATGCTCTCTCTATTGCTCTTCCCCACCTCTTCCCCTCTCATCTCCCACAGCAGCGTCACCCCCCCCCCTCCGGCTTGTAATAACAACTCTCACCTCGTCGCTCGAGCCGGCTGCGGCTGCGGTGGTGGTGGTGGTGGTGCCGAGCGCAATGCAAGTGACTGGGTCTGCCAGCCGCGATGCATCCGTGAATGTGAGCAGGTCGCTCGTCAGGCCCTGCAGCTGCCGGTACACGCGCAGGCGGCCGTCTGCCGAGATGGCTGCAAACTGATCGCCGCGGGGTCCGTCAAACTGCAGGTGGGTGGGCTTCGACGCGCTCATTGCTTTTGGACTTGGAGCACACGTGTAGATTGAAGAAAAGAAGAACAAAAGGAGTGAACGAGAGCCAGTCTCAGTCTGCTGTAGTCGCTCAGACAAAAGACAGTCGAATAAGAGTATCGCTCAGAATGAAACAGTTGAATAAAAGAAATACAAATAGACAGAAGATGAACAGAATCGCTTTCAAAAAGAAACAAAAAAAGCGCCATTTTCGTGCCATTTGAAACAAGAGCTCAGCATCGAGTCAATGTCGCGCACATACTTCCATTTGTTCAAAATCTAACTTGTCATGAATAGCTTTGCGCACTTGTGTCGTGGAGCTCAGAGATCAGTCCTTCCGAATGAGAATCGCTTCTGCTGCCATTGCATTGGGATTCGCATTCGCATTGGCAGCGATCGCGTTCGCCTGCTGCACTCTGCCGACGACGACAACGGATCCGAATTCGCTCGCATCGGCCATCTACTCGAGCGATGCTGTGCGCGCTGTGATGGATGCGCTGGACGAGCTCAGCGTGAGGCTCCACCGCGGACTCGGCAAGCTGTCCCGCCACATGAAACCAGCGAGTGAATCCGAGTCATCTCAGACAGCGAGCAGCCAGGCGGCATGGACGGGACGGTTGCCGCCGCTCTCGGCAGACTTGCTTGCGCAGATCAACGAGTGTCGCCATGGCGCGCTGTACACGACGCCCGAGTGCATGGCGCGATGCGTTGCGTGGTCGAACGCGACGCTCCGAAATCCGAAACAAGAGCACGCCATGTACGCCCTTGCAGAGGGGCGCGTTTCGTGCCACGCGTGTCCTGGATACATGGCACGATCGAATACCCTGTTCGATGCCGTGGTGGAGGCAAACAAGCGACTTCAGCGCGTCTCGGATGCTGAATTTGTCGCGGATTCTGAATCTGAATCTGTTTCACATTCTGAGCTCGACTCGGGCAAGTCAGCAGCTGCCAAACATCGACCAAGGCGACCATTGTGGGGCCGTCTTTTGGATGCTGGTACAGGCACGGACTCGCTCAACTGGGCCTTGTCTCTGGCTCCGAGCAGAATCCAAGAAGAGACGGCCCTCGATCCCGCGAGCATCACAGCGGTCACAGCAAGCGTGGACATGTATCGCACAACCCTCAGAGCATTGCAAACCTACCAAGCACGGCAGGACGCCAATCCAAGATGGAAGCAGGACGAGACTGTGCATCTCGTCCGAGGCGCGTGGCTCAATCCGTCGCTTCTCGCCAAGCCGACCTCTCAGGCGTGGGACGCTCAGGCAGTGTGGGTACAATCTTTGACCTCGAACTGTGAGGAAGAAGAAGACTCAGACAAGACGGCTGCATACGAGAAATTTGATACCATCCTCGCCGACTACCTGATTGGCGCCGTGGATGGCTTTACACCATTTCATCAGCACACTGTCTTATCGCGCCTCGCACGGCACATGGTGCATGGATCGCGCATGTTCGTACTCGGGATGGAGCCTTACCCAGATTCAGCCTCTACGCCAGGAGGCGAGTTGGTTTTGAAAGTGGCCGCGCTTCGCGACGCCTGCATTCTCTTGGCTGGCCAGCGACCCTATCGCGAGTACCCCATCGAGTGGATTCAAGACCATTTGCGACTTGCCAACTTGACGATTCGCGAGTCCATCACATTCCCTGTCGTCTACGGCGCTCGCAAGCTCATCTCTCAGCTGGAAGTGTGCGAGTACAAGTTACAGCTGATGAGTAAGTCGTGGCCAGTCCTTTGTTTTGGTTTGGGTTGAGTTGCGCTCTTTTGTGTCAGGAACGAGAGGCGGAGAGATGCAGGCCGTTCATCGTACTGACTGTGCGTCATCTGATTGTGTTGACAGCGGAACTCGGTGAGCAAACCATTCGAGAGGCGTTGCAAGAACGAGTGGATGCACTCAAGGTGGCCGTTGAAAACGACCCAGAAATTGCCGCTGGGCTGTGCTTTGGTGCAGACTACGTTGTAGTCGCATCATGCGACGGGCCATCCTGTGGGTACTAGCGGCATGGAGAGTTCCAGCATCACAATAGGATGCAACGATGGTTATTCACGATGGAAGAGCTCGAAAGTACAATCTTGTAATTTTTTATACTGTAGTTTGCATGCCACACAACAACAACAACAAGGAAAATCATCAACACCGAAAATTCGTAACAATGCAAAAAAAAGCATGTTCTACTGCCACGCTGCTTCCAATCGCTTCCGCTTGAGCATGGAGGACGATACAATGGTGCCCACTATCAGCACAACAAGCGTTGTCATCAAGAGGAAAAAGTTAAAGTCCTCATTCAACACGTCGAATGTTTTGGAAGGATGCACGCGAGTGTGGAAAATGTCAACACCGTGAGCAAACACCAAGCTGGCAGACTCGAGTGCTGCAGGGCCGGTGTGGATGCCTCTCAATCGTGAAATCTGCACCAAAGGGCCAGGTTAGTGTTTGGAGGGTGGGGGAAGATTTCAAGAAAGGGCTCGCGAGCAATTAACGAAAATCAAAAGAGACGTACTGTTTGGTTGTAGTTGATAATGGACGTGGTCATGAAAGGCAGCTCGGCCATGTACGGGATCAATCCCTCTTCCTTGTCCTCTTCAGATGGTGTGCCGACGGGACGGCGAGGATCGAGCAAGAACTTGTCCAACGCAAAAATCCAGCCCGCAGGGAGAGCAGCTGTGTTTGAAAGGAAGAAATATGGTCGTCAGTAACAAGCAGAATCCCTCCTTGAAAGCAAAGAGGTGTGCTGAAAAGGCAAACAGGACAACAGAGGCATTCCCTCGAGCATGCGAGCAGACAAACTGTAAAACACTTACCGAGAATCTGCTTGTTCGTAATGCCGCCGACAGTCGTCGTCACTGCCATCGTTGAAATGGAAGTCGGGAAAATGAAGGATTGGCGAAGGACGGTGGGGAGCGCGCCATCGAAAGCCGAGAACGTGGTCCTGCGAATGTTGGCAAAACTCTCAGTCAGTACATGGAATCGAGTGATCGGCAAAATCCACAGCGGCATATCAGAACTCTGACTTACTTTTCGGCAGCACGAGACTCGTCTTCAAACATTTCAAGCACGGTGATCTCGGTGCGGCGAGCCTTGGCGTTCCAGAATTGGTACACGACCCAGTTTTCGCACTGAACAATGACTGGGACGCTGGCCTTGTCGTGAACGGCGCGGAAGATGATGGCTCCGGTAACAGTGTTGATGACGTACACGTGCAGATTGCGAGAGGTGCGGGAGGCTGCGGAAGAGCTCAGGGTGCCAACAGCCAGCATGCTCGGGTTGAGGTACTTGTACAGGACGTTGCGGTCGCCGAGGACGCGGCCGACACTGTTGATGCGCTCGTAGCTGGCACGCGACGCCACTGCCGCAACTCGCTCATCGTCGCTGGCCCAGGCGACCGTCCAGGTAGGAGCGAGTCGAATGTGCTCGTTAGAACCGGAAAATTCAAGCGAGTAGCCACGAAGGCCACGGCCATCCGCCTCGACAGAGTAGACATGGATGGGAGTGAGCTTGTCATACTGCTGCACGGCGGCAACGGCGGCAGCCGACTTGGGGACGGTTTCAGCGCGCGTGTCGCTGGGGTTGACAAAGAGGAGAACGCGTGCTTCGCTGGGGCCAACGGTTGGCAGTAGCAGCACTTGGGACGCAACAAAAGGCAGCTCGACAACACCGGTGAGGGCGTCGTGCTCCTGGCCGCTGGCATGCATGGTTGGGAAGAGCTTGCCAGTGATGGGGTTGAGGACGAACGTGACGCTGCGGCCCTTGCCGGTTGCAACAATGGCCACCGCCGGAGGGAGGGGGAAGTGCGCCGTCGTGCGGAGCACAAACAAGGACGACGAGCCAGAAATGTCCAACGCCAAACCGTCGGAAGGGGCAGAGTTGATGCGCGCCTTCCACAGAATGGCACCGTCGTCCGTGCTGAGACCAAAGACACTGCCAGTCTCGGTGACGGCGACAATCACCTTGCGGAAGCCAAAGTTGTCGGGGGTCAGACCTTCCGCGCCAGGGTAACTGGCGTCCAAGAGCGAAGGGTGCGCCAGAACGGCACGCTTGGATGTCTTGGCTGCAGGCGCCACAATGGAGAGTACCGGCGAAAGCAGGGATGCAGGAGAGAGGAGGGCAGCGAGCAGTTGCTTGGTTTGGGTGGTGATGCGACCCACAAAGCCAGCAGAGTGGCCAAACTCGTGGTCGAGGGTGTCGGCTTGGCGCGAAGGCAGATCTGCAAACTCGGACTGAACAACGCTGGCCAGCGCCTCTTCACGAGCCCAGAGGGCGCGGTTGGACCCGGCGCTGGAAGCCGCTTCCTGCGACACGGTCAACATGACCAATCGACCGTCCGACTGAACAACCAGGGCAGCAAAGGGGCTAGAAGGGGAAATGGTGGCGTGAGTAAACGCGCGCCAGGGGAAACGACCAGAAGGCAGCTCGGTTGCTGCGCTATCGCCAAACACGGGCGAGCGGTCGAGAGCGGGGAGGACAGCGGGAGATGGCAAATCCTTTTGGGAAGATTCGACGGACGCAAGCGACCAGACACTGACAAGCGTGTCCTGGGTGTTGACTTGAATTGCCACAACGGATGCAGCGCCCTTGTTCACGACCGGCGCAAAGACGTAGGCGCCCTGGATGGAGGAGGAGGAGGAGGAGGAGAACGAAAAACCAAGCCAATTTGGTCAAAAAAGTGAGTTTCGCAGTCAAATGAAATGGAATGCAGAGTTGCGCATGAATGCGTACAGTAATGGTGCGCGCAACCGCGACAGACGCGCCCGACTGATGAACAAAAACGTGATGATGGCGGTCGAACGAGACGACGGCCATCGACGCCGACAGCAGGGTGATCGAGACCTCAGGAATGGGAGACGTCTTGGCCAAGCTGGATTGCAAGGTGACGGTGGTGCGCTTGGAGATGGAAGCGAAGGTGAGCGCGCCGTTCAAAGATGCAAGCAAGAGCCCGTCGTCGCCAAAGAAGGACACGCGGGAGCTGAACGGTTGAACAGGCCAAAGTGAACATGTTTAGTTCGCTGCAAAAGACATCTCCAAAGCAGCAACACAGAGAAAAAAAGGGGGGGGACTACAAATGACGACAAACCTTTGCTGATCAGCGACGGTGCCAACAGGGGTGACTGCAGCAGTCAAGAAATCGACAGAAACCACCGAGAGTGCACCAGACAGACGGCCGACGATTTGAGCCTCGTCGGCGTTGACGCGAGCTGACACAGCTGCAAATCTTTTTGGAGGAGACGAGAGGTGATGATGAGAACTCGACAAAGTCGGCATTTCGGGCACATTTTGGGCAGCGAGAAGTGCGAGGTGACATACCCTTCTGGAAGCTTGGCTTGCCAGTTGGAAGATGCAGTGGGTTGACCGGACGCGTCAAACGCGGCAACCACGCCCCCGGCAACGACGACGACAACGGCGCGATTGCTTGAAGTGGCTGCAAGCAGCTGTGCTTCGCCAGAGTGGTCGCCAACGTCGACAAGATGCTCCCAAACAATCGTACCGGCTTCCGGCAGCCACTTGCGCAATCGCCGCCCGTTCTCGGAGAGCGTGAACAAACCTGTCCAATTTGAGTGATGAGCGAATGACAAAATCGTGATGAGCATTTGACACAAAGAACAGTTCCGCATTGGTCGTGTCTGCAACCCACCGTTGCCATGAAGGATCATGCCGTCGATGGCGTCGTTCTCGGAAAAGACCTGGCGCCAAACTGCACAAGATAGGAAAATGAGAGCACGTCCGAATCCGCACAGTCAAATGGGGCGATCGCGTTGTCAGTGAGTGCGGCAGTGAGCAGCGGGAACGAGATCTCGAAAAATCAGCAGCCCGCTTTTCGCTCCGCTCGCGTTGCCTCACGTCCAGACGGAACGGTGACCGTGGTGGGAGTAATCGAGTAGCCAACGAATGCTTCACGTACCAATATCGCCTGAGGCGGACGAGAGCGCGGCGACGGCGTTCGACTCGGTCGCAACAAAGACCCAGCCACGGTAATGCGAAGCAGTGGACGAAGACGACGATGAAGCAGCAGCCGACTCGCCGCCGAGGATGGCGAACTTGACAGCGCCGACTGCTTGGAAACGCCTGCATACAAGGGGGTGTGGAGTGGGGTGTATTGGAGAGAGAGCGACGCGACGAGTGAGTGACTGGACCATGCGTTGTTGGCGACCCCCTCGTTTCCCTCGCCTCCAGCATCGAAATCAAAAGAACAAAAACACAGAGACGTACCAGTCAAAGAGACCGGCTTGGTCCTCATAGATTGCGCTGGCGGGCGCAACGAGCAGCTGCGTCGCGGCCAGCAGCAGCAGCAGCAATGGTGACAGCCGCATGATGATGATGACCAAAAGGGATGGAGACTGAGCTGCTATGCTCACTAGGAAAAATGACCTATACTAACAGATTTGGATAGGATTTTTCCCCAGCCTCGCCGCGTTGGAAATAGAAACTAGAATGTATGTGGAGTATTCTAAAATTGAAACGGAGGCGAACGGACGCCGGGGAGTGGAGATGGGGCGGAGGGAAGGTCAGAGACTGGAATCGCTGGCGGGCTTCGCTCGGGTGCCCTGCCCGACCTGAGCTGTTTCTGGCGGAAATTCCAAAAGGGTATCCTTATAATATCGTGTAAACTCGATTGCGCTTGAAAAAACGGCGCTCCGAGCACTTGGCGTGGCCTGAAGCTCAAACAAGCGATTTGCCCTGACGAGTAGACACGAGCCATCACCTCGCGGATGGTATTTTCGGATTTCCCATGCAAATTTAATGTGGGTTACAATCGTTCGTCGGTCATAAAAGTCTCAAGTGGAAGTCACCAGGCTGAAACTCGAATTTTTTCGAACTTGGAAAAATTTTCCTTCCAACCCATCCCATTTCGACAAAGCATGTACAAACCTCCACTTTCGGCTGTACTTTGTGTTTTTACAATGTCGGCAATATACTGATAGTGGTGAAGCGGGATAAAGTCGACGGGAAGATGGTCATTTGCGACCCCTCTAAATCGGTGTTTTTGAGGGGTGGTTTGCACTTCACCCATACAGGAGGATATAATCGACGGTCTGATGATGGCAAATCATCTAACCCGTCTCCAATATGCGGGAAAGCGTGTCGGTGAAAAAATAATTATGATTGGAGCCGAGATCGGCACAGTCGGCTTTTGGGGCCAGGTTGACATATTTTGGCCAAGACTGCTGCAAAGCTGGCCGAACACCTGGAATTTGCTCTTTCCTTACTATGCAACTGTGCTCGTGTGGTGGGAGGAGGATTTTAGGGTGTACATGGCGTGAACGGCGAGCTGTCAGGTTTTCGGTGTCGTTTCGGCCGGGTTGCACTTGACCTCGTATCTCCAACTCATCTTGTTGTTACATCTCCCTCTTCTGGAATACGGTTTTCCACACGTAATTCCATGTCTGGAGGCTTTGGATGGTGGTAAAAACGAGCTCAATATCGCTGGGCGGGTTTGTCGCGATTTCAGGTGAACAAAAGGCGTTCCTGGGTTTCTGACCGAAAGCGAGGTCTCCCGGCCGTCCTAGAGCTTCAGTAGTATATTCATGCATACCAAACGTCGGAAACATGGTTGAAAACGGATGGCATCGGGGCTACGACCCCAGAAGTACATCATGGTCGTTTTGTTGAATTCTCGTCCAGCCCATGAATACGCCCTTCCTGCGGCTCCTCACCTGGTTCCATCGCCGCCCGCAGGCGATTCTAGTGTGCGCTGGTTCCATATAGCTGTGGCTTGAATGGTGCAACCTCTAGTGGACCCTGAGTACGGAAATTGGTTCACAGTCAAATCGTGGCACTTTGCCAACAGGTAACAGAACACAGCGTTTCGGAGCCCTGAAGGCCCTTACATTCGCTTTATCACCAGATTCCATGTTTTAATGTTGTCTTACGCCAAAATATAGCATGCTATGACATGATCTTTGACCAGTTGGGTGATTCGGGCCTCCGAGCCCGTTTGGGCGGAAAATCCACCGAATATCGGAGCGCATGGCCTCTGAGGACCTTCCATGGCGATTCCTCTGCTGGAGCAAGTAGTTCTATGTTCGTAACACCTGTGGCTAGCGCGGCGCCGCGATCCCGTTGGTCTAGATGGAGAAGCGCGCGTGAGACGCCGCTGGAGCACCGATTTGAGCTGGATTCCATACACTGCCTACTTTCGGGGCCACCATCGTAGATTGTTCACTCTCGCTCGGGATTCCTGGTTTAATATGTGTTGTACTCTGTTTGCCAAAGTTTCAAAGGATTGACAGTCTTGTATCGTGAGATCGGTGGGTTGGGAGCACTTTGCGCCGGTTCCGGACGACGGCCTCCCACCGAGTCCCTTGACCTACCACCTGCCCTTCCTTTGCGCTTTCTAGCAGCTGACTGGGTTTTATCTTTGATTTATGACGCTGGTAGGTAAAGTAGGCCGTGTATTACGAAATCGCCACCGGCTGGCTGATTTTCAGGGGGTGGTTGGCTCTGTGTTGGACAGTATCTATACCGCTCTTACTTTTCCAATTGTTAGCCATCTCAATGTTTTGCTCAAATCCAAAGTTTGAGCCCAAAATCTCACTCCTGCTGCTCAAGCCAGGCCTCCCAAAGACGCGGTGTCGCGAACATCACGTCCTTGAATCCCGAAAATTTTGCTTAAAATTACTTCTATTGTATATGTGTGATTGTTTTCTGCAGTTGTGGTGAATCCAAGTAGACCCCATGTCGAGAGCCGGGTCGACTTTCGGCCAATGTGAATTCAGCAAAATCAGCATAATTGGGGGAATCCGGCACTTCCATGGTTTTATTGGTCTAAACATGTTCATTAGTGTCTATAAACATAGTCACATCGAAAAAGCGCCGAAAAGTGGGGTGGAGGGGGGACTTGAGGTCGAGGTCGAACGTAATGCAAATGACTGGGGCAAAAATCCCCAAAAATGACCACCATGCCCAACCTACTTTCCATCGATATTTTTACATTGTTAGATAGAACAAACTTTGGCTGATCCGAATCTTGAAAAATCGGCTCGCAAGGTCCAAACCCCGAAGTGCAGTAAAGGCGCAAAGTTCGCTTTTTGCTTCGGTTCGGTTCTGGGGAAAAAATTCTACGTCTCTCTACTCAGTCCTACCGTCCCGCCAGTTAGTACATTCGACTCGATTTGGTACTGACTACACGTTTCTGGTGGTGCGAAGGCGCGCGGACGCAATGGACCCCAATGGCGGCATTGGGTGGTCGGGGGCCTGGCCTGGCCGTACTATTGGTGCCCCGCCCTTTCTACGTTGTATGCTACTAGTGCTAAGTATGAACTATCTATTGCTACAGTAAGAACGGTGCAGCTCGCTCGGGAGGCCCGCTATCGGGCTCTGAAGATTGACGCATTTGGGCTTTTGGGCCCGCCGCCTCGCCGCTGCCGGCCCGGTACCCGCGGCTCCACACTACAGTGATGTTGTACAAGTGTGTTGTGCATGAAAACAGTGCCAGGCGGCCGATCGGCGGACCTTTGGGGTGGAGGCACCCAGCGTCGGTGCCACCAACCCAAAGTCACACCAACCAGTCGACCATGACATGTCTTCCCGCCCCAGTGACACTTGCACAACATCATTATAGCATGTTGCCACACGTACCAAGCAGGCAGTCCGCGGCAGGGCTCGAGGGGACCACGAAAGGCCGCTGGGGCACTGGAGTTCCTTGGAGTCTTGGAAGAGCCGGCTTCCCATTGACTTACCTTGGGGTGGGAACTGGTGACTTACCTGAAGGTGGCTCTGTTTCTTGATGATAGCATCGGTGGAGGGTCGCGGACGCCTGTGGAACCATCACCAACATGTGGGGGAAGAAAGTGAGAAAAAAAGTCATTGTTTCGTTCAGCACAGCGTACAGTCTAGGCCAGCAGGGTCGTGTGCGGCGCGGCGCGGCGCGGCGCGGGTGCAGGTCGACTACGGGGCATCATTGCAGTGTGAGTGGGGCGGCTCGTGCAGCGTGCAATCACAGGGCAGGGCACAAGTTGGGGAATGGAAAAAAACGAGAAAAAAAAAAGACACGATCGCTTGTTTCAAACAGCCGGTTATTACCTTGGTCAAGTTCCTGATGCCAGTGTTCGTGCCAGGTCGTCGCCGCATTGGATTCAGATAGAGTTGACAGATGTACACACGTGGCCAAAGAGGCACGGTCGCATCTGCAAGGACGAGGCGAGTACACGCAAGTGAATGGCCGAAACACGAAAGCCGTTGAAACACGGTTGAAACACGCGCCACATCGAGCCTCCACGACGCCCTCACGATGCTTCTCACTGTCTGTGTGCGGTTCTACATATTCCATGCGATAAGTGGACGAGTTTCCGTCAAATACCCGGGCCGGGAGCGTCAAGGAGGAGGAGGTGGTGGTTGAAGAGTGATGTCCCCAAATTTGGTCGCCATTCATCCCTTCCCTCCCTGGCTTCTGGTCGACTATTCTCGGATTTTACTTTGTCCATGTGTAGATTTTACACGCTATTGTGCACTGAATTTGGAAGCGGGGCGATGAGGCGCAGGGAAGAGCCTCAATAGCGACGCACAGGACTGGAAACTTTGAACTTTGTAATTTTTCGCGCCATGTCGCTTTGTCGACTTTTCCCCGCCTGACAAGGTCTGTTTGCACCGGGTTTTCGGTGGTTATTGGTGACGCTAATATATGCCCATTAATTGCCCAAAGGTTGGGCGGAGCCGGAATGAGTGACAGTCTCAAACAGAAGGTCTTAGAGTAACTGTCTCTAAATCCGGACGCATTACAGACCTCGAGAGTTGCATTTTAATCCGGATGAGGCGTTTTTCTCGCAGTCTATTCATCGCTTCGCCTCGGCTCTTTCACCATTGTACATAAATCGAGTTGGTTATCACATGGAGTGTCTTGTTGAGGTGGCTGCGATCGTCGCGGGGTGGTTTGGGCGACTCGCCGAGGCGGCTGGAAAAAACCGACGACCGATCGCCATCGCCATCGCCCTCAAGCTGCTAACCCCGGGTCCGCTGACCCTCTCGACTGGTTGTACGACAACACCATTTCAATGGACATGTGAACAGGTCGCCGCGCGGCTGGGGCAGGCTGGCTTCAAGTGCGGAAAGTCGACTGTCAGTGACTGGGCTCAACTCCACGCGGGCCACCGCGAACTGATTCAGTCTGGAACGCTGGATGAAGTGATCGAGCTGGCGCGGTCCACCCGCACGAAAGGCCGACCACCCATCTTTACCGATCACGAAGTTGATGCAATTATCAATTTATTGGAAGCGTTTGCTCGCGCGTCATGCTGTCTGACGAAAGCGCAGGCCGCCAAGTACTTGAAACCGTGTTCTGAAACAACTTCTTTCGACGGCTCACCAAGGCGGGCGTTTGTCCAAGACACGCCTAGCCGGTCCTGGTGGGCCACCTTTTTGAAGCGAGCGAAGGGACGCGTCAGGCTTCGAAAGGGCCGTGTGCTGGAAGTGTGCCGGGCTGCAGCGCTGACACCCGACAATCTCGGGACTCTCCCGACTCAACTCAAACAGGCCTACGATCAACATCCTCTCCTTACCGTCGAGCCGAGCCGCGTCAGCAACTTTGACGAGAGCGAGATTTCTTCTCGCGTCAAGGGATCGACTGTATTAGGGGCATCGTGGGGTCGTGTCGCGCTCGTTGGCGGTGGGCACAACAACAGCCTCGGACGGCACATCACCGGCGTCTTCTTGGTGTGTGCCGATGGAACTGCGCCGCTCCCTCCCATGCTGATTTTTACGAAGGGTACGAACGTCGCGACGGTTTGCCAACACGTTCCCATTGACGCCTGCTCTACCGCAACGACCGAGAAGGGGTACATGACCTCAGACTTGTTCAAAACTTATCTGCGCGAGTGGCGAAGCTGCATGCGAGAAAGACACCCGTCAGGCCCACTGCTTTTGATCATGGATGGCTCATCCACGCACAGCCTCGAGCACGATTTGGTGGCCGAGTTTTTCTACGATCAAATTCAGATTCTTGTCTTGCCCGCGCACACGAGCACTGAGACTCAGCCACTCGATCGCACTGTGTTTGGCTACTTCAAGCGTCAGTTACAAGCAGAGTATGCGAGCGCGATTGCAGCTGGCGTCTTTGCCTCGGACGACCAAATGCGAGTGCATTGCGCTCTGAATGCGTGGTACAAGATTTCGCAAAATACAGCCGTCATCACTGCTGGATTTAAAAAGACTGGAATCTGGCCTTTGGACAAGAATGCATACTGCGAGTGGGTGGTGAGCCCGGACCATGCGAGCAGAACTGAATCACTCATAGGAAAAGAGGCCTTGGCTGCGCCCGTCCAGCCAGTTTCTGCAACGCCCACAGACACGGCGAGCGTCCCCAATCTCCTGTCGACTCCAACGCTGCCCGTCGTCGAGAGTGCCGAGATATCCCACCCCACACCGCCTTTGCCCTCGGTGGAGAGCGGGTATGCCAGCGTCCCAGACCCTGCTCCCTCGCTTTCGCCGGTGCGTTTGATATTCAAGAAGGCTCGCCTAATCCTCGATGATGCCGATGTTGAACTTGCAGCTGGTCCCAGTTCCGAGGCGCTAGAACGAGATGCACTCAGTCACGTTGGCAAACTTCGCGAGTTGCTGAGCGTCCCCATCACCGTCGATGATATCGTGCAGCGTGCTTCCTATTCCCTCGCAATTCAAACCAGCACTACCTACAAGCACAAGCATACGAAAGGCGCGTATCTGGCGATTACCGAGGAGGCAATGCAGCGGGCGAACGCAAAAAAACTGCAAGAACAAACGAAGATTGCGCAGGAGATGACTCGATTGATGAACCGGTCACGTACCATGGCTGCCGAGGCCGCCGCCGAGCACGCAAAATTTGCTCTGACACGGAGAATCAGTGCACTGCAGACTGAACTCGCCGCCGCCGCCGAGTTGCAAGACCCTTTGCGCGAAGCAGAGCTCGCCCAAGCTCGCAACGAGCTGGCCGCACTTCAAGCTTCAACTCCGAAACGTACTCGAGCCCCTGTTGCTCGTACTCAAACTCCCGCTCGTGCCCGACAGATTGCTTTGCGTCAATCAGAGCAAGTTTTGTCGCAGGCTGCAGAGCCTGTTGCTGCAAATCCGACTGAGAGCCTGCCCTCGCCGTCGCTCCCCATCCTGACGACCCAGCAAACGATCGCAATCACACCAGCAAAACGAACATTCTCTGAAAGGTCCGACAGCGACGGTTCATACGACGGAGTGCAGTTTACCGATGAACTAGTGGCCCGCATGCGCCAAAGTCGCCTCCCAACGCGCAGTTCCGCTACTCAACTAGCCTCTAATGCTGCCCCGACGCCTGAGCACCTTGACAAGCGTCCTCGTGTTGAAGATCCACCATCTCTTGTGATTCGCCTGAGCAAACAAGCAACAAATGCTCACCGACGGCCGTTCGTCGCACTAAATGTAAACTCTGCCTGATTTTTGTATTGTTTATTGAATAAAATGGTTTGATATGTCATATACTCCATCAATCTAGCTCGAAGAGCGATTAGCAGCCGGACGGGAGCTCACGATGGATTGGCTGCAAAAGTGGTGTTCGAGCGTATCCTCCATTCCCACGCTCGTGTCGACCGCACCTCCGCGCCCGCTTGGTCACGATAACACCTATCGTGTGTAGACTGCATTTGGCTCGCGGAAGGCGGGCTGGCGATGTCACAGAGCCCGCAGGGCGCGTTTGCGATCAACCTCGTGGCGGCCCCAAAAACACCTGCATTTTAATCCGGATGCATTGGATTTTGGCTGGATCCGCTTTTTCGTCATTTTTTCGTTTTTCGCGTGCCTAGCGATGAGTTCGGGCCAAAGCGCCCCGCTACTTCACCCACACATTGGTATTGATGCACTGATTGACACAGGGGGGCAAGGCGCGAGCGGAAGCTTGCACACAGGCCGTAGGAGGCGCCATCCGGATTTAGAGACCGTCACTCTATTCAAATTGAAATCGGCCAGACGACCTTACTTCTTTGAAATGTTTTTTCTTGTTTGAGTTGCCTATCCGCCCTGCATCTTGATTCCAAATATCTTCAATGATGTCAAACATTGCAATAATACCTGAAAGGCGGCGATATTGGGTCTAGACATGTCTTGCAGCGGCCATTTCCGCCTCTTGTCGCTCGTGTCGAGGTGGCGACTGATTCTGCCTTCCTTCACCCCTTGATGTCATTAAAACCAAGCACGAAATTATTTTTCTCGTCCGAAAACAGCTCAATGAAGAGGCATGCGCATCTCAAAGACGCCGCGGGTCGTGCTTGAAGAGGGGTGCTCGCAAAATCGACCTGTCGGCTCCAGCCAGGCCGTTTAAGGCGCTTTTACTTCTACTCTCTTCCAGTGGCACATTGCCAGATGATTATTGAGCTTCTTTTGCCTTGAAAGGACATGTTGGATGCATCCAAATCCAGGTTGCGCTCACTCTTCTCTTCGACCAATTCGGGCGAGTCTGCTCTGGTCGGTCCGACAATGCCCCGGTGTTCTCCCAGCAAGTGGCATAGCTTAGAGTGTCATATGGCCTCTAAGGTGATCGTGGCAGGCACGGAGTCGCGAAAGGATGGAAATCCTCGAAGGGGCTACACCTGCGGGAGCTGCGGAAAGGACGTTTTCAATCGTTTTCTCCGGAAAGACCGAGTCGAAGCACATGTAGTGACACGCACTCACATCAGAGAAGCACAGTCCGTATGCTGGGCATGCTGCAGCGCGCCGCCAGCACCAAGAACCGCGGCTCGTGTGTCCTTGGGCTTGGAGGACTCTCTTTCTCCTGCTGGGTCCTTGTCGAACCTTTCGGTGCAGCCTGAGCTCGACAACACGACCAGTACGGTCATGAGCAGCTCGTCTTCTGCGGAAACGCGTCAGGCCGACGGCGAGATGACCCCAATGTGCTCAAGCCACGACCCAACTCACTCATCCACGGACCGATCGTCGCTGGATGAGGCTTCAATGATGCAAGTCGACGATTCTACGATCCCGTATATATCACATGCAATTGGCGCGTGGACGAGTGCCTCGCTGCTGCAGAATTCCGATCATCCCTCGGTGCTGCCTTCGGTCGTTCTTGCGGATGATCTCGAACCAGTGCCGCAGGACTCCAGCGATACTTTGGCGATGGATACTACTGGCGGTGGTACAGAGGGGCTGAGCCATTCACCTCCGATATCTACAACGACCGGCTCAGGACAAGCAGTAGATGCCGCAGCCGAAATCCTGGAAGAGATACGTGTGAACTCTTCGGGCGCTTGCGTGGAATCCGATGAAGAGGACCAGGCACACGAGCAAGCAAGCGTTTGTGACGAGCCGGCGTCGCCAGCCGAGGATGTGTCCCGAGTCGATCGTCTGATCCTGCGTGCCTTCTTCGGCGATGAATCCGACGAAGAGAGCGATTCGGAGGGTGAAGCCTCTGAGGATCAGAGCCCTCAGCCAGCTCCAACCAGAGCCCGGATCGTCGAGCTCCTCAACTGGATTCCGCCAAACGCGGCACAGGTAAGGAACTTCCGCGTCAACCTCTGCAATTCTCATGTGATCCCTCATCTTCTTGTAATCCATTGTTTGGTAGAGTCTCGAAGGCGCGTGGAGTTCGCCCAAGTCTCAGCTCGCGGTCCTTCATGCCGAATCGGCCTTGCCAGTGGACTGCACTTCCAACGTGCTGCGCATGTTCCAAATTCTTCTGGAGGATCGCTTGAAGCCTGCGAGTCTGGACCAGACTAGGGAGCTCGTACTGGGCTTGCTGGACGCGAGAGAAACTGACGCAGATCAGATCAGGGGGCTGCTTCCTCGGCTTGCCAGAGTCCACGAGCAAGTCCAAGTCACAAGCAACCTACAAGGCAAACAAGTCGCCTCAATTTCAGTTCTGATCACTTTTGTGACGATGTTGAACAGTCGAACTTTCCGCGAACGGTTCCTGCCCTACGCTCGAGTTGCGGCGTCCGATAACTTCTGCATTTCTGTAGCTGTGCTGGCCGACAGCATGGAAGCCTCGTGCGTCAAGTTGCCCCCGAACGCGTTTGTCGCGGACCAGCTCAGTCGCCACACTCTTATCCTGGCCGCAAAGGTGACCGAGAACACAACCGTCAACTACCAATCCTCCAAACCAGCTCTCGCGCATGCTTTTAGTGACAGTATTCACGCAGAACTGCTGAGCCGAGCCGGCGCCGACTCGGCCATAGATCGGTTTGATATCGACGGCTTGATTGAAAACGCAGTTCTTCAACCGTGTGTAAGTTCCCCCGTTCCTTCTGTTGGGATGCATCCCGCTGAATTGATCATCTCAATCGTTTGCATGATTGAACCCATTTGTCCAATCCAGGAGATGAATTCCGTTGAGCCAGTCGCAAGAGCAATTCTCGACCGCTTGCGTGTCAAAAGCGAATCTGAAGTCAAGACGTTGAACACAGACCTCCGGTTCAAGACTAAAGCGTCGCTCATTGCAATCATGACAGCGATACTAATCCCCCCGAACGAGTCCCGATATGAGGGCTGCTTGCTTCACAGGCTTCAGAGCGAGATTTCAAAAACCGCCACCTCAAAGCTAAACCTGCACCGCCTTCGGGCAAAGACCACAAAAAACGAAAACGATCTCCATCTCGATGACCTGTGGGAGTGCTTGACGCAGGTTCTGATCAAGGCTCGCCGAGCTACCTCGACTTCAACACAATCCGTCGCAATGCTCGATCACTTCGAGGATCACCCCGCGGCGCTCCAAGAATTCGCAACCCACTGTAATCAGAAAGCGTACAAATCGGCGGAGTCTCTGCGTCTCCGCACCGAAGAAAAAATCACAAAGGAAAAGTACGAAGAGTCCCTGCGTGCGACCAGGCGCCCACCCCCACGAGTCGAGATCAGAGACTACTTTGACTTTGGGTGCTCAATCGAATCACAGCGCACCGGTCACTTTGATTTTTGCGACGAGTGGGGCAAGACCATCTCGGGATTGGAGAAGACTTGCGTGATCGGAAAGATTGAGCTGCCTGACAAGTCCAGCGAACGGTCGCTGTACTACGTCTCGCAACAGGGTTCTGCACCTTCGGCTCCTGATGGCGCAACCGGCGTCTCCAAGGTGCCTGTCCTCACGGTCGGCGATGTGGTTATGCTTCCGATTTGCCCCAATCCGAAGGACCCGAATTGCGACTGCATGCGCCACTGCCAGCTCAGACACCACGATGCTCGTGCTCGTGGAACTTCAAAATGCGCCTGCGTCGAGCGAGAGCAGAGATTCCTCGGGGATCCCCCCAGCAGCCCGAGCATCAGCCCGAAACATTGGAGTAGCTTCCTGGAGAAACCGTTGTTCACTCTATTTGAAGGCAGCGGCCTTGACAACCGAATCGACACATCGACCATGTCCGCAGCCCAGGTCCAGTCGCACCACATTGGCCGATTTCGGATTCTTTTCGAGTCTAACAGCTGGCCCGGACGCGGGCAAACAAGCAGGATCGCCACACAGAAACTGCACATCACTCCACACCTCGTGTTTCGGCACATGCGGAATGTTTGTGCAGCTGAGGTTGTCGGAGCAATCGAACTTGTCAGAGATATCGCCGCGCGGCCCACCCCGTTCATATCGTTCCAGAAGCACTTCCAGATCGAGAAGCAGCCACTCAAATGGCAGTGGAACTGCTTGTTTTCAACGATGCCCTACCCGTATGATATGCAACATCCGCAGGATCGACCCGAGCGCGAGTACAAGCTGAAACACATGCAATCGGAAATGGTAAGGACACGGCTGACATTTGTTTCCGGCAATCGTGACGCTTTGTCTGACACGCTGGTTCACAATTGCCACAGACCGCAGTCTACAAGCGCATCAACGAGGCTCGGCAGCAGCAGGTGTCGATTGCGACCAAGCCTGCCTTGCTGCAGACCCTTCGCATGAACGTGTTTGAAGACGATGGATTTGCTCGAGTCGCGCATCAGTTTCGCACCAAGCACGGCTGCATGGACATCCAGTTCGAGCTACTCGGCTTTCCGCACAGAGAACGCATGCGCAAGACAGGGTTTGGCGTTATCCTTGCTGCAATGGGTGTCGATGTTGACATGGACACGACCCGCAACGGACTTGTTGCGCAAATCGGGCACATCCAGCAATCTGCTGGCTTCACCACCGTCGACCCCATCACGGGCTTTCCCGAGCTTTGGCAAGTAAGTAAACTTGGTCAGGAAGGCTGAACATGGATGTGTGAGCTGGCCAGAGCACGCTGACACCGCATCTTGGAAACCCGACAGGTGGAAATCACAGCTTTTCGCGGCGACAGTCCCGCCATCCGTGCCGCGCTGGGCCGGAATGTGCAACAGCACTGTCTCGAGTGCACTGCAAGCAAGCAAGACCCATCCACCACCACATTCAAGCGAGATTTGTCCAAGTCTCTCTTCTGCCACGCCTTGCACGCCGGCGTCCTGCGAGCGCCCTTCGACAAGCAAGCTGCTGCCGAAGGCACGACAGACTTTTATGGCCTGCAAGTGCCGACCCGCATGGGCATCCCAGTCATTTCGGCAGGCCATTTCATCGAGCCGGTGGCGCCACCGAGGAACTTTCCAAACATCTCACCAAGTTCTGATGCGAGCAAGGCTCAAGGGTACAAGACGTTTCGGAGCCTGCTTACGAGTCTTGAATGTAGCCCGACTCCAAGCTCGTGGCTGTTCCTACCGCAGTTTCTCCGGCCTGGCGCAGAGATGGTTTCCCTCCCAGACCTGCTCCATGTCAACCATCTCGGGCTCGCCAAGGCCGTCAACTTGGGCTTCCGGGCGCTCCTGTGTCCGGAAGACAGGAAAAACGGCTTCCTCTCAGCGCAGGAATGCAACGGGTTGCTCGCTGTACTGGTGAATCACGTTGACAAGAGCGGGTTGGACTCGTCGCATCAAATCTCCGGATCGGCCGCTTCATTCATCAAAGCGCTCGTTGGCTGGGAGCACTTTCAGCTGGCACAGTTGCTCCCCACGCTGTTTGGTGCCGTGTCGCGCCAGTTTGAACAGTACGCAGCGAAGGCGCTCGGCCATCCCGAAGCCCCGACAGCCGCCGCGACCGCGGCCGAGCTCACCACGTCCCTTGGTCGCGTGTTCACGGCGGCAGCTCGAATTGTGTGCCTCATCATGACCCCAAAGTGCACGCAGGCCCAGCGCGTCGAGCTCAAGGACTTGTTGATTGACATCCTAACCAACCTGAATTCGGAGGTCGTCAACGCTCAACGAGAGTGTTACACGTCTGGAGCACCGTCACTCATGCCTCCTCAACTGTTGAACTTGGCACACAGCAAAAAGTTCCACGCGCTGGCTGAGTATGTCCGGCTTTACGAGATTTACCCCAACGCCGAGCTGTTTTCCAACGAGCGTTTCGAGTCGATGCACGGTCGCATGCACCAGGCCGCCGGGTTTGGCAACCATCACAACGTCGCCGCCACTGCCCTCGGAAAGATGTGGATGGACTACACCTTTCGCATAGCTGACCCGACCGACGTTGCGAACTCGCCAACCGCTCCTCCCCTCTCCACGTCTTCTCGCTGTGCTCCTCCTGTCCCGGAACTGTTCGACGCCCCTGACGCGGTTGAGCCCACTGAGGGAGGTTGCCGCCAGACTTCACCCCGGCTGGATGCGTTGACACCACGACAGGCTGAGGCCACGACCAAGCAAGCTTCGGCCATTTCGTACATGGACAAGAAGGCCTACAATGTCTTGCAGAGTAGCCTGTGCCCTCCACATCCTTCTGTGAAAGAGGCACACACGTTCGCGCACAATGGAAGTATGACTGCGCGGAAAGGAACTCGTGTTCGAACAACATGTGGTCTGCACGTCAAGGAGAATGGGTTTGTCAAGATTCGCATCGACACAAGAAGCTATCTCGGCAAGTTTCTGTTTGGGTACCGTCTCACGAATGCTCCTCCGGATGCCTTCACGGACTGGGCGTGCGTCGAGCTGCTGCACCGCGTTGACAGCGTTTCATTGTTTCGTGGGGGGAAGGCCGTGTCCGAGTACGCTTGTCGTGCCAAATTTCTCGTGCCGGCCACGACCCTCGTCGCCCCGCTCAGCACCATGCACGCGTGTTTCCATCACATGTGCAACCTCCCCCAGGACGACAAGAAGCAAATCAAGTTCTCCCTTGTCAAGCACAACCACGCTGACCGTGTCGTGCTGATGCCCACTGCACGCAACGTGTTGCGCCCAGAACTGGAGCTTGATGCCAGGCTTGAAGACGACGTGGAGAGCGACTTTGGCTTTCAGATGCCTGGGCACCCCAGCGGCAAGAGCGTGTCTGCTGCCGAGCTCTCGTTGCTTTTCTCGCCCCTGGACCCCGTCACACGACGCAATATGGCTGCAATGAAAGCCCGGTGGACAGCACCTGCTCAAGCCCCTGCTGCTGGGGCTCCTGCTCAACATAGTCCTGCTGGTGCTCCTGCTCGTGCTTCACATGCATCGGTTTCCCATGTTGCGCATACGGCACATGCTCCAGCTCCGCATGCAGGCAGTCGCAGCCACGATTCTGGGTCCGCTGAACCGATGCAGGTCGACCAAGCAGAACGCACGCCTCTCTCTGCTCTTGGTGACCGCCCTTCTTCTTCTGTTTCGCATGCAGGGCACGTGCAACCCCCGCATACAGTCAGGCGTGACTGCGCTACTAGGTCTGCACGACCGCCGCAGACTCCTCCTGGCCGCCCTTCTGCTCAACAAGCAGCCTCCGCAGGCCTAACCGAACTTGTTCAACGACCGAGGCCGATCCTGATGAAGCGTCTGTGGGCAAGCATGTGGACAGATCCCCCCGAGGCAATCGAAGCTGAGCTCGCATGGCACCCCAGGCCTAGAATTCTCGCGTACCGTTGGCTCATGAGAGCCTGCCAGCCCTTGCAGTTCACACCCCTGCGGGTCTCACCCACAATCCCAGCCGCTACTCAACCGCCCGACAACGTGTCTGCAGAGTCGACCCAACCGCCCACCGAACTGTCCGCCGAGCCGATGGCTTTGATCCCCGCCACTGCCCAACCGCCCGTCAACTCGTCTGTAGAGTCGACGGCTTCAATCTCAGCAGCTGCCCAACCGGCCGCCAACCTGTCCCCGAAGGCCTTGCAAACTGTGCAGGAGTTCCTTCAGCTCTATGACAGGAGCATCCCGATCAAGCTCAATTCGCCTGGGATAGATGCGTCCGAGCATCTGCCAGCGAGACAAGTCTTGAAGCCCTTCGACGACAAGGGCTCTGAGTGGATGTCCGCTGAAGCGCTTGACTTTTGCTTCGGGCGCCTGCAACAAGCAAACATTACCTCGCAAAACGGGGTCAAAGTCACCTTTTGGGTATGATGTGCGTGTGTGTGTGTGTTAAGGTTGGACCGCGGTTGCTTGATTGCGGAGAGCGGCGACTCACAGCATGAGGTAATCGATTGCCTAAGCAGCAGACCTTCGACGCCAACGGGACTGCTGACATGGACAGATCACTGCGAGGCCACTCCAACCGAGAAATCAGGTTCTCGGAGTGCAACGATTCATTGTCTGACACAGTCGCTGCATCGGAAGATGGCCTTGTCATCTTTCCAGCGAATCGAGAGCAGCACTGGTTCCTCGTTGTGCTGCATCGGAAAACCTTCACCATCCGCATTTTCGAGGGACTGAAGAAACCGGCTCTCGACCTTGTCGAAATTGTTAAATCGTTCTTGCCGGACTCGACTGAATGGAGCTTTGTTCCCGAGCCGGGTTCTATCTACGGGCACCAAGGGCCTGGCCAGACGGAGAAACCTCCTTGGACTTGTGGTTGGCTCGCCTTGTGGATGGCCGAGAGGATTGCACGGCTCGGCGTGTCAGCAGAAGACTTGCAGGCATCCACGTCTAACCCGTGGCCGTGGGTCCCTACCGATCCACCTCCGCCCACCGTTGGTCAACCTTCTAGATCTCAAGCCGTACCTCCCTTGTCGCTCCTGATTGCCGAGCATGTGCGGTTCAAGTGGCTCGCTGATGCCGCCCGCTGCTGGACACCGCACGTAACGAAGGCTTGAAGGGTGTTTAGTCCGCTGCTCTTGTGTTTTATTGTTTAATTTATGTATTTAATTTCATCTATTCCATATGGGTACGGTTTTAGACGATTTAGCTAGCGTAGACAGACGGAGTTGGTTCAGCAAAACTAGCTCGCCGAAGAAACATGATTCTAGGGGTACAACATTCGTTTCATGCCTCATCCTGGATAGCCACGTAACTAGAATTGATGCTACTATCGGTTACATGTCATAGACCTGGTCTGAAGCACGATCTGTTGGAGGTAGATCAGCTTGAAGAGACAGACTCAAGCGCGAAGAGGAATTCAGCGCAGTCAAGTTTCTGCCACCAGCCAGTGCTATGGACTAGGCCCACTAATCACAGAAAACGATACAATACTGATAAACATGGATGGGGATGGGACCTTGAGGCGTTCATGCACCCCAAAGCCGCGGTCGAGTCACTAAAAGCAAGTCTCATCCCACGACAAGAAGCGCAAGTACCAATGGCCACTAACGGCTATGATTCAAATGTAAATTATCTGACAACACTTTTAAAACCTTGAAACTTGTTGTATCACGGCAGTGGTGGTCACACGAGGAGCGTCAAGAAGACCATTTGCACGATTCGCTAAGTCGGCTTCTATCAAGTGGAATCGGTCGGAACAAAAGCAAAGCAACTCTAACACTATTGGTAAGTATTATCACGTACCGGTGGCAGCATGGGCGGCCGGTAAAACGACCGGGCACTCGATCCATGGTTTTGCGAGTTGGCCGAAACTTTGGCCTCCTCCCACTCCGCATGATTTAGTACCACATCCGCCCCTCCGCAGATGTGATGTCTAATGCACGTGAGAAGCGAGAAAAAGTTACAATATCAGAGATCGGACGATGCTGGACAAAGATCGAGCACCCGCCAAATGGGTCATTTCCGACCCTTCGTGATCCACCCTCCAGATATCACCGCAATTCCGCATCAATGATTTAGACTCTAGTACTAATTTACTGTTGTCTGGTAAAATATTTCATGGATGCGACTCGGAAATCGCAAGTTAACGCCCGTCGAATGTTTGGTCGGGTGCATCAACTAGACACCAACGATCACTGTCCACGCGCGATATAGAGCGGATACTTTAGAGTGTATAGAGTACATTGATATATGGCTGGTCAAGCTCCTAGGTGTCTACATGGCTGGATACGAGCGAGAAGCCAACTCGGACGCATCGTGCGGCACCTCACTCGCCATAACGGTTTCCAACTCATCAGACATTGAACAATCGGAATATGTATGGATTACACGGACAGAGCTGGTGAAAGGCATCGATCTCGGGGCTAGCAGGTTTTGGACGAAATTCGAAAGGCCGATTCAGTCCTTCTTCGTGCTATCGAGCGCTACCGCCCGACCGATCCCGGATTCATATACATCATGCCAAGCGCTAACTTTCTATACTAGAGGTGGCACTAACGGACAGCCCTAGTCGGCGCCCTGAGGGCTCGTGGACGGCTGTCCATATCCCGCAGTCGGACACTGCCCCAGGCCCGCCCGTTCAATGGAGGTACCAGACCCATCTATTAGATTTTTAGAGACCATAATATCGGCGGTGGGTGCGGTCTAGGCCGAGATCGAGCGGTCGGCTTGGCCGCGACGGACCCGAAACCTGGTGCGGCCTCCAGCGCTTCGCTCCTGGCCGTCTCGCACATGATTCTATATCTAAAAAATCGGCTCATTCCAATGGTGTACAGTAGAAGGGGCTGCAGTGCCGTTTTGAGGGACCTCGTCACCAGGTGCGACACACAAAAAGGGGGTATCCGTACACGACGATGCAGGTGTCCCCCGTCCTCGCCAATGCAGCCACGGGGTGCTGTCAGGTCATGTACAAACCTGATGGGGTCAGGGCGGCGGGCGGTGGTGCACAGTGGCCTCAGTGAACTGGGGAAAAATTCCCATTGCAAAATGTATACCCGCAAATTTCCTGGTGTGCTGCAAGGCTCAGAATCTAAGAAACTCGCAAATCAAGAAAGCAACATCAAGGTGGATCGAGCAGGAGACTGGGAAGAGATTGCAAAGGGAGTCCCCATTTCATTGACAATTCCAGTCAAAGAGAACGCTTCTCAGACCGATTCTCTCGCTCCGATTCCAATGCAACCCGTACTCTGTTCGTTGTACTATTGTTTGCAAAGTCAGATCATACAACCGCCGCCCAGAATTCCCCCTTGAAACAGCATTTTGAGCGCTTTTGACCGCTTTTCCACCCTTCGCCTCTGACTTTGTTTTCATGTCACCATGTACAGTATTGTTATTATTGCTTTCTTATATATTCAATTAAATTCAAAGCTCAGTCTTTTTTTTTCTATTTTTTCCACCAATGGCAGCTGCAGCCACACTTCGCCAGCCAGCGATGGGTGTTGAAAATCTGCATGAGCGCTTCATGCAATCTGCACTCGACAAGGTTCAGTTTGTCTCTCTCTCTCTCTCTCTCTCTCTCTCTCTCTCTCTCTCTCTCTCTTTCTCTGTCTTGATTCGAATTCATTCAACGTGCCACTTCACGAGTGACAACGACGACAGAGAGTGAGTAAGAGTAAGAGAGTAAGAGAGTAAGAGAGTGCGTGAGTGGTGACTCCCAAGCCAGCTCCCTTTCTTGTCATCAGCTCTCTTCTCTTTCTCTCTTCTCTTGGGTTGACCACTTCTCTTAACCTTCACTCTCTCACATTCACTCACATTCACACACACGCGCTCGCGCTTGGAATGAACCTCGTGCTCGTTTTCCAATCTCAACAAAGCACATGATGATGGCGATAAAGAAAAAAAAGCTCGTGTCAAAATGTTTTCTTTACCACCGTCAACGTAAACGTCAGTCTCAATGGTTGGTGGTTTGTGATTTCCGATAAGACACCCCCCCCAACTCATGCGATGACAGTGTGTGCAGATAAGAAACGAACATAAAAAAAACACAGCCATGGTCAGCATTTGAAAACAAAAAAATGACGATGGTGCAGTGTTTTGTGCTGCAATGGGACGAATTTGGCGGGAAATCTTGAAGCTGGAAATAGTGGCTGGCACAGTGACACCCCCCCCCTCCCGCTTAGCTCGCATTGGATGCAAGATGGAAAAGTGCAGATGGAAGGAAAGAATTGCTAAATCACTCTGTTGCTGTCGCTGTTGCTGCGTTGCACAGGCGTACGAAGCGCTGGAAGTCGGCGAAGTGCCGGTCGGCTGCGTCATTGTACTGCGCGAAACAGGCCAAGTCATCGGTCGAGGCTGCAATCGCACCAACGAGACGAAAAACGTAAGGGATCCCAATGTTGCTTGAATGGTGTCGAATATGGCATTCTATTGCCGACATTGTCTCACTTTGCACATTCCCCCATTCCACGCTGATTTCTCGACAGGCAACTCGACATGCGGAATTCGAAGCAATCGATGAGGTACTAAGATGGGTCGAGGCGAATTCTGACATTGCCGCGGCTCTTGGACAACCGGCAACGACTGAATCGCCAGCTCGCGGACCAACCACTGCATCGCAACCCGTCGCCATTCCCACAGCGCGGGCGTCTTCTTCTGCTGCTGCTTCTGCTTCTTCTGCTTCTACTTCGTCGCCGTCGTCGCCATCAACCACACTTCCGCATTCATCGTGCTCGCCAACTTCGCCGCCACACGTTGGCCCATTCTCAATGCGCCGTGCAGGATCGCTGAGCGCATCACCGCACTCGCCGCCAACGCTTTCCCTCTTTCTGTCAGAGCGCGCAACCAGCGTCGCAACGTCGACACAAATCTTCCAACACTGCGACTTGTATGTCACGGTCGAGCCCTGCGTCATGTGCGCCGCCGCTCTGCGATTAGTCGGCATCGGTGCCGTCTACTACGGTTGCGGCAACGATCGGTTTGGAGGGTGCGGGTCTGTGCTGGACATTCACTCGGAGATGCATCGTCGTGCGTCCTCCGATGATGCCAGCGCTGGTGCCGCCGACCCTAATCGCAACTCGCGACCATTCCGGTGTATCAGCGGCATCATGCGGTTGCAGGCCATCCAGTTACTTCGCGACTTTTACCAATCCGAGAATCCGAACGGTGCGTCAGTTTGCAGAGTGTTGATTGCAAGTGGGGAGTTGGGTTGAAGAAAAGCGCCAACCCTTTGAGCGTCATGACTGACTTTACTTGCGCGTGTGTGAAAATGATTGCAGCTCCCGTGCCTCGTCGTAAACGAGATCGTGAAACTCAACTGGCCGTGTAAAAAACGTCGTCAGATTCGGCAGGGCGCTCGCAAATTTGAGCATCATCATCATTCGTATTTGAGTTTTGTTTATATTGCTTCGAGTGGCACTGTGAATGTTAAGGTTTATGTTAAGGTGTAATTTCAGCAAAATTTTGTTAACAGCAACACAAGACAAAAATCAAGCGTGGAATTGAAGAAAACCACGGGTGCTGAAAAGTGCTAATTTTGCAAAGTTTGTATTTCATCGAATCACTCGTGCAGATCGCCGTTCGCGGTGTCCTCTGCTCCCTCCTCACCATCGTCTTCGGCGTCGTCAAAACGATCATCGGTCATTGCGTCAAACTGTGACGTGGAGGTGATCTGGAAGACCGAGTCGAGGTGATCCAGGCGAGCCTGTCAAAGACATATGGTGACACAGGATGTATGTGCAGGACGGTGAGCACTAGATCCATGGAAAGTTGATCATGTTAGAGCTTCCATTCTCGTGCTGTTACCTCTGCTTCTTCTTCGTCAAGTTCCTCGTCGTCTGCCAGATGCACAAAACAACAACCACAGCCATTTAGCACGGGTCACCATGGTCGCAACGGCAGCACCAACGACAACCAGGCCCTGGTTGCGCTTACCATCGCTGGCATCCTGGTCTGGGTGCATGGCTTGACATGCCGACAAGGCCTCAAAAATGGCTTGCACTGGATCGGTCGTACAACCAACACGAAAACTGAGCCACTATCCATCATGATGCGCGAATCATCAATCCCATACACGTCCCAACAATCCACTTACATGAGCTGGGATCTGCCGGTGCCAACCAGACTTCGGATGGTGGCCAGCTAACTCCACGTAGGTTGCCATCAGCGCCATCGCCATCGCCCTCGTCGTCGTCTTCGTCATCGTTTTCATAATCGTCACCTACAAATTCGCAAATCACCTCTCCAGCGTGAGTCACTTGCGAATACTGAACGCAGCAGCAAGAACGTCGTTGCCGAGTCGTTCAAGCCAACGCGTCGCGCCCGCCCGTCTCAGTCGCACATCCATCGCATCGTGAATGCAAGGATTGTTTCTCGCTTACCTCCGTCCGTCTGCAGATAGATGCACGGCTGCGAGAAGGAGGCCGGGTCGGTTGAGATCGCATGGATGGCAATGGACGGGTATGGCACGCTAAGCCCTTCCCCTGCAGCACTGTTCCACCAGTACAATGCACTGCGGTACAAACAAGAACGAAAAGCCAAGCGATGGTGAATCAAGCCACAATAACCCGGGGTTTTGGTCAGTATATAGTGACAACCTCAATCCTCCTCCTCAATCGCACACGTACTCATGTGCGACCACGAGTGTCCCACTGCCAACCGACGGTCCGCGCTGGTAGAACAACTGCGTCCCTTCTGCAGTATATTGCCGCGTGAGCTCGCTGGGCAGCTCTGAAATTCGCTCAACCATTGTTGTGTTTTCAAGTTACTGAGAGTGAATGAATTGCAAGACTGAGCATTGAAGAACAAACATTCGATACATGTACATGCATTCATCCGATCAATGTCCTCACTCACTCATTGTTTTTTTTTCTGTTTCTCGTAAATTTCTGAGACTTTTTTCTGATCACTCTGATCCTAAAATGGTGAACACGCGATCAGCTCAAGCGCCGCAAGCTCAGACGCCGGCAAAGACGCCCGCCAAGACCCCGGCGAAGGCGGCTGCAGCTGCAAAGACCCCTGCAAAGACCCCTGCAAAGACCCCTGCAAAGACGGCGAAGGTGGCCGAGGCGGCTTCTGAGCCTGAGCCGGAGGCGATGGAGGCAGTTGAAGTGCCTGCTCAGACGCCCAAGGGTGCCAAGACCCCTGCCGCCAAGGCCAACAAGACCCCTGCCAAGACTGCTGCTGCTGCTGCCGCCGTTGAGATCGCGTCTGCTGCTGGTGCGAACGAAGCGCCGGTCGAGGAAGAGCCCGTCGCAGTCCAACCAAAGACGCCTCGAGGCCGACCCACCAAGGCCGCTGCTGCTGCCGCCGCCGCCGCTGCTGCTGCTGCTGCTTCTGCTGCCCCTGCTCCCATCGAGAACCAGCCTGAGCCGATGGCGGTCGATGATGAGCCGGTCAAGAGCAAGACGCCAGCCAAAGCCCAAGCAAAGGGCGATCGCGCACGTGTCGCTCCCGCTACTCCTGTGGCTGCTCCCGCCGCTGCTGCTGCTGTTGCTGTTGAGGCTGCGACTGCCACTGCTGCTGCTACTCAGCCTGCAGATCAAGCTACAGTCCAGACACCCGCTGCAGCATCGACCCCAAAGACCGCTCCGCAAAATCAGGCGGGAACGCCGAAGACGAAAGCAGCCAACACGCCAGCGAAGGCAGCTGCACAGCAACAACCCAAGGCTGCAGCTGCACCAACGGCTGCGATCGAGCCAGCAGCACCAGCGCCTGTGGCTGCTGCTCCCAAGGCTGCGGCCGCTACTCCCAAGGCTGCTGCTAAGGCTGCTGCTAAGGCTGCCGCTCCAGCCAAAACCCCCGCTGCTGCTGCTGCTGCTGTTGCTCCGAGCACCACTGCCAGCACTGCCACACCGATGGACGTCGAGGAGCGCAAGTCGCGCGCGTCGCAACTGGCCGCTGAGATTGCCTCCAACTCGTCGACCATCGCCTCCCAGTCCGACAAAACCACATCGATCGTCGCGGCGCTCGCCAGTGCCACCGGGCTCTCTCGCCGTGAGGCCAAGCACGTTCTCCGAACGCAGCAACTTGCCATCCGAAAGGCCAACGGCGAGGTTGTGCCAGAGCCCCAGACCAAGACCAAGCCCAAGGCCAAGACTGCTCCCCTGACTGCCAAGAAGCTGGCTGCCAAGCAAGGAATCGTACTGCCCAAGATTGTCAAGCAGCCGCAGCAACAACAGCAACAGCAGCAAAAGGCCGCCGCACCTCAGCAGGTTGCACGCGTGACGGTCAAGCGCCACGCCGAATCCGACGACGGCGATGTGCTGGTCGACAAGTCGCAATTCCCCGCCGTCGACATGCGCGCACTCGCTGCCATCCCCGACGACCAACCTGCCGCAAACAAGCACGCTGCAAAGAAGGCCCGTCTGGACACGGCCCAGCAAAAGAACAACAACGGCGGTCAACCAGGCCAGGGCAAGAACAAGAACAAGCAATCCAACAAGCCAGTGACCGTCTCCAAGGGCCCCGTCGACGCGGTCGTCTTGCCTAGCAGTGGCGTGACAATTCGCCCGCCTGTTGCCAAGGCAGCCGACTTTGTCGATCGTCGCCTGTTCAAGAAGAACAAGCGCGTCGACTATTTGGTGTCCAAGCCCACATCAGGTCCCTCAGCCAAGTTTTCGAGCTAATGTCCCCAATCACCGATGAGTGGCATGGTCGTGTTGTACAAGACGAAGAGAATTTTGTTTTTGTTTCCTCTTCGTCCGCGCGTTGATTGATTGCTTAGAATGTTTCGAATGTTTGTAATCACGTCGTACAGTACAAAATCTAGCTCGTGCTTGCTGTAAACTTTGTTTCGATTTTCAAGCACCTGGTTACAACTTGGAGTAGACGGGAGTCGACTTGTCCATCGACGACATGACAGCTTTCATGATGTCCTCCGTTTGCAGCATGGCTTGGTTCCAGGTGGCCTGCGGGTGTGCAAGTTGCAAGCTGCGTGAGTTCTGACAGTATCAACCACACTCAATCACGAGGTACGTACCATGTACTCAAGAGACTCGGCAACCGAGTGATCACGCGAGTAGTTGAGGTTGATCTTGCTGCCGACAACCGCGACGGGGCTCTTGGAGGCAATCAGCGATGCCATCTCCAGGGCCTTCTTGCGAAGCTCTTGCTCGTCGGCATACACGTGGCTATGTGATGGAATGGCGGTGAGTGGAACTAGTCAACGCCGGACAAGGATGTGGAACGAGATTGTCAACAAATAAATAAGACATGCCAATCATACCTCACAAGACCACGTTGATGGGCCTCAGGAGCCAGCATTTTGCGCGCAGTGAATGCAAGCTCGCGCGTCAAACTGAGATTTGAAAGACCAAGGAGAATGAGCAAAAACACCACGTTTGTGTCGGAACAGAGCATACGCATTACCTGTCACTGCCAATGACCTTGGGGAGACGTTGCAGCGTGCCAACATCAGCAGCCAGCCCGACATCCACCTCCTACAGTTTTTCAGGTTGCGGTGGCAACGTCCAGGCAGAACGAAGACAGCAAAATATGTTTGAAAAATGAAAAATTATGTTGAAAACCCCCGACATGTGCACAACAGTCACTGGAACGCACCTTCACTTGGAAGTAGGCGTCCGCAGTGCAGAGGCGGATGTCGCACGCAGTGATAAGATCGACACCTGGCAAAATCGCAAAACCCCATCCATAGTACAAGTCAGACAACCGCGAAAATACCTCGGTACGCTCATCAAAGATCGGGTACTGACCTGCGCCAATGCAGCCATTGTGCACAGCAGCAATTACAGGAGTCGGGCACTGGCGAGTCAACGACATGACATCAGTGTGAATCTCGAAAAAAAAAAAAAAAAAAAACACACAACAAAAACCATGATGATGGTCAACTGCTCGGCGGCTGCAGCACATACCTTCTCAATGTTGGTGAACGAGTCCTGGTAATCCTTGATGATCTGACGAAGCAGCAGCGCACGGCGAGCAGCATCGTCGGCCTCCAGGGTGAACATGGCCGAAGCGTCCTGGAGATCAAGACCTGCCCAAGCACACAGATCAGGTTTTTTTAAGTGTATCGTGTCGATCAGTGTCGACAAGCAACAAACAACGACGCACCAGCAGTGAACATGCGGCCGGCGCCAGTGATGATGACGGCGCGGCAATCCCGATCGGTGGCAATGCGCGCAAAGCAGTCGCGCATCTCGGCCCAGCAGACGCGGTTGACGGCATTGAGCTTCTTGGGGCGGTTGAGCTCCACTTGGATGACGTGCTGGGCTGGGCGCGTCACTGCGAGCGTCTCGAATCTGTGCAGCAGGTTGGATGTTCACGCGGTTTGGGGATTGAACAGAGGAAGGAGGGGGGGAGGTTGTCAGTCACAACAACACACATTGAAAGGGGGTTTTGGACGATGAGGAGTGAGATGAACGCCGGGTTGTGTGAGTAGTGTGATGAGTTGGTGCTTGAGTAGGGGGGGCGGCGGAAGCGGAATTGGTGGTCGATCAAAAACTCAACTCGAACTTGGGCGCCTCGGCAGCGGAAGCGGCAGCCATGCTGGTGGAGAAGGGACGCGCGCCTGTCGCGAGGTGGCGCAGGGCGGCTGAAACGGTGGATGGGCGAGGAGTGGTGGCGAGTGTGCGCAGCATGTTGCAAATGGAGAGAATTGGAACAAGAAGGACTGCTTTGGATCGTGTCTGAGCGGATTTGAATGTGGATGTAAATGAAAAGGGATGGGGGAAATCGAAATAGTTCGTTTAATGCGAGACTGTGCAAGAGTAAAATACAAAAGAAGGACAGAGAAAACATAACAACGGAACAGAGACAAATAACACTTTGTTGTTGCAACATCATCGGGAATCCAGTCCGAAACGCTGAGCCAAATAAATGCAACGTGCGCCGCACAGGCAAAAGCAGCGCGAGGATGTGCAACACCAGTGATGCACAACCAGCTGCAGTGAGCACCGTCGCAGGCTCAGAGAACGAAGCCCGAGAGCGCATCAAAGAGATAAAAAAGAAAGAATACCACCATCACCACCAAAGATGAAACAAAAAAAAGAGTTAAGATACGAAAGAACGTCACAAAAAAGAAGGCACACCGTGACAGAAAGAAGAAGAAGAAAACACATCAAACGACCCACTGAGTTTTTAGTGGGCAAGTTGACCGTGCGTTCCCGCTGCTAGCTTTGCCTCCCGCTGTTGAAAGTAAGGACTCCCCGACGAGGCCGAGCTGGATGCAACCGGGGTTGCTGGCAAGCTCGAGCAGTCCAGACTGAACGACTTTGGTAGTCGCAACGCAAAGGCAACAGGCGGATACCGCTCTTGTGATTGCGGTGGCGTCGGCCCTGCCGTTGACGAAGGCACGAGCGGAAACACTGGCTCGGCCTGGGGTGACGGAGTCGATGGAATGGGAGAAAGGCCACCAGAGGACGACGAGGCAGACTTGCCAAACGCTGACAAGTTGATGGGGGTCGCCAAGTGCATGCCGACACGGCCGCTGCCACTGTGTGAGCGCATGGCCATCAGTGCATGCTGCTTCGACTCCAAGTCCAGCTGGTGCTGAGAAGGGGCCAGAGCAGTCCCTGCAGGGGTCGAATGACGGCGCGCTGCCTCGAGATCGAGCTGGCGCTGCAGGCAGTACTTGGCCTGAGCCACCAACGCGTCCTGCTGCTGCTGAACCAAGTCCAGGAAGCTGGCTGGATGCGCGGGCTTGGCAAGGGACGGCACCTCGTCCGAGCTCTGGGGCACTGGCGATTCGCCGCCGCTGGATGCGGGAGTAAAGACGCCAGACAGCGACCGTGGGCCTGAAAAGGGCGCCGACTCGTTGGAGGACGACGCAGGCACCGACAAGGACGACGATGACGATGACGACGAGGCGCTGCTGGAGCTGCTAGAGCTGCTGCTGTTGGTGGGTGTGACCGCAGTGGCCAGCTCGGCGACACGAGCTGCGCGAACGCAGTCGGCCGAGATCGAGTTGGCATACTCGACAAGCTGACCCATAAAGTTCAGATTGGGCGACATGCCGGGCCTTCGGTCCTTGACAAAAGCGTACGATTCGGGCAGAGACAGACCATACCGTGAGATGAGATAGGCAATGACGACAGTGACCGAGCGAGAGACGCCGCCGACGCAATGGACGAGCACACGGCCGCCGGAGGCCTTCACCTCGTCAATAAACTGGAAGGCCGCATCAAAGGCCTCTCGAATGTTCTGGGCGAACGTGTCGGACAGCTCACACTTCTTGTAGCGCAGCTGCGCATCAAAGACATTCGGGCATTCCTTGGCCACGTTCAGCACGTTGTGGATTTTCAGACTGTCCAACAGCTGCTTGTCGGCGCTGTGCTCCTGGTTGCCAAGATAGAGATACGACAAAATCATAGCGGGAGGCGTGCCTGCGGCGAGGGCAGATTGGCCCATGGAGCGGTTTGGCGTTGGGACGGGCGCCGACTGAGGTGTGTGCAGCGTAAACTTGGATTGTTGGACAGCAGCAGGACACCGGCAGGCCTCGCTCTTGTCGGGATACAGCGCGTCAAAGGCAGCAAAGCCGCCGTGGACCCACAGCAAGGGGACGGACGACGTGCACAGGTAGCTAAAGACCAAGTCGAGCGTTTCCGACATGCCGGCCGCAGGATCGGTCGTGCTGTCGTCGTACAGCACCACAGTGTTGATCGTTTCGGGGTTTTTAGACAGCGTCTCCTTGATGGCGTCGCACGAGATGATGCGGTCGAGCGGGACGTTGTTGTCGGCTTGCGACTTTTTGACGACGCGTCGGAGGGCGAACAGGGTCAGTGTGTTGGCGGCTCCCTTCACGTGCTTGGCGTTGAAGGACATCATCGAGCGGCAGTCAATCAGGGTGATTCTGCGCCCAGCATCCATCAATGCCGCCAGGTCGGCTGACTGGATGCTGTAGGCATTTTTGAAGCAGGTGCCACGCTTGTAAAAATCGGCGCCGAGTGTATCTGATACCTCAGGAAAGTATCGGTCTTGCATGGTTGGAAAGGGGTAGCTTCGAGCTCAAGGGACGTACCGGAAGGAAGTCAGGAAGGAAGGAAGGGTGGTGTCGGGGAAACCTTGGAGAGAAAGAGAAAAAAAAAAAGGAGATGACGGAGGACAATGACGCGACCTCAGAAAATAAAACTTCCGCGCCAAGTAGATTTTGCTGTTTATCGCTCCGACAATGCCGAGAATTCTGCAGGAGATCGAGCTTGGGGGGCTGCCTTGATGCCTTGATTCACTGAAAATAGAAGGAAAGGCCCGGCAGACGCAAGCGAAAAGGCTGCTGAAGGGGCAAGCGAAGAAAAAAAATCGAAAAAAAAAAAAAAGTGCTACGGAACAAAAACAGGACTGCGAAAAAAAAAACGAGAAAAGAAAAACTCTGCTTGGCAAGTCGGGTGGTCTATCTGGTCAGAGGGAAGACTGGATTTACTTGCGAATCGGAGCGATGATGGAGGCAGCCATGGTTGATCAGTAGGATTTTGGAAGGGAGGAGGAGGAGGGGGGGATCTAGGAGACTTGTGGCAAAAAACCGGAAAAAAAAAAAAACCTGGAAAACGAAAAAAAAAAAACGAAAGAAAAACGCCGTTCAGAAAAAGGATAAAATGAGACAATGACGCTGATGATGAAAGAAAGAACGCGTAGCGTAATCGCAGCATCCAGGCAAACAACGGCGGGCGAGCAAAACAACAGTACATCAAGATGGTCAAGATGGTCATTGAAAGAATTGATTGCTGAAGGAAAGGGAAAGGGAAAGGGAAAGGAAAGGGAGGATTTTGCTGCGGTTGGAAAAAAAAAAAAACGAGGAAAAATCGAAAAGTCTAGAAAAAAAAAAGGAAAAAAAGCTCGGTTGAATGAAAAGTGATGACAGATTTGACCGCCATCCAAAAAAGACTCGGCCGAGATGTAGCTCACGGGCAGCAGAGAAGGGTTGAGAGAATTGGGGTTTTATGCAAGGAATAAATGGAACGAAAGAAAAGAGATAATGTGGGGGGGGAGCACGCGATATACACGGAGAACAAGACAAAAAAAAAAGCGCGCAAAAAAAAAAAAAAAAAGAGTCAACCGCACAAACGTCGGCGGAATGGAACGAGCTCGTGCATGCGCCTCAAAGTAGTAGAAGAGATGCTGAAAAAGACACGCTCAAAGCTCGATGCGAGTGTTTTGAGTCGGCGAGGCTGGGCGGACGAGCAGAAAACGCCGACAGAACGGGAAAATAAAAAAATACAAAAAAAAAGAAAGAAAAAAAAAGAGCCGACTTCTTTCACGAGACAGCCGAAGGGGAACACCAGGGGCGGGGTCGCGGAATTCCAGATAGTTGGCACAAGTGTTGGCACAGCAACTCGTATCCCCCACACCGCTGGCGGGGAGGTGGCCACAACCGCAAGGGAGGACAAGAAGCTGCGGATTTTGTTGTTTATGTTGTTGGCTCATGCTTTTTGAGTTGGTCACTTTTTCGGAGTCCCACTCGCGAAAAGGAGCATCGAAGGGGGGGGGGGTCAAGCCCACAAAGTCAAAGAGGCTATAGAGCTGGAGATGGTCTGCGATGCCAGGAGTCAAACCAGGACAGTCGAAGCGATGGCAGAGAACGCGCGCCTTCGGTCGAAAGAACCGAAAAACCAAAAAACCAAAAAACCAAAAAAAAAAAAAAAAAAAAACCTTGAAGGCAAAAAAGACCGCTGCCGGCTCCCGAAAAAGCGCCCCGTCCAGCTAAAATCAACGACGCGCCGAGATGTGCTCGTTGTACGTGCTGATGCAGCAGCGTGGGCAAGCAGGAGCGAGGGATGCGAGCGACGGCGGGGGGCGATTTTCGTTGGTGGCACCGTGCTCGATGGTTTCTGATCCCCGCTGATTGGCTAGTGAAGGTTTTCATAGTCGGGCTACTCACCAGTTGGTATAAACTAAAACAAGAAAAAAGCAAAGAAAAAAAAAAGGCAAGAAAAAAAAAAGTGAAAACGAAAAAAAGAAAAAAAAAAAAGAAAAAAGAAAAAAATTCAAACTGGAGTGGCGCCGTTTTCGGCTGACCAAACTCGGCTGCGAAAAGCTCACACGGCTTGCTTGGACGCCTGGCCGGCACCCAGTCTGGGCAACGCAGACGCATCGACATTTCGGGCAGCAGCACGAAGACGGGGAACGGTGGCCAGGCAGTGCACGCTTGTCTTTTGTGCTAAGGGAGCTTGTGAGAGAAAAATAAAAAAAATAAAAAAAATACAAAATCGAGCACAGAAGAGCAAGTGATGTCATTGTTGCCTTCGAAGGAAACTCGAGCCGAATCAAGGAACTTGTTGTTGTTGTTCGGTGGTACGCAAGGCTGAGGCCCCGTTGTGGTGCGCCAACGACGACAGCCGTGTGGCGTGTGAATGAAGCGAGGCGATTCGAGGAGCGGTGAGGGTCAGGGCGGGAGCTGCGAAATGGTGGAATTGGTCGAAAATTCGTGACACGCGGGAGGCAGCTGAGTTCGGCGATGCTCAGACATGGCGATCGCCTTGCGTGGCGAATTTGCGCAATTTTGAATGCTGGGGTGTTGAGAGTAGTATTGCTTCAGTATGGGGGTCAGCGGGGCTGTTTGGGACATTTTGACACTTTTGTGCCCTCTGCCGACAATTACACTCAGCGCGACTTTGAGGTTGTCAAATTTTTGACAACCGCGCGTTTCACCATATCTCAGGCATGCAAAATAAACAATATACTTGGAGCATGATTTCTGCAAGAGATGGACGTGAGAGAATGATTTCTACTGGCTTAAATCCTGCTGTAAAGATTTGACAAAATTGAAAGTCCAATCCGGCGCTCTGTTCGAGGCTCAACCTGGTCCGACAGATCGAAATATTGCAGATAATTATATTTCCATGCTTATTTGAGGTGTTGGCGGCCGATTGTGAGCTCGAGTTTTGCAGCACGTTTGACCGCATTCAGTGCTTGGTGAAACGACAAAAACAACAAACACGGCTAGCAATTTTAAAGAATACTGTCAAGCTCTTCCCCTCCCCCGCCTCCCAATCTGCACAGGCATAATCACCTCATTGATCCAGTCATTCAAACCAAACCCGAAAAGCCGAGGACGGGACGGTCCAGTCTTGTCCGTTGAATAATATAATGCTTGGCGTATGTCTCAGACACCAGCTGAAATGGTGTCGCTCGCCCCCTCACGCATTCGATCTTGTCTCATCGGCTTGTTTGCTCACAAAGCTCACCATGTTCAGCATTGACTGAGGGGAAAAGGGTTGGGCGTGAGGAAATACGATTATTAGGAGGGGAAGTGGCCGAGTCAAACCTCTTTGGGAGGACAAGCAGCAAGCCCGCGCCACCACTCTGCGTCACCGAGGAGGAGCGTGCAGTGTGTCACTATGAGCAATGCACCATGAGCGCGGCACACTGCCGTCAGAGCAGCGACACAGCGAGCGAGGTCTCGATTTCCCACATGCGCTTTGGGCTTCAGCCACGCGCTGGTGCATATGATGCCTGCCCTTGCACAGCCGAGTTGTGATTCGTCCCGCTGCACCACATTCACATGCATTGAGCGCACTGTTCATCGCTTCCCCCGCGCATGTGCACGCTGATGTTGAGAGAGAGAGCGAGACAGTCAGACACGGCAAGCAACGGCTTTGTTGTGGTTTCATACTCTTTGTTTCCAGCCCAATGCAGCCCCAACAATCAGCCCACCATCAGTCCCAGACAGATTGGATGGACATGGGACATTGAGCAAGAAAAGACACTCTAGTCCCCATCACCAAAAAAACATTGGCTCTGCAATCGCACTCACTCATCCTGCTTTGCTTCTCCGGTTTGCACAGAATTCTACGTCCGACTGCCCGGACGGCGTCGGCTGGATTAACGATTATCTTGGTGAATGCGTCACAACAGACGTGCAGATTGCTTCGGCATTTATTGGCCTTTCTTCGATCGGATTTTGGCTGGTCGCACAATCGCCGTGAGTTTTTTTTTTTGTCAGTTTTGTTTGTTTCAACCCTTTGACTCGTGCTCACGCTCAAACCCTCCTCTTGACAGCCAAATTTACATGAATTTCAAGAATGGAAATTGCGAATCGCTGGCGCTCCTGTTCTTGGTCCAGTGGCTGCTGGGCGATATCACAAATCTTGTCGGCGCAATTTTGACAGACCAGCTCCCTACGCAAGTCTACACTGCCGTCTACTTTTGCTGCATCGACGCCATCATGGTGTCCCAATACGCCTATTACAAGATCCGCGACCACCGCCTGGCTCGCAAATCCCTCTCAAGTGAGCTTGTTTTCTTTTGTTTTGTCTTGTTGTTGATGGCGACCAGCTTTGACCTACAACGTTGCCTGGGTTGTTTACCAGCATTCTCACTTGAACTCTTGTTTAGGGAATGGCCGAACCACCTCGCTGCATGTCGCCTTGTACATGGCGCTCTTCTCCATCAGCGGCATTTCCATGTTTGCCTTGCGCGAGAACTTGATTGGCTCGCAGATGGGCGCCGAGGCTGTTGCTGCTGGCGGCCGCTCGCTGTTGCACATCACCTTCACTGACACGACTCAATCCAAGATTGGCTATGCACTTGGCTGCATTTCCGCCACGCTGTACCTGTGCTCGCGTGTGCCTCAAATTCTGAAGAATGTGAGTTGCCACATGTTCGTTCTGCATGCAAAAGACTTCCTTCCCCCTTTGCCTGTACTCACGTTCTCTTCTCCCGTGTGACGCGCAGTACCACCGCAAGTCTGTCGGTGGGTTGTCGTTCGCCATGTTCCTCATGGCTGTTTTGGGAAACGTCACATATGCCATGGGTGTCTTCATGTACAACACGGACGGCGACTTTCTCATTGACAAGCTTCCTTGGTTGGTTGGCAGGTATGTTTGGGAAGGCCACAAAAACAAACAAACAAACAAACAAACAAACAAACAAACAAAAAAAGAATGGACGTCGTTTTTTGGTCACTTACCTTTGCTCTCTGCATTGTCTTCTCTCCCGTCGAACAGTGTTGGCACTGTCTGCTTTGATTGCACCATCTTCATCCAGTTCGTCTTGTACGGACGCCACTTTGACCACGACGTGGAGCAAACATTCAAGTCGCATCCCACGGACGAGGACGAGGATGTGCACCATTCTGATCACCACGAGCGGTCTTCTCTCATCAACCCTTCTTCTAGCCGACCACCGCTAATCCGCACCAATTCACCTCTCATGGTGAATGTATCCAAGAGATCCTCTGCTGTTGCTTGAGCGATGGTTGTTGCGTTCTATTATTTTTGCGTCCTCGTGCGTTTTGTCTGTTATTCTTCGTGTCCGCTCCCTGGCTGCGCTCCCCGCTCCCGTTCGTTTTCCTTTTTCTTTTTTTCTTTTTTCACTATTTGTCAATGTCGGTGGATGTTGATTGTTTCCTGTCGATGGCTTGATCTCGTTAGTACTCGCACAGTCTTTTTTTTTTTTTTTTTTTTTTGGTTTCTTCTGACTTTCTCAGATCCGTTGAGTTTTTCCATTTCATCATCCTTTTTGTTCTCACATTCTTCAATTTCGGTGATGAAGGGTGGGAAGGGTGACAAGTCGGCCAAGTCGGGCGAATCCAGCCAGAAAGGTCAACAGGGCCAAAAGGGCCAACAAAGTGAAGCCCCGTCGCGCCCGCTGCTGCCCGTCCAGCAGCTCGAAAGCGCCGACGTTGATCTGTCCTGGGTTGGCCAAGTCGCTCCACAACAGCAGCAGCAACAGCAGCAGGACGCCTCTTCATCCGCAGCAGATCAGTCGCAAGCCACTCCTCAGCGACCGACCACCGCCACCGCGCACGCCACCTCAGCCCAAGACGACGGAGAAAGCTTCCTCTCGCTCAACATGACCCCTTCCAGCAGTAGCAGCGGCCACGGCCACGGCGCAGGGGCTGCTCAGCCTGCTTCAGCCTCCACAACCAGCGGCAGCGGCAGCAGCAGCGGCAGCTCGTCCAAGCCTGGCCAGCTGAGCTCGCTCAAGTCCGCCAGCCCTGCACTGTCGGGATCTGCAGGCCACAGTGGCTCTGGCGATGGCACAGCAGCAGGCGGATCGTCCTCGTCGTCCTCTTCATCCTCGTCCAAGCACGTTGCGCTCTCAAGCAAGCTCGGCGACGGCGCTGCACTCCCGCCATGGGTTCGCCGAACAGCCTACTCAAAGAACAAGCTCTACAGGTAACAATAATGTGCATCACTGGACCGTTCGGATCGTTGATTGTGGACCATTTTGGACCATTTGATCAAGATTCAGTGATTTTTTGCAATGGAAACCAACATGTTTTATTCTTTTTGTCTTTTTTTTGTTTCTTCTTTTTTTTTTTTTTGATGCTTGGTTTTGTGCTCCTGACACGATCTGACGTTGACACACTTGCAATCCTTGTTCTGTTTTTTTTTTTTTTTTTTTTTTGGATTCACCAGTCTCGAGCAAGAAATGTACGATTTTGTGGAATTTATCAAGCCTACGCCGCTCGAGCACCAGATGCGCGAGGAAATTGTCCAGCGGATACGAGAGGTCATCACTGGCGCGTGGAAACATGCTCGGGTAATGCAGTGCTGTTTGTGTTGCATGTGTCTGTTGGACTGTTAGGTTGTTTGCTGGTGAACGGATGGAAAAGCATTGCACTGACTCCCGTCGTTCATCTTGCGCCCAGGTCGAGGTCTTTGGCAGTTTTGCTACCGGATTGTACTTGCCGATGAGGTAACACGCATTCTCTTTGAATTCTATTGTAGAAATGATCAGCGAAAACATCTTGAAGCTCACTTGTTTGATTTATACGTGTTTCCTCCCCCCCCGTACCCTCAGCGATATCGACATTGTCGTGTTTGGAAATTGGGATCAAATACCGCTATTTACTCTGGGCAAGCTTTTGGAGGAGAGTAGAATCGCCAAGAATGTCAAGGTCATTGACAAAACGTCGGTGCGTAGTTTTGTTCCCTGCGCGTTTCGTTCGATAAGAGCTCCTCGCTGCAGCTGCTAACCAACCAAAACGACTCACTGCTCCCCATCAGGTGCCAATCATCAAGCTTGCAGATGCATTGTCGGGCGTGTTTGTGGATATTAGTTTCAACTTGGAAAGCGGTCTTCGGACGGTCGAGTTTATCCGGGCCTGTGTGGACGAGTATCGCATGCTCTACCACCTCACCTTTGTCATTAAGCAATTCTTGGCGCAACGCCAGCTGAATGAGCCGTATTCCGGTGGCCTGGGGTCGTACAGCGTTGTTTTGCTTGTTGTCAGCTTCCTTCAAGTGAGTGAACCATTCGTATCTCTGCACCTACACCCCCTCCCCGCTCAATGCGCCGTTGAACTGTTGCTCTCCTTGCCTAACAACTCCTTGCGTTTGGTTGCTTCCACAGCGGCATCCTCGGCAAGACCGCGATCCCAACTTTGGCGTCCTCTTGGTCGAGTTCTTTGAGCTCTATGGCAAGGATTTCAACTACCGAAAAGTTGGCATTGCCGTCACAGAAGGTGGCAGGTACTTTCCGAAGGTAACCGCTTTTTTGTCTGCGCAGGATAGATTCTGGTAGGATTTGTTCCGAATTGCACCCCACTCATCCCTCCTTCGCACATCCACTTGCCCACATAGAGCGATGCATCAGCCAACTCCAATGAAGTGCGCCCGTTCATCCAAGATCCCATGGAGCCTGGTAAGGACGGCGATGAGCGCTGTCCCGAGTCATTTTGGCCATTCCAATTCTCACCTTCTTTGACATCCTCTCGCGCTGTTGGCCCGTGCGTGCCGGTTTATCACGTTGACCACTACAGGCAATGATGTCGGATACAAGACTTACAACATGATTGCCGTTCGCGATGCATTCCGCCACGCGTACGACACGCTCACGCGCGTCACAACTGACCAGCATTCATCGCTCCAAACCCTGCTTGGACAAATTATTCGCGTCGAGGACGATGTGATGGCCTTCCGAGAATGGGTTGCCAAGTGCGACTGGCAGAGCGGTCGCTCCATCACGGGCGACGGTGTCTTGCCGATGAACACAACAAGCACTGCGCCGCCGCCCATGTCAGCCGCCGCCCGAGCATCTGCAGGGGCTGGCGACAGCGAGGCAGACAGCACCACACCGATGCAGCAGTAATACCAGCAAAAACAGCTCTGGACGATGATTTCTTGATTGTTTGCTTGATGTTATTTCCCTGGACGGTTTAACACCCACACCGCGCGCGCCTCTTTTGACTCTTACATTAGTATTGTAAGGAGTACGTGTGCCACTTGTTGCTTTTTTTTTTGTCTCGAACGCATCATTTAGAATTTCACTTTTCCAATCAATCTGTGCAAACATCATGAACCAGGTTTTTTTTTCCAGTCCTCATAAATGCAGATCTAACAAAAAAGAAATGTCGTCATCTGATCATCATCCCAAGGGCAAGGGCAAGGACAAGGACAAGGACAAGGACACGGACAAAACCATCCATGGAAATGGAGCGTCTGAGACTGTTCTGAGCAGCCGCAGCAGCAGTTCTCGCCCGTCATCATCCTCCTCGTCCCAGCGTGGCCTGTCGCGCGTTCTGCACTGGGGTCCAATGCTGGCCCTCTCTGTCATTGTCTTCATCTCGTTCAGCATGATTGTTGCCTGCGTCCATGGCAATCCGCCGCTCGAGGCGCGCACTGTTCTCACGGGCAGATCGACCGTGTATCCGCGCGGCCATCCGCAGCACCGCGACCCTGCATCATCTGGTGGCAGTCCTTCGACGTCGTTGGACGTAGTGTTCAAGCCGTGGGGCGCACTGCAGCTGGGAGTCTTCCTGCTGATGCTCGCGCAGATTCTGAGCAACTACTTCCTCGCAATGGTTCGCGGACCGGGCTATGCTCCGCCCGGCTGGCAATCTGCTGTCACTGGGAACGTGGCTGACTTTGTGCAATTTTGCACTCTATGTGACGAGTTCAAGGCGCCGCGAGCGCACCATTGCCGGCTATGTAACCGGTATGTGTGTGATGGTTTTCTTTCAAGTGGTTTTGCTGAGAAAGAGAGAGAGAGAGTCGCATTTTCGATTGCATCTCACTGCCTGGAGTGAACGAAACGGGTGAATTTGAATCTATTTTGGCGCAGGTGCATCCTGCGAATGGACCACCACTGTCCTGTAGGTTTCTGCTGAACTGCTGCTGCGACTGTTGTCAACGTCCGACCGAGGTTTGGCACAGGCACTCACACACATTTTGTTTTGCATTGTGGTTTGTTGCGTTCTTGCTTCAACAGTGGGTGAACAACTGCGTTGGCCACAACAACCAGCGCAATTTTGTCCTCTTCGTCACTTGGGTGCCGTTGACGGCCGTCTACACCATCTACATCATGTCTCACTGGTGCTGGACTCTATTGGGTTCTGGCAGACTTCTCCGTCTTTATGTGAGTAGAGTTACGCGTCTCCAACATTTCATTCCGAGAGTTTGCAGTTTTGGCTCACTCTGAACGTTCGCGTTTCGGCTCCTGTCGTCCGTATCCTGCAGAGCATTGATTTGGTTCTCTGTGTCTTTGGCGTTGCCCTGTCTATCGGAGTCATGCTGGCCGTTGCCTTTCTTGCGCACCACCAATTCTCGGTCATTTTCCGTAACATGAGCGACATTGAAGAGTGGATTGCTGACAAGGCTTCCAACCGCATGCTCAAGGAGAAATCCGGCGAGGTATGACCTTCCACAAGCTTTCGTGGTGTCGATATCGACATTCAGCCAGACTTGCTCATTTCTCAAGCGGATTCCGATTTTTTTTCTTCTTCTTCTTCTTCTTCTTCTTCTTTGTTGTTGTGGCTTTGCGCAGGTGTTTACCTATCCCTACGATCTTGGCCGGCGCGCCAACTGGGTCCAGGTGATGGGCCCGGGTGTGCTGCAGCTACTATGGCCCTGGTACGAGCCATCTACATCTTTGGATGCCCAGCTACACGAGCACCCTGGCAAGCGCACGGCCCTCAAGCAGCCCATCACGGCATCGAACGGAGTGTTCTGGCCCGTGCACGAGACATGCCACCAGTTCTCATTCACCCAAGAGCAGCTCAAACAAAAGCAACGCAAGCTGGCCCATGCACAGCTCGTGCGTGTTGCCCGGCCGTTCAGCGGTCGCTGGTGGGGCTTTGGAATTGGCGGCTGTCGGCTGTTGTGGAACTTTCCAGCATTCGATGACACGCAGCTGGCCGTCTCAGCGGGTCAAGACGTTCTTGTGCTTCGAGGTCACAAGGGGTGGCTGTACGGCGAGAATCGAGGTGTTGGCGCTGACAGCGACACTCCAAACCCCGACTCGACCGCCGCAGCTGCGTCCACTTCCAACAATGATGTGCATGTGAGAGACCATCCACGAGGATGGTTTCCTGAAGCATGTGTGAACGTGAAGGAAAGCTAGGGTGACTCCAATCCATAGTTGCATTGATGAAAAAAAAATAATAAAAATTATAATTGTTTCAGAAAAAGAAAAAAAACTTCGATACTGGCTGGACAGAGCTGTGCCCGCTTTATTCATCCAAGTAATGCAGCTCGCCGCGATTTTGCATCTGGCTCGAGTTGACGCTGAATCCAAGCGCGGATGCGGGCAGCTTCTGGGCCTTCTTCTTGCCCTGGGTGGGCGCTGCAGCAGGTGCTGGGGCAGGGGCGGCGTGCGCAGTCCGCTTGCCAGCCACAACTTCGAACGGACGGCGACGCTCGCAAAATTCTCGCGCAAACGCAGCAACCTCCGACGAGCGACCGAGGAACTCGTGGGCATAGTCGGTCACGTCCTGCTTGGAGTCGAAAGCGTTGAGAATGGAGACAAAGCTCTCGGCATCGATGCCTGCGTTGAAAGTGCGCAGCTTGTGTTGGCACCACTCCATAAAGTCGGGAGTCGCTGCCGTTGCGGAGGCCGCGTTCGACTTTTTGCTCGACGTCTTGACGGGAACAGGCTCGTCCAAATCCCAGAACGAGTCGCTCGCCGTTGTAGCGGCAGGCGCAGCCGCAACCGGAGCAGGCTTGGCAGCAGCAGGTGCACCCGTCTTCGCTGCAGCCGCTTTGCTCGGGGTTGTCGGCGCAGCGGCCGGAGTGGGTGCAGAGGCGGCGGCAGTGGTAGTCGAAGGCGCGCTGCGCTTTGCAGGGCTGGAGGCGGCGGCGGCGGCGGCGGCAGCAGCAGCAGCTGGTGTAGGACCAGCAAGATGAGCTGGCGTGGATGCGTGCTGAACCGAAGCAGGCGAGGGCACTGACGACCATCCTGCTGGGCTCGTGGTGGGCGCAGCAGCAGCGGCAGCGGCAGCGGGTTGTTTCGGCTTCGGGCACGATACAAACAAGAACAGTCAGATACAAAATTACAACTTGCGCCCAAACTTCCGCATCAAAAATACCGCAAACAAACAGCGAACAGAAAACAAGACTCACCTTGGTGACGGTTGTTGGGGCAACGTTCGTGCCAACCATGGCAGCAAGCGTATTGGTGTTGGGCTTGGTACTCTGCTTTCGCGCCTCTTCCTCTTGAATCTCGAGCAGGGACTTGCTCTTGCTATTGCCACCAGAGCCCCACACGGGAGCGGCGGCCGGGGCGTTGGACGCAGCCGGGGCGGCGCTGCCAAGGAAGGACTGGAGTGGAACGTTGCGCGTGCCCCAGGAGGCGGAAGACTGGGCCTGACGCTCGCGCGCCTGCTGCGCCTCCACAATGAAAGAGACATCGGGCTCGTACTTGGCGCGTTGCTGCTCTTCCAGCTGGATGTTAACGAGCGACGACTTGCTGCCAGAAGCAGCGGCCGCCGGCACAGCCCAGCCAGTGCGACGCGGCTCCTCCTGCTGCTGTTGCTGCTTTGCGAGTTGCTGCTGCTTCAGACGAGCGGCCTCGGCTTCCGCCTGGCGCTGCTTGCGCTCGCGTTCCTCTTGCTCTTGAATGTCGCGCAGCTTTGTGGGTGTGGCAGGCGCGGGCACGATGGGGCGTGGCACAGCGGCGGCATCCGGAGCGTTGGCAGGCGCGGGCGTGGTGCTGACTGCTGCTTTGGCGGGAGAATTGGCCGCAGCATTCTTCTTGGCGGCCTTGGACTTTTTCGACGGAGTGGATGCAGGAGAATCAACGGCAGCAGTTTCTGACGCGGATTGCGTGGCAGTGGTGTCAATCGAAGGTGCGGGAGCGGAGGCGGCGGCGGCGGCGGCAGCAGCAGCAGCGGCGGCTGCCTTTTGCTTGCGATTGGGTGGAGTGGTTGGGGTGGTTTCGCTAGTTCCACTGGATGGGGTAGCGGATGAAGCTGGGGATGATGATGATGATGATGATGGTGCTGCGGCAACCTCCTGTTGCTGATCAGACGGAACAGTTGCAGCGGCGGCGACGGGTTCCGGTTCGGCTTGAACAACAGGTGGCTGCGCAACAGCAGAAGACGAAGAAGCAGCCTCCTTGTTGCCAGAGACCAGCGTGCTCCAGAAGCCGTGCTCGGTTGATGTCAATGCTTGGGAGACAGGCGCCGCGGCTCCTGGACGAGCGGAGGTTCGGACAATGGCTGGATCTTCAAAGTTCGAGAGGGCGACGTCTTGGCTGAGACCGACAGCGGCATACGGCGCAAGCTGGGGCAAGCCGGAGCGCTGCGCGTTGCCATCTTCCACACCTCCAGCAGAGATCAACCCAGCAGCGGGCGAGACTTGAGCAAAACCACCAAACGCAGCGGCAGTAGCAGCAGCACCAGCAGCAGCAGCAGCAGCAGCAGCAGGTTGCTGTTGTTGCGGGGCCTGCTGGGTCCAGTCGAAAGCACCAGTCCAACCGGCCCGAGTCGCTTGACCGAGATGCGGGATGGAGGACAAGGGTGCAAACGGAGCGGTTTGCATCGCTTGAATGTACGCACTGAGTGGTTGGAAGTTAGGATCAAACGTGCGGCGAACCAAGCGAGTCAAGGCAAAATAGCCAACCGAAAACCATTTCAGCATCTGGGTGGTTGAGAATGGACCTTGGATTGCACCTTGCGGGTCGACATAGAGCCAGATCGGGGTATCGCGCGGGTCGACTTCGGGTTGGACTTTGGCGGCGGGGGTGTCGTTCATGTTTGCAGAGTCGAGCAGCGTTGAAATGACGTCTTCCACATCAAAGTGTTCATGGTATGTGTCATCTTGCAACGAAAACGCACTCGAGGACGAAGCAGGGGCGGCGGTGAATCGGGAGGAGACTGTGACGTTGTTCGTCGCGACACGCCATGCCGAATCGGCCGCAGACAATGGAGCTGCCGCCGTGGCAGCCACGGCAGGAGCGGCGGCAGCCGTTGGCGCAGATGTGGGTGCGGAAACAGGTGCGGAAACAGGTGCCGAGCGACTCGCCCGCGCAGCTTGCTCGCGAAGCCGCAGCTTTTCAAACTCTTCTGCCGCTGACGCCTGGGATTGGTCGTGGCCGAGCACACCGCCTTCTCCCACCAAGCTGTCCGAAATGGTGTCTTCCTCAAGCCCACCAAGCTCGAGATCATCGGCGTCCGCACTGATAAAGTGGCCAGAGGCGGCAAAAGTGCCTCCCGACTCGTCCGTAGACCAAAGGGAATCCCCAACCCCAGGGGCCGGACGCCACGTCGACGACCCGTTGGAGGCATTGGCACCCACCGAGCGCCAGCTCGGGACGTCTGCGCCAGTGGCGGAGCGCGAGGATGCGCCGCGACCACCAGGGCCGTGCATGGACTCGGCATGGTTGTTGGTTCCACGTCCTCGTCCTATTCAGCACACGAGCGAGGGAGACGATCAAAGAGTGAGCATCATGTGAAAATTTGGCAAGTCTGAGTGCAGAGATCGACACAGTAATAACAAGCAAACAAAAAAAAAAAAAGGGGGGGGGGGAAAAAGGCCAAGGCAAAACAACTGACCTCGTCCAGACGCAGGCGTCGTTCCAACGCGGGCACTCGCACCACGACCGTGCGAGACTTGACGCCAACCGTTACCACTTGGACCGGATGGAGCAGGGAGCATACCAGGGCGGAGACTGGCTGCGGCGCGTCTGGCAAGCGCGCTGTTAATGGAGGTCTGTCGAGCGTCGTGCTCGTGGTTGGCGAGCGGGGTGGTGGCGTACGGCGGCTCCAAGTGGTCGAGCATGATGCTCTCGGCCTCAGGACGGAAGAGTCGCGATGCGTTCGCAACAGACAGCAGGGGGTTTGGCTCTGTCTCTGCCGCAGCCGCGAGCAGGTGGAAGAGATCGAGAATCTCTTGCCGCGAGTAGACGGGGCCCTGGGCGCCTCCTGCAGACGCCAGTGTCACCGAGGATGAGGTTGATGGCGACGACGCAGCTTCTGTTCCTGCCGGAGCACGTGCGCTGGCACGGGTGGTGGCGGTGGCGGTGGCGGTGGCTGGCGACGACCACGCGTGAGGGGCTTTGGCTGCTGAAGACGAACCAGTGCGCCTGTGGACAGACGGCAGACAACGAGTCAGAGCGCGAGACATTCAGTACACGAGTCAGCGAAGTGGATGATGAGATTTAGCTCAAAGAGAAGCAACAAAAGGCACGAGTATGAGTGCGAGAGAGACAGACAGAGTGAGGGGAAAACGCCAAGATCGCAGCAATAGGGGAAAGGGAAAGGAGGGAACGCGCGCGCATCAGGATGCGGGTTGAAGAAGCAAGATGGGGGGAAGATGATGATGATGACAGAAGGAAGGAAGGAAGGAAGGAAGGAAGGAAGCGGCGACAAGGGGGAACAGCAAGAGGAACGAATGGAAACAGTCAAAGAACGGAAAAAAAAAAAAAAAAAAAAAAACCGAAAGCGCTTTGCTTCTTTTACCATGCAGGGTCAAACTTGTGTGACGACATTGTGGCAAAACAAAAACACAACAAAATGAAGAAGGAGTGAAAGCGTGCGTTGAAGGAGAAAAAAAAAGAAAAAAAAAAAGAAGATAAAAAATAACAGAGACGAGAAGACTAAAAGAGGTTCAGGAAAAATGAGTTTGATATTTCGGGTCAAAATCCGACAACATGACACAGAGACACAGACACAGACACAGACACACGCAAACGCAGAAACAAGCGTGGCGACTGGGCAACAGCTCGCACTTTGAACAACAAACACGTGACAAATACACAGAAAGGACAGCTCAAAGCCACAATCGAAATAACGGCCCCCGAGGAAAAAGTTGGCCAAAAGGTCAAAAGAACAAAGCATTGACCAAAGTCAGCGAAACAACGCAACGAAGAGAGAAGGCCGAGAGCGCGATGGAAGGAGGAAAAAGAAATAGAATGCGTAAAGAAGAATGCGTAAAAAAGAAAAAGGAAAAAAAAAAAACCTGAAAAAGTTTGCGCCGTTACTTGTTCGACAATTGCTGAACAATTGGCGTAAAGCTGGACAGCTTGCATGCCTTCATCAAGAACGGATGCTGTGTGCAAGAAGAAGCGAAAAGTAGGCAGATAGTGAGCAACAAAACGCGCTTTCTCGTCAACTTTCGAATCCCTTACCAGCAACAATTCATCCGCAGTTGCTCGTTGTTCCACATTCACCACGAGGCAGCGATTGAGGAAGTCCTTCAAGTCGGGAGACATGCGTTCCGGCTTCTTGAGAGTCGGTGTGCCGTTCGTGGCAATAAGATAAAGGGCCTGGCGAAAGAAGAACAACAACCATGTTAAAGAGTTAGAATTTGCAAAGACACACAATCAAAAGCACCACCCACAATCAAAATCGTCCGAATTTACCTTCAGGGGCTCCTCGTCCAGGTATGGGGGCTCGCCTTCAATCATTTCAATCAACATGATGCCGAGAGACCAGATATCAACCTTGAATCCGTATTCCTTTTGCTTGACGACTTCCGGAGCCATCCAGTAGGGCGTTCCGACCATGGTGGTGCGCTTGGACTTTTCCTTGAGCTGCGCGCAAAAGCCGAAATCGGTCAGCTTGATGCTGCCGTCAATGTCGAGTAGCAAGTTGTCACTCTTGATATCGCGGTGAATGATGCCCTTTGAATGCAAATGCTTCAGACCCTTCAGCGTCTCTCGGCACACAGCCGCCATGTGCTCCTCCCCAAGTTCGCAGTGGTCAATAACGTCTGTCAATGCGCCACCTTGCATGTATTCCATAACCACCTGTCAACGTGGGACGTCGTATGGTGAGTGACGGCCAGCCAAAGCAACCAAAAACACGAGCAAGCAATCGGTTGGAATCAAGCACAAGCCAAAACAAAAACAAAACAAAACCCCCAATAAAACAAAAAGCCGTACCCAAAGATTGCCTTGAATCAGGTACGAGTCCACGAAATTGACAATATTGGCGTGCTTGGCATTCTTCATGACGACAATTTCGTTGATAATGAGCTCCTTGCGGGGCTGCTCCTCGAGGTTCATTTCCTTGATGGCAACAGATTTGCCCGATCGCGAGTCTACTGCCACAAACACACTGCCAGATGCGCCTTGACCAATCTTGACGAAACTAGTGAAAATGGTGGTTGGGTCGCCCTTCGAAACGATAGCGTCTGCAAGAAAAAGAGAGAAAAGACAACGATTGCAAGAAAAAAAAAAAGTGAGGTAAGAAAAAAAAAAAAACCAAAGCCACTTCTGAGTCATCATTGCTTCTGCTTCTTCCTCCTCAAACACACCCCCCAACACACACCCAGCAGTTCCCCCCAATACTTACTCAGCTGGGCGATAACCATGTCGGTGCCAGGCTCGTCATCATCATCTTCCTCTTCATCTTGCTCAAAGTCTTCCTCGTCGTATTCTTCCTTGGCGGGCGGAGACGGGCTACGAACCGGCGCCGGAGGAGGTGCCGCGGCCGTCTTGGGCAGAAGTGGCGGCGGCGTTGGTGGCTCAATTTTGGTGGGAGTCAGGAGCCGCTGCACCGGCGGATGTACCGGCGGTGTGGCCTTTTCAGGCGCCGGCGGCGGCGCGTTGCCTGCTGCTGGAGGTGGTGTGAAGGGAATGGGCGCGTGCGGGGTGGGGAGCTTGTCGCGTAGTGTCGCCGGCTTGGCGGGAATCGGCGGTGGTTTTGGCGAGTCGGGTAATGGCGGCGGCGCCGTTTGGTTGGGCGGAGGCGTACCCTGCGTTGGCTTGGCGGCCGTCGGCGGCGGTTGTTTGGCTGCAAGGGGGTTTGAACATAGACGGCAGACAGAATCAGTGAAATGCAATGCAGCGCAAGAAACATCGCAAGAAACATCGCGCGCGCGCTCTCTCTCTCTCTCTCTCTCAAACAAAACACCGAAAACTCACGAATCTGAGGCTTGGATGGAAGAGCCAGGCTCTGTCGAACAATGTCCGCAGACGGCTTGGGCGGTTTGTAGGGTTGGCTGACAGTTTGCGAGCCAATCTGCAGATTTGTTGGCGGGGCCTTTGGCTTGCGAGCAGGCGGGGGAGGTGCGCCGCCTGCAGCTGCACCGGAAGAGCCAGCCGAGTTTGGTGCAATGGGAGGCAGTTGAGGGGCATGCGTCGGCATGCGTGGGGAGGTGAAGGCACCACCGCCATTGCTGCTGCTCGCGTGCGAATCGGGTTCGGAGCCAGGCGCGAGCATCATGCTCTTGCGCGGCCGGACACTTCGTCGGTTGCCTCGGTTTTGCTGGAACTTGGACCAGACATCGTCGCCTTGCTGCTGTTGCTGCTGCGAGGCCGTGTAGAACTCGAGAACATCAAGCACAGCTTGTGGGTCGCGGGCCTGATCCTCCTTGGAAATGCCAGAGTTGCTCAGCAGACTGTTCCATTGCGGCGGCAGCCCAGTGAAGGTCTGCGACTCGGTGTCAAAGCCGACGTGCACCTCATGGACAAAGTTGGTTGGCCCCGAGATTTGCGACGCCGACGGAATGAGCGAGCAAATCATGTCAATCCAGTCGGCGACCTTTGTCTCCGACCGCAAGTCGACAAAGTACGTCATCATCGGTGTCACCAGGCGCGCTGTGCATTCGTGCTTTTTGAACACGACGCGTGTGCATTCGGTGATGTCCTTCATGGCGACTTCGCCGACAATCTTGTACGATTTCTGTAGTGGAGAATTGACGTTGGTCTTTCTGATGTAGCTCACCCCACCACGCATACACCCACACGCACTGATACATCCCCCCCACATACACACGCAGTGCAACAACGCTGAAAACTGACCTCGTTCGCGACCCATGCCAACTTTTCTTCATACAGAATAAAGTGGTACTTTTTCCACATAAAGCTTCCGATGCCATCGCCCTTGAGGAAGGCCTGGCTGCGCAGAATGACGGTTGACATGACCACAGGAGCAGCTCTCTTTCACAACTAGAAGGAATGAGTGTTTTTTCCCCAGTGTACTTGTCGCTCTGCATAGATGAATGGGAGGGAAGTGAAGGTGAGTGCAACACAACGACAAATCACCATTCTATGATGATGATACACGATGACACGAACCCCCTTTCTTTCCAAAAAACCACAAGAAGGACAAAAGACATTCGCGTTGACAGAAGGGCGCAAATCCAAAAAGGGGAGGGGAAGGGGAGCGACCATCGGAAACGGGGTTTGAGTCACGCTTTGAGCCGGCTCGCCGGTGCCTGCCCACAGAGCACTGAGTCTCTCTCCCACTCACTCTCACTCTCTCTCGCTTGCTTCATCCTCCTCCCGAGGGCTCAGTCCCTTCGTGAGTCTCCCCATCTCTCTCTGTTCTTCTTCCCAAAACGACCAAAAACGACCAAATCATCCAAACCCTCAAACGCTGAAAATTGCTCCAAATGGGAAGTGTTTTTTTTTTTTCTTTTTCTTTTTTCTTTTCAAAAAAAAAAAAAAAAAAAAAAAGAAAAGAAAAAAAAATCGAAAGAATCAAAACTTGGCTTTGGTCATCGTGTCAAAACGAACGGAAAGCAACGAGCGGTGCGCGGAAAGGCGACGAGCGGTCGCGATGGGCGTAAAGAAGGACGCCGGAGACCATTCAGATAGATGGCGGGAGCGTGAAATGGGAGGACCGCTGGTTGCAAAGGGGGCGATCGCTGCCCAACAGATTCACCAAAAAAAAAAAAAAAAAAAGCTGTTGCTGTCGATTGGCAATCGGTCGTTGGGACTGCGGCACGGGCACGCCGTTGGAACACGGGGTTGCCACAAGGCGTCTACCACGCACTGCACACACCCATCACGCAAACGCCATCGCGGCTCAGACAGAAGCCGGGAAAAAGCAAGAACACGAAAAAAAAATACGAAAAAATAAAAAAAAACCATAAAAAAAAAACAATCAAGTCAAAAAAATAATAATTTTCTTTTCTGATTTTGGATTGAAATGCGAGAGCTCTCGCTCCGGCCGCTGCCCCCTGACTCGGCCGCCCTGTGCGATGGATGGCAAGCAGTGCCACGTCTGACTTGTGGGGCAACCGTGGCGCGACGCGAAGGCGGCGAACGGAACGAAGGCAAAAATGGCCTCCACATCGACACAAACAACAACAACAAAGCACAAAAAAAAAAAAAAAAAAAATCGTACCAAAAAAAAAACAAAACAAAAAAAAAAAACTGACTGAGGATTTTTTGTGAGCAAGTACAGAATGCTCGTTCGTGTCCACGAATTCGAATACAGTCAAGAACAACTGGTAGATTAGCTTCAGTAGTGTGCTTTTCATCTTTTGGGAGTGCAAGACCGAGGTGGACTGGTCGCCGACAAGCGAGTTATTGCCTTTCGAAACAGCTGAAAAAACGTCAAATGCTTTCGTCAAAGCTGTGCTTTGCAAAGATGGCTCTTAGATGTACCCGACGTAGAGCCTTTCAAATATCACATCTTGGGCAAGCGTGCTGGGTCGAACTTGAACTTCCCAGCCCTCGCGCATTTGTCGGATGTTGCAGAAGTGTATCAATGGAACGAAAAGAACAAAATCGACTTTCACCTTCAACAGATTCCCATTCATGATCGAGGTTGCAGACATCTCAGAAATCAAACTGCCCTTGGAAGGCCTCCAAATCGCGACGCTCAATGGCTTCGAGCAGATCGCCTCGTGCCATCAGCACCGCAGTCATTCGGAGCGTGTTCCAAATGCTGTCGGACATGTGGCTGTGCGACGCCGAGTGCGTTTTTTGCATGGCGAGGGCGGACAAAAAGTGCTCAACGGCTTCCCTACAGCGACACACAAGCGAGCAAGCGAAAGCAAAGAAAAGGGAAAATAAGGAGCAAAAATCAGTCTCAGCGACAACAACTCGTGCTACAACACTTCCGTTACCAAACAACGTACTTGTAAGCATTCAGATTGATGCAGCTAATACCCAAGTTGTACCGGGCTCGAATAAACCCTGGTCGAAGTCGAAGGGCGCTGAAATAGGCATGGACGGCCTCTTCGCTCTGCGTGCTATTTGCAAGTGTGGCACCGAGCCGATTCCAAAGGTTAAAGTCCTGCAGCAAGAACAATCATCATCAAAACGAAAAGCAAAACATAGTCAGGGCGTGTGTGTGTGTGTGTGTGTGTGTGGGGAAGACAGCTCAACCAAATACACAACAACAACTCAGCGCGCAAAACTGACATCAGGCCGCGTCTCGAGTGCAGCTCGGAAGCAATCAACGGCCTTGTCGTATTCCCGAGAAATGTTGAATAAGACGCCAAGGCCGTTCTGCACGTCGGCATCGAGATGTGCGCCAGTGTCTGCTGCAGGCCCCTGGAGTGCAGCTGCAATCAGGACGTTGCAAATACGCTTGTGGCGCGGGGAAACGGGACGAACGCCTTGCAGGAACATCTGAACGGCCTCTTCCGACTCTGGCGAATCCGCAATGTCATCCGTTTTGACTTCTTGCAGGAGATGGCGGTATCGGTCACTCGAGTCAATCCACGATTCAAGAGACGCGTACGCGTCGTCAAAAAGCGATTCGTTCGTGTAGCAGACAGAAAGCGCAAGCCATGCCGCAGGGTTGGTCCGATCCAGCTCGGTGCACTTGCGCAGTGCTGCAATGGCCGCCAGGTCTTGTTCATTCTCTGCTTGGCTCGTGCCAATGAGGAGCCACGCCTCGGCGCTCCCGGGATCTCGGAGCGCAGCCGCCTCGAACGCCAAAATGGCCTCTGCGAGGTCGCCGTTGGCGAGGAGCTTGCGGCCTTCCTCCATCGCATTGGGGAGGTTGACAAATGGGTTGTCCGACGCAAACTGGTAGTTTGTTCGGGAACGCGTGGCATCGGAGGCCAAGCCGTTCTCCCCGCCGTACTCTTGGCCAGTCTGCTTGTTGAGCAACCGATCTCGCATGACTGAGAATTCATCCTCCCACTCTTGACTCTTGGTTGCCTCAAAGCCCGCGGCGCCATGCAGGTTGGCCCATTCGTCAGACTCGCTGAAGGACTTGAGCCACTCCATGTCCTGGTCATCCAGATCCACCGTATCTTCTTCGTCGAAGGCCGAGTCACGCCCCGCTGGCTGCTTGCCTTTCGCCTTTTGAGAGAATTCCGCGGCCCAATCGGCAAATCCCGAGTCCGCTTCGACGTCTCCCCTTGGGGCGGCGGGAGCAAATTCATCGGCCCATGCATCACGGCTTTTGCCTGGATGCGCACCAGCCCCAAACTCGGCGGCCCAATCGCCCTGTGCAGCACTGCCTTCCGCCGCTGCTGCCGCCGCCGTTTTGCCAGTCTCGCGGACTTCATTGTCCACGACTTCGAGCTCTCCGCCGGCAATTCGGCGCAGGAAGCCCATGAATCGCGAGTTTTTCAACTTGGGATCATTTACATCATACAGGAGGGATCGTGCCGTCCGAGCGAGCTCTGAATCTGCAGCATCTGCCGCCGCGGTGGACGATGACTGAGCCGAAGTAGAAGTTGCAGCCTCGGGTGCCTGGTAGGTTGTGCCTTCGTCAAAGTCATTCAGCCACGATCCAACGGCATCGGCCGGTCTTGCTTGATGACTCGCACTCGAGCTGCTGCCGCTACTTGATGCATAGAGACGCTCAAACTCGTCGAACGTCTCGCTCTGCTTTGAGAATTCTTCCTCCCAAGCCTTGCGAATTGGCGCGCGGGATGCCGACTCGGCAGCCACATTGTGCTGCTGCTGGTGGTGGTGTCCTTGCTCTAGCTGCTTGTTTCGCATGTGCATGTCCATTTGACGGTGCTGCTCGACGTGCCAGGCCGTCTCGAACGCGGCAGCCATCCCTTCGTGCGACTCGAACTCGGCCTGCCACTGCGCCTGCTCAATCTCATTGAGGCTGCCCCAGACCTGGTCAAACTGGAAGGCGTCCGGGTTGACCGCTCCTCCCATGTACGGCTGGTGCTGGTGCGGCGATTGAGTCGTCACCGGAGCCAAGCCAGCCATCGACGGCGGCACAATGCCACGGCGCAGCAGTCGCAGGTCTTCCTGGCGCTGGCGGAGCATGGCCTCTGCTGCTCGTTGGTGCGGTGGGACGTGCTGCTGCTGGTGCCCGCGACTCGAGCTTGCGCCATACTCGCGCTGGTGCGCCGACGAAGCCCGCTCCTAAATCACGACCACACAGAGCGCACCAAAACCCCCATCCATCGACCCACCCAACAAAAAAACATTGACTCATTCAAGTCAGTAATACTGCAAGTGCTGCAAGTGCCATGAGTTGGATGGAAGGTCGAGCTGAGCTGCGCTGAGCTGAGCGACTCAGACCAAATTGCCATCGGCTCTTCTCCTTCTTTGTCTCTGTCTCTGTCTCTGTCTCTGTCTCTGTCTCTCTCGTCTCTGTCTCTATTCGAGCTGATCAAAAATCGAGGCCCACCTGCATTCGAGACTTGTCGTCGGTAAAGTGCTGGAGCAGCTGCATGAGCGGATTCGGAGCGCCGCACTCGCCTCCAACGAGGTCTTGCAGCGACATTCTACTGAAGGATGATGGATGGAAAAAAAATTGAGACTGAGCGGAGCGAGACGACGCAAATCGAGACTAGGAATGAATGCACATTAGCTCAATTCAATACGACAGGACTACATACATGGAGCGCAGTCAATGTTTTCCGCCACAGTGCAGCGACGCTCAGCAGCATCCGCGTCGTCGTCGACCAGCAACAGCAACAGCTACAGCAACAATAGCAACTCGATTGCTGCTGGATCGAGTCGCTCGGCGTCCTTCATTGCGACAATGTCACAGAGCAGTGCAGTGAGCTCCGTCCTGTCCACTGAGCTCGCTGGGACGACGGGGAATGCGTTCTTGGGGGGAAGCGGCCTCGACGCGTACGCTCCGTCCCTCGTCTATCTGGGCGCAGGTGCTGAAGGCGATCTCCAACAGCAACAACAACAACAACAGCAACAAGAACAACAACAACAACAGACCGCCGGTGCCAGGGCTGCAGGGGCAACCGGAGCAGTGGAGGAGCAGCTGCAGGACGACGACCAGCAGTTCCACCCGAGCGCACTCCATGCGTGGCAGGCTGCGACGACCAAGTTTGCGCAAGCTGCTGATCACCATCAGCGCGGAAAGCATCACGGCAATCACAGCAGCAGTAGTGATGGCTCGAGTGGCAGTAGCAATGGCAATGGCTATGACCGCTTTACGAGCGAGAGCACGGCGCTGACAGTCGTTCCAAGCGACCCTTCGTCTTTGTCTGCCGTCCCCACTCACCCAGCAGCGCTGGGACGCCGCCAGCACTCGCATTATTACGCGCCAGGACCGTTGCAAGTGCTCGACCGGTTTGGCCGGCTGGGCGATCCGGGACATATGGTGCTGCTCGTGCTGCTCTACGTGCTCCAAGGAGTGCCGCTCGGGCTGGTCGGCGCGTCCATCCCGTTCCTGCTCCAGCAGCGCGCGTCGTACACGGATCTCGCCGTGTTCAGTCTCGCGGGTTATCCGTACAGTCTCAAGCTGCTCTGGTCGCCCATCGTCGACTCGGTCTACTGGGCGCCCCTCGGACGCCGGAAAACGTGGATTCTGCCCACGCAAACACTGCTTGCCGTGCTGTTTGTGTACCTGGGCTCGACCATCGAGGCCACGCTAGCACAGCCAGACCTCTCGTTCGGCTGGCTCTCCGTGACCTTCTTTGTGGTGATTATGTGCGCTGCCACGCAAGACATTGCCGTCGACGGTCTCGCCATCGAAGTCTTGTCCCCCGCGAAACGAGCGTACAGCTCGACCTGCCAGTCCATCGGCCTCACAGCTGGCTACTTTATCTCGTTCACCGTGTTCCTGGCATTCAACTCTGTCGACTTTTGCAACAGCTACTTTCGGTCCCAGCCGCAGGATTGGCCAATCATTCAGCTCGGCCCGTTCATGATGTTTTGGGGTGTCATGTACGCCACCGTGACTGGGTATCTGGTGCTCGTCTATCAGGAGGTAGGAGGTATTTTTTTTTAAAAGCCGAGTTTTTACTTTTTCTTTTTCGAAAGGTGGCGTGTTGTGTGTTGCATCGTGAAACTGTGGTTTCTCACTCGCGGTTGTTGTTTTTTTGTTTGACATTGTAGCCGCCTATGCCTGCTTCCACCCACGAGCAAATGTCGATTAGCTTTGTCTACATGCAACTCCTGAGCATTGTTCGATCGAAGCAAATGCGGGTGCTCATCTCCGTGCTCCTTGTGCAAAAAATCGGCTTTCTCGCCAGCGATGTCGTGTCAATGCTCAAGTTGGTCGAAAAGGGGTTTGACAAGACGGATCTTGGCCTCGTGGCGTTGATTGACTTTCCGTGTCAGCTAATTCTTGGCATTTACGTTGCACGGTGGACATCAGGCAGCCAGCCCTTGAAGCCGGTGAGTTATGGAATGATCGGGCGGGGCTGCAGTTCCCCTCAAATCCACAACGCTAACCACGCGTGCGTCTGTCTCGACTCTAGTGGCTTTCTGCTTTATACGGCCGTCTCTTCCTGTCTCTGGCCGGAGTCATGATTGTCTGGTCGTATCCCTCTGGACCCGCGAGCGGCGGCTTTTTCACGCTTATCGCAGTTGCCACCATGCTGCTTTCCATCACTTCCACCGCCATGTTTGTGGCTCAGGTACGGTTGGGCGTGTGCGTTTTGAAGTATAGCTTTGGTGTCGAGTGTTGAGACTAACATCATTGCTAAAACGCAAAATGGCGAAACAGGGAGCATTCTTTGCACGAATTTCAGACGCCTCTATCGGTGGCACGTACATGACGGTGAGATTTGCCGTGTTTTCCTCTTTCGATGCCGAGAGATGCAGCTCTTGTTTATCTTCGGCAGCGTGCTCTTTGCTCACTTTTGTGCCTTTTTGTTTTTGTTTGGAATCGCGCAGCTACTCAACACAGTGTCCAACTTTGGTGGAACGTGGCCAAAGTTTTTCATTCTGCGCTCGGTCGACATGCTGACAGTCTCGCATTGCGAAGTGCCAGACAGTCTCAAGGGCGCGGTCGACTTTGTGCCTTCCAGCTGCGTGAGCCACGACGACAAGCAGGCTTGCCACAACATTGGAGGCTCCTGCGTCATTGATTCGGACGGATTCTACTTTGTTGCCTGGATTTGCTTTGTACTGGGAGCAGTAGTCCTGTTTGGCTTTGTTCGCCGAGTTGCGCCGTACCTCGAGTCTGCGGATTGGCGGCCTTCCTCTGCCGCCACCACGAGTCTTCCCTCCTTCAACGCATCTCACAAGGATGAATCCACGGCGGACCGCAAGTTGTGAATGGTGCAATGCTGTATCTCCTGTATTTATTTCAGTCCTTGAACAAGAGTAAAAATCCTTTTTGTTGGCAGTCTTCAAAAGCTGGCCTTTCCCCCACAATCTCCCTTGAGCCTCGAGGCACCCTACAACAACAACCCATTCTCGTTCTCTGAATTTGTCCATTTGCTGAAATTTTGAGCAGCTTCTGCGCCCCACCCTTTGAGCACAGGGGACTCTCTTTTTCTTCTCTCAGACGGGACCTGAGCCAATGTCGTGTCGGAGCAGGGTGGGATTGGCCGGATTGGCGGTCTTGCTGCTTGTTTCAGTGCTCTGCGCAACAGCACCCCACGCAGCAGCTGCCTCGCTCGGTGGTGTTAGCGCCATCAGCAGTAGCAGTGCGGGTCGTGGTGGTGATGGTGGTCGAGCGACGACGACAGCGAGCATGAGCTTGAGTGGCAACTCGACGAGTTCGCTCCCACCGACGCACGTCTCGCTCCTGCAGCAGCCGCAGCAGCCCCCGCTGGCCGACGACGAGAGCGCCGTTGGTGGTGGCTATGGGCCTGCGCCGCGCTACGCGTTCAAGTGCACCGACATCATGGACAACGACGACCCGTGCCTGTTTGTGACCATGGTCGAGGACTGCCAGAATCTTGCTGGCCGCTACAACTACCTGTTCATCCCATTCTGCAGCGAACTCCACAACGAACCGCAGTCGGGCTCGTTGCTGGGTCTGCTCGTCATCTACTTGTTTCTGGCGCTCGGCTGGCTTGCCGATGAAATTCTGTGCCCTTCCTTCAGCGCTGTTGTCCACCGACTCGAGTTGGAACCTTCCCAGGGGGTGAGTTTTGTGCTCAGAAATCTCAGTGTATCAGTGGTAGAAGTGCAGGGGAAGGCTGTTTATCCCTCTGCTTTGTATGACTCTGTTGTCTCCAGGGTGCAATGCTTCTGGCACTGTCAAGCAGCATTCCGAAAATACTGGTGATTGCATACACCTTCCCACCGCCCACGGCACTGCTCTACAAGGGTCACGTCTATGCGGCCATGGATGGCATGCTGGGGAGTATGCTCATCAACTCGGGCCTGAATGCCGGCCTTCTGCTCACGACCTTGGTCTTTTCCGTCGACCGATTTGCATTGGTTCGTGATTTGGCCTTGCTGGCGGCGGTGGTTGGCTTGCTCCTGTACCCAATTCACGACGGCAAGCTTACATCGGCAGAGTCTACTGGCTTCCTCTGCTTGTTTTCCGTATACCTGACTGTGTTTGTGGCGGGAGCGTGGCGCCGGTGGCGCGCTGCTGTTCGTACGCAAGACGGCGAGCGCCAGCATCTCCTCCCGCCTCAACAAGCTGGCGATTCCTCGCGGACGCCAGCAGCGCGCACACCATCTGCAGCCAACAGGAGTGTAAATTCCAATCCTCCCCAGCGCACACAAGGTTATTTGTTGGCAGCAAATCATGTTGCAAGTGTGCCTCCATGTCGCGAATGCTAAAGATGCTTGGTGTTTGTTTTTCGCTTGCATTGCAGCCACAGCCGATAGTTCTTGCCACTACGGCGCATATGGCACCATCGTCACGCTGACGGACGGCGGAGACGATCCATACGAAGATGTTTCGTCCTTTCCTGGATGGGCGGATCAGCTCCAAGCGTCCAACCAGCTCGAGTCGCCTCCCGACTATGGGTCTCAAAGGAAGGCTCCTATTGACAGGCATGGTATGTGGTTTGGCGTCTCAGTTGGAACGAGGGCGGGCATTTTTCAATGTTGTTTTTGTTGCCTTTTGTTTAGCAGCTCATCACATCTTCCTTTCTTGGTTGATTGGGTGGCTGATCGGTTGGCTGTGTGATGCGATACATGCAGAGGGGCAACAACCTGCTCCATCAGGCACGTTTTTCTCCACACAGCAGTGGCGGACTGTGGCGAAAGTCATGTCCCCCTTTCGCATGAAAGACTGGAAGGAGGCTGGCGTCTTTGGCAAGTTTATCATTCTGCTGAAAGCTCCTTGCGTGCTGGTGTTCAAGCTCTTCATTCCTATTTATGCCGAGGACGAGACAAACAACCATTGGAACCGGATTGTCGCTGTTTGGCACGCGCTCGTCACGCCCGCGTTTTGCATGTTCTTGGTGAATGGTGCGGCATTGTGGTTGTAAACACTCTAATTGCACCGAAGCAACTCCTGCGACTCACCTGTGGTTGTTTCTTTTGGATGGCGCGCTCTGCTTTCGTAGTGCCGGCCTTCAACTCTGACATTTTCGAACAATGCGCTGTCTGGATGCTGATGCCTGTGCTGTGCATCCCACTTGCCATTTTCGTTTGGTGCACAAGCAACTACGACCGTCCACCAAAGTACTTCCTGGTGAGCCACTTTTCTTCGCGTTTTCTCGTTCTTCTGTCTGCCAAACAGCACTGCTGATTTTCGAACCAATGCTCCACTGCAGGTCTTTGGCGCAGCCGGATTTGTTGCTTCTGCAATTGCACTTTATGCCATCCAAAATGAGCTCGTAAATGCGCTGATGGTACGAATCTGGTCTTCTCACAAACGTACACATGGTACCCGAATGGCGCCTCACCTTGCTGAACTGTTCCCAACACAAACCAGGCGATCGCCAAAATCATCAACATTAATGACACTCTGATCGACAGCACCGTTCTCTTTTGGGGTGTTGCTATCGCAGGTGCGCATCTCCGTTCATGTTGTGATGTTGCGGCGTGAGAGTGAAGAACTCGCCTAAACCGTATGCATTCGCGCAGATCTTGTCACCCAAGTCACAGTGGCCAAGTACGGTCTGGCCGAGCTGGCCTTCTTCGCTGGTTTGATAAATCCAATTTTGAGTACGTTCACGAATGGGGTAGGTGTGATTTCTGCTAGTTTTTCGCGCTGACTTGTTTTCTCTCTGTCAACTGTAGCCATGGCGCTCGGAATGGGAATGGGCGGGCTGATGGCCTCGTCTGCGAATGATGCTCCGTTTGTGCTTGAGAGTGCGGGTGACACTCAGCTTACCCTTTCAGCTGCGTTTGGGCTGGCAAATGTTGGCATTCTTGCGATTGGCGTGCCACAGTGCAAATTCACGTCACATCGTTGGTTTGGCCTTGGTGTCGTGGTTTGCTACTTTGGGTATCTGCTCACCTGCGTCATGATAGCTGCCGTCGCTTCCATATGAGAGTCGCAAGGACTGTGGTGTGTCGTGTACTGTGGTTTTTTGGTCTGAGTTTTTTTTTTGTTTGTACTTCTTTTGCTTGGTTCCACATACATTTAAATCTACTGGATCCGAGGTCTCTTGTGGTATTTATAATAAGAACCAAACTCGGGAAAACATTCATTTTGTACATTCACCATCTGCCCGAAGCAATCCATCTCTGGCTCTCTCCCTCTCTTAGGCTTGTCGCACTTTCTTTGACTTGTGTGTGGCACCCGTAGCGGCAGACGCGACAGCTGCTGACGGGGCTGCGTCGGAAGCACTCTCACCGTCTTCGTCGGCGGGCTTGTTGTCCTTTCGCCGCTTCTTCGACAGGCGCTCCTGGGTTTCTGCTTCAAGGTCTGTCGCCTTTTCAGCTACTAATTTGGCCTGTGGATGCGCAGTGGCGGTGGTATGAGCAACAATGAAATTCTTGTGGATTGGCAAGCTGTTTCATTCGTAACGCGTGTAATGCGCACAAGACCTTACAAGGGATGGGTTTTTGCGGGCACAGAGCTTGACATCTTCCACTTGAATTGTACTCCGCTTGGCATGTCTGTGCAAATCAGTAAAAAGTCTCAAAAGATGAGCTGCTTTTTTTGTTTTTTGTTTTTTTTGGGGGTTTTTTTTTTTTTTGAAATGACGACAAAGGGCACCTTCGTGGCGCCAACACTTACTTGGCAAAGCTTTCTAAATCGCTGGCCAGACTGCCTGCAAAACCAAAATTGGCGTATCGCAACAACAGCAAAGTGAGAATGTCAAACCATGTCGGATTTTGGATTTTGGCGGGAAAAACATCGCGCAGCCGCAACTCACCGCATTTGCCATACGTCAGCTCGGCGAGGGCGGCCAGGAACTGCTTGGAACACTTGACGCCCATTTCCGACTCTATGTTCACCAACGGCATTGAGCGAGAGAGTGAGCAAGAGCGAGCAAGAGTGACAGGGTTGGTCAGTCCTCGTTGGTTTCAAGCGTCCTTTGGAACTGCATTGCCCGCTCAATTTGCGTGCTTGTCCAAGTCGGTTTCTCGGAGGCGAGTTTCGGCACTACCTTCGCGTTGGCAAATCTTGCCGACAGTGTAGTGGACGCTGGCCTTGATGCGCGCCTTGAGGGACTCGTCGTAGCTCACATCGTCATCGTCCATTGGTCCGCCGGCAACAACTGGGTTGAAGAAAAAAAATAAGACTGGATGCCCTGGTAAGAAAGAAAGAAATAGATGCATCATTCTCATTGAGGTGAATGCAGGATTGGGGAGAGGAAATTTCAAGCACAGAGCAAAGTTAGGGGTCGCCACACTCAAAAGCAAACCTTTGAACACCAGACCGCCATCGATCTCTCAAACTCCACCCACTGATGAGCGAATCCCAAGCTCGCCTTTGAAATTGGTTTCTAAAGCGCAGCGTGCGAAGGCGGAGCTTGTGCTAGTGCCAAAAACAAACCAAGGGAAGCAACGGCAAGTGCAGTAGATTTACTGTACTGTACTGTGCTGTGCTGTGGAAAGCAACCCATACCAATGCATCTCCATGCGTTGAATACCCCCGATCGCCATAAGGATATTCTCCCATCTGTGGCAAAAGCCAAAGCCGAGCACTCCAAAAACAGAAATTTCCATTCTGGTGTTTAGCCTGTTTGGTTGTTTGCCTCATTCTGATAGCTTCCCGGAACACGACTACAACATGGGCCAGTACTACATCTGTGTGGTCATCAACGACGAGCGTCGTGTGGTGTGGGCCTATAGCACGTTTGGTGGCGCCAAGCTCATGGAACACTCGTACTTTGGACAACGCCGCGTCTTGGCAGCCATGGAGCGTCTTCGTCATCGTCCTCAACGCATGGTGTGGGTGGGCGACTACGCCGACGGCGAACCCGATGGTACGCACTTGTACTCTGCCGGACATGAGTGGGAGTCCGAGAACCACGGCGACGTGAACACCAAACATTGGCGGGAAAGCGACAGCCAAGACAAGTCGCTGAAGTCTGAAGAAAGTCTTCGGTTCCTTGTCAACCATGATCGCCATGAAATCATTGATCTTCAAGTCTATCTAAGAGATGATGTACATCCGCTGCCGCTGCTGACAGCGGAAGGGAACGGCCGTGGCGGCGGTGACTTCCTAGGCAATGGTAATGTTGGCATCTGGTCACGTCAGCTCATCTCGAGCGAGACCTTGCTCGATGCTCAAGTCTACATCGATTTGGGCTACACCAAGGTCGAGCAGTTCTTCACAGAAGGTTAGATCGACCGAATACGTTTCATGTGCAGTTTCGCTCTTCTCGGCTGCAGTGCTCTTGCTCTTCCTTTGTGAGATGCCTGAATCTGCAGTTTACAAGCTGCATGTGTTACGTGACGAATCCAATAAACTTCTTGACGCTCCAATGACAACGAAGTCTCGTACTTTTGTCACAGCTACTTCAAGGATGCATTATGGCGAGCAAAGACACTCGAATCGTACTCAAATACGTTCGAAGGGACCCTGCTCCACGAAGCATATTCTCATCGTTTTTCACAAGAAATTCGACGCACCTTGTTATCCAGCAACGATGAAAGCATCAACAACAGAATCACTGGGTTAATATCTATGCTCCATGTTCAATCCTCAGAGGAAGATACGCGGATATTGCACACTCGAGGAAATGACGAGGCGCGGAATGCAAAGCAGGGAACTTTCTTTATGAACGGACGGACAAACGTGAACGAAAAACGCAGGCCTGAAACACAATGCAAAACAGTCCAAGAACACCACCGAACTATCGATCAGTGCTGTGCACATGCTCTACAAGGCCTTGCCGAATGAGCATATCGACGTCGGATCTTCGGAGGAAGAGCGTCGAATTCTTTCGCAACACTATTGTGCCGTTTTCTGTGACAATCTCGCCTTCGTTCGTGAGGCACCGGACTTCTGCCAGCAGATCTTTCGGAGGATTCAAGTCCTGCAAGGGTGGGAATACGACACAATTCGAGTTAGACTGACCCGACAAAACCGATGCCTGACACCGAGGCCTGAATGGCCGGAAAGTTTCTGTCCTACCTCTGTCAGTGTGCATTGCACAGAACCCATGTACGTCTGTAGTATTTGGTTATATTGACTCATGTACTGCTGCTCGAATGGGCTATAGCTGTCGCGTACACTTGCTGGCGGTGCTTGGCCGAAATCCCATCGTACTTGCTCTATTTGCAGCACGCGAGCTTGACTGGCAAAGCACAATGACAATCAACAGGTCAATGTCAGTACTCATCGGGAAGTAACCAACAAACCAAACAAACAAAAAAGCAAGCTTGTACAGGTATGCCAGCAAGCAGCGCTTGTTTCGCTGCATTGCGCTATGGTGAACAGTCAGAGCGGACGTCAAGGCCGGGATTTCTTCAGGCGTCCGCTTCATTGCTCTGAGATTCAACCATTCGATCAGACGGTTCAAAGGGAGACATGGCAGGGCAAGGGAAGGGTCAGACACAAGCCGTCAACACAAATCCCATTGAAACACATTGTTGCGAGCGTACTCTGAAATGCGCAGACACTCGGCGTAGAGCTCGTCGACTTCTTGGACAATGCGACGCACAGCATCTTCCTGCAGACAGACAAAGAGCAAGGGAAGCGCGTGACCAGGGCCAGCGAGTCAATGGGCAGTGTCCGTCAACGAAAGTGGCGGGAAGTGAAATTTGGCGGGAAAGTTGAACTTGGTTTCTCGCTCTCTAACACTGTTCCCCTCCTCCCACTCAACGACGATAGCAGCCAGTCACCGAGGCTCGACTCGCTCCACACAGCCAAAACACATCACATGCAGCACGAGAGCGGAGGGAAGGGTTTACGTTGTAAGGCCCGATGAGAAAGTTCGCTTCCGAGCGCCGAAACTCCTTCAGCAGCTCCACTGCACGAGCACCGTAGCGCGACATTGAACAAAATCAGAAAGTGTGACTGAGGATGGCATGCTAAAATTCAAACAAGAACACAAGCAAAGCGCTCGTCAACTTGGAATGACCCCCCCCCCAACAGTGGAGACTCTAAGCAAATGGAGAAAACAAAACCTCAAGCTTTGAATCAGAACTGGAAAATTTGGTAGGAGAAATGCAATCGATCCCATCGTCGCCACTGAACGTCGTTCGCCCGCTCGTCCGCCTGCCCGCACCCACTCAACGTTCTGCCAAATTGCGCATGCTCCAAAAAACAAAACATAGCACCTTTGGGAACAAGCGTAGCTGCAACAACGCAATTCGGAATGGGCAGAATGAGGCTGACAACATGCCCGCACCGATTTGCGTCGGGTTGGTGGTGACGTTTCCCGCCATTCCTTCTCCCAACTCCGCCAGCCTCGCATCGCAATCAAACGCACATGTCCCTTTCCTAGCTGATGTATGCCAGCGTATCGTCAGTGTCTATCGCGACTGACGATCGCCGTGCAAAGTCGTCGTCCTCTTACCGCATTCTCCTCCTCCTCAAAACACCCACGCACTCCTACAAAATACAGCAGTGAAGAGTTCACCAAGTGGTGCACTCTTGCGTTCTGGAAAATTTCCAATGGTGCCCTCAATGTTTTGCTCTTCCACCTCTTTTGAAGGACGTAAAATACATTACGTTACGAAGAAAAAAAAACCGCGAAAAGATCAACGCTCATCTAAGGCGTCAAATCGGTATTTTGTCCTTCCTTTGCATGACAAAAAAACCCGTCATGCAATAGTCTTGCTGCCATTTCCTTTTAAATTGCACAGAAATAACAAGAACGACGACCATTTGGGGGAGCCGTGCACGGCTTGGTAGCGTCGCCTTTAAAAACCCGGCTTCCCGATTCGGTTGCATCTTCACTCTTGCTTTCGCTTTTGCAACCTTCCTCACCGAATCGCTGCCGCAGCCATGAAGCTTACTCTACTGCTCCTTCTCGTCGCCTGTGTCGGCACGGCCCTCGCTCAGAGCTCCAGCACCGTTGTGACTGTTATCCCGGTCGAGTCCTCGGGCGCCCCCGCTGAATCCTCCGGCCTTCCTGCATCCTCCGGCCTTCCTGCATCCTCTGGTCTGCCCGAGTCCTCCGGTATTCCTGCATCCTCTGTTCCCGTTTCTGCTTCGGCCCCTGCCAATGCCACCTCGGCCCCTGCCAATGTCTCGGCCTCCGTCACTGCTTCTCCTTCCGCCAAGCCTGTTGTCCTGAGCTCGAGTATGTTTAATTGCCATGTCTCACGGGGTTTCCTATCTTGCATTTTAATGAGGGAGGAGGTCAGCAGAGTTGGATAAACGCATGCGAAAACACAACAAAAAACAAAAAATTCCGTTTTTGTTTTTGTTTGTTTTTGGGCGGCGTTGTTTTTTCCTACTTTGTTTTCCTACTTTTGGATTTTTTTTTGGTTATCTGCACACCCCGGCCCCTTTGTACATGTGCACCACTCTCGCGTTCTTGACTGAATTTTCCCCCCTTACTGACTAACTTGCGCTGCTCTGCCCTCTGCCAAAAAACAGCCAACGACCTTTGGGCTCTACAGTACATGTACGTCATGGAGCGTCTCGACTCTGAGTTCTTCAACACGTCGCTCGATGCCTTCACTGCCGCCCAGTTCGCTGACGCCTTTGGTGCCCAAGTTCCCAACTACCTCCAGATGATTAACGCTCAAGTCAAGGTATGCATGTGGCGGGGCGTTGTTTCTTGATTTTTTTTTATTTTTTTTTTGGGTTGCCTCGATTATTTCATGCACGCTCACCTTTGCGCCTTTACCTCGAACGTGATATAAACACACACACACGCACAAACTACCAGGTCCACTTTGATACCATCCGTGACCTCATTCTGCTCCGCAACGCCACTCTTCCCGAGAACTGCACCTTCGAGTTTGGCACCAACTGGACCACCACCGAGATTCTCCAGACCGCCGCTTCCATCCAGACGCTCATGGTTGAGGCCTACGACGGCGTCATGCCCCTGATCACCGACGCCCACCTGCAGCAGATTGCCGGCACCATTGCCACTGTCAAGGCCCGCCACGCCGCATACCTGAACATGCTCATTTCCGAGATGCCCTTCCCTTCGGCTTTCGACACTGCCCTCTCGCCCAGCAACGCCACCGACCGTGTCTTTGGCGAGTACATGACCACCTGCCCCCAGGATCTCAATCTCCCCATTCCCCGCGACGAGACTGTCAAGCAGACCACCGCCAAGCCCATCGGTGGCTCGTCCGCTGTCGCGAACGCCACTGTCACTGCCTCTGTGATCGCCTCGGGCTCTGTTCAGCTTTCGCCCACTGTTTCCGGTGGCATTGCTCCTGCTGGCAACAGTGCCTCGACCATGTCCCTCGCCACCGCCTCGGTCGTGTCGCTCATCTCGCTCGTTGCGGCTGTTGCCCGACAACTCTAAACCCAGCGGCGAGAAGTGTCACCCTGGTTTTTTGCATGCTTCGTAGGCTTCTTGTGTAATATCCAAGCTGGTCTATCCTCGGGTCGAAAAAAAAAAACCTGTTTCGTTTGAATTGTAATTTTTCTTCTCAGATTTTTGTTTTCAATCGATTTTTGTTCTTCGCTCGAAAACACGGCGTCCACCCAGTTCGATGGTGTCTTTTGTCGTTGTCCCCTTGCAATAGACGCTGTTTTGTTTTTGTTGGAAGTCGGTTGAATTCGGTGCATGATCCGGAGCTATGAGATGCGGTTCTCAGATCGCCACTCTTTGTTGTTTTTTTTTTTTTCTTTTCTTTCTCGTTGTCCATGGGTGTTCTGTCGCAAGTCAACGCGCGCGCTGTGGTCATTGCGTCGGTCGTGGTCTCGCTGACGACCATCTTTGGCTGCTATGCCACGGCCGTGCATCTCCACCACGTCAAGGCGTGGCTGCCGATGATTAGCGACTGCGGAGTCGATGCTCCTGAAAAGTACCCCTTCCGCCTCGGCATCATCTCGTCCGCGCTGCTCATCATGTTCAACGCGTATCTCGTCTGGGCCATCTCGGGCAGCAGCGCGTCCAAGTCCAACACAGTCGCCTTCATTTCGGCGCTCGGCGGCGCGGCTGGTCTCGCTGTCGTCGGCGCAGTCAACGAGGCCGAGGATAATTCCGTCCACGGCAGTAAGCGCGCTCGCACGGCTTTTGACCTTTGGCCACATTCTCTCTGTCTGTCTGTCTGTTTCATGCCTCTATCGTCCAGGTCTTTCTCTCTGGGGAGGAGGGTGGCTGGCTGGGTGGCTTGCACAGTGGGAGCGGTTTCGATGAGCGAGCGGGTCTTTGTGATGTTTTTGTTTGAATGTTTTCGCTTGCCGTTGTTGTTCCACTCGAGCGGCGAGACCCCCCCCCCACCACCTCCTCTCCGCCTTTGCAACCTCATTGCATCTCTATCCATCTACAACATGCGGCTCTGAGTGCGCGTGACTGCTCGTCAGTCAGTCGGGGGAAAAGCCAAGTTCAAGTTTAACAGTCATGCGGGGCTTTTTTTTTTTTTTTTTTTTTTCCCTTTATTTTCTTTATTGTTAGGTCTTCGCTCCTGCTCCCCGCTCTCCGCCTGCAACCGCTCCACTGCGTTGTAGAGTACTGCGAGTGTGCAGCATCGACGGCTACGCAACGCACTTGACGCCAGTCACGCAAGTCGCGAACATTCACGAACAGTCACCAAAAACAAAGCCCCAACATGCAAGGGGGAGCTTTTTCTGTAGATCACATTGCAAACTCAGTGGATCAGCATGAGACCGAGGGGAGGGCGGGGGGGGGGGATCGCAGTTGTCGGCTTTTGTTGCTGCTGCATGCTCGAGTCTCATACGGAAGAATTGCATCATGCATTGACTCGTTCGTTCTTGTTCGTTCTTTGTCCGATTTGGCTCATTTTGTTTTGTTTACTATTTTTTTCTTCGTTTTTGTACTTAGCTGCCGCGGTCATCTTCTTCTTCCTGTACGAGCTGTACATGATCATCATCACCGTCAATCTGTTCCATGTTCGGGGCAAGACCGCCCAGGGCTACCGCGCCGTGAGCGACTTTTCGCTGACCCTGAAGGTGTTTGCGTTGACTGTTGGCACCGTCGCCCTCGCGCTCTTCGTCTACATGAACAGCGATTGGGGCAAGTACAGCCTGCAGATTGCCATTTGCGAGTGGTAAGTTGAGCGGTGGTCGCTATTCTATCATTATTGCAGCCAAGGCACGTGTTTTTGGTTTTGTGCAACTGACTCTAAAACCACATTCTCCCTGTCCAGGACTGGCACAATGATGATCCAGCTGTTCAACATCTCCTTTGTGTTCGAGTATGGCACCGATTACAAGCTTGACGCGACGATTGTCAACTCGGTTGCTTCCTACGCTGCTCCCAAACAGCCCGCTCTCCCTTTGATGTTTGTGGCTGTCGCCTCCCCGCGTGTCAACTCCAAGACTGGCGAGTGGCTCGATCAGGTTGCCTGGAAGCCGGCTGCCATCGTGTAACGAGCTGGTCCTGTTGCTGCTGCTGCGTGGGGCGACTTGTTGTGATGATTCTGTTGCTCGTTTTCTCCTCCCCGTTGTGCTGTGCTCGGCCGCCTTTTGTTGTCGATCCCATCTCCTCGTTGTGAATAGACCCAACTGTGACCCCTTTGAGGAAGCAGTTTACCACTTCTCTCCAAGCAACCATTTCATGTATCCGAGTGCGCAGCAAAACTTTTCACTTTTAATTAAGACTTCCACAGAGTAGTTCAACTGGCATCATCATGCACAACTCGCAACAAAAAAAAAAAAAAAAAATAAAAAAAAATTAAGAAACATTCACAACCACAAACAAATTCAAACCGAAAAAATAATATCGACAAATCCATGAGCCAAACAAACGTTCGTTGTTGCACCACCCTTCGCGCTTGGTTGACGTTCAGGCCAGCAGCAAGTCATCATCGTCCTCGCTGTCACTCACAACAGCCTTGCGGCGAGGTGCTCGTTGTGCGCGTGCCTTGGAGGCAGCGGCAACACTCAACTTTGACTGCGCAGTGTTCATGTCAGCATTCTCAGAGTCCGCGGGCAAGGAGTCCATGTCATCGTCGCTCGAGTCGTCGCTGCCAGTGTACTGGGCGCGAGCTTTGCCCTTGCCTGCGGGTTTCTTGGCGGCCGGCGCCTTGCCTTTGCGGGGAGCCCGTTTGGCAGGCTCAGCAGCGGGCTTGCTCGCCTCATCCGCCGCCTGCGCTTGCTGCTGACGCTCGCGCAGCATCTCGGCAACGTCGCTCTCAGACAGCTTGGATGCACCGCCGGCCTTCGAGGACGCGTTCACCGCCATCTCGGCAGCGCAGTGATCGACCTGGCCGCTCTTGTGGCATTCCTCCATCTTGGCCTGCAGCTCGTCCAGCACCGTCTTGAGCTCGACGCGGCAGAACTTGCGGGCCTTGGTAATCAACGTCTCCATGCACTCAAACACACGATCGTCGTACAGCTTGTCTTGGAAGGAGCCGAACAGCTCGCCAAGGCGCCGAATGCCCTTCTCGCTCAGCGACAGGTACGACAGACAGTAGGCAATATCGCGCCATTGTCGCGGGTCGCGAGTGGTGGTGAAGCGGTGGCACAGCTTGTCCAACAGGGAGTCCGACTGCTTCTCCTTCTGGATGAACGAGAAGAGATACTCCATAATGCTCTTGAACGCAACCTCTGTGATATGGCCGTCGCTAATCGCCTCCGCGGCACTTGCAGCAGACTCCTCCTCCGTCGGCTCGCTGGCAGCAGGCGCGACTGCCGGTTGCAATGGCGACGCAGTGCCTGTCGCTGCAGACAATCGACTGACAATGTCGGGCAGAATGTTGTAAATCGTGTTGCCCTTCTTGGCGAGCTCGTGGAAGAAGAGCTTGGCCAGATCAGCAATGCGGCGATCTTCGTCAATGATGCAGATGGCCATGGCACTGATCTGACCCTTCACTCGAATCATGTCGTTCAAGATCAAGTGCGTCAGCACCATGAGCGTGTTCTTGCGCACACGCACGTCCTGATCGGCCAGACGGGCGTAAATGTGTGGCGTCCACGGCTCAATCAAGTTGGGGAAGCGGAAGGCGAGATCACCCAGGGCAATCACAATGTTGGCGCGCACCATCGACTCGGTCGCCGTCTTGAGCACGGTGAAGAGCAGCTGCAAATGGCGATCGCAAAAGTCGGCGCTCACGAGCATAAACTTGCTCAGTGCAAGCACAGCGGCCGCGCGCAAGCGTGTATCTCCAGCAGTGCGGCGCGTGTCGCGGCACAATCGCACAATCACGGGCCCAAACTTGCTGAGGAGCGAGTCGTTGCCGGAAATCAAGTGGTGTTCGCAGAGAGAGTGAATAAACTCGCTCTCGGCATCTTCGGCTGCTGCGGCAACGCCAAGTTCGTCTTCGAGAGACTCGCCGGCAGGGGCAGCAGCAGTAGCAGCGGCGGCAGCGTTGTTCTTGCCCTTTTTGCCGACAGCCTTGGCTTTGGCCGTCTTGGCCGTCTTGCCCTCTGCATCCTCGCCATCCTCAGTCTCTTCGTCGTCACTTGCAGCGGCCTTGTTCTTGGAGGGCAGAATGCCCGAGCGACGACGATCCGTCCAACTGGAGGCCGGCTTCACCTTTTCGCCATTGATGGCTCGGCGACGCTTGAGCTCGCTCTCAATGCTCTCCATGTGAACAAGCTGCTTGACAGCCACGTGTCCAACAAGGAAGATGAGCTTGCACAGCTCGCCTCGGTCGCCTTCGTGGTGCGGTGCGTCCAAGCTGGTCATGTTGAGCGACGAGGAGGCGCTCACCTGAGTAGCAGCAGCAACCACACCCGAAACATCGGCATTCTCATCACCAAGAACCCGGTGAGCAAGAGTGCGGATGGCAGCGGCACAGATGACGTCGGGATTGTCGCCGAGACGGTAGATGGTGTTGACTGCTTGCTCGGCCGCGGTCAGCCAATCGTTCACTTGGGCTGCGGTGGTGGGGGCGACCAGCAGGCTGCCAAGGGACTCAAACAATGGGTGCGATGCTGCAAACTTGACGGGTTCACGCGAGTTGCCAGAAGATGTCGCAGCAGGTTTGGGAGCATCCGCCTTGTTGGCACCCGTGGCTTTCGAGGAGGCATTTGCCAAATCGGCGTGTGAGATCAGAGCCAACGTCTGAAGGGCCACGCAAGCGTCGCGAGCAAGGAGCAAGTCAGCACGTCCGCGTTCGCCAAGACCAATGGTAACAATCAACGACAAGTTGGCGCGGATCATTGCGGGGTCTGCACGACCAGCCATGCCGAGGATGATGAGCGCACCTCGCGATTGAGCAGGCGTAGTCGAAGGCACACGGTTGGCAAAGACATCCCACAGCACGCGCATGGTCAATGAGGAGATGGCGCCGCTTTGCACGAGAAGCAAGACCATCTCTTCGAGCGAGGTAAGATCACCGAGCGTGGCGCCCTGCGTAAGCTCGATGAGATTCTTGGCGGCACTGGCGGCAGCGGCAGTCTTGTTGCCGCTGGCTTCGATCTCGGTCGGGATGAAGAGTTCACGGTAAGCCTCGACGACAGCGTCCTTGACTGACTTTTCCTTAGACCAAACGAGCGCCAGCATGCGGCGGACGGCCACATCGGTTCCATCCACGCGGAACGAAAAGGCCGTGACCAAAAGGTCGACACTTTCTGTCACGTCGCTGACAATCTTGGAGCCCAGCAGTTGCGTGACCACCGACAAGATGTGGCGGACTTGCTCGACAAACAGCAGCGCGTCACGGAAGTACTGGACAACCAAGCGCTGGCGGTTGACTGCGTCGATGCGGAGCACCTCTTCAGAGGACATTTCAGGAGCAGCGGTGTCCTGCGAGGGCGAAACAGCGGCATCCACGTCTGCTTCTGCTTCGAGTTTGAGGTCATCATCTTCGTCTGCGCTTGCGTCCTCTCCTTCACTGGCACTTGCATCAGAGTCTGACGTGCCAGCGCCATCCTTGGACTTGTTCCGGGCAGCTCGCTTGGCTTTCTTGGACTTTTTGCTTGCTTTGGCAGTGTTCTCCTTCAATCCAAGAGCCACCGCCGGATCAACCTCGCCGCTACCAGTTGCAAGGGCTTCGTCCTGCTCGTCCGCTGCGGGGTCGAGCTCCCGCAACCGCGCACGTTGCTCGTCACGCTGCCTTTCCAAGCCAGCCTGGTCGAGCGAACTGCCAAACGGATTGAACTTGAGCATGGCAGTCAACAGGGAAAGAGCCGCCTTGCGCACAGCACTGCTCTTGTCTTGCAGTCGCGACGTTGCCATCATGACAATGTGACGCTGGCGTGACAAGGGAATGGCCTAATGATATGCAAGAAGAAGAAGAAGAAGAAGTGAGCAAACTTGAAAGAACCGGGAGAGAAAACAAGCAACCTGCGCCTCTCTCCCTCTCCCACTGTCTCGAAACAGCGTAGTCATACCTTGGATTCGCACAAATACGTCCAAACTTGCATCGTCTTGCTACGAACAAAGGCATGGACATCCATTGCGCGCTCCTCCAGGACGTCGAGGAAGTTGTCGCGCTTGTGTCGGACACTGTCCGTCTTGTTTTGTCCAAGAACGCGGACGACAATATTGCCAAGCACGCTGAGAACGGCGTTGCGCATGGTGTATGATTCTCCATCCAAGTGCGCCAGGAGAACGCTGACGCAAGGCAGAATGTGCTCTGGCACGCGCTCGGAGAGCTCGACCAAGAATGCAGCAAACGACTTTGTGCCGCTAGCATCGCGGGCAAGGTCTGCAGGATTGATTCGAGCAATTTCGCTGCAAGTGGACGAGAAGAGCTTGGGTTAGACTTTTGGTAGAGCACAAAACCCTCCACCCCAAAACCAAAAACCAAACCCAGAAACACGCCCATAGCAAATTTTACCGAAGCAAATCACCGACAATCTTGGAGCTGTCGTAACTCTCGGCCAGGAGCAGAACGAGGTCAGCAAGGTGAGCCGGGAGATGCTCAAAGTGTGGCAGCATGTGAATCACGGACGCGCAAAATCCAAGACCGTGCTTGTAGTGTTGCACCAAGGTGCCAACGACCTGGAACATGGCATCTTTGGTTTGCTTGCGCTTAAAGTTGTCTGAAGATTCCATGAGTTGGGACACGGAGCGGCTGAAAAGACTGTCGGCCAGTGATAGAAGAGCAAGGGAAAGTGAGCACAGCAAACAAAAAGCAAACCAGTCAATCTCCACTTTCAACGCGTCAAAACGCATCATACTTGATAAATTCTTCTTCAACGCAGCCACGGTGCCAGAAGCGGGAAACCTCCATGCCAATCATGTTTGAGATGGCAATCAACACCTCGTCCTTGATCGTGTCCCAGTCGAACTGCGAAGCTTTGGCCTTGGCGGCCGACTTTTTGCCGCCAGCCTTCTTTGACTCCTTTCCCGACTTGGGAGGGGGAACGTCGTCCTGTGCTGCTGCTGCGTACGAGGTTCCGGCACTTGCGGCGGAGCTAGTGGCTTCTGCTGAAGCATCTTGCTCTGCGGTGACCAGTGCCCAGTTGGTCAGGAACATGACCATCTTCAAGGCATTTCGGACTCGCGTTGTATCGCGTGCTGACAGCGCCTGAGTGCTGTTGGATTCGCTGGCGTCGTCCTCGTCCTCGTCCTCGTTGTTTGCAGACGACGCGCCGTTGCCAGCGATCGTTGCCATCTCGTTGCACAGTCCTTGGATGACTGTGGGAGAACGAGCGAATGGACGTGCGAATGTTAGGCACACTATTTTCCACACCAACAACAACCAAACAGCCCGAGAACAAAACAAAATAAACACTCATGGACGAATGCACCACGACTCACTGGCGAGCAGAATGGCCCAATATTGACGCTTGCTCGATTGGTCCAGCTGTGAAAAGACTCTGATCAAAGTTGCGGCGCGACTGTGAGTCCTTTTTTGTTTCTCCCTACACTACAACTGAGCATTTCGACATTTTTCCCTCAAGACGCCTGGCTTACTGCGTGACACTGTACAGCGTATCAAAGACAATGTTGTCCGTGATGGCAAGCGCGCCTTCCTGCTTGATTTGACGCGTGAGCTCTGTCAATTGCAGGCGCACCCACCAACAAGCATAAGCAACAAGTGAGTATCAAAGGCAAGAATAACAAGCATGAAAATGCAAATACACTCAACATCAAACTTGAAACCATCAAATTTGAAACCTGAAACCAACAATCGGATTTTTTTGAATTTGGCGCGAAAACTCGAGAAAACTGTTTTGTTTCAAAAAAACAAAAAACGACAACGCTTCATTCTTTGCGCACCGCCGCCGTCCACCTTCCAAGCGCCTGTGAATCGGATGTCACACTGGAGCATGGATGGCAGAGTGTGATGGCGTTGTGGGGTGCAGAGCTCAGCTCCAAAGCCCGCCAAACAGCCCTCGACTCTCAAAAAACAGTTTTTGTTCGCCACTTTTGAAACGCTTCCGTCGCTTTGTTGTCTCTCTGTACTGTCCTAGGCTTCATTCCTCGCTTTCCCCAAGCGTCCAAGAACGATCCAGGACACCGAGCTGCCATGATGCGAATGTGGAGCTGGGTTGGACCCCTTCCCCTCTTATGCGAGAATTCTTGGCTCAGTGCCTGACCTTCAAGCATGTCCGACACGCAGTCTCCAGAGCTCGTGTCCACGGCGACCGTGTGGACACAGTAGCCCTCAGTGGCATCCATGAGGTCCTCTCGGTTGATTGGCAACTGGAACTCGACGTCCATGGTAGCAGCGAATCTCGAGTTTTGAAGATGGAAAAGAGAAAAGGGAAGAAAAGGGAATGAAAGAAAGACTGGGTCGCAGAAAAGCTCAGTTTGTGTTGGGTTGGTGCTGTGTAAGGCAGTGGCAGTGCTACTAAGGCAGAGGACGATCCGCTTGCAAAGGTTAGTTGCCATCCAAAGCGGCGAAAGCGAGGGTGGGGACACGAGTAGTGAGCTGACAGGAACGATCTCAGCTCCTCGGCAGCTGAACTCTGGTTTTGAAGCAGTCCGCGTTTTGCTTTCTTTTTTAGCATGAATGTCGAGTTGAATGCTTGATGACAGAATGCATTTTGACCAAAGGTCACCGTCCGTGGACTGATCGTTGCGATTTCCAAGGCGGACAATGCAAATCGCCTGGAATCGCTCCTGAAGAGAGTCCTCAATCAAGCATATGCCTTCTATTTTGACTCGACATATTCTACGACTAAGGCTCAGGGGGGGGGGGTGCAGGAAGCTGCAGCTCTCCTTCCATTCAGACTTCAAAGCATTGGCCTTTTCTCTTTTTTTTTTTTTCCTTCCAACCGTTTTCCTCCCCTTCCACCCTAAAAATCCCTCTTCTAGAATGCATTCTATCACTCATCCAACCACTCGGAAATCGCAGGGTGACGCGTCGTCATTTCAGCTTGTCGTCTTCCGCATTCGGTCTTCGCTCTCTCTTCTCTTTGCACAAAACCTCTCAACATGGGTCGCATGCACACTCCTGGGTAAGCCCGTTCCGCCCTTTCGCTCCATTTCCTCCCCGTTCCAGCCCCGCTCGCCCCTCTACTCGGCATGCCATTCAGTCCTCACAACCGCTTTCAGCCTCGGTGCTCGTGTCGTTCGTTGGCGGCGGTGGAGCAGGCGAACAACGACAACCACATTGAATTTTTTTTTTTTGGCTTTTTTTTTTTTTCCTTTGAGTTTCCATTGGGTTTTCCATTGGGTTTGACCGCGTGGTTTTTCCAAAGTTTTTTTTTTTCTTTGGCCCTTCTCTTTGTCGCTTTTGTGCTTGTTTCTCTGTTCGCTTGTGCCGTGGTTTTCGATCACCAGCGTCGTGTATGCCATCAAGCGACTGGCGCATGCGAATCAGCACAAGGCTGAAGCAGCGGAGCGCAGGATGCGACGAGAGAGAGAGAGGAAAAAAAAAAAAAAGAAATCAGAAAAAAGGAAAAAAAAAAAAAGTCAGCCAAATCCCAATAGACTTTTTTTTTTTTTGAATTAAAAAAAGAAAAAAAAAGAAAAAAAAAAGAGCGATCTCTGCTTTTCCATCCTTGCGCAGCATGGACGTCGCTCGGCTCAGCACCCTCAGGAGTAGTAAATCTACGCCCTGTGTGACCTGAGATGTCACCCGCCTCATGCTCCCGGCCTCCGAGGAAGCACGACATTGTCGAGTGGAAGACCAAAAAAAAAAAATATAAAATGTGTTTTTTTTTTGTTTTTTTTTTTTTGGCTGGCATAGCATTGTAGCGTTTTCGAATGGCTGCCCGACCATTCCTTTGCCTCCGGAAGCAAAGCCGTTGGGCTGAGTTTGAGCCCATGCCCTACAGAAGCTCGAAAGTTGTTGAGGCTGGGTCGTCGGACGGGCAACAGTCACCGCGCGCAATGCTTCGCAATGGGATGGCTTTTCCGCGTGGTTTTTTCTTTCTTTCCTTTTTCTTTTTTTTTTTTTTCGTCCCTTCCCCTTTCGTTGCGTTGCGATGGCTTGGCTGCTTGCTCAACTGGCTTCCTCTTCATGACTGCTGGCCTTTGTGTGCCATTGTCCCCTCGCGCGCACCTCGTCCCTGCTCTCACTTTTTCTGTTCTGCTTCTCTTTCACAGCAAGGGCATCTCGTCCTCTGCCCTCCCCTACCGCCGCTCGGTCCCCGCTTGGTTCAAGACCTCGCCCGAGGAGGTTAAGGAGCAAATCTACAAGCTCGCCAAGAAGGGCCTGACCCCCTCGCAGATCGGTGTCATCCTCCGTGACTCGCACGGTGTTGGCCAGACTCGCTTTGTCACCGGCAACAAGGTGCTCCGCATCCTCAAGGCTAAGGGCCTCGCCCCCAAGATCCCCGAGGATCTGTACCACCTGATCAAGAAGGCCGTCTCCGTCCGCAAGCACCTCGAGAAGAACCGCAAGGACACTGACAGCAAGTACCGCCTCATTCTCATCGAGTCGCGCATCCACCGTCTTGCCCGCTACTACAAGCGCGTCCTCCAGCTCCCCCCGAACTGGAAGTACGAGTCGGCCACCGCCTCTACCCTTGTCGCTTAAATTTCCCAACCCCAGTCCCCTTAGCGAACGTCCGTTTTGTTTTTGTCTGGTGTTGTCTTGACAAGTGTGTGTGTGATCCCCCTCCCAATTTTGTAAAGGCATACAGACACAAAGAAAGAAAAAAAAAAAGAACGAGCAACAGACCAGGCGCATTTGACTTTTCATATTCTGAGATCCAACCGATCTTGTTGGCAAGCTCCCAATTCATTCTCAAGGATGTTGTTCAATCTAAAGCAATGAAACAATGTGAAACAATGTAATGCTGATGATACAAAGGAAATTGAAAATGCGTGACAGGAGGACTGCAACAGCGAAAGAAACAAAACTTTTGTAAGCCTATCGTCGACCACCGCGACGGCCGCCAGAGCCACCACCACCGCGCGACGAATTGCCGAAAGTGAATCCGCCAGTCGCCTGGCCACCGCCATTGTTCGCGGGAGCAGCGCCGCCAAAGGTGAAGCCTTGGGCAGGCGCATTGTTATTGGTAAAGTTGCCAGCCTGCTGTGCCGCGTGGCCACCGCCGCGTCCAGCGTTGCCACCAAAATTGAAGCCACCGCGGCCACCAGCATTGGCATTCGCAGCAGGGACACCGCCGCCGGCGGCACCTCCACCTCGTGCCGCTCCACCGAAATTGAAACCGCCGCGGCCGGCGTTGCCTCCGCCGTTAGCACCGCCGTTGGCACCGCCTCGACCGCCCATTGCAAAGCCACCTTGCGCTTGCTGCACTTGGTTTTGCTGGGGCTGAGCGCCCTTGCCACCAAAGGTGAATCCGGCGCCGCCAGCGGGCTGGTTTTGGGCCGCGCCTCCTTTGCCGCCAAAGTTGAAGCCACCAGCACCTTGGGCGCCTGGGAACTGCTGTTGCTGATGTTGCTGTTGTTGCTGCTGCTGCTGCTGTGCAGGGCCTTTGCCACCAAAGGTAAATCCGCCAGTCTTGGCAGGAACGCTGTTGAAGGACTGCGGGCTCTGCTGCTGTTGGCCACCGAACTGCGGCTTGCCGGCATTCTTGGCTGGAGTGCTGAAACCAATGGCAGGCATCTGTGCCTGCCCTGCCGGGGCGCGATTAAACCCGGCACCGTTCATGCCGCCAACAACTGGGGGATTGGCGTTGCCCATGCCGCCACCAAAGCCGCCGGCTTGAAACCCGCCGGCGCCTTGAGGTTGTTGCTGGAAGCCACCCATACCGTTAGCACCACCCATGCCCATTCCGTTCGCGGCGCCCATACCAGCTGCAGCAGCAGCAGCAGCAGCAGCTGTAGCGGGTTGTTGCATGTTGAACGAGTTTTGGAAGCCGCCCATGCCGGTTGCCGCTTGAGCGCCTGGCATTCCCATGGCAGGGTTGTGCGGCAGCTGTTGTTGCTGTTGCTGAGGCTGAGCCTGGGGTGCAAAACCACCAAAACCGCCCATGGCACCGCCGGGTGCAGCGTTTGGCGCTGCAGTTGCGGCAGCTGCACCGGCACCACCAAACTTGAAGCCCGCCGTGCCGCCCGCAGCTGGCGGTTGTGCAACGGGTGCTTGCTGCAGCCCAGCAAACCCAGCAGGAGCGGCGGCCGCTGGAGCAGCCGCGGCGTTGCCAGCCATGAAGCCGCCGGTCACCGCACCCGCTCCAGCAGGTTTGAACGCGGCAAACAAGCCACCCGGAGCAGCAGCAGCAGCAGCAGCAGCAGGAGCTGCTTGAGTTTGTTGTTGGACGGCAGGTTGGCCCGCCAGGGGGAATCCCGGAAGACTGCTGGTCGGAGTTGGCGCCGCAGGTTGCTGCGCAAGCCCGCCAAAGCTGGGCAGAGCTCCAGGAGCGACAGCGGCTGGGGCAGCTGCAGCTCCCAGCGTCGGTAGCTTGTTGGCAAACGGACTGGCTGCAAGACCAGCGGCAGACGCTGGTGCTGCAGTGGCCGCAGGCTTGGCGAGGCCAAACAAGCCACCAGCTGGCGCGGCAGCAGGTGCACCAAGACCAGCAAGCGGGTTGGCGCCTGCTGCAGCAACAGGTGCGGCGGCAGCAGCAGCAAGACCTCCCAAGGCGCCCGGTGGCTTGAAAGCGGGCAATCCGCCAAGCGCAGGCTGTGCCAGAGGAGCAATCGAGGCAGCAGGCGTCGCCGAGGCAGCGGTAGCAGCGGCCACAGGAGTCGCCACACCAGCTGCAGGAGCAAGTGCACTTGCAAGCGATCCAGGCAAAGCAGGCGCAGAAGGCAAACCTGGAGCTGCAGGCAGACCTGTAGCGGCAGGAGCGCCTGGAGGCTTAAAGCCGGGCAGGCCACCCGCGGCACCGCCGAGCGCTCCGCCCAAGGCAAGCGGCGGCAAGGCGCCACCAGGTGCAGGCAGAGTCGCAGGGGGCGCTGCGCCAGCGGCGGGCGGCGCCACACTACCTAGTCCTGGGGGCTTGAACAACGCAGCACCGGCGGCAGATGTTAAACCAGCACCGCCCAGTGCGGGCGGACCGGCAAGTGAGCCTGCAGCAGGGACAGATGCAGCGGGTGCAGCGACAGTCGGCTCTTTGGAGGCAGCCAGCAGCGCAGCCACGCGATCGTCGCCGTCTTGCTCGTCCTGCAAGAGCTCGTCTTCGCGGCGCGCAAAGCGAGTGGAAAAGTTCACAAATCGGGAAGCCGTGGACGCGGCATACGCGTGAGGGGCCGCTGCTGCGGAGGCAGACGGAGTACTGTTGGCAGCTGCCGGAGTGGCGTTGGTGACGTGCCTCAAGTTGGACAAGGCTGCTGGTGTGCGTTTCGGCGTGTGGGAGGAGCGAGCTGGCGTGCCATTGGTGGATGCGAGGGGGATGCGGCTTCGTCGCGGGGTGGGCGTGGTGCCCGATTCTTTGGTCGGTGCCGCTTTGCGTCGCAGAGATGCATGACCAACAGGCGTGAGCTCAATAGTTTGGCGCGGAAGCAATTCGCCCTCCACGATCTCGGATCGGGACTTGACCGCCGACGACGACGACGACTTGCGGGGTGCAGCAGTGTCAGGGCTGCCGACCTCTCGTCGCTTGGATTGCCTCGCTGATTCGTTGGGCGGAGACGCCGACCGCCGCTTGGTGCCCTTGTTGGCAGTGACCGTGGATGAGCTGATGGCATCCTCGTCCTCGTCCATGGGGTCGATGGCGTCGTCACTAATATCCAGTTTGTCCGCCGAGTCGCCGCTATCGGCATTCTCGCCGTCGTCATTGTCATTGTCATTGCTATTGCCGTTGCCACGTGCGCCTCGTCGGCGCTTGCTGTGGCGAACGCCGGCTTTGGCCGAATTCGTGGCAGCATTGTCCTCGTCAGAGTCACTGTCGCTTTCGCGCGCGCGTCGGTGTCGCGCAGTGCTCACCTCTCCATCCAGTTCGTTGTCGTCACCGTCGTCGTTGTCATCACCGTCGTCGTCGTCGGCGTCGTCGTCTTCGTGCGTGGGAGCGGCGCGAGTCCGCTTGGTGTGATGAGGCTCGTCGGCATCCGAGCCCGAGTCACTCGTCTCGCCCTGCGACACCCGTCGCGTGCGTTTGACCCCGGAGACTGCATCGGCGGGTTTTGAAGAACTGTCTGCTTGATGCTTCTTCCTTTGGTGCTTATCGTTGTCCAGGGCATCTGCCTCCCGCTTGGCACCGCGCCGGTCAACACGTTGTCGCTTGGACGCCGCCGCATCAGCGGCAGACGTTTTTGCTGGCGATTCCGGGTTTCGCGACGGACTGTCTTCGACAGCTCGCTTTTGAGAGGCTCGTGATGCTGGGGCTGTTGTTGTTGGCGGCGCGTCGCGTGGATTGTTTGTCGTGGACGGATTGGCGGACACAGTCACACCGATAGGATGTCCGACCGCCGCCGCCCACAAGCTGGATGCCTTGTCGGACGAGTGTGCTGCGTGCATGCTTGCGGAGGACGGGGCTGGGTCTGCGAGCGATTGGAGCGCATCGTCAAACAAGCTGCCATGATTGCCATTCGACGTAGCAAGCTTGCTGTCTGCGATGACTGCGTCCCAAGCCGACGACGCATTGTTCATGAGCAGCGAGTCCATTGAGAATGCAGACGTCGCCGTCGAGGTGGGCATCGCAAGCCCGTGGCTGCTTGTCTGTGGCGCATTGAAACAGAACGCAGGCAAACGTCCGTCAGTCAGTCAGTCAGTCACTCGTTATTCAAACGTGCAAAGCGCTACTATTTTGACCATTGTGGCTGTGATGATGAGGAGGAGGAGCAGAACAAAGTCAAGGGCAGAAGGGGAAACCGAGATCTCGCCATCTGGAACTGAAGGGGGGCCGCCATGCGGGGTCTCACTCATACTACTCTCACTCTCACTCACTCTGTCTCGCTCATTCATTCAAAACACACTCAAGCGTCAAACAGGCGCAGTTGGTCGTACCCGGTGAGCAGTCGACGGAGAGGCAACCGCGCTGCTGCTTTGGCTGTTGGACAGGGACGACGGCGGCAATGCAGTGCCATTGCGACGGTACGCGGCGTCCAGTGCCGCGCTCGCATGCAGATCAACCGCTGCTCCAGAGGAGGACGTGGTGGTGGAGTTGGGCTTCTTGCTGTGCGCAGTGGTGGCGGCGTGGTGGCGCGTCTGCTGCCGTTGCTGCTGCTGCTGGGCGACGGCATTGAAATCGACCAAGCCGTTCCCGCGCGAAAACGACGGCGCAGGTCGCGCAGCATGGCGGGAAGACGGCGACACCTGCGAATGCTGCTGCTGCTGCTGTTGCTGCTGCCAATCCAGTGGGACGGCTGACAGAGTGTGCCTGGTGGTGTGTGCCGGGACGGCGTCTTGGCCGAAGCGACGCCAGACAAGCGTCGCAGCAACGATCGCAACAAGCGCGGCAACCAGCAACCAGCGTCGCAGCGTCCACCATTGAACAAACACTCCGAGAAACAATAAAAAAAAAAAGAAAAAGGGAATGATGAAAACAGTAAGAATCAAACAAAGAAGAAAAAAAAGCATAAAGCAAGACTCGTAGAAGACGCGATGGACGGATGCAAAGAGGCGGGAAAAACTAGGTGAAGCGTTTTGTTTCAAAAAGCAACGAAGGTTCTTGCCACTCTGCTACTGAGTGGCAAGAAACCGTCGAACAGCCGTCGTCTTTCGTGCAAATGGAATGGTTCACTTGGCATAGACCATTTGCATTCTGCTGCAGCAAGAGAAAACGTCGGTCTTTTGGAGGGGTTTCTTTTTTGTTTTTTTGAAACCTGTGGCAAGTGTCGCAACCAAACCGCTGCGTGATTGGGTGACCAACAATCGTATTGCAACCTCCTCTAGTGGTCTGGCAACGGCTGGACAGAAACGAACGCGGAGCTGCACTGCACTGGAGGTGCATGCGGCGGTTTTGGCGGCTTGAGGCGGCACTTTGGCGACATTGTCGATTCCAACGCCTCCTAGCGTCCTGCACAAAGGTTCAATCTCCACGTTGCATGAAACGAGCAAGGTGAATCGTGTGTGCGCGAACAGACAAGTTGAAGGGCTGACCTGCGTTCGCGTCCACCAACAACCAGCTTCTGCTTGCTTTCTTGAATCCAGACTCTCTGAATGCTGCACCAGCAAAGCGACTCCGAGTGCGTCTGTCATGATTCCAGCACATCCTCAGCGCGACTTTACGACAGGGCTACTGATGGATCCGGACCGGAGGCGCGGGGAAAGGGAGGCTGCTGCCCAGGAACCAAAGACGGGCGACCGAGTGGGTTTTGGCGCGCAACTGCCGAGACTCTTCACTCGCAAAACGTCCCCGTACAAGCTGTAAAACGCGGGAAATCGAGACCTCGGACACGCTCCAATGCAGTCCCATCCCCCAGCGATTTGAAATGGACCACCACGGCCCGTGGAAGGCGACTTTACCAAGGCACATTTTGTTATCGCTGTCCAAATCTGGTGAAACCAGTCTTCATTTTGTTTCAAGATGGCGGAGCTGCAGGCGATGCAGGCCTTAACCCTCGACCCTGTGCAAGCAGCGCTGAACACAGTGATTGCGGGCAAGAACGAGCTGATCGCGGAGAAGAACGCGGCAATTGCGGAGAAGCAGGCGGCGATTGCGGAGAAGCAGGCGGCGATTGCGGAGAAGAAGGTGGCGGTCGACCAGGCGATTGCAGACAAGAACCGGGCGATCGAAGCTGGAATTTACCACCAAATTCAGCTTTGTAAGCGGCTGCTGTTTGTCGATAAGTGCTCCTTCGAACCCGAAATCTTGGCTGACACTCAGTGCGATTGTTCTTTCGTTGGCAGTGTCCCTCATCGGATCAGGAACAAACGAAGAGCTTGCTAAGCGGTTTGTTTTCCAGCGTAACGAATCTTGGATGCTCGAGCTGCATTTTGAAATGCCAGACTTGCCCGATGATGATAAGTTGAAGGACCTGCTGGCCACAGTTGATACGATGCCGTCCGAAAAGACAATGTATCAGCCCATCGCAGCTGTCTGCAAGGAAATATGTGATCAGGCTGGCGCGCACGTCAACTTTCATGTCACTGCAAGCGCTCGCGGGGCGTTCTCTCCTGATCTCGTTGCGACAACAACCGAGTATTCCGCGCCGAGTTCTCGCGCTGCGTCGGCTGGATCTACGTCCACTCGCGTTCTACTGAGAGATAGCCTGTTCATGGTCGAAGTCAAAAAGGATTTCGATCACCGCGAGCAAGCTTGTCTGCAACTCGCAAGTTACCTGCTTTACTATCGTCTGACGTTCAACAACGAACAGATTCCGAATACTGTTCAATCCTGGCCAGCATTTCTTTACGGCATGGCCTGGGTCGGCAACTATGTCTATGTGGTCCGAGTCGATCTGAAGCAGGGTGACCAGCTCCAGCGCCCCGTAATCACTTTCGCTCGAGCCACGCCAGCCCGAGCGGTTCTGTTCCTCTTGAAAAAAGCCATCTTCGATCACATGTCCCGCCAACCCAGCCGACCAATCGATGGCGATGTTAATTGGGGGTACAAGTTCGACGACGACCATGACAACAACAACAACAACAACAACAACAACAACAACAACAACAACAACAACGGTGGCCAAGGTCCCGTGCAAGACAAAGGTAAACAAGCCGCCAAGAACCAAGAAGGCAACCAGCATCGTGCAGCCAAGACGCGAGTTCTCAATTTGGTAAGGCCCCGTTTGAAGTATCATGCAGCTTCTTGTAACTCGTGTCTCAACTTCTTTTTCTTCTGTCCGTGTTCGACATGCTCAGGCAACTGGGCCGCAACCTCTGCTCGATGCCCAGGTCTTTCATAGCGAGCTCATGTGCACTGGCAAGCTCCGCCTGAGCTCGAGCGAGGAATTCACCAATGTGGTGGTCAAGGTTGCCCCCACAAATCACAGGCCGCTCACAGAACAGCTGGTGCGGGAGGGCATGGCGCTAGCCCTCCTCAACCGTGACCGGAACGAGGCTGCTGCACACGGCATTCCCGAGCTGCTAGCTCTCTGCACTGCCGACTTTCATGGAAAGTCTGGACTGGCGTTGGTCACGGGCCTCATTCCTGGCAAGAGCGTTGAATGGCAACAGCACCAACCGTATGCGGCAAGCATTGCATCGAAAGTTTGCGACACTCTTCGCTGGATTCATGCGCAAGGAGTGGTGCACGGCGACATTCATCGTGGAAACGTGCTCGTCACCGAAATCGAATTACCACCTACGCCACCCGCCTCGCTGCCCCATGGCACCCTCGAGCCGCCGCCCACAGGCGCCGTCAAGTTACCACCTCACTCAATTACTTTGGTCGATTTTGGGCTTTCTTGCTTCCTTCCAGCTGTGACACGCGAGCATGTGCAGGCAGCACTCTTGGCAGCGCCTGTCACGCTCGAAGCGACCACAAGGCTCAAGCTGTGGCTCGAGCATGTCGATCACAACGCGTGGGACATGTGGCCAAACCACTTTTACCACATTGCGAGCAGTGAGAGGGTAGCCACTCCGCAAGCCGACTTTCTCGGTCTAGGCTTGCTTGCCGTGTCGCTGGACGTCGGCGGCACGGCGGTCCTGCAGCAGCGGCTTGATCTGGACGACGGCGCTGAGGCTCGTGTTCAGCATCGCCTGCTGCGTCGCCTGCTGCGTGATCAAGGTCGACTCTCCCAGCTGCTCGCACCAAGCGCCCCAACGTTGGTCGAGGTTCAGAAGATTGTCGCGCTTGCTGACGACCCCACCTCTTTCTTGTTTTGTCCATGTTCCGGCAGACCAGTCCGGCTATGAAGCGACGCAGGTTTCTGCCGCCATGAAGACGTTTGTCGATTTTTAGCTGTCATGTATTACACTTCTTCGTATTCTCAGCATCTTTGTCCATCGTCTTGAATTGTGCCAAATGTCGGTCTGTAGACGCCTATGGTGAGTTTTTTTGTAATCTGGTCAGGCATCCTTTTTTTTTTTTTTTTTTTTTTGATTATTATTATTATTGTCTTTTCGGTTCGATCTCACATTACATGCCCGTTGCAACGACAAAGGCAAGGAGAAGTGCAGCGACGCCAAACTTGAGGTCGACGAGGAAGCTGACGGCGACAATCGCAAGCAACAGCGGCTCAACCACAATGCCGCCGCCAAGCTGCACAGCGGGAATGTACTGCTTGACAGACATGTTGGCTGCATACAGATACCCGCCCGGTAGGAGCAGATCGCCCAGCGAGCTTCGGCGCTCAGGTTGTTGCTGCTGAGGCTGAGCTGGCTGATTCTGGTCCTGCGGCTGTCGCCTGTCGCCGCGTGAGGAAGAGGCAGAGGACGGCGTTGGCGTGCTATGGATGGACGCAACTCTGCTGCTTCCTGATGAGGCTGACGATGATGATGATGATGATGATGATGGTGACCGAGTCGATTGCTGCAGTCGCGGGTCGTTGTCCTGAACAATCTCGCCGTTCAGAATTCGCACCATCGCTTTGATTCAATTCGGTGCAGCTGTGATTTTTTTTTTTTTTTGTAAATGGAGACTGGTCGAGAGAATTCAAAGAGAATTCAAAGCTGGATGGAGACAAGGGTGGGATTTTGGTATTGGAGTTGAGCTTTGGCAACAATCCGAACAAAGTCAAATGTACGTCGGAGTGGTTTGTCGCCGCGCTTTGAGCAGATCGGGATGGATAGTTCTGGGCTGGAATATCCTGTTCTGCATACAGCAATTTCTGGCGAACTTTGATCGACAGGCGCCTGCCGAGGGCGTCAACCCAGGAGATTCAAGATTTCATCCGACTGCCACAATGGGGTTTTGCGGCTTTTCAGCTGGCGTGGATCTGGGGGTGCGCTACTTCATGCTGCGCTACACCAATCCTCGTTGGGCCATCGTCTCCACCAAGCCTAACAACGCACAACTCCGATTCCAGCAGGGTGCACACCTTTGATGTCGATTTTCGCTCCTTCGCCGAGAACAGCGCGCCCCCTAACTCCTCTATCCCTTCACAAACCTCCCTTCATCCATCAACCAGCTCTCCCCCATTCAACCCATCATCCCCGCCTCTTTTTTCCATTGCTCGTTCTATTTGCTCGTTGTTGTTGTCTTGTTTCGCTCCTTCGCCGAGAATAGCGCCCTGCATTCATTTTTTTCATTTTTTTTTGCTGTTTACATTTTCAAAGTTGTGAGTCACTTTTATTTTTTTTTTATTCCTTTTTTTTATTAAGGTTTGGATTTTGTTTTGTATTTTTTTTTTCTTCTTTCGTTCTTTCTTTCTTTTTCGCTGCAATGCTTTGACACGAAGCCCGGAAACCGCGTCCTTTTGTTGGGAGCGAAAGGGGGAAGCGAAAGGGGGAAGCGAAGGGGGGGGGAGAGAGCAAAGACCGACACAGCTGAAATCCCCCGCGTTCCCAACACCGCAATACACTCCGGCAGCAGCGGCGGCGTTTGAACCTCGCGTATTGTGGATGGTCGGCTGCGAGTGATTCTGCTTGACAACATGTAGCTCTGTGTGTGTGTGTGTGTGTGTTGACTGTGTGTGTTGACTGTGTTTCTTCATCCTTCGCTCGGCAACATGATAAAGCATGGCCGAAACCGCTGACAAAGCCTTTTTTTTAGTATTGGTTTTTGTTTCCGTTTAACGTGATTTCTTTACGATCTCGTTTATGCTTCGAGTACCCTTTTCTTGCTTTTTTTTTGCTTTTGACGCTCACCAAATGTTTTGGCCTTTTTTTTTCCCTCCTGTTGCTCCCCTTCTCTTTCCGCTCTCCTCTTTCTCCCCTCCACTTCCCTCTTCCGCGTGTAATTCTGCTCTTATTCTTATCCACTCTTCCCATTCAACCGTTTCTCACCCCCTTTTGTTCATAGAAACGTAGAAAAAGCCGAAAAGCCAGCCTTTTTTTTTTTTTTTTTTTTTTCGGCGTTTCCCTCTTCTTCTTCCTCTTCCATATTCACAGATAGACTCGGGCGACTTTGAGCACAGAGAGAGAGAGAGAGAGAGAGAGAGAGAGAGAGAGAGAGAGAGAGAGAGAGTGCAACACCCAACAGCCAAGCAGCCCCTCAGACAAACTACAACCCCCAAGCACAAACCACCACCCACGGAACAAGATGGGTCGGCGCGGTCATCAACCTCTGCAGTCCCGCCTGGTCCTGGTCCCGGTGGTCCTGGTGGCCGCAGCGGTCCTTGCTGTGGTTGTCGCGGCAGGCGCCTCGCAGGCCGCGTCGGTGGGTCGGTACGGCGTGGCCCGGCGCGAGGACGATGCTAGAGTACCAGGAAGCGACGGCAATGCAAAACCGCTCATAGCCCGGCGCGGCCTGCTCGACGGCCTGCTGACGCCCGTGCTCAACGGCGTGGTCTGCCTGCTGTTCTGCCCGCCGGGGAGTGCATCGACGACCTTCTTCACAAAGCCACTGTCCTCCGCGACGCCGGCATCCGTGACGCCGTCCTCGAAAACGCCGCTCGTCTCATCGTCGGCAACACCTCTTGCTCTGGCATCATCCTCGTCCTCATTGTCGACCACCACCACCACCACCACCGCACTCGCGCTCACGGCATCGAGCTCCATTGACTTGCCATCGTCGTTGGCGGAAACACCGTCCGAGTCCGAGACCGAGACCGAGACGGGAGCAGTGTTGTCACCTTCATCTCCGATCGATCCATCGTCAGCAACACCCGTCGTCGTCGTGGGCGGCAGTGCATCGTCAACAGAGTCACCCACGGACTCGCAAACACCGACCGAACTCACCTCATTCACATTGCAGACAAGCGGGACGGCAACCCTCGAAGCCTCTGCTGCGAGCACAACGCCTGTCGGGGGAACAACACCGAGCTCGTGCGCCAATCTCGGCTTTTGCGCCGCTCATGCGGGCAACGGTATTTGCGACGTGGCGTGCGACAACGCAGCGTGCGGCAACGACGGCGGCGACTGCAACCGCTTTTTCGGCGTCCCGCTTGCCGACCGTCCGTTCGACGCGTGCCAAAATGCATCGTACTGCGCCTCGGTATTCAACAATGGCGTGTGCGACTGGCAGTGCAACTCGTACGATTGCAACTTTGACGGCCTGGACTGTCGCCCGCAGAGTGTTCGCGACCCCCTCATGGACTGGTCAAAGTGCCCCTTCGCGGAATGCGAGGCCGCATTCACCAACAACAAGTGCGACCTGCGTTGCGCCATCTCGGACTGCTTCTGGGACAACTTTGAGTGCGTCGAGCCGGTTCAGGTCGACCCTTGGCTGACGTGCCCTTACAGCGACGTGTGTGCTCCAGTGTTTGGCGATGGCACCTGCGACGCCTTGAAATCCGGCGTGTGCAGCGACTCTGACTGCCCGTCCGACTTCACCTGCGACTTCAACTTTGGCGACATTTCCTCCTGCCCGACTGTCGAGCTCTGCGAGCTGGCGTACGAGACGCAGACGTGCAACCCAGCGTGCAATTCGCGTGCGTGCGGGTTTTCCGGTGGCTTTTGCGCCAACGATCGACCCAGCTGGCGCGTCGACATGATTATGGGCTATCCCTATGCATACCTCATTGATCGTTTGCCACAGATTGAGCAAGGCCTCTCCACCGTGCTGAACGTTGTCGCGCGCGTGACCAACGTGGGCATCTGGCCGGCGGGTGGCAATCCTGCGTTCTTGACAATCTGGATGCAGTTGCCCTCCAACACATCGGCGGCTCGGCGCAGCGGCGAAAGCCTCTCGCCCATCCTCAACCAAACGGACGCTGTCGTCTACCTCAATGCTTGGCGCGGCACCGGATCAACAGCAGACGTGTTTGGCGTGCCCATTCTTGCGGCCATTGCGAGCAGTTCGCAAATCACGCCGACCCCCAACAAGCCTTCCGACGACAGCCCGAGCTCGACGATGACAATCATTATTGCCGTTGCCGCTTGCGGTGGGCTCGTGCTGGTCATTGCTGGCATTGTCACGGGTGTGAAACGTCGACGCGACAACGCAGATGTCGGCGGGCGCAGCACGGTCGAGCCGGTCGAGTCTGTTGCTGTTGTTGCTGCTGGAGCTGCTGGACACAAGAATCAGGATTCCACTCCTGACATCTGGGATGTCGAAAAGCGCGTGCGTCTCATGTACGCGTCCCCTGGATTTGGACATCGCGACTCGGCCTTGTCGCGCGACAGACCCCCTTCCAAGTCTGATGCAATGGAAATGGAGCAGCTCCCCGCAAGAACGGGCTCCTACTCGTCCAGGAGCAGCAAGGAGATTGAGGCCGCCGAGGCTCACTTTGCCCACCATTATTCAAGAATGCCTGTTGCTCGTGCAGATGGATTCGGCTCGGACCTGCATGCTGCGGCTGCCACGGGTGATTTGCACCAGCTTCGGCAGCAGCTTGATCTGCTCGCGTATGGCTCGCCAATAATAATGTCCGCTTCGTCTTCGCCCCCGCCACCCTACTCGCCCTCCGACCCCGCTGCTGCTGCTGCTTCTGCTGCTGCTGCTGCTGCTGGTGCTTCTGGTGGTGCCGCCACGCCCGCCGCCGTCCCTCGTGCTCCTGTGGACGCCGCCGACGACCTCGGAAATACGGCCCTGCACTTGGCCTGCTGGAATGGCCAAATCGATACCGCTGTTTTGTTGATTAGCGCGGGTGCCAACCCAAATCTTTCCAATTACGAAGGCCGGACGCCCTTGCATTGTGCCTGCGTGAACGGCCATGCCGAACTGGTCGCGGCAATCATTACTGCTTGCAACGTGCTGAGCGAGACGCCCAGGCGTGCGTCTTCGATCGAAACCTGCAGCAGTTCTCTTTCGTCCCGGTCAAGCACCTGGTCGGGCCATGACGCCAACCTTTTGCACAATCGCGAGAGCTCGCCTCACTCGTCCTCAGGTATCGACCAGTTTGGCGAACCCGCAGCGCGAGGAGGCGAAAATGGCGAGGCGGCCTTGTCGTCCCCCGTACCCTCTCAGGCACCTTCAGCACGCGATTCAGTGCTGTCGTCGCGCAGCATGTCGGACGCCTCACCCTCGTCGGGCGCCACGTTTGCAACCCAAAGCTTGTCGCCCGCCAGCACGACTGCGACCGTCCCGTCGCTCGCTGCCAGCACGCTTCCGACCGTTCTGAATGTGAACGCACTGGACAATCGTCGCCGATCTCCACTGCATCTTGCCTGTGCTGGCGGCAATGCCAGCTGCGTTGAAGTATTGTTGAATGCCGCATCGCACGTCGGCCCCTGGGCGACCGTGCGATTAAACCTTGCTGACGAAGATGGGACGACTGCACTCATGTCCTCCGTCAAGCTCAGCGATGAGATTGCAACCACGCTTCTCGTTACGGCCGGTGCCAGCACCAAGCCTCAAGACCGGATGGGCTTCTCTGCGCTGCACTGGGCTGCCGCATTGGGCGACATTCAGGTTCTCTCGCGGTTACTGCAGCACCGGATTGAAATTGACGCAGTGAACAACAAGAACGAGACGCCGCTCATGCTCGCAGTTCGAGAGGGTCATGCCGAGGCCGTCCACCTGCTCCTGAGCAAGCACTCCAACCGCAAGATTGAAAATAATGAGGACAAGACGGCCTTTGACATTGCCACGGCTCGCGGCGATGCTACGATTGTGCGCATGTTGAACGATTGGACCATTTCCTCCATGCCGAAATTGACCGTACCAGCGGCTGCTCCTGTGGTTGCCCGCGCGGTGGCCTTGGCACCGACCGCAGCCAGTGCTGGTCCAAGCGCTGCAAGTCTGGCCCCGAAGATTGCAATGGCGCGAATGCCAACCGCCCCTCTTCAGCCTGCCAGCCATGGTGCACGTCCCGCCCAGCTATCGGCATTGCACAGCAAGCAACAGCAGCCAGCTCAACTGCAGCCAATCCGGCCCCCGCTCAGCCTTCAACAAGTGCAACAGCAGATGCAACAAGAGCTGCATCACCAGCAGCAAGTGCAACTGCATCAACAGCAAGTGCAACAGCAGCACCACCACCACCTTCAATTGCAGCATCAGCGCCAGCTCCAGCAACAAGTCAAGCAGCACTCTTCAGAAATTGCTGAAATGGGACGAATGCCTGTGCCCCTCCGCACGATTCAAATGCAGATGGTGTCGCAAGGTGCTGGTCAAGCCGTGACCGGCTTTGATCAGGTGCCGATGATGCAAAACGAGCTTGCGTTTGCTCCAGCGCCTGGCCGTTCTGCTGCGCCCTCCGTCTCGACCGACTCTTCTCCTTACTTGTCAACACATAACACCCCCGTAGTTGACACCGCGAACTGGTACCCTTCCAACTTGTCGCCCGTTTCCGACGCGTTCCATGTCACTGGCGATGCCGTTCTCAGTGACGGAGCATCCGACTCGGCCGATGACGAGCTTTTGACCGATGAAATGTTTGCAGCGCTCTCCGGCAATGACGATCTGATCGATCCGATGTGCTTGAATAGCATGTTTGGTGCCAAGCCCGACGGATTGATGGATCTGGATATGCTGTCCATGTAAAACGGTTTGGGGAAACCAACCATTCTCAAACGGTTGCGCTGTGTATTTTCTCTCCCCTTCTCTTCTTTTGACCTTCCCTTCTTATACATAACACCCACGTACTTTTTTTACGTGTAATTTGCATTGTTTGTCGATCATTTGTCGTTTGTTAGTAACCTTTTTTACTCCCGTTGCATGTGTTTAACTCGTTTGCATTGATTTGTTTGTTAATTTGATTTGGTAAAGCATACTTGTAATCATGAATATAGCATGTTGATGCTCTACAAGCCACGCAAAGAACAACAGTGCATGTTGGGGTGAGGAAGATGCGAGACCAAAGCGAGAGAAACTGGCGTTTACTTGCGCGGAGCCCATGCGCCACTGTCACAAAGCAAAGATGGAGCGTAAGTCAAAGCGAAGACAAAAGAAGCATACACAAAAGCAGCCAACCTACCCAGCACCAGCACCAGCACCACCAGCACCGAAAGCTGCGCCACGGCCAGCGCCGAGTGTACTGGCACCAAGGGACGACTGCCCAAAGCCAGCGGGCTGCTGTCCAAATGCCGGCTGCTGTCCAAATGCCGGTTGCTGTCCAAATGCTGGCTGTTGTCCAAACGCCGGCTGTTGTCCAAACGCCGGTTGCTGTCCAAAGCCAGCGGCCTGCTGGCCAAATCCAGCGGGTCGCTGCGCACCAAGCCCAGCGCCGCCACCAAGGGCAGAGCCACCGCCCAAAACCGAAGCGCCGCCAGCCATTTGGGCCCACGAGGAAGCTCCACCCGAGCTGTCGTAGAGCAAAACGAAAAAAAAATGGGAGCTCGTGAGTATAGAATCAAAATCAACAGCTTTGGCGTGTTGAAAAACCAACCAACCTCCCTTCTTCTCCAGGTGCCACACGAAACCCAGCAGCAACGGCAACAACAACAATACAGGATTCGAAAACTTACGAGGCAAACGCAGTGCTTGCTTTGCCACTGGAAATGGCGTTGCCCAAGGCAATCCCACCTCCAAAGCCGGCGCCGCCCCCTGCGACTACGGTCGAAGCAGGGCGCGGAGCAAGAGTGGACGAGCCAAATCCAGGACTGCCACCAAACGTAGGTGCAGCACCCATGCCGGAAGCGCCGCCCATTGCCGGGGCGCCGCCAAATGCTGGCGCGGCGCCAAAGCCAGCCGGCTTGCCAAGGGCAGGGGCAGCACCAAATGAAGGCGCTGCAGAAGTGCCGACAGGACGGACTGCTCCAAAGGACGTCGCCGGAGCCGCACCGCCTGCCGGTGCCGCCGATCCGGCTGCGTTGACTGCCGCCTTGCCAAACATGGCGGGCGTCCCTGCAGACGCAGCAGCGCCCGTTGCTCCCAGACCACCATAGAGAGATGCCGCTGCAGGGGCAGTCGCACCGGCAGCGGCTGTCTCTGCAGAAAACTTGCTGACAAACCCAGCAGGTGCAGCGGCAACGGGCACCCCAGCGACTGCAGCAGTCGTTGCTGGTGCGGCCAGTTTAGAGGCGGCTGGAGCAGCGCCGACACCAGCGCCGACACCAACTGGTGCTGCAGCAGCGGCAGGTTTGGCAAAAGACTGGCCAAACGGAGCAGCTCCAGCCGGTCGAGGAGTAGCTCCGAGGGCACCAACAGCGGCTGTGGGAGCAGGCTGCCCAGGTGTTGCAGTCGCCTTCGGAAGAGCAGGAACAGCGGTTGCCGGAGCAGCAGGAACAGCGGTTGCCGGAGCAGCAGCAACGGGAGCAGCAGCAACGGGAGCAGCAGCAACAGGAGCAGCAGCTGGGGTGGTCGTCACTGGATTCACCTTGATGGAGTCAAATCCGGAGAGCAGCGACGACACAGATGAGGGTGCAGGGCCTGCCAAAGCACTTGGTTTGGCAATTGGCGCTGGGACGGTTGTCGGAGAAGCAGTAGCGGTCGGGATGGGTGCTGCTGCCAACGTGGTGGCCAACGGCTTGAGCGCGACACCCGAAGCCGGTGCAAGGGCCGCCGCAGCGGGAGCAGCAACTGAAGGCGCGGGAAGCACGGCTGCAGGAGCAGCAACGGATGCCGCAGGGGCCTTGGGCTGCACGGTCTGTGCTGTTGACGCCGGCAAAGGCATAGACGTGGAAGGCAAGGGCAAAGATGCGGAAGCCAACGTGCTCGGCTTTGCGGGGACTGCGGCGGTGGCAGCAACGTTGACAAGTGAGGCCGGAGCAGTGCTCAAACTCGAAGGGGTGGGAGCAGCAGCAGCAGCAGCAGCAGCAGCAGCAGCAGCAGGCGGGATGGATGGAGTTTGGACTGGAACTTGGTTGAATTTGCCAAAGGGAACGAGGTTGGCAGCCACCAGCGCGGATTGAGCCGACGTCAAAGGAGCAGAAGCGACCGACCTTCCCACGGTTGCCGGTGAGGAAGAAGAAGCAGCAGCGGATGCAGCAGCGGGCATTTTCGCGGTAGATGGAGCGGGAGTCGAAGCCGGTGTGATAAACGTCGAGGCATGCAAATCCGCACCCGCATTGTCTGCCGACGACAAGGACGCGCTGCCACTGGAACCAAGGGCAAGATGCACGGGTGACTTGGCCTGCAATGGCAGGGGTCGAGATCGAACCTTCGAGGAGGCCTCCTCGGCCTCGGCTGCCGCAATCGCATTCAAGGTTCGCACTGAAGGGGCTTGCGTAGCAATGACGCGATGCAAGCGACGAAGACGCATGGTCCGATCGACGACTTCCTTTGCCGCAGCATCCGTTGCCTGGGCTTCCTCCGCGCTTGCACGGAAGGGCTGCACGAGCTCGAGCGCAGATGCATTGACGGAAAGATCAGCCTCGTCATCGCTCTCATCCAAGTCCGGTGCACGAAAGTGGCGAGTCGGCGTTCGCGGGGATTGCAGCCCTCTGACGACGGATGAGGGCGTGCCAGCCGGCCCACGCAGAGCCGCTTTCGCAGGAGTCGTACGAAGACTTGCTGTTGGGGACGAGTGCGCCGACGGAGACTGTAGACCGCGCGTAGTCACGGCAAGCGGAGTTGGTGGAGCGATGCCGCTTTGTTGGAGAGCAAGCTGGCGAAGCTGCTCGGTCAAGTTATCAATCGTCTGGTTGACCCGGGCCGCGGCGATAGAGTTGTCGCGCAGAGTGCGGAACATGGTGTCCACCAGCGGCGCGGCCAACTTGGGCTTTGGCTGCTGCGGGGCGGAGGAAGCGCTAGCAATCGGTCGCAGCGGCGACAGGAAGCGCGACGTGGTTTGACGGCGAACCTCGGTCTGCATGCGCTGTTGCTCCTCCCGCTGTTGAGCCACCAGATCCAGCTGGTCAGCTTGCTGGTCGATCGATTCGAGCAGAGACTTGATGTGGGCGGCGCGTGACAGGGCCTTGGCCATAAAGGCGACTTTCTCAGGATGGAGGCGTTGTTTGCGAAGCAAGCGTTCGTAGTCTGGCGTAGAATGCTTCTGAAGAGCGATTTGGGTGGACTTTCCGCGCTTGAGAGCATCCAAATGAGCTGCCAGCGCATTGCCCAGCGACTCTTGCAAATCGCTCGTCTCTTTTTCAATCGCTTTCATCGTGTCCCGCATGGACTCAAACTCGGCCCGTTTCGCCTTGACGTTGGCGATTTGCTCTGCTGCGCGTGGACGGGATTGAGTGTGCGGTCGAATCGCGTCCAACGCCTTTTCAAACTCTTGCTGGACTCGAACAAATTCCTTGGTCAAAGTGGAGGCATCTGGTGCAGAGCTCGCCGGGGTGGGCTTGGCAACAGCCAAGGTGGAAGGAGCAGTGGCAGGAGCGCCGCCAACGGGAGCTGGCAATGCGGGTTTCAGAGGTTGAGTTGGAGCAGCTGCAGCGGCAAGAGTGGGGGCAGCCGCAGCAGCACCTGGCAGCCCGACTGCTGTGGTTGCTGTTGGTGTTGCGACATTCAGGGTCGCTGGCTTGGTGGTGGGCACTGCAGCAGACGTTGCAACAGCGGGGGCACTGCCAACTGGAGGCAGCCCGATTGCAGACGACGGGGTTGCCAATCCGGACGCGGCAGGCTGCGGGATTGTTGGAAGCGAGATTGGTTTCGTGGCAGGTGCAGCTGAGAGAGCATTGGTGGTTGGCAGCGCCGAGCCAAGCGCACCGCCCAGACCACCCAGACCGCCCAGCGACAACGAAGCGGCCGGAGCAAGTGACGCCGCTGGGGTAGTCGCCGCAACCGGGGCAGGAGCTGGAGCAAGGGTCGCAGTCGGCGCTGGAGCAAGGGACGGGAGTTTGGCGGGTTGTCCGAACGCTGGGAGAGGGGCGCCACCGAGAGCGGGCTTTCCAAATGCTGGGGGAGCCACAGTCGAAGCTGCAGTGGGGAGGGCGGCAGCAGCGGGCGCTGCAGTCGCGGCTGGCAGAGTGGCGCCAGCTGGCGTGAGCGAGGGCACGGTTGCCGCTGTGCCGCTGCTCGGTGGGGCGCCAAAAGCAAGACCAGTGGCTGGCAAAGCCGGCTTTCCGAGCGCAGTTGGAGCGGCACCAAACGAGGGCAGCTTGGCCGCCGCTGCTGGCGCCACACCACCCGCTACAGGAGGTGTAGCTCCCGCAATGGCGGCAGCAGGCTGCTGGGCGGGAGTCCCGCCAAAGGCCCCAAAGCCTCCAAAAGCAGGCCGAGGTGCCGCAGCACCCGCGCTGACTGCTGGCGAAGCGCCAAAGCCTTTGAATGCGAGCGGAGCAGAGGCAGGTGTGGATGCAGCTACGGCTGCGGGTGCGGGTGCGGGTGCGGCTGCGGGTGCGGGTGCGGGTGCCGCAGCGATTGCCGATGATGATGTGCCGCCAAGCCCTGTGCCGAACAACGCGGGTTTGGCTGCAGGGACAGCAGTAGAGGAGGCAGCGAGCGTGGGAAGCACCGAGGAAGAAGGCTTGGCGAGCGAACTGGCGGATCCAAGAGGGGTGCTGCCTTGACGCGACGCGGGAGGGCCAGCGGCAGCGACAGGGAGCGGCTCCGCTGGCTGCATCCATGGATGAGCAAAGTTGTGCTCCTGGCTGTAGTAGATTTCGGGATGCAACACAAACCGATAAACAACCAAAACACCGTCCATGGTCAGTATGCAGACGTGGGGGCAGCCCTTGAGCATGTCGTCGGGGTTGAAGGGCGATCGGAACGAGCCCATGTCGGTGCAGAAAACACCCGTGGCGACAGGAAACGAGTCGCCAGTGTCGTTCGTGGGCGTGGTAATGCGTGCATCGTCTGCGAGCTGGACGCATCGTGGAGGCTTGTGCTTGTCCTCATCCGCTTCAATTAGAGCGGCGTACTGGGAATGCGTCGAGTTGATGAGCACGAATCTACGACGATTCAGAAATCAATCCGCGAGGAGATGAGCGGCCGCGCTTGCACATTCCAACAAAACAAAAAAGAGCGGCCAGAAAGATCAACAACAACAAATGCAACCAGAACACAGACACACATACCCGAGACCAAGACGCGTTTGCGAAACACCCCAGTTCAGCCACTCATCCAAAGAAAACGGGAAGGAGTAATCCATCTCGAGGTCGGAAATTCCAGACCAAATGTGGGACGAGGTTGGCTGCAGATTTCAGAAGAACAAAGAAGAAAAGGGAAGAATGAGCGCAAACCAAAGCTACAACGAATGAAGCGCATCGATCCGTTGCAAACCTTGGCTGCAGTGTTGACCGAGCGAACTTGACAGGTACTGGGCTGCTCCGGGTCCACAAAGGTGAGGACGAACAATGAATTGAACAGCTGGGTAATTGCAGCGGCTAATCGGATAATGAGAAAGAAGAGGGGGGGGGAACGGAACAAGTAAACCGATGAGACAAATCCAAAAGGTACATGACAAGAGCTCAAAGGAACACTTTGCGTATTTCATACCGGAATGTCCGTCGGGAATATCACTGGGCGCTGGGATGACCTTGACATCCGGGTTTGTCGCCAACGCGTCGCCTTTAAGCGTCAGCGCTGAAGGGTCAAACACGTGTAGCTCGTTGGTAAGTGTCACTGCGATTGCTTTGAATCTGCCATCCTTGAGCTTTCCTTTGGAACAGGCTATCTCGCCCAGGTTGGAAACAACGAGGTCAACAACCCAAAGCGGATCAAAAAAGGGGTCAGGGCACAGCGAGTCAAAGAGCAATCGGAAAAAAGAGCTTTAGATTATTTTCAAGCTTACCACACAGATACCCCGTAGCATATCCGCGCAAAGTGAGTGCGTCCTTTGCAGGGTCGCGCTGAATGAAACCCAGGTTGCCCTTGACGTCGAGCAGCAAAAAGCTGACGCTGCTGGGTGCTGGGTCTGTGTTGTCGGCCTCGGTTGCATCCACAATCTGGTGAACGGCAGTCGCCATCGTAATGACGGCATAGCAGGACGCCGGAAGTTCCGATTTCTGATGTTTGCAAGAAATGGCCATGTCCAAAATCCTATTTGGTTAGTTGCCTTTCCGAACGCACCCAGGAGAGAACAATTGAAACGTTTCGATCAAAAACTGTACCGGTGGGCTGGCCATCATTCCTGCGAGCGACACAATCAAGACTCGGCGACCAAAGATCAGTCCAAGGAAGCACTCGTCGCCCAAAAACTGCACGCTCGAGCAGCGGTAGATGACAGGTTGCTGTGTCTCTTTCGAGAGCACAGAGCACTCCGGGAGCAAGTACTGCACACTAGCGACCCCCTGTGGATGATTGGAAACAAACAGGAAAGAGAAGAACGTGAGACCAAACACGAACAAAACGAGCAAAACGAGCATAACGAAAAAATGACAACGTCTGCGCGCGTTTACATTCATGCTGTCAATCCTGGTCTCATTGGTTGCACTTTGGATTGCGTCCTTCAAGTGCACAACATGCAGGGCTGCGATGGACGACGTGCGGGTGGATCAAGGAGCACGCAACAAAAGTTGAGCAAAACACTACCACTAGCCAGCACCCAGCGTGATTGATTGCTTACCTGTTCCCGTTGTGTAGACCAGAATTCCAAAGCGGGTTGACGTGGCCATGAGCTGGCTTTGCGGCCGCATCGTCGGCTGTGCTTCAGCAACGAGCTTGTCGTGCGCCTTGATCGCTTCGCTGACTTCTGCAGCGTCGCCAACCAGCACGCGTCCGACCTCCTCCATCCGGACCTGTCCCAACAACAAGCAACAAACCAAAATCCCAAAGCCAAAGCCAAAACCAAAACAAAAAGTCAATCAAGCGAGTCATACTGCAAACAGCGAGATCTCAATGGTAAAGCAAAGCAAAAAAAGCATGCGGCCGAGCTTTGACCTGCTCCCACCCCTTCCACTGTCCGACGCGCTCATCCCAACGTGTCACTTCAAAATCCTGGAATTGCTAAATCAAATCCAGAGTGCAACGAGTCACCCGGAGCCCCCAAGCACGCTGGTCCAATGCGATTCACTGTCGTTGCCATTCAACTCCATTCGATTCCATCCGTCCCATCCCATCCCGTCCCATCCCGTCTCATATCTCGCCACTTGGCTTGTCTGTTGCTTGTGGCTTCGTCTCCATTCGGGTGTTTGGTGCTTGCTCCCATTTTGCAGCGCTGTGCGTTACCTGGTCTTCCATGTCCGCGGCGCCTTCGTCGTTCTCGTCCTGCTGCTGCTGATCCGCGTCTGTTCGAGTCCACAATGGACAGAGCGTCAGAGCGTTGCACTGTCAGCAGGAAACGCAATCACGAAACGGTGGGTTGGTCTTACAGTCTGGCTCAACGCCCGCTGCAGTCGCTTCGTCGTCGTAGAGCGACGAGTCTGGTGGACCGCCATGCTGGCCGTAGTCGTCCTCAAAGTAAGAGGAGCGATCCGCCATGAACAATGAATATGAAAAAGAAAAAAGAAAGAATAAAGAGTGAGCTAGGCTATTGTAATCGGCATGGAAATGAACAAGCTTCATTGAATGTCGAACGACCACAGTAGCTGCAGCATCAACGCGATTCAGCATCAACCCGATTCATCGCAATTGCATGATAGGTTGGTCAAAAAGGCTCAAAGGTCAAAAAAAGATGTTGGTTGTAATGAGGGGAAGACGAGAATCACGTCAAAAATGCACAGCATTCGATAATCTTGACCTCAACCGCCAAGAAGCAACGCAACGCAACACACCAAAAAAACGAGCATACACACAGATATCACACAGAACAGAATGGGGGGGGGGAAAAAGAGATTGCAATCAAACAAGAATGGTTGTTGTTGGCAGCCTGAGCAGCAACCACCAAAATTTTTACTTGGAGAGAATCGGGGCAGATTCGCTGTCGATGGCGGCCTGGACAACACCACGCTGAATATCACGCTGATTAGGAGCGCGGCCACCAGAGGAGCGGTACCACCTGACAATCCAGAGGAGGAAGAGCAGGGAGAAGCCGGCGCAAACAGTCCAGATGACGCCAGAAATCACAATGAAGGTGGCGTACAGCTTGTTGCTGTCCTCACTTGCGTTGAAAATGTTCACGGCAACGACAAAGCCAGCCATGCCGGGGATTTGCGGGGGCCCAATCGCGTAGATGCAGCACCAGAGGAAGTTGACAAGACCGTGGAAGAACCAGAAAAAGTACGAGACGCCAGGGGTCTTGTCGGCGCCAAGATCGCGGTGGAGGGTGTACAAACGGAAAAACCAAAAGTAGAAGGAGAGCGGGACACCAGCCAGCATCCAGATCAAGGCGAGGAAGAAGGCGGCAGTGTCGTTGTCCCAGCCGGCGGACTTGTTGAGCGCGTCGCCGTCAAAGAACGGGATCATGACAGAGAGGAATCCCCAAATGAACGCCGCCATCATAAAGAACCACAGAGTCAAGGCAAGGCGAATCTGGTTGCGCATGGTCTGCTCGGGCATGTCGTGGGCGATCGAAATGTACACGATCGGGTAGAAGAAGGGGAAGTTTGGCTTGCGCGATGCAACCACGAGTTCCTTGGCGTGGTCTGACTTGAGCTTGTCAATCTCTGCGCGTTGCTTGAGCACTTCCTCGTCGCGCAGACGCAGAGCCGAGCGCTACCGAGTACCAGAGACGAAGAAGGCCAGTTTTGTAGTGAGCAAATCAAAGTCCAACCATGTCACTCGGAAACGGAATGGCGATAAATTGGGCCCTGTTGTCAGCAATGCCAGACCCCTTGTCCCCTTGCTCCCCTTGTTGCTTTGGTCACTCGGACAGAATCCTGTCGAAACTGAACTGTAGCTTTTTTTTTTTTTTTTTTGCTTTTTTTCAATTCAAAATCCAATGCAAACAAAGCGACGATGACAGCATGGCCGCTGCGCTCGCTTGCCCCTTGCCCCTCTGCCGCCGCAGTCCTCACTTGCAGATAACAAGCATCATAGCACTGCACAGCAGAGGCAGGCGGACTTTGGCCTCCCAAACGACCCGCGCTCCAAAGGACTGGCAACCGCACATGAGGGCTTTGCTTTTTGATTCAAAGCGCGTGAGGAGGTTTTTTTTTTTTTTTTTTGTTTTTTTTTTTTTGGCTGGCGTTTGCATTGCATTTTGGCGATTAAAATTTTTGTTTTTCCAAACTTACGAGTTGCTCGACTTCGGATTGCGAGCCGCCGCCGTAGGTGGACGAGTAGCTGCTGCTGCCGAACGACGACGAGGTTGTGCCTGCGGTGCTTGTGGTGGCCGATGAGTCGTAGGTGGCGGGCGCGGGCTTCTCCTTCTTCTTCTTGACGACGGCCGTGTTGGTGTCCTAAAGATTAAAAAAAAAAAAAAACGTTCAACATCAGATCAGCAGCAGCATTCATGGGGGGAAGGAGGTATTCAGGCGTGGTGACTCACAGCAAAGTAGTTCTTGGGCGCGGCGGCGGCGGGTGCGGGCGCTGGCTCGCTGGCCTCGGCCGCAAACGGATTGTACTCGTCGGACATTGGATTTACGAGATAAAAAAAAAAAAAAAAAAGACAAAGGACTGATGTGTTGAGCCTGGGTTGGGGGGAAAGGATGAGCCATAGATAGTAGATCGAGGTGTAAGATTTGTGATGGGGAAAACCGGGAAGGGGGATGAAAGGGTGGCTGGAAGGAGGACAACAACGGATTTTTCATTTGACTATTGGGTTGAACAATTCGATACAACTGAGACAACGATCGGTGCAGTCACAAGCACAACGGACACCATGAAAGAAAAGGCGCAACAACGGCAGCAAGTGCAGCAAGCGCAGTACGAGCGCGGAGAACAAAAACACAAAGACAGGCGAAAAACAACAGGAATCAGAGCTTTTGGTGGATCACCAAGTAATCGTACACGTACATCAGCACGGCGATCGGCTGGCCGAGCACAAGGGAAAACCAGACAACAACGTTGCCGTACTGGCTGTTCTTGAAAAACCGCTCCGTAATGACGGCCAGGGGAATCTGGCCCATCATGGCCGCGAACGCCCAGATTTTGAACATGCCCAGCGGCACCGACACCAAGATCTCGTGGAACAGCGCAGACAGCAGGAAGACAGCCAGCCAGCCGAACGGGCGCGAGTAGCCGGCGCGCATCAAGGGCAAGTAAAAGTGGCGGGCGCACCACTTGTGCACCGGAATGTTCCAGTTGCGCCAAAAGTACTGGATGGTGGTTGCATTCCACCAGTCGCGGTAAAACTCTCGGTCGGCAAAGCGCAGCACCTCGGCCATCGCATTCAGCACGCAGTGGAAGAACCAGTAGAAGAAGATGAGCCAGAGGAAGTGGTTTGGAATCTGGAATGAATCAATGATCGGGTGCAATGTTGTTGTTGTTCTTGTGAGTCAAAATCATTTCCTCCAAAAGAACTCGAGTGACATCCGGGTACGCACCGCAAGTTTGAGCACGCGCTCCGTCATGGTCGTCCAGTCCAGCTCATGCAGCGGTTTCATCGAGTTTTTGACAGTTGGCACCACCCATTGCTCGCCAAGCGCAAACAGCAACACGGCAAAGAAGACCTGCGCGCGATCGTGGCAATTTTGAGCTGCAGTGCACCGCACGTTGACAACCAAGCGCACGCATCAACATATTCACACAAATACAAAAATCCTCCATTCGGCAAATTACCGTCTCCACGATGCGACGAGCAAGGAAGCGCCAGCGAATACGGCGGGTGCGAGGAAAGTTGAGCTCGTAGCACAAGGTCGGTGCGAGCATAAAGTAGTAGAGGTTGGATGCAGTCAGGTTGTTCGGGTAGAGCAATGGCGGATCGTACACAAAGTCAATGTCCGAGGCAGTCCAGCGATCCACCTCGTCTTTGAGGGCGTTCACCGAATTGGTCAATCGTGAAGCATCGGCAGCGGGCTGCGCGTCTTGGCCATGACCGTGGTGGCGACGACGGCGTTGCTGCTCACGCAGCTCTTGCTCGTACTTTGTCGAGAGACGCTCGAGCTCTTGTTGGCGCTCCTCAATCGTGACTGGAGGGCGGGTGCCAGTCAGAGCGGCAGCCCGCTCCTCACGGCACCATCCGTTGAACATGACCCAGGAAACGAGCTTGAGCCAGATGACGCTTGCTTGTCCGATGACGAGAACAGAGCCAGCTAAGGGTGAACAAAACATTGAGTCAAGAATGAGAGCAGATTAACAAACAGCAGGGCGCGCAAAGATTGCTGATATCAACAAGAGCACGTCCATACCTGGATTCGGGTGCGCAACAAAGACAATGACCAGCGGAATGACGAGTTCGAGGAAAATGTTGATGCAATGGAACAAGCGGCCGCGATTGTTGGACAATCGCCCATCGGCCAGCCGTCGCTCGATGTGCAACGCGGCAAAGATGTAAATGTTGAGCGCTGATGACCATTGAGCGGGCGGTGAGATGATTGTTCTCAGACAATTTCCAATGCACTCGAAAAAAAAAAAACAGGGCACCAAATCTTACAAAGCGCGAGCAGCAAATTTGGCCAGGTGTACGGATCCTCAATCCACCAGCTAAACCAGCGCAGTGGATTGACAAGCACGCCATACCTGGACAAAGTACAAGTCGGATGGATGAATGTGTGTCAGTACAAGGCGATCAGAACGAGACCAAATTTGACGCCCCAAAATCGGAGACGCTTTGTTTTGTTTACTTGGCAACGTTCTCCACAATCATGCGCAGGTTGCTCAGAACGAGAATCAGCATGCACAGATTGAAGAGGCCTCGGTAGTTGTTGAAGCGGGACGCCGACGACAGCAGCGAGCTGGTTGGCTTGTGGCAGTTCCAGGCGAGCGGGTTGCTCAGCGCCTGCTGCATTGCGGCTGCCTTCCGTGCTGCGGCGTCTCCCCCTGCCGATGCGTTCGAGCTACTCGTGGAGGAAGTAGTAGCAGCGCTCGACTGCGTGTCACGGTGCGACAGGCTGCGGCGGCCCCCCGTCGTGCGCGGCGACGAGCTCAACGGCGTTGGCGTTGGCATGAACTGCAGCGGCGGGCTCGCCGGGCGCTCAATGCTGCTGCTATTGCTGATGCTGCTGCTGCTGATGGCCGCGTTGTTGTTGTTGTTGTTGTTGTTGCTCTTGTCCGTGTCAGCCGCGTCCGGCGCAACGAGGTCCTGCGCTCCGTCAGAGTGGACGCCGCGACGCTTTCGCAGCGAAGCACTCATTCTGTTGATGATTGGTTTGGGATGATTTTTGAGTGATGGACTGCGCATTTGGCATTCAGGATGATCAGATGAAGCGATGCTGATCGAGCTGTCATTTACGTTCAGATGGCATTGGATTTTCATGGTGCTTTGGGGAAGTGTTGGTTCTAGCTTGCCGGATCACTCATTTCGCACTGATCTTCCGACCCCTGCGCACTTCCAGCCCGTTTCTGAGCTTTAAGCGGAATACTTCGATTGTAGTTTGACTTAAAAAGATGGTCAGTGCATGAAAGTTGACAGCTTCGTTAAAAGAGTTTTGGAGACTCTTCACAAAAGCGACAATGGCCGCAGAAAAAGGCGCAAACGAAAGGAAGCGGCAGACATGATCATCTCGTCATGGTATTCCACAAGGGTGGATCGAGCTGCTGAAGATTAATTTTGCGCATTAATAAGACATGGTGCCCGCTTGCTCTCGCGTTTCCCGCGAGGACGTCGTCCGAATCTGTGCAGTAAACATACTTGACACCCGCAGGCAGATGGCCAGCTGTTCTATTCGCCTGCGTTGTTGTGTACCTGTTGTCATTGCTCAGCCCAACCAGGATGCGGTACGAATCTAGGACTGAGTGTTGCCAGCCGTTGTGGACGTGGAAGAGATCCGGCACTTTGCTTGGATGAGCAACGTAACTCGACTGGCTCACTTGAACAAAGATCAGTTGATGTGCGGGATTTTGATGTGGACAGTTTACAAAAAGCACGTAGTCAGCAACAGGATGATTGGTCCAGGTGGGAATAAACAATGAGTTGACTGGAAATGGTACATTTCCGTTCGTTGTTTGCAAGAACTGTTGTGGGTCCGCGGCAACGTTGCGTGGTAACTCCCGAATGAGCGGACCCTCAAAAACAACCTGGCGTGGTGCTGCGCCACGCAGGTTGGTGCCAGCCAGCTGCATTCCGACTCGACGACGGAGGCAAGCAGCCAGATACAATTCGAGAGCGCGCCAACGACTTGCTGCATCGCTGTAGATGTCACGCAAATATCCCGTTAGGTGCACCTGGATAAAATCATCAGCCGCCGAAAGGACAAAGCTGTTGACGGGTTCGAGGACGTGGTCTGGCCCAACGAGAAGAAGTCCAGTGTTCACCCATCGTGAGGAGACAACATCGTCTCGATTGGGAATGGTTTTGTTTCGGAGGTAAAGCGAAGTGAGGTCTTGCCGGAAAATGGCCAGGAGATCGGGCTGGCTTTGTCGGAGCCAGTGCTCTGCGACAGCCTTGAAGTACTGACGGTAGTAGCCGGCGCACATCTGGCGAAATTCGGCATCCTCAACACTGGCAAAAGGCCGGCTGCCGAAAAGCTCGCACAGACGTGGGATACCTCCAGTAATGCGATGCAAGTCTGCCATGATATTGTCGGGAATGCTGACAGGGGGATTACGAGAGAGCCAGGTTTGCTGAAGCACTTGTGTCTCAGCGTGGGTGAGCGGTCGAACCATCTGTTTGCAGGCGTGAGCCTCTGCATCGCGGAACACTCCTCGCGTAGCGTCCAATGGGTCGAACGATGAGCTCACAGCTGCCACGAACATTGACAAGCCAAAACGAGCACCCATGAAGCCAAGCGATTGCAAAGGATGGTCTTGAGGCAAGCCTGCACCGACGACAGCTGGGTCGAACATGGCATTCCACTGGTCGAGAATAAAAAGCGAGCAGAAAGTGGTTGTTGCAGCACAGTAATCACAAACGGCGTTCCAGGCAGCAAGCGCAACTCCATGAGCACGGATGGGAGCAATCGCAGGCCGAAGAAGAGCCAGCAGATCCGCGTACTGTGGCAGGTTCAACAACGGACGGTTGAGCATCTCTAGAATCCGGCACAAGCTAGCAGCGGCTGGGTCTGGCCTCAGGCGAGCAATACTGGCCGTTGATGCAACGTAGAGTACAAATAACGGGCGCTGCGGGCTCTCTGGAGGTTGGCGGAGCTGACGTGCAGTGTAGTCCAACGCCCGAACCAACAGAATGAACAGGACGGTGCTCTTACCAACGCCTCCAGGACCGGTGAGATAGGCGTTGGCCGGTGCGTTGACGGCAGTGGTAATGTTATCTAGTAAATGCAAAGCGAGGCTTCGCGGCACCAACTCTAGAGGATGTTCGACTGTAATCGCGTTGGCACGATCGGAAATCTCGGCTGGCAACTCCACTCCGCTAGTAGCATCCACATCCTGGCGTGTGATGCGACACACATTGTCGACCCTGTCGCCCATCTGTTATGATCAGAGATCGTTCTACGAGGGTCCGAGTATTGGGTTGATGATAAGTGTAGTGAAAAACTTTCAGGCACACAAAGCGACGAGTGGCAAAATAGCCAAACAGATCAACAGATCAATGTGCCTCACGACAGACGCCTCGAATCCCCACGTTTAAAAAACGACTCGGATTCGAGTTGTTTCTCATGAATTTATGCTGTTCTCAATGGAAGCAGGGGTTAGAGCACTCCTAAAACGAGCAATTGAAATTTGCAGTTCAGTCTTCCATCCGTTTACCTCCACTTTTTTTCAAACCATGGTCAAAGCGACGACAAAGAAAGGCGCTGTTGACAATGATGGTACACAAGCATGTGTTGTGTTTTGTTGTGTTTGGGGTGCGATGGTCTGGCATACGAAAGCGCTGGTTGTTGAACCATTGAGTTTTGTATGGAACACTTTGGGGCCAATTCTGTCGACTCACTCACCCTTGCCATGCTGTGCCCAGAATCGGTCATTCTCGACTACTTGAACAAGCAAAACAGGCCGTACAGTGCGAGTAAGCCACCACTCCCCACCCCCAGCAAGACCAGATTTAAGCACCATGGGGACTTGCAGCAGACTTGCAACATTGCTCGTCGTTCCGCTTCTCAAACACCCAGAGGTCGTGTCCCCCTCCTCAGCTTATCGTGTGGTGGTCACTAGTAGCTTTATCGCTAGTGACCTGCTCGCTGTGGGCCGCGGTTGAGCGCGCAAAACAGAGACGCTCAACTTTGGAGGATTGGTTTTTGGCGGGAAAAACTTCTTGTTTCACTTTTTTTTTTCCATTTCATGCAACTTTGCGTTCATTCTGTGCGTTCTCGTCCCAATCTCAACCCCCTGCCTTCGCCTTGGTTTTTTTTTTTTTTTTTTTTTTTTTTTTTTTTTTTTTTTTTTTTTTTTTTTTTTTTTTTGATTTGACTCGTTGAAACGCAGTCGACATTTTCAACAACTTGCACGGCGCGGTTGGCAAAACGGCAGTCACGAAAGCGCTCGCGTCGCTCACAGCCGGAGAGAAGATTATCGAAAAGGAGTACGGCAAGCAGCATGTCTACTGCCCAAGACAGGTATGGCGAACATGCGCTGATTGTTGTGATTGCAGGATGGATGGTTTGTGTTTGGCTCATCCTTGACTTTTCCGACTTTAGGACCAATTCGAAATCCCCGATGAAGCCGAACTCGACCAGCTCGACCAAACGATCGATGAGCTCAGGGATCAGTTGCGCGAAGAGAGTGCTGCGTGCAAAGCATTGGAAGGAGGTGGGGTTGAACAAGAGCCTTTTGGTAGTTGCACTTTTTTCTTCTTTTCTTCAAGTCTCACTTTTTTCGTTTCCCTCCCTGCAGACGTAAAGGTCTCTGGCGCATCGATGAAAACCGTCGATATCATTGCTCGGGTGGCAGCGCTGCGCACCAAGAATGCAGCCAACATGGAGCGCTTGGAAAAGCTCAAAACAGGCACCAAGCTGGTTTCTTCGGCTGAAATTGCTCGTGTACGTGGGACAAACATGCGGAATGCATGACCACCCGTTTGTTGGTGTGTACTTACCAGCACGCTCTACAGGTTAAGAAAAACTACACCACCGCTCACACGGCCTGGCGGAGTCGAAAGAAGATGGTAACTTTTCGCTTTTGATTTCCTTCCGTGACTGACTCTGCAACGAAACTCACGCACCTTGTCTCGAATGCTAGTGCATGAATGTGATCGACCAGGTCATGGAATCCTACCCCAAACCCAAGGCCCATCTGATAGACTTGGTCAAGATGGAAACAGACGAGGAGGTCGGCGTGAATTTTGCCAGCATGCCTGCTCCTTGAGCGGGCCGAGTTTTTGCGCGTTTGTTTTGTTAGTGCATGTTACACTTTGTCACATAAAATCTGCATGTACAATCAATTCACCACGTTCAAGATTTGCTTTGGGACACAGTCTTTGCGCGACGCTCTTCCAGCACTTTTGCGCGAGTCTTGTAAACAATCTCTGGCTTGTGTTCCAGCATGGCAGCATAGCGTGCTGCGGTGAACAAGTAGTCGCTCAATCTGTGACAGCGTCAGAGTCAGTTTGCTTTTTCAGTCTGAAACGCGACAACCCGCAAACCAGTTTTGTCACTTGCCGATTCAAGTACCGACCGGCAGCCTCGTCGGCCTCGCCATCGCGGACCAAGGGCACCACTCGGCGCTCTGCACGACGAGAGATGCTGCGCGCAATGTGAATGGCGCTGCTTGCTTTGCCTCCAGACTAGAGCGGGGCAAACACACACCAGATGGTTGAGTCTAAAGAAACCCAGAGACAACCTAACATGTGCTCGACCTACAGGAAGAATAAAGTTGCGCAAGGGAGGCAACTGCTCGTCCATTGCATCAATCCACTGCTCGAGCTCCTCGACTTGAGTCGGATCAAACTCGGTGAATCCTGCGCGATTTGAAGAATGAGAAACTACTGCCGGTCGTCTCGTTTTTCCCAACCACCTCCAGTCAGTATGGTTACCCTTTCGTGCCTTGTCTTCCGTCGTGCGCGGAGTGGCCACATTCGAGCCAATGTCCTGCAGAACGCATTGAATCTGTGTGGCAAGGTCGATAAGTTTTTGAGCAAAGTGTCTTTTGAATTCATCTCCGTTTGTCTCGAAATACCAACCGTCTCAAACTGCTCGGCGAGGTTTTCGTTGACGCTGAGGGTAAACTCGCGAGCCAATCTGCACAACAAAGTGGTTTTACCAGGTCGAGGTCGGGGGATCAAGATTAGCATTGGAAGATTCACATCTTCATCATTGTTTCACGTACGCCAGTGCGCTCGTGAGCTCGTCGGTGGCGCCGAGTGCTTCAAACACGGCATCGTCCTTTGGTCGCCGCTCGCCCGTGAACAAGCCCGAAGTGCCCTTGTCGCCAGTCTTGGTGTAAATCTTTGGCATCTTTGAAGCGACAGCGGCAGACTTTGCTTCGACAATCTTCTTGGCCACTCTGGGCGACGGTGGCACTGCTGACGAAGATGATGATGATGATGATGATGATGATGATGATGATGATGATGATAGAGTGGAATCGGCACGGGTTTGGAGCGCGCCGCCCATGAACCATGAACATTGGCAGGATGCGACGAGCGGCCAACTGCGAGACCGAGCGTGAAGCTAGAATGCTATGTGCGAACATGGTCAACACGAAAGACTGCGCTCATCCAACAAAGGGTAGAAAAATGCACAAAAGAAGGATCAAAAGAAGCCGGTGGAACGGCGATAAATGATCATGGCGAGTTGCCTTGCTTTGCAGTTGGGAACAAGAAATCAAAACGAAAACGAGCTCGCAAGACACTTCAAATCAGAGCAAACGAATTTTCAAGACAGGATTAGGCGGAAGGGATGGCTGCGGCGTGGTTGGCCAGAATACCAGTGGCAAGCGACGCAATGTGCGCCCAAGCGCTATCAATGTCAGCCTCGGTGGTCTGGGGCGCGCCAATGGAGAAGCGGAGAATGTACACGCCCTTGACCACAGTGTGAATCATCAGCAGCAGCTTTGCAGCCGACACGGCCTCCAGCAGCTTGGAGCTGAGCTCGTTGTCTCCCTTCAAGCGGAAGCAAACAAGACTCAGCGTGGTCGGGTAGACAACCTCAAATCGATCGTCCTTGCGAACCAGCGCATCAAAGCGGCTTGCCAACCCGACAGCCTGTGTGTGTGTGTGTGTGGGTGCGGATGCGTGTTAGCCAAGGAAGGGCAAATCATCAAGATGAGCGAAACGATGAAAAAAAATTGACGTGATGCAAAACCGCTCATTACCTTGCGGATGTGTGCTTGAAGGCCGGCAATGCCATAGCTGCGCAAGACAAACCACAGTTTGAGGGATCGGAAGCGGCGACCGAGCGGCACCTGCCAGTTGCGGTAGTCCGTGACGAGACCTGTGACGACATGAACGACGAACGAGTCAGTTGTTCAAGCACGTGTGGAGGAGTTGTTGACGAAAGAGGACAACACGCACCAGATTCGGACATGGCGTTTCGAAGATACTCTGGGGTGATGTTGAAAGCGCTGATGAGGAGGTGGCGTTGCTTGACCCTGCAGGACGAAAAAAAACAGTCAGTGTTTCAGATGAGGGGCCCTGTTCTTTCGCGGTGACAGCAAGAGGACAACGCTATCCACAGGCCTTACCACAAGGTCGAGCAACGAATCGGCAGACTGCAAAGCAAAAGAGAAAAGCAAAGGTGTGAGTATTATTGTTCAAGCGTCTACTCCTTTTGTGCAGCTGTCGCCTTGCAAGCGAGCTGGTGTTACCTCGACGCCAGCCATCGTCGATCGGAACTCGGGGCACACATAAGCAGCGCCGGCATAGGCAGCATCAATGTGCAGCCAAATCTTCTCTGCGTTGCAGATGGCGCCGAGGCCAACGTGGTCATCGTACGCGCATGTCGAAGTAGTGCCAGAGGTCGAGCACACAAAGAATGGGATGAGGCCAGCAGCGCTGTTGTGGATGTTTGTTCGAGATGGATGGTCAGTTAAGGGACCAAGAGAACAAAATCAACACGCACGCACACCCATGCACACACACGCACACACACACACACACACACACACACACACACACACACACACACACACACACACACACACACACACACACACACACACACACACACCCACTCACCGATCTTCAGCAATCGCCTGAGTCAGATTGGCAGCAACAAGACGGTGGTCAGCGCCGGTGGTGATGGCACGGAAGCGCACTCCGGAGACGCGCGCTGCCTTTTCGATGCAGGCGTGGGTTGACTCGGATCCATACGCAATGAGACGCGCCATGATGATGCCTTCGTCCTCGGGCTGGACGCCCTGGGCGGTTTGGGCGGCGCGCAGTTCGTTGATTGCTTTGGCGCGAGCGGCAAGCATGCACACAAGGACCGCCTCGGACGCCGTGCCCTGGATGACGCCGCCGCCGTGGCCGTTCTCGCCGTTGCGGTGCTGCGCAAGGAAGGCGTCGGGGAGTCCGACCGCGCGGCCGAGCCAGTCGAGCACGACCGTCTCGAGTTCGGTGCACGCGGGGCTGCAGACCCAGTTGAATCCGACGCACGCAATCGCGTCCGACAGCATGTCGCCCAGGATGGACGGGAAGGAGCTTCCGCCGGGGAAGTACGCGTGGAAGCGCGGGTGCTGCCAGTGCGTGACGCCCGGCATGATGACTCGCTCCACGTCCGCGACGATCGACTCCCACGACTCCCCTTCCGCAGGCGCCTCCGCCGGGATGAGCGGGCGCAGGTACCCCGGAGACACCTCCGACATGACGGGCCGCTCGCGCATCGTCTCGTAGTAGTTGGCAATGTAGTCGACCATCTCGTGGCCGCGCTTGCGGAACTCGGCTGCGTCCATTGTGTTGAGTGAAAATTGGAAGAGTGAGGGAAAGTAAGTGGTCGGTTTTGAAAATCGGGTTTTGGATGATTCTCCGCCTTCTGGCCTCATAGATCTACTTTGTGATTGTGTTTTCTTCCGCATTCCCAAAAGATGCAAAGTACACTACTGTAGCTCATCTACCACTTGTTGTCACTTTGGACACGTTGTTCGAACGAGCATTCTGTGCGTGCTTGCTCACAACAAATCCAATGTTTGGTGAGCGCGATTTTGCAAAGTGCCGAGATAATAATAGGTTTAGGTTGATCTGAGAGTAATGTCGCTTTTGGGCGAGGGACAGTCTATTCCACGCTTCCGCTTCGTGCTGCAATGCTGTCCTATGAGAGCATGACTGAGAGACAGCGCGAGTTGTATGACCAAGTCAAGAATGCGGATGGAGAGCTCCAGTAAGAAGAAAGCCAGGTTGATTGAGAACAGCGTGATAGCGCGTGTACTGATACAAAGGAGGACAGTCTGAATTGCAAGCAGATTGGCGTTGCAGAGGCACAGGCGATTGCCGAGGCACTCAAAGTGAACAGGACGTTGACTGACCTCAAGTAAGGCATCTGACTGTTACTGAAGCATCCACGAGCGAGTCATCCAGCGGAGGGCGTTCAGACTGCTCACTGAGGACACGGACAGTCTGAATGTGAATCTGATAGGCGACGCTGGAGCACAAGCGATTGCAGAGGCACTCAAAGTGAACACGACGTTGACTGTGCTCTTGTAAGACATCGCACTTTCCTGATGCATGTGAGTGGGTGATGCAACAGGGAATTCAGAGAGCTCGCTAATGGAGAGGATGGACAGTCTTGGTGGCACTCAGATTGGCGACATTGGCGCGCTGGCAATTGCTGAGGCACTCAAAGTGAACACCACGTTAACTGCTCTCTCGTGAGTCATCTTACGAGTACTTGTACTGATACATGAAAGTGGGCGATTTAGCAAAGACATGCAGCGTGCTCACTGATGGAGAGGGGCGGGCAGTCTGGGCAATAATCAGATTGGCGATGCTGGAGCGCAGGCCTTTGCTGAAGCACTCAAAGCGAACACGATGCTGACTGAGCTCACGTAAGGCAGCTCGCTTTGACTGCAGCATGAGCGTGAGTGATTCCGTAGAGGGCGTGAAGAGTGCTCACTGATGGAGGGGATGGACAGTCTGGACTGGAATCAGATTGGCGACGCTGGAGCGCAGGCCTTTGCTGAGGCACTCAAAGCGAACACGACGCTGACCCAGCTTCAGTAAGCCACCTCATTCACTGCTGCATGTGAGTGAGTGCAACAGAGGGCATTCAGAGTGCTAACTGATGGATGGGCAGATTGGATTTCAATCAGATTGGCGAGGTTGGAATGCAGGCGATTGCTGAAGCACTTCAAGTCAACAAGACGCTGACTCTGCTCTAGTAAGGCGTCTCATCTTTGCTGATGCACATGAGTGGGGATTTAGCAGATGGGTTTCAGAGTGCAAACTGATGCATGGATTCGACAGCCTGAAGGAGAATCGGTTTGGCGATGTTGGAGCGCAGGCAATTGCAGAGGCTCTCAAGGTGAACACGACGCTGACTGAGCTACGGTAAGGCATCTCACGTTGACTGTTGCATGTGGGTGGGTGAATCCGTGGAGGGCGTGAAGAGTGCTCACCGATGAAAGGGGAAGGACAGTCTGAATGATAACCAGATTGGCGATGGTGGAGCGTGCGCGATTGCTGAGGCACTCAAAGTGAACAAGACGGTGACTCGGCTCTCGTAAGTTACTGTGCGTGTTGCTTGTCTCGAACATCGAGCGTGGGTCATTGCTACGTTGTCATCCCGCTCACTTTTTTGAGCCACAGTCTAGACCGTAATTGCATTGGCAGCGTTGGTTCTCAAGCTTTCGATGAGGCACGCAAAGGCAACTGCAGATGTCAGGTTGAGTAAGTTTGATCTTGCCAATCACAGATGTTGGTGCTCAGACGATGTTCCTCACCGCTGGAGTGGTCACTGACTGATCATGCCTCGCTTGTTCGTTTCACAGCGTCCGCGATCAGATCAACCCTCTTGCATTCTCCTTACTTCCACGATTGGCAAGTGCTGAAGACATCCAAGCAGTTCTCGGCATGCTGACCGGCGGGTTGGAGCTGGAGAATCAGCCCGTGTATCTACCAGCACTACCAACCGAGATTGCCGAGCTCATTATGGAAGAAGCGCATTACTGGCAAGGCGTGGCGAAAACCAACCGAAGAACGACCAAAGTCACTGTGCCTCAAGGAGATTCAATCCGCGTGAAAGTAATTCAAGTAGTTCGTTTCTGGCGCGAGCGTCCCAGTATCACCGGTTACTGGGTTTTTAATTTGACTGTCCGAGATGAACAAGGTGCTGTTCGGCACGAGTGTACTGTGCACCCGACTTTCGTTGAGTCGAACCTTGCGCTTGCGACATTCTGGCCGGCGAGTCATCCCATCATCCGACAAATGCGCGAGGGCTGGCAAGTTCAAGCCAGCGTGACTTCCAATAATATGATGTGTGAATCGCTTTATGTCGGATATGTCGACCGACAGTAATCACAAGTGTTTTTGTGACGAATACATTTAAAGTTTTTTCAGCCGTTTCGAAAGGCATTAACTCTGTGGTCCACCGGCCTTTCAACATCTTTGAATCTCAAATCTCCAGCAAACCCCTCCAAATAAAATGAAATGAAACACACAGTTTTGGCTTTTGCAATTTTTTTTCTTTGTACAAGATCACGCAGCAGCAGACAACAGAGACATCATCAGGCAGCTACGGCAGCCAACGCGCTGGGGGGAGCGTGCGCGCTTAGAAGCACTTGCGGTGGACGATGGAGGGGCCAGCCTCGTCGTACTCCTGCTTGGAGATCCACATCTGTTGGAAGGTGGAGAGGGAGGCGAGGATGGAACCACCGATCCAGACGGAGTACTTGCGTTCCGGGGGAGCGATGATCTTGATCTTCATGGTGGCGGGGGCGAGGGCAGCGATCTCCTTCTGCATGCGGTCAGCAATGCCGGCGTACATGGTCGTGCCGCCAGAGAGGACAGTGTTGGCGTAGAGGTCCTTGCGGATGTCGACGTCGCACTTCATGATCGAGTTGTAGGTGGTCTCGTGGATGCCAGCAGACTCCATGCCGAGGAAAGCGGGCTGGAAGAGGGCCTCGGGGCAGCGGAAGCGCTCGTTGCCGATGGTGATGACCTGGCCGTCGGGAAGCTCGTACGACTTCTCGATCGAGGACGAGGAGGCAGCAGTCTGCATCTCCTGCTCGAAGTCGAGGGCGACGTAGCAGAGCTTCTCCTTGATGTCGCGGACGATTTCACGCTCGGCAGTGGTGGTGAAAGAGTAGCCACGCTCAGTGAGGATCTTCATGAGGTAGTCAGTGAGGTCACGGCCAGCCAGGTCGAGACGGAGGATGGCGTGGGGAAGGGCATAACCCTCATAGATCGGGACAGTGTGCGAGACACCATCGCCAGAGTCGAGGACGATACCGGTGGTGCGGCCCGAAGCGTAGAGCGACAGGACGGCCTGGATGGCAACGTACATGGCGGGGGTGTTGAAGGTCTCGAACATGATCTGGGTCATCTTCTCGCGGTTGGCCTTGGGGTTGAGGGGGGCCTCAGTGAGGAGGACGGGGTGCTCCTCGGGGGCAACACGGAGTTCGTTGTAGAAGGTGTGGTGCCAGATCTTCTCCATGTCGTCCCAGTTGGTGACGATGCCGTGCTCAATGGGGTACTTGAGGGTCAGGATACCACGCTTGGACTGAGCCTCATCGCCGACGTACGAGTCCTTCTGACCCATGCCGACCATGACACCCTGGTGACGCGGGCGACCGACGATCGAGGGGAAGACGGCGCGGGGAGCGTCGTCACCGGCAAAGCCGGCCTTGCACATGCCAGAGCCGTTGTCAACGACAAGGGCAGAGATTTCTTCGTCGCACATTTTGGTGGGGTTGGTGGGATTTAACTAGGTTAAAAGACTGATCTGAAACTCGTCCAAAACGGGCCGCCTTAAATACTCGGCGCGGTCGCAGCACGATTTCAGGTCAGTCTGCCATGGCAGTTTGACCTGAAAACCCTGTTTGTTGATTCAGCTTTCCAAAGAAGGCAGGCACAAAAATTAAAAAATAACAAAAACAATTTTTACTGCTTGTTTTTTGCATTTTGTGTTTTTTTCGCTTTTTTAAGTGTTTTTTGGGGGGTTTTTTTTGTGGCTTTTCCGTCTGTTTGTGGTGGAGTGGGGATTGCGTGTTGCGGCCGTGACACTGCGTCGCTTGCTTCGACGCGGCCACTGCCCTGCTTGATGAACGCTGGCCGTGTCTCGAGCCGTGTCGATGCGAGAGAGATGCGAGCTTGAAGAAATCGATTGAAACGGAAAAAAAAAAAAAATCTTTTTTACCAAGATCTTGTAAAAAATTCGCGGAATCGGTGCAGTCAGCCCTTGTTCCTATCATCACGCTGGGGCAAAATCCTGTTTGTCACTCGTGACGATGCGTTTCTTGGATCTCGAGCTTCGCTGTGCGATTAACTGGCGTCGTTGGCTTGCGTCGGTTCCAGGAACTTTTTATTGAAATTTTTTTATTTTTTGCTATTTTTTATTTTATTTTATTTTGGCATTTTCAATGTTTGTGGTGGTTTTTTTTTTTTTTTTTTTTATGGTTGGAATTGCCACCAAAGTGCGCCTCGAACGCATCTGACCAACGCAAGCCTAGTCCCGCTCGAAGATTGGCTCCGGTGGAACCCGCGCTTCAACGATTCGACCTGTGTGCGCCTGGGAAGGAAGACTCGTTGTTCCGTCCATCACGGTGGCAGAGTCCGATTGCGCAAACCCTTTTCCACTTTGTTCGACCCGCGCCCGCTGTCCAAGGCCGAAGGAGCAACCTGGCAAAAGGAGGAAGGCGCATCGAGTCGAGTTTGGTGCTTGTTTGCGAGATCTCGTGCACGGGCTGTCCGGACGTTCGTGGTTTGTTCCATCGGCACGCACGACCAAAATTTCCCACAGTTCGAGCACGCAGCTGCATTGTTTTCATCACGAGCAAAACAGAGGCCCACGCTGTCCTCCCATACATCACCACAACGGATGGCTGACATTGAGTAGCGGCAGGGTGGAGCTGGGAGACGTTTGTTGAGCCCGCGGACGCACACCCAAATCTTTGTTGCGGTTTGTCCATCGTTGTCTTTCGTTCCCGTTCCTCCAGCCCGCTGTTCCTGCAGCCGTTGTGGCTGTTGCTACACCATTTGCCGTGACGAGCATCATTCTGATGCGATGCGGGTGGGGAGGCCGACCTCCAGCGAGCGTTTTCGGCATGCACTCGAGCTTTCATTCCCGCTCAGACTCCTCAGCATCCCTATTCCATGGCCAGATGAAAACCTGGACACTACTGTGCCGCGCTCGCTGTGACCGCAAGCGTCCACGCCGTCCGTGGTGGTGTCGCACACTTGAGCCACAGAATGGCCGAGGATTTGCACATCTTCCTTTGCTTCATTCTAGCCCACATTGAGGAAGATGCTCCTCCACCTCAGCATCCCAGAAACCCAGTCTGGGTACCCCCGAATCCCAGAAATGAAGGTAAGTTTCTGCGTGCAATTGGTGCTATGGCGGCGCAAGCTCTACCAATACACGTCGATTTTTGAGAAACGGCATTGTCCAGGTCCACGCGCAACCAACGGTGATGTGGTCTTATTGAAACAGCCATTGTGATCATATCGGGGATGGCACCAGAAGCTCAATCAGGCGCAAATCCAGCTGTGTGAGAACTCGGCGTTAACGAGCTTCAGCAAAATCCAAAATCCATTTCACCGAGAGAACAGTGCAAAATCAGTAGAAAGCTAACTCGTACGCAATCTCATGGCACGCTCAAGTGCAGATGTTTACTGAGTGGTGATGGGGAGGTTTGGTTTTCTCGTCATTCGCTCACTTCTCTCGCTCGCTCGCTCGTTCCATCCATCTTTCCATCCACCTTGTCGAACCTCTATTCGGCTCACACATCCGATTAGTTTTACCAGCTCGTAAATCCGCTTGGCGTCCTTCACTCGTCGACTTGTCCTTTTTTGTCAAACGAGCTCAGTCTCATTGCCCCTTTTGTTTGCTCCTCTCAACAGTTTTCTTTTAAACTCTTCCTCCCCTTCTTCTTTTCAGTCCATGAAGGTCTTTCAGATCTCTGCGGTGGTTGCTGCGCTGCTCGTCGCATCCAGCGTTGGCCTGGACAACGGGCTTGGGCGTACACCGCAAATGGGTGAGGGGCAGCTGTCAACATGGACTATTGACGCTCTGGCTCTGTTTCCGCGCGTCTGCACTCGCTATCTGGGTTGATTGGGAACGTGGTCGTTGGCGTCGTTGCGCGCTTTGTCAAAATCCTCGTCCAACCGTGGTCAGCATTGCGCGCGCAACAACCGTAGTCTGAGCGGCATTGCATTACAATTCCTCATTCGCAGACCACTGCGCCAGCCCCCCACCTCCACCTCGTCGCCTTCAACCCCAGTCAAAGTTGTGTCTCATAACAACACGCAGCAAATCTCGTCTCGTGCATCAATGTGGCAAAGGGGCTGATCGTGTACTTTGCTTGTTCGCTCAGGATTCAATACTTGGAACCATTTCGGCTGCAACATTAGCGAGGCGCTCATCCGCAGCACCGTGGACGTCATGGTTGCCACTGGACTGTCAGGTACCGTCGCACTGTCCATAATTTTGCGGTTGTTGAAGTGTGATCCAAGTCCTGTTTCTTTGCTACAATTGTGTCGCTGCTCTGACCTAATTTGTTCGAAATTTGTGTGATTTTGGACACTTTTTGGCAGCTGTCGGATACAAGTACATTGTAAGCATGTGAAACATGCTCATGTTGGTCGAACGAGGGTGTCGTGGAACCCCGCTGGTTGATTGTTCTGTTTCTTTTGTTGCGCAAAACAGAACCTGGACGATTGCTGGGCGGTCAACCGTACGGCTGCAGGCGTTATCGTCGCCGATCCGGTCGCATTCCCGAGCGGCATTGCAGCACTGGCCAGCTATGTGCATTCCAAGGGCATGCTTTTCGGCCTGTACTCGGACGCTGGCACCAAGACCTGCGCCGGTCGCCCCGGATCGGTCGGGTATGAAAAGATTGACGCGCAAACGTACGCTGCATGGGGCGTGGACTACCTAAAGTACGACAATTGCAACGCTCCTGCAGACCAGACCCCTCAGGTTCGCTACAATGCCATGCGCGATGCCTTGAACGCGACCGGCCGCCCGATCTTCTATTCCATGTGCGACAGCATCGACGATCCTTCCGCATGGGCGAAGCCGGTCGTGAACAGCTGGCGCACCGCCAGTGATATTAGCGACAGCTGGAGCAGCATTATGAAAATTGTCGACAAAAACGAGCCATTGTGGAAGATTGCAGGCCCCGGTGGCTGGAACGATCCCGACGTGTTGGAAGTTGGCAACGGCGGGCTGTCGACCACCGAGTACACTTCCCACTTTACGCTCTGGGCGCTGATGAAGGCTCCGCTCATCTTCGGCTGCGATGTTACCAAAATGACCAACGACACTCTGCGCATTCTGACCAACACTGAGGTGATTGAGTGGAACCAAGGTGAGCCCGCGAAAACTCGCATCGTCGTTTTGAACTGTTGATAGAGTTGCACTTTGCTAACAAACACCTTGTACTATACTCTTGTTGGTACATTCTCCAGATTCGTTGGGAATCCAGGGTCATCGCGTCAAGCGCGGCCTCCTCTCGGAAGTTTGGATGGCGCCCCTTGCCAATGGCCGCTTTGCTGTTGTGCTGTTCAACACTGATCCGCTGCTGAGTGCCCACATGACCGTGACCTGGGCCGAGCTTGGTCTCACTGCCGGCAGCAAGTACACTGCTCGTGATGTTTGGCAGCACAAGAACGTTGGGTTGTATGCTGGCACTTTCGACGCACAAGTCGCTCCGAAGGGCGTGGTGGCTGTCACCCTCGTCCCCGCCTAAAGACACGATGGTTTGAAAAGTGGGTGCGATTGCCGAGTTCTTGAGGCGTTGTGGGCAGTTGCTAAAAAGTACAAAAATTGGGGGTAGTTGCCAACGAAGAACTCGATTATCAAAGCCACACGTGAAGCGAACAATTTCAACGAGCAGGCTTCCGTGCGGTAGTCGCAGCCAGTCGTTTGTGACCCGTTGACTGGCGAAACTGTCTATTTCCGGCAAATTCACGACTATTTTGGGAAAAAGACGCCTCCTCCATCTTTCACTCAAAGCCAGCCACCACAGAATAAACACCACCATTGCGTCAATGCAGTTGAAAGAGGAGGATAAAACTCTGTTGAAAACGAAACGATCAAAAGAAACAACCCAGCAAAACGAAAAAAAAAAAAAAAAAAAAAAAGGACGAACAAAAGCCAAGCTTCACAATCAAACTCATCAATCACCAACCAGTCCGCCGTGGACCCGCTTGGCCATCCTGATAGTTGTACACGAGTGGGCTCGTTCCGCCATACTCGACTTGGAGACATTGGGGCTCAAAGTCGCGCAGCACAAAGTCCTTCCAGTTCTCGCCGAGAAGCTTAATCTGTTGTGTGTGGTGGTGGTGGTGGTTTCGCAGAATAACAGGCATAGTCGCATTCGTCAGTCATGCAAGTTGATTTTTCTCTCTCTCCAAAAGGGGCGACCACAACTCAAATCGCATTACCTTTCGTCGGAACGACTTGGACGTAAACCGCTTGACAACGGAAAAGCCGTAGCGGAAGACGAAATCGGCATTAAGCACGTACATGCAATGCAGCAGCTCGGGATAGTTTTGCTGGAACATGCGCACAAACTTTTTCAGCATGGGCACGTCCGAGTTGGCACGACCCGCGCCAGTACGGTCGTAGATGAAGACAAATTGCTGGAATGGATGGATGGCGCTGTGTAGTGTTTGGGGTGGAATGTGTGAGTGAGTGTTTCTAACCAAACCAACCAAACGCAACGAAACCAACATTAACAAAAACAAACTCTCCGTTGCCCCTTACCGATGTTCAACAAAATCCTGGACCATCAACACCCAATGGCGGATGGTCTCGTACTTGTCGCGCTTGGAGACAAAATGCCGGTTGGCCTTGAACAAGAGACAGGGGTGGCCGTACCGGTCAAAGCCGTGCCAATAGAGCTTGTTGGCACGCAGCTCATTCGCACAATCCGCCTCGGTGATGCGCTCCGGGTGGTAGCTTTGGAGCCACGCAAAATGCGCTTCCAGCATGCGGTGCGCCAACGGCACATTGCCCTTGCACGCGACGAGGAAACGGTACACTTTGGCTCGTTGCCATTCGACATCTCGCATCCGCTGCGCGCCTGCGCTCATGCCCGGGTGACTGGCCAACACCGTATGCAGCTGATTGACAGCGAGAATGTCCATATCCTGAAAAGTGGGTGCAGAGTTAAAAAAAGAAAAAAAACACAGATGAGCTGTTACGTCGCAATCGCCCGACGAAACACACACACCGTCCGTGGTCTGAGCCTAGCTCCCCTTCCCCCTTTTTCTCTGTCTCAATCACAAAAAACCACAAGTAAGAGCCCAAATCGTACCAGCGGGATCTCTTGTGGTCGAATGGTGGCATCCTCCATGTCGTCCTCCTCCTCGTCTTCGTCTTCGTCTTCGTCGCCAAAGGAGGGCAATGACATGGGCTGCTCGCCTTCGTTGCCAGAGCCCTGGGTACTGCCAGCTGGAGACGGCGCGTAGTGGGTTGTCAGCCCGGGCGAGTTGGCTGGCATGTACCCAGGCGTGTCGCCACTGGATTTGCGGCCTCCGCCATTGACAAGAGCGTCGTTCGCAAGCACCAGCTGCTCGACATCCTCAGCAACAAGCGGCGTGGATATTGGCGCAACGTGGCCTGGTTTCTTAATGTACAGGCTCAGCTTGGCAAACTCGCCGGGCCTGCGCGCAAACTTTTGAAAGACATCGTCCAAATCCTCCTGGGATGTCACATCCACCTTGACGCGGCCTTCGTCCTTGTACATGAGCTTGACGCCGCCTTCGCCGACATTGGCACGAATGTGCAGCTTCTTTTCGATCGCCTCGACCAACGCGTCAAACGAGATTTCCTCCGTCTCGGCCTGGCCCTGTAACCGGTTTGCCAGCTGGCGATTTTGGCGCTTGAGCAGTTCGATATAGTCCACGGCTGATGAGGTGGGAGGGTGGAGGGTTGGCGATGCACGGGGTTTGTGTTTCAAAAAAAGTGAGTCACACAACAGAACACAACCAGATCAACACCTTGCTCACAACAACAAACAACTGGCTCGCATGGCTCTGTCATACTCTTTTTAAGAATAGCAGCTCGACTGCACGAATCCTTCACGGTCGGCACCACGTCCTTCAACAAACCAAATCCTTCTTTGATGTTATCGCGACGCTTTTGCTCGGACAGAATGTGCGAGCGCTTGAGTTCCCTGCATGATAGTTGTTTTTTCCATAGGTGAGTCAAAGCTGAAACCTCTGGGCTCGTGTTCGTTGAAGCAATGACAAAGGCGTGATATGGTAGTGCAACTTACATGTCGGCTTGCTCGGTGGCAGGCTTGCCCCGGGGCTTGGGGTTGCTGGTTGGCTGAGGTGGAGTGGGTGGGACTGTCGTCTCGCTCAGCTTGAAATCGCCGACCATGCTTGGGAACGGCAGCGTAGGAGCAGCGACGGGCTCGGACGAACCACCGAATCGAAACCCAGGAGTGACGTTAAACCCAGCACTGCTACCACTGCTGCTGTTGCTGCTCTGCGCAGGAGCAACATGAAACTGGTGTGCAGGAGGCGGCTGCATTGACAGATGCGGCGACTGCACAGACATGTCTGTCAGTGTCACGGGAGGAGCCTGGACGGCAGCAGCAGCCTGATGGAAGCTCGGAGCGAGTGGCTGGGATGGCAACTGCGACTGGTGCTGGTGCTGCTGCTGCTGCTGCTGCTGCTGCAATGACTGCAGCGCCTGAATCTGGTGCTGGAACTGCATCTGCTGCTCCTGACGCAGTGCTTGCAGCTGCTGCGGGGTCAGTGTTGGGAAGGCGCGCTGCGCTGTCGGCACAAACTGAGTGGTGGGCTGCGCAGCGGCGGCAAAGTGGCCTGCGTGCTGTTGCTGTTGCTGCATCCGCTGCGGCTGGTGTTGGAGTTGATGCTGGAGCTGGTGCTGGTGCAGCTGCTGCGGCTGGAACGACTGCTGCGGATGGTGGTACATCGGGTTGCCTGTTGTTGTTGTTGGGGAAAGCGGTTAGTAATGCGTAAAGCGCGTTAAACTCGGCTATCATCACGAACAAGGCAAGGAAATGGTAGCACAATCAACCAACAAAAAAATCGTGACACTTTTTGTGTCATTTGTCAGTTTTTTGCTTTTTTTTTTTTTTTTTTTTTTTTTTTTTTTTTTTTTTGGCGCAGCGACACGATTGAGAGACAGAGACAGAGAACAGAGACAAAGGGAGGCAAAAGGGGGAGGCAGTTCAACATCCCAAGTGGCTGTGTGTTTCAATGTAATGTACCAGTGCCAGTGAGCGAGGAGAGCTCGAGGGAGGAGACGGCCATCGGGTCAATGTCGGCGGGTGCCAGGACTTCGGCAAAGAAGCTGGTGAGTTCGTTGGTGAACTGGTTGAACTGCTGCGACTGCATCTCTGGCATCATGCCCGCCAGCGCAGCAACGTCAGCGTCGAAGGCTGTGGTGAATGTAGTAAGAAGAAGGACAAGCAAAAAACGAAAGTCCGTCAGTGAAACAACGACAATCATCATTCGTAAGGAAGGTCAAAAAAAAAAAAAAAAAAAAAAAAGCTCAAGAATAAAATCACAATGAAACATTGGGTTGTTTTTGAACAAATGCGAAAAGTCGGCGCTGCGCTCACATTCTGGCGACGACAACGACATTGTGTGAATGAGAGAAGAAGAAAAAGAAGAAGAAGAAGAAGAAGGGAAAAATGGGGACTGGAATAAATACTTGGATTGGCTCATGAGATAATGGAGATCGAATGGGTGAACATGCACCAGGAAGAATTAATTTGGCGAGAAACTGGGACGATCAAGAAATCCGACGAAATTCAACGTGTCACGTCGTCCGTACAAGAGAAGAGTTTAAAAACGTACAGCAAATGTATAAACAAAAAAAATTACAATGAAAAACCTACAAGCGAGAAACCACGCAGCAACCCCACCCCCTCAATCGTCGTCCGCAAACAAATCGCCAGACTGCAGCGACTTGATTTTATCGGAAGCAACCTTCTTTCGCTGGACGGCAGGGAAGAGAGACGGAACCTGGTGCGTTGGACGCCGAGTCGCGGTGGCATTGGCACTGCCGGGCCCGACGGGCAAGGCGGCAGCCGCCGCAAACGCAGACGCCGCCAGCACCGCCGATTCGGACATTGGCGTGGAGGAGGGGGAGGATGGTTGTTGCGATGCAGGCATCGGTTGGGATAGCTCACCGAGATCACTGCTCGAAGCCTCGTTGGAGCTCAAGCCAGAGCTTGTGGTCAATGCCGGGGAGGTCGGCGGCGAGACGGCAACACCCGAAAATGTTCCAGCAGAAGTCGACGGTGCCACCACAGGTGCAGCAGCACGTGCACCCGAGCTCAAAGAAGCGCTACTCGGAGAGCTGCTAAGCGGGCTACTGCCCAAAAGACCGGGGCCGCCATATGGAAACGCTGGACTGGACGCACCGCCGATCGGGCGCGAGCGGAAGGTCGGCGTGTTGTTGGGTGCACCGCCGCCCTGCGGGAAGCCACCTGGAATGCTGGAAGAGGAAGACAGGCCCGATGAAGCGAGCCCGGATCCTGTGGCCGTGTCAGAGAGCGCGGGCGTGCTTGACTGTGCCGACGACGACCGCCAACCAAACAAGCCTGCCGCTGCCACGAATGGCGCCGAAATGAAGCTGGACGCAGTGGTTAGGACGGCCATTGTTGTAGCCGTCACCGACGAGGCCTGTCGCGCCATGCCAGATTTCGGCACCTGGCTCTTGACGTCGGCTTGCTGGCTTGCACGCACGCCATCGTTGGATTGGTCACCGCCGTACAGGTTGACACTATTAAGCGCGCTGGCTAGCTCCTGAACTTGGGCGGACTGCAGCTCGGGGCACAGGCTGAACAGGGTCAGGTCGAACATGGTGTAAAACAGGTGCTTGTTTTTCTGCGCGTCTTGGAGACTCTCAAACAGACGCTCGGCACCGCGGCGCCCATTGTCCTGGCCGAGCATGCTGACGAGGTGGTCTGGAAGCGAGGTGAGCAGCGCAGTCTTGGCTTGGAGACGAGTGTGCAGCTTGTCCTCGGGCGATCGCAGCGGGTAGGCCGACGCCCAGACTCCGTTGGGCCAGAAGGCATCCCGCAAGCGCTCAAAGTAGTACAGCTGCGAAGTGCGTGACGTAAACCAGTGAACGGTCTTTTCGACGTTGCGATTGATCGATCCGCCAAAGGTCAGCTGAATAAAGAGAATGACCTGCTTTCGCACCCAGCGGAACATGCCATGCAACTCGAACAGCTCTCCAATCAGATCAAACACGGGCTCGGCCAAGTCATCGCGCGTGCTGTTCTTTTGATCCGACTCTTCGTCTGCCGCGTTCAAGTTGACGTCGTCAAAGTCCGGCTCGACCAGCACTTTCTCCATTCTAGCCACAGCAGGGACATCGGCCGCCGCACTAGTAGCATCCATGGGGAAATCGGAATCCCCCGCTACTGCTGCTGCTGCTGCTGGTGAGAGAATAGGCATCGATTCGCTTCCGCTCACAATGTCCACCCAATCAGTGTCTCCAGTCAAGGCGCTCGAGTCCTCGCGATGCCAAAACTTGAGCCGAGACGACAAGCTGCTTCGAGCCTTGTCTCCAGCAGCTGCCGTGGTCGAAGGTGCGGAAGTGGCGGACGCACCCGCCTGAGAAGCTGTGGAAGCACTGGCAGCCTGAGCGTCCTCGCCCGGCGCTTCTCGAGGAAGATTCGCGCGCAAATTCTTGGGACTGGGACTCAAAAACTCGAAAATAACCTCGCTTCGACACAGCTCTGGGTCGGCGAGCACTGCGACAAGGTAGTCGTTGAGCAGCAGGCGAGATTTCTCGAGTGACTTGGATTGACCGCCAAACCAGCGCTTGCCTGGCAGGTCGAGTTTCCTGGCCGTGTCCGACCTCTCGCGCAAGAAGGAATGCAGCTCCTGGAATTCGTCGTAGCGGCGCGCCACCACCCAGCCCATGGGCTCGTCCACGTCAGTGCGGTGAACAACAACCACGAAAATGGGAACTTGGCGGTGCTCAAACTCGTTCAGTTCCGCGCTGTGCACGCGGGCTGCCCATTGACCCAAAGTGGTGCACCATTGGTCTGAGCAGAAAGACAATCAAAAATGGAGGCTTGGTGAGGCAACCGCACAAAAACAATCCCAAAAATATTCGAAAAAACAACCAAGCGAGAAAGAAAGAGAGTGTGTGTGAGCGCAACCAACCTGTCAGCTCAATGTGGTGCTCAATAGCGCGCTTCTCCAAGCGGTGCGCTTCAAGGATGGCCTCTAGCTCTGCCACTTCCTGTCAGATGCGCAATAATGCCGAAGCAACAAGCCAGTTAGAAGCAATGATCACAACCAGCACAACAACAAACAATACAAAAAAAAAAAGTTTGAAGTGGGACGACAGCCTCCTCACCTTTTCCACTTCGGGAGGGCAGTGAAAGTAATTGGCAGCCTTCATTTGCGTTTGTTTGAGTTGCTTTTCCTTGAGATCAATCTCCTCGTTCAAAAATTCGAGACGCTGCGAGAACGCACCGCGCTCCCGGTCGCGAACGCGATCGGCTTGCGGGAATGGTGGTCGCTTCTTGACGACAGAAGGCGCGCTGTGGCTAGACCGCGAGACGGCCGTGACCTGCTCCATGAACATCAGTGATGTAGGGGTGTTGGAAAAGGCCGAAAAGGCGTCCAAGGCCATGGCAATGGACTCTTCTGTTCTCGACTCGCGCTGTTCAGGAGCCGTCGAAGGCTGCTGCACCTGAGCTGGAACTGGTGGGTCGGAATGTTCTGGCTCTTGTTCTTGTTGTGGTTGTTGTTGTTGTTGTTGTTGTTGTTGTTGTTGTTGCTGTTGTTGTGGCAAGGACTCGGGCAATGGAGCGGAATCTGACTCCTCCGGATCAGAACCAGCGGGCTTGTCGTCGTTGGCTGCGACAGGAGCTGGTGGCTGTTGCGAATCGACTTGTGTCGGTGGTCCAGATGGAGCCGGAGCGTCCAATGTCGACGCGGGCGGTGGCGACGTTGATACAACTGGACTGCTAGCATTGGTGGCGGGTGGCGGCTGCTGGCCAGTCTGTTGCAGAAACTGCTGTTGCGCTGCAAGATGCCTGTCACGCAGCTGCCAGATAATGTTCTGATTGATATAGTCAGGGTCGCACAGCAAATCTGCCGTCGGAAGGAAGACCCAGATTGCAAGGATTTCTCGCAACATGTGGCGCATGGGCAGACAGTGGGACACTTCGGAGGGCAGGACGGCAAGCAAAAATGTCTCGCTGGCTTCGCGGAGATACTGGACTTCAGCCTCGCGACTTTGCAAGCAAGGGTGCAGCCGAAATGGTATGGTCGGAGGGATTCGCGAATCGGGCTCGCCGCGGCGGCGGGCAGCAGCAGCGTTGGACGCAGCCTCGGCGGTGAGGCGAATGTCGCGCAGATGGTCGTGGAGCTTTTGAACCATGTCTTGCGCCAACAGAGCAACAGTGTCGATTTTCGTGCAGCGGATGCCAACCGCGCCAATCAAGCCCCAGACGCTCTCGTACAAGCGGTCGATAAACTCGCCGTCTTTGGAAATGACATCGTGCCACGGGTGGACAAAGTCGCGAAAGAACAGCTTGAGAATGGACTCGATGACGTCGTCCACCTCCTTGGATACAATATTGCCGCGTCGCTTGAAGGGCACGCGCATTAATGCGAGCCGTTGAGCGAGCATTTGTTCGAGCGCTTGTTGGCGTTGAGATGGCGAGCCCCACAGGATGGAAGGCACGTCTCCTTCATCAAAGCTGTGCGCCTGCCCCTGCTGTTGTTGTCCATTGGATTGTCCACTCGCAGCATCAGCAGAGAGCGTCACAGTACTTGCAGGCGGCTTGCTGTGCAACACTTGAGGCAGATACATGTAGCTGCTGTAGAGTGGAGTGCCAGACCCGACAGCATCGGTTGTGAGACTGCCTGCTCCAGAAGGACCTCTTCCGGCTTCGTCATCTGCATGCCACAACTGGTTGACGCTATTCTGCCGCTGCCGGCTCTGTTGGCTGTGGCGACGCCGCTTGCGAGTGGGCTGCGTCGTCTCTGCGTCGCCATTGAGGTGCTGCTTATTCCTTCTGACTTGCTTCCCATCGCCGGACAACAATGGCGCATCATCGGCGGCTTCATCGGTGGTATCCGCTGAAAAAATGTCGGGGGTTGTTGCAGCAGAACTGGAGAACAGCACGTCCGTCGAAGGCGACAGACTCCCCAGGTTTCGCGTAGCCGGGAGTTTCTCTGTCGTTGCCTCTGCAATTGCAGCCTGCAGGTTGATGGAATGTCTGTGTGTCGCGCGAGCCGCAGCGACCGTGGCAGATTTGCGCATGGACGACAACCCGGTGTTGTCCAACGAGGGTGCGGCCGGTCCACTTGCGCCACCAGACACGACCGCTCCTTGACTCGAAGCACTGCTGGTATTGCTGTTGACTATCGCAGTCGTATGACGGTCGGAGGTCAGCAAGGACTGCTCGCGTCGTGGCACGCCACTGGCCGAGCGGGAAAACCACGGCGCCACGAACTGTGCCATGCGAACGGCCCATAGGACTGGCAAGTAGACGACGAGTGCTACGGCGTATCTGACTTGCTCGTGCCGGCTCGATGGTGTCGTCGGGCGGGGTGGCTTTGCATTCGCATTCGCATTCGTATTGGCAGGAGCAGTGCTTGGGGTGCTTGGGGCTGCTCCGGCTGGCGGCCTTGGCACGACTACGGCGCTCTGGGGCTGAGTAGTGGCTGCCATGATGCGACGCGCGAGGCGTGCTGCGAGTGCTGCGACGGTGCTCTGGCGGGAGCGATCGTGCTCGTCCACTGGCGCAAAGAGCACGTCTGCGAGGCGCGCGCACTCTGGGGCGAGGAGCACCAGCGCGACGAGGACGAGCAGCGAGCTGGCGGCTGTCGACAGCACGGCACCCACGAGCGCGAGCATTCGTTGGTCCGGTGTGTGTGTTGAGGCGGGGGGGAAGTGGAGATTGGATTGGATTGGATTGGAGCGGAAGATCAGAGCGGAGATGGAAAACTGAGACTGAGAGTGAGAGTGAGACTGAGACTGAGACTGAGACTGAGACTGAGACTGAGAGAGACTTGGGGGGGACAATGAAATTGAGTGGGGATTTATTGCGAGATTGAGAGAAGGGAGAGAAAAGAGCGATAGAGGCTTAGAAAGCTCAGATCTGAGAAGTGAAGAGCAGCTATTTGCGAGCTAGAGAACAATCTATTGAAGGGTTTGAAGAACGCGACACATTGCAACAGTAGCTGAGAACAGAATGAGAGAAACACTCGAGTCTCGTAACTGAGTGACTCAGACGCTGAGACCAGCATCCATGCAAATCTCTTTTCTATTGGGGTTGGTTGGTTACTCATTCTCAATTCTCATTTTTCTGTCATTCACACACTTCAGTCTTCCATCTGGCTGTGCTGTGCTTTTCGCATGGATACGCTGCTTGTCGGGGTCGCGCGGTCGTCGCATCCAGTCGCAGTCAAGCGGCAGCTCGTCGAGCGGCTCCTCTTGTCATTCGGATCATCATCATCATCATCATCATCATCATCATCATCATCAGCATCATCCTATGCTGCGAGTATGCCAGAGTGGTCCCAGGCGGATCTCCTCGCCATCTGCGCAGTCGCTGAGCAATGGATTCTCGCAACGCCAGTCATCCCATCTGGACCACCACCACTGCGACAATCACCGCGACAATCACCATCAGCTCACAGCAATCCAAGCACAACGCCAGCTGCAGCTGTGTCGGAAGCGCAGCAGTCCCAGCCATCCTCATCCTCGTCATCATCCTCGACTACGACGTCGGGCATGCCGCTCGCGCTGTCCCGCGAACTCGGCCTCACGCTGCTGATTGCACTGGCAGTCAACCACTCGCAGCTGTTTGCATCGTTCTACGCTCCCAGCAGACTCTCGGCGCGATGGTCCTTCAGTTCGTCTGCCACAGCCAATCCTGCGCTGCGAATCCTGCTGCTACTGCTCGTCCATGTCCGTTTCCCGGGAACCCTGCCAATGACGCATCCCGCGTTGATAGACCAGCTTCCTAGCGGATTGTTTGGCGCGAGTGCCTCTTCTGGAGGACGTCCGGCGCTGCCTCCCGGGTTTCTGACCCGATTTGCCACGGTCGTGTCGCGAGACGTCTCGGCAGCGCATATGGTCGGACTGAACAACCTGGGCAACACTTGCTACATGAACAGCGTTCTGCGAGCTCTGTTCATGACGCGGGCCTTCCGCGAGCGATTGTTGGAGCAGCCACGGCAATCCGCACGGCAGCCAACAACAACTTCGACGAACGACGGCACATCCTCCAAGCCTTCTTCATTCGCGCCCCCGCCAGTCTCGTTTGTGCGGCGTCTGCAAGAAGTATCCGCATCAATGGCACTGTCCATCAAGCCGTCGGTCAGTCCCTTCGATATGACCCGCGATTGCATCCCGCCCTGGTTTGAGCCGGGATCGCAACAAGACTCGTCCGAGTTTCTGCGCTACCTGCTTGACCAGCTCGGGAATGAGGCTGCCTTGCCAACGCGTGAAGAGCTGGCGTCTACACAGTCGAGCCAGTGGCTCGAGTCGGTCCCGGCCCCGCTCCAGCCAGCCTTGGCCCAGTTCCCAATGACAGTGTTTGGCGGTCTGCTCGAAAACCAGTTTGTTTGCGGCACGTGTGGCTTTGTGGCGCACGTCCCCGAGCCCTTCAACGACCTTGCCCTTGCGTTTCCCTCGGCCATCCGCGACGCGCCGGGAGCGGTCACCGTCTCGTTGAATCAGCTCTTGTACGAATTTCTTCGCAGCGAAACGCTGTCTGGTGAGAATGCGTACTCTTGCCAAGCGTGTCAGACGCGCTCGGACAGCCAGCGGATGAGCCGCATGCTTGTGGCCCCAGAGCATCTGGTGATTACTCTTAAGCGCTTTCTATTTGAAGTGCAACCGAGCACGGCACCAGGATCGGCTGCACCGACCGTGCGGCGAAAAAAGATTGTGACCAGTGTCGACTTTCCAACGGCGCTGGTGCTTCCTCCAGAAATGTTTGCGCGTCAAGACGCAACTGCGACAGAGTACCAGCTGTATGCGGTCGTCTCACACTTGGGCGCGTCGAGCGACCATGGTCACTACATTTGCCATGCCATGGTGCACCACGATCAAGAAGATGCCTTGCCAATCAACGAGCGCGCGGCCGCTTTGAGCAGCGGCTCCGCTCAAGATGCTAGCTCTACATTTGCTTGGTTCCAGTTCGATGACAGCACCGTGGCTGCTTCGTCCTGGCACGAGATCATTTCGCAGACAAAACAACGACCTACCGACACGCCGTACCAGCTGTTTTATCGCAAGCGCACTGTGGATGCCAATGCGACTGCCGTGCCCTCCTCCTCGTCGCCGACTGCTTGGCCTGCGGAGTTGGTTCGCTCGGTCATGGCCGACAATCTTCTCACGTTGCAAGAGCTTGAGCAGGAAACACAGGCGCGAGCAACTGCGCCACGTCGAGTCGTTTCCAGTGCTCGCAACACCCTTGGCCATCGGTGGGGTGGCAATTCTGACGACGATGACGGCAGCGGGGGAAACCAGCCTCCTGCGAGTGACATGTTTGCGTCGCGCTTTATTTTTTGACGCCCCGAGTCTCTACAGAAAGAAAATGGTTTTCAAGTGCGGTTTTTCAACATTACAATATTATGTATACGACACAGCTTGTGACAGTTTACATCGCAGTTGCCAAGCAGACAAACCAATAACACAAAAACTGGCAACTACAGGACAAGCAAAACACGCGCATGTGGAACAATGAAACAGTGCGTCAAGAAAAAAAAAAGACAATCAACAACACTGAAAAAAAAAAATATAAAAATGCGAAATCAAACATTAACATTGAGACAACTATGGCAGCAACAGCGTGCGCTCGTCTGCCTGACCGTTGATGGAACCAGAAATATGTCTGCGAGTGACCATGGGCGATTCATCGATATGGACAACACGGGCATCGTGGGACTCGCCCATTTGATAGCCATTGGAGTTTCCGGCGCCGAGGCCTCCGCGAGAGGGAGAGCGCGAATCCTGGCTGGCAAAATAGACAACAGAGCTATTCAAGTCGACCGAACTTTGATGTGCGAGGCCGGGGCGACCCGAGCCTGGCGGCCTGTAAAAGTCGGGCTGGGTAACAACGCTGGTACGGGGCACGGGTCCGGCGGGTGCAGTACCAGCATTCGTGGCGCTGTGCCCCATGCCCGGAACAATGGAAGTGCGTTGCACCGAGCCACGCGGGGATGCCGTGCCATTCGCGGCCCTGATGATGGCGGCATCGAAGCTGGCAGACGAGTCGCCCATCTGCTGCAGGACGCGAGCAACGCGAATCTTCTTGTGCACATCGACATAGACGTCGGTTTCGTCGATAATCTCTTCCTGGATCAGCTCCTCGATGACATCCTCGAGAGTAATGACACCAAGGACGACCTTGTGCGGCTGAGCCTCGCCCGCTTCGTCTGCCTGCGGCGTGTCGACAACGACGGCCATGTGACCTGTTGGTTGGTGGGACGACATGTTGGACGCGTGAGATTGCCATTCACAATCCCAACCAACACATCAAAAATGGCACATGTGATGCTCGTACTCTTTCCTGTCTGGAACTCGTTGAGCAAATCATACAACGGCAAGTCGGCGCGAACTTTGGGCAAACGGCGAGTCATGACATGTTGGATTGGGACGTTGTCATCGGGGTCAACAAGAATGCTGCGAAGGGGTCAAATGCCAAACAAAAAAAAGCAGAGTCAGCTTTGGCCAATAATGAAAGTGTCATTCTGCGATTCAGAGTTGCTCTGTTACAGATTTTTGGCGAGAATCAGACCAATAATGTTTGTGCGATCATTCTCGTAGACGGGAATACGACTGTGCCCACACCCTTGGATCTGGAGTGGCAACGAATGCGGAAGACACCCTTTCAGAAATGAGAGACCCGAAAGTCCACAACCAAGGCACAACTATGGCAAAGCAAGAGCGAAAAAGAAGTCGTACCCGCTTCAGAGTCGGACGATCAAGAAGACCGCGCACGTTCAGCATAACCACGGAAACCAGGGGAGTCATCGAGTCACGGACTGACTTGTTGCGCAGTTCAATGGCGCCCTTAATGATGCTGACCTCGTCGACACTGAGCGGGTCTTGGTTTTCTTCGGCAATCTGGCCGTGTTGGTAGACCAACTCCTTGAGCTCTGTGAGAGCAAAGACAGAGTCCAGATGAGATGTATGTTGGGTGCTGCGCATGGGTTTGTCGCCCCTTTCTCAAAGAAAAACGGTTTCTAGGTCAACTATCCGCGCTTACGTGCGCGACGGAAGAAGGTCTTGTTTTCGTGACCAAGCAAGCAATCGAGAAGTTTTGCAATCGGATAGCTGAGTGGGAAGGTCAGGACCATCAAGATCTTGACGAGCCTGTTCTCAAACACCAATGGGGATCGTGAGAAGACGTGTGGCGCGTTGGACAGACAAATGACGACATGCGAAATGCATACCAGGCCATATTTGCACCGATGCTCAGACCATAACGTGTGCAGAGTGCTTGTGGAATGACTCTGAGTGTCAAGAAAAGTGGTGGGTGTGAGGCAAAGAGCCATTTCCATCATCCAAAGAGACAGAGACCGAGAGAGAACTGCACATACTCGCCGAAGAACAGCACCAACGACACTGAGACGACGACGGCAATGATGGGCGAACTGATGCGGTCCAAAAAGATTGGCAGAGCTTCCTGCAGACCCGGTAAAAGAAAAAAAAAGAGAGAGAGAGAGAGAGAGAGAGAGAGAGAGAGAGAGAGAGAGAGAGAGAGAGAGAGAGAGAGAGAGAGAGAGAGAGAGAGAGAGAGAGAGAGAGAGAGAGAGAGAGAGAGAGAGAGAGAGAGAGAGAGAGAGAGAGAGAGAGAGAGAGAGAGAGAGAGAGAGAGAGAGAGAGAGAGAGAGAGAGAGAGAGAGAGAGACAAGCAGAGGGGAGCACTTCATGCATAGAGTGCTTTGATTGGTTTTTGGCTTGCTCTCGCACCATGCATGCAGCGTTGGAAAGCAGGAGCGTGACGAGAAGCAAATGGTGGCGCTCAATCAGAGGCAGAATCGTAGTGGCGTGCTTTTGCTCCTGCGGGGTTCCGCTGTTCTTGAGTACACCCAGCGTCATTGCATCGAGGGACAGCAGACCCATCGTGAGGCCAGACATGGTACCTGTGGTGCAACGGAAAGCAACTATGAGTCAAACACTCATCGTTCTCCCACACTGAAAAGCGCAAACCCTCATCCCAAATTCCCTCAATGCAAAATCCAAGACAGCACCAGCTACGCCACGTTTGCTGCGCAATGGGATTTGAGTGTGATTTCAGCTGTGGGCCCAGCCCGTCAGCGGTCGGAGTTTGGTCTGCAGCTTTGGGGCGGGAAGGGGGCAACGGAGCGGCGAGTTGTTTCTTTACCTGCCATCAGGACGAGCGAGATGATGATGGCGACGTATTCCCAGAACTCTGGCGTGTTGAACTCGATCTGCTCGTCGGAGAGCGTGTCGAACACGGTTCCATTGCAAATCACCTCATCCAGCGAGTGGACGTAGCACGTCATGTTGGTCCCCGGAACGACCTTCCCGACATCCACATCCTCGCCGGCAATCATCCTCACGCGCATTGGCCGAGGCGGGGCGCGGTGGGCAGGAGGGTGACCAGGATGAGCAGCAGCAGCAGCAGCAGGAGCAGGAGCAGGAGCACGAGCGCGGTGCTCATCAACGTCAGCGTCAGCAGAGACCGCGACCACCAGCATCATCATCATCATCATCATCAGTAGCGTCATCAGTAGCATTGTCGCGCGGGGCAACGGCAGTGGCAGCCTCAGTCGGACTGCGCGGCGGTTGCTCAGCATTTGAGAGTATGGGAAAAAGAAGAGAGAAAAGGTTGACTGGATCTGCATTGGGAAGGGAGTCAAGTTGAAATGTCAAGGCAGCAGGTTGATTGTGCATGGTGTCAACGTAAGGTTAAACGGTTCAGGTGGCTCAGGGTGAGAGTGAGGGTTAAGGGAACACGGTGAATTTCGCTGCTCATCTTGCGAGGGATGGTCGCAGTCACTCGATTTCCATTGCGCTGGTTGGTTTTGTGTGTACTTGTTGTGCATTGTGAGTCAAGTCAATGTCATCTGTTGAAGAAGCGTCAAAGCGAAGGAAGGAAGGACAAGTTGACATCGGTTTTTCCTCATTGCACTTTGGCTGCTGTGGCTGCGTTGGCTGCTGCATTGCATTACTGCTTGAATACTCACATCCATCCATTATTTCAGTAATCATGGGTTTTGCGAGGCCTTCTCGAGAGTGGGTCGAGACTACTGCTGGACCGTCGAATGCAACCAGCTGACTTTGTGCAGACTCAGCAGACCAAAGCCGTGTTCCCAGTCTGCACTGCACTCGACTGTACCACCTCATCCGATATCACGACAGCTCGATCTCTCGCTTTTCTCATTACACTGCAATTCTACATCTTCAGCGTGAAACAAGCAGAGCTTCCATTGATGTTGATGTTCCGTTGACTAGTCTGAGTCGCTCAATCCTTTTACCATCATCACTGTTTAGCATTGCAACGCACAGACCAGTTGAAGGACGGATGCTTCGCGCAGGTGTTGTTGCTGCTGCAGGTGGATGCAGACGACTTGCATTGGCGCCATCCGCGGCTCTGCACACTGCTGGACGGCGCATGGGCGGCTGCAGCAACGCAGAAGTGGACGAAGGGCAGCAAAGAGCGGCACTTGCGATGATGATGATGGCGCGGTCACTCGTCCAGCGACCGACGAGCAGACGACTCGCCACAGGAGGAGTCATCAGTGAGACGCGTGTGGCTTCATCGCTGTCACTGTCATCGTCAGCACTGTCGCTCGCAGGGGCGGCGGCGGCGCGTGCTGCTGGCGGACTCGCTTGGAACTCGACGAGCCGCGCTGCCATTCACACCGTCCAGGCTCAGCCGGCTGGGTCAGCAGCAGCCGCGCCAAGACTACTGCCGCCGAGATCAGAGCAGGCTGCGAGCATTGGGCACCAGCGCGAGGATGGCGTGGGCGCGACGGCAGACGCTCGTGCGACGCCAATCCACCAGCAAGCGTTGCTCAAGGGTGGCGCGCACTTGAACCCAAGACCATCGTCAGGAGCTCATCAGACGCTACTACACGCACAATCCAACATGACGGATGCGATGGAGCGGATATCCGACCGAATCGCTTCAAGTCAACAACAAGAACAACTAGCAAAGCCGCCACCAACAGAAGTTGGCATCCGAAGCGTTGCAGGCCGCAAACCAGTCAATGAAGACCGCTACAGCATAGCACAAATATTCCCGAATGTCAAGTTTGTGGCCGTGTACGATGGCCATGGCGGCGCCCATGCTGCAGAATTTGCGCAACAACATTTAATCTCGTCGATCGTGCCCGACCCCGTCACTGGCGCCGTCGAAGCAGCACAGCTCGTCGACGCCTTTGAACATGTCGATGCCATGTTTTTCAAGCGCTTTGGCCCAAAAGCAGCTCCGCCCCTGTCCGACACGAGTGATGGCGGCCCTCAGACACAGTCTGCAGCAACCATGCTGGAGAGCGGGACGACCGCTGTGGTGGCCATCATCCACAACGACACGCACGTACTATTGGCACATGTGGGCGACAGTAGAGCGCTCCTGAGCCACCGGGGCACCGCCATTCCGCTGACCTACGACCACAAGCCCACCCGAGCGGACGAGTCTGCTCGGATAGAACTTGCCGGCGGTCGGATTGAGGGCTACGCTGTTCAGCGAGTCATGGGCAGGCTTGCAATGACGCGAGCGATTGGAGATCCGCATCTCAAGCAATACGGGATTGTGCCCACTCCGGATGTGCACGCCCGCGTCCTCACGGACCATGACAACTTTCTCGTCCTGGCCTCAGACGGGCTCTTTGACGTCGTGAGCAATGACGAGGTTGTAGATGCCGTGCAAGAGCATCAGTCGGTGGACGAGGCAGCCGAGACGCTCGTCAATCTCGCGCTGTCCTACGGCTCTCGCGATGATATCACGGTTGCCGTCGTCCGCCTTCGCGGCTGGGAGGCGTTCTGTGTTCCGTCCAGCACCACGAAGGGATTTATTCAAGTGAATACGCGCAATATGACGCGACCATCGTCCTGAATGGTCGTTCTGCTCATTTGAGGGGATTTTTTTAGAAGCAAAATGATGTGCTTCTTTTGTGTGAATACAAGACAGACAAGCTTTTTTTTTGGAAAGTAATTCAACGTGGCAATCCTTTGCCGGCTTTGTGTTGGACGACGACTGTTGCACAAATCGGAGAAACAAAAAGAGATGGTTTGAGAAGATTGGTATTTGGAACAAAAACCCTGCACAGAATGAGACGCGAGCGTCACTGAACTTGATGATGGCGCTGACAATGGCAAGACCCAGTTGGTCTGACGGTCGAGCGAGGGTTGTCGTTGAGCCACTGCACAAAAGCCAAAGCGTCGAACGAAAAAAAAAATTACGCCTTCACGGCCAGGCCGAACAGATAGACGGAGAGGGTGAGCATGATGTGATAGACGTCGACGTCGGAAATGTTGAGTGCATCGCGGAGTGGCTTCTTGAGGGGATCGACGGCGGCAAGCGTGAGCACACTGGCGAGCAGGTAGATGGCAGCCGAGCTCGAGCCAATCTTGAGGAGCGAGACGACAATAATGCTCGCCATGACTGCGACTTGGAAGGATTTGCGAGCGCGCTCGTTGCTCTCACTTGTTATGAAGACGGCGACTCCGGCAACGAGGCCAGCTCCAAGCACCATCAGCTCGGTCTCCTTGCCATACGGACGGAGCACATCCAGCGTGATGAGCGATCCCAGCAGCAGGCCTGCAACGCCAATAGTGCCACCAGCTCTGAATCACGTCCCAAAAAAAACCACATCATGCAACAAAACGCAATCCCATACGCAATACCAGTTAAGTGAGTGAGTTGAGTGAGTGAGTGAGCAATGTACGCAATGCGGTTTCAGTGGCGCAGCGCGCAGTTGAAGCTTGACTCATCCACTCGAAACGAGACCGCTGCAGGCATAACACAAACATATAGGAAACACGTTGGCAAGCACTGCGTCTTACCGGGTGGCGACCTTGTGCAGGTCGCTGAAACTGGTCTCGCCGCTGTAGACAATGGCGCCGAGGAAGGCCGCGACGCCAATCGAGCCAATGCCGACCGTCCACATGACGCGCTCGCGGCCGTCGGCGTGCGTGTGCTTGTTGACGCTGTGGACGGCGTGCACACACGCTGCGACCAGCACAAGCTCAAACAGAACGCTCTTATTGAACCTCATAATTCGCCAAATTTGAGAAATGAGAAAAAATTTGGAGTTTTGGGAATATTGCAAAAAGTAGTCATCAAACCAGTTGGAGTTCCAATCAACCTCAACCGCGACGAGGTACTTTGTCGAGCGGAAGTGCAAGTAAAGGGGTCAAATGCGTGAATGACCGACTCGAAGCGAATCGCGGCGAACAAGCGGACCAAGCAGGTTGGATCAAAGCTCGTGTATCTGCATTTGTAATAGTGAAGTCCATTGTTTTTCCTTATCATTACTCTTGTCATCAACCCCAATACTCGGATCTTCGTAGAACGATCTCTGATCAGAACAGTTTGAGCAAGTGGTCGAGCAGAATGCCCCTTCTTGCTTTGCTTTGCCTTGTCATGGTGTCTGCTCTCTTGCTCTCCCATTCAATAACGTTACTTTGTCATCCCATTCAACATTCAACGGCGTTACTACATTGTAGTTCCATTTCTGTTCAAACCGCATCCACTCCTTGTTTCCCTGGCTCTTTGGCGCTCCATTGCGGTTGTCGGCTCCTCCTCCGCCACCCAACCCCACACTGTCCCCAACCCCCAACCCCCCTGTTATTTTTTTGCCCATCATTTCCCTGTCAACCTCTCCCCGCGCGCGCAACAAACCACCACCCCAACCCATGAGCTCTGGGCATCTGCGGGACAAGCGGCAAGTGTCTGTGGGCCTCCGCAAGCCCCACGTCCAGTCGTCCGACATCCCGTCGCCACTGTACACCTTCCAGTACGCGAGCAGTCGGGACGGGATTGACTCAAACCTGCTCATCCTGCTGCACGGCATGGGCGACAAGTGCGCGCCGTTCTTCAAGTTTGCAGAGCGCATGCAGCTACCTCAGACGGCCATCCTCGCGCTCCAAGCACCCGTGCCGATCATGGACTTTGGCTTTTGCTGGTTTGAGAGCTTTGACGAAGACGGCGAATGTGAGTCAAAGGAACAAAAGAAAAAAAGGCTCAGAGCATCTCAGAATTTCAGAAGAACATCTCATTGACGTTGATGCAAATTGTATACCTCACTGTGCATTTGCTGATTTTTGCGTGTCGCAGTGCTCGCACCGTCTCTAAGTCGCTACCAGAGCTTGAAGGCCGTGCGCGAAGGACTTGAATCGTTGATCAACGACGTGCTTGTGCAGCCTTCGTTTGGTTGGCAACGCGACCGCATCTTTCTTCTCGGATTTGCGCAAGGCGGCACCGTCGCACTCGATCTTGCTCTGCATGGCTCTGGACGTCTCGCCGGTGTCATTAGCATATCAGGCACCCTGACCGAGGAAGAGCTGGACGTGCATGTTGGTGATCCGGTCCGTGCAGACATTGCGCGCCAAACGCCGATTCTCTTAACGCACGGCACCAAAGACGAGATGATTCCCATCGCGGAAGCCCACAATCGCGTACGTGTGCATCCTGCCGTTGGACCCCAGCTGTGATTCGATGACCAATGCACTTGCTCTCACGCTGGTTGGTTTTTTGATTGCTAAAAATTGTGGGGATTGGCAGTTCGATCGCTTGGTCCGCTTGGTGCCCGAACACCCGTCCTTGCGCTTGCTTCAGTTCCCCAAAGGCTGCAAGATGATTGATTCACCGGTAATGTGAATGTGTGGTTCCATGTCCTGTCGGAATTTTCCAAAAAACCCTGACTTGCGTAATTCTGCCCGCTGAATGCAGGAAGAAATGCGTGCCGTGATGACGTTCTTTTCGGAACGACTGTACTTGCGCAACCTGGCGATGGAAAACACTCCGGGCATCATTCCGCTTTTCTAACCGACAGCGAATGGCCGCCATGTACTCTACTGTAGTCGGTAGCGTGCGCTCAATTCGTTCTATTTTATTGAACAATTTCACAACAAAGAGCATGATTTCCTCTCCTCCCCTTTTTCCGGAGAATTCCCACCGAGTGAATAATCAAATCAAGTTGTGCAAACACTCGCCAGCTACGATTTTCATACTGTTGTTGATGGGATCAGTCAGCCACATGCACTCAAAATCGTCGTCCACGTTCCTTGTTCCTTGGTCGCGCTCTCGCCCCGACCCTTACATGTCTGTCAACGCTTTCGACTCTTTTTTTTTTCACTGGTGAATTGCGAATCACTTGACATTTTCAGTGCTCGCAGCTGCCTTCTTTGGCATGCGTTTGTTTCGCTTTGGCAAAGTTGACTCCCCGAATTCAGCTTCCGAAGGAGGGCGAATTTATTTATTATTTATTTATTATTTCCTTTCCTCAATCTTGTCGCAGTCATTTTTTTTTCTTCTATTTTTTCTATTTGTTCGTTCCTCCACTTTCTTCAACAAAGACTTGCTTCAGAGCGGTGGTTGACAACAATCAGCAAACAATTTCCACATCATGCGAGCATTCCGATCAGTGCTGCTCCTTTCATTGCTGCTGAGCGTGGCTGGTGAGCCCAGCTGTTGTTGTTTGTGTTTGACGGGTTTGGCATGATGACGATCGCCTGACCCCGCGCTTCCGACGGTCGCATCGACTCACTTGGTGTTGACTGTATTGCGTGTGGTGGTTTTTATGCTTGGTTGTGTGCTGTGTGTAGCGTCTGCGCAGGCCGTGGCAATCAAGGCAGGCCTCCACGACGCCATCAACCCCTTCCAACCGGGCTCGTTGGCAACCGCCCATCTCCACGTCGACAGCAACAAGACCAACTCAAACCCGACCCTGCCTGTCGAAGGCCTCGATCTGTACTTTCCGTCCTCGGCGGGCTCCTACGACGTGGTTGTCTTTCTTGGTGGCTTGGTGAGCCGATTGGATGTCGTTTTGGCTGGGGAACAAATGCGAATCTCACACCTTTGACCAACAAACACATTGACTCACGCATGCTTGTCATATCATTGTGTTGGTTGGGGGTTCGCAGGCTGGCGATGTTCCGGTTTCCATGTACTCGGACATGCTGCGCCGCGTTGCCGCTCACGGTGTGATTGTGGTTGGCGTTTCGACATACCAACTGCCGCTCGCTGACATGCTTGCCACCAAGATGCTCTTGGTGATTGGCTGGGTGCATCAGAATATGAATCAGCTCATGATCAACTCGACCACGTATGCTGGCGTCCAGGCCGATTTTTCGAGGGGCATTGTCCTTTCCGGTCACAGCGCCGGCGGCAAGATTGTGACGCGCTTCCTCGAGGTCCAATGCTCGCTCGTTCGCGCATTGGTGCTCGTCAATCCGGTTGACGGAGAGGATCCGTGGGGCATCCTGCCTGGCTTTGTGATTCACCCGCCGTACCCGGTCAACTTTACCTTGCCCCTGCTCGTTCTTGGTGAAGGCCTCGGCCCTGTGGTGGCTCAGCCAGGTTTCCCGGCGTGCGCACCCGCGGGTCGCAACTTTCCTCGCTTCTACAATGGTGCGCGTCCTTGCAAGTGGATGATCAATGCGACCGACTTTGGTCACGCCGACTTGCTCGATGCCGTTTACGTCGAGTTTGTTCAAGCCACCAAGCTCTGTGCCAGCAACATGAACGCCTCCCTCGCTCAGTTCTCGACCTACCGGCAGTTCATTGCCGGCACGATTGTCTCGATGACACGAGGCGCAATCGACAGCCAGTGCGACGCCTACAACTACATTCAGTCTCAGTCCCAGTTCCCCGCGGGTATCAATACGCTTGTTGACTCTGATCTCACGTGCTCCTCGTATGCTCGCAACTTTGGTGTCGCATGTCCTGCGGGAGTCTGCAACGAACTTTAACGATTGCGGGTTTTTGTTCGCATGTTTGTGTGTTTGTGGTTGGTTTTGAGTTGTTCGCTTTTCGTTTCGTAGTTGTCATATATTCGCTTTGTTTTGGTGCATTGAGTCGCGTATCGTGTTTATGCCTGTCGTCTGTGCCTTGGCTGTACATAAAGTCATTCAGCTTGGTTTTTGTTGTTGGATTTTTCTTGTTCAAAGCAAAGCAATTTTATTCCTGACAATCACATGAATAAGCGAGCATCGAGGTATGGAGACCACGACAATGGCCACCGCCCATGCTCAACGAATGTCGAGGCAGATGGAAGCGGACACCACTGTCGAAACGGGAAGAACGTGAACGAGTTCAATTGAACTCGGTCCAAGTTCCCTCCAATCGCCTCCCCCTACCATCGACGAATCAAACTCTTACAACATGATGAAACAAGAAAGTAATTTGAAAATGTAAACGCTGGAACTAGTGCTGCGACCATTGAATCGACTTGATGTCAATTCCTTCTTGACGCATCTCCCAGAGCGGAGACATGTCGCGAAGGCGGTTGACATGCTCGATGCACTGCTGAATAGTAAAGTCGACTTCAGCCTGGGTGGTAAACCGACCCAGACCAAAGCGAATGGACGAGTGCGCCAAGTCTTCGTCGGCGCCAATCGCGCGCAAAACGTACGACGGCTCGAGCGATGCCGATGTGCACGCCGAGCCAGACGACAGAGCAATGTTCTTGAGAGCCATCAGCAGAGATTCGCCCTCCACATATGCAAACGACAAGTTGACGCAGCCCGGGTAGGAGGCAGCAGCATCGCCGTTGCGGACAACGTCGGGCAAGTGTGCGTTCACTCCGTCAATCAAACGCTTCGAGAGGAAGGATACCCACTTGTGATCGTACTGTGGGAGGGGGGGGGAAGTGGGGGAGGAAAAGTCACAAAGTGGAGGCAAAACCGTGGCGAGTTAGCAGGAAAAAACAATACCAAACTCTCAAAAAAAAAAAAACAGCTTCGGCCGTGTACCTGCATCACTTCTTTGGCAATAGAGCAGGCAGCGCCAAGGCCGACAACCAATGGGGCGGGAACAGTGCCGCTGCGCATGTTTCGCTCCTGGCCGCCGCCGCTTTGAATGGCTTCGAGCCGAACTCGGGGCTTTCTCCGAATGTACAGCGCACCGATGCCCTTGGGTCCGTAGATTTTGTGTCCGCTGATCGAGAGGGCGTCAATCTTCATGGCATTCACATCCAATTGGATTTTGCCGGCGGCCTGGGCAGCGTCCGTGTGGAAGAGCACGCCGCGGCTGCGGCACAGATTGCCAATTTCGGCGAGCGGTTGAATCACGCCAATTTCGTTGTTGACCGCCATGATGGACACGAGGACGGTGTCTGGCCGGATGGCAGCCTCGAGCTCCTTGAGGTCAATCAAGCCGTTCTTTTGCACTCGGAGGTACGTCACGTCAAACCCTTCGTCCTGCAGCACGCGGCACGAGTCCAGCACGCACTTGTGCTCGGTCTGGCTCGTGATGACGTGTTTCTTTTTGGACTTTTGAAACCGCGCAATACCCTTGATGGCAATGTTATTGGACTCGGTTGCGCCCGAGGTGAAGATGATTTCCTTCGAGTCCGCGCCAATCAAGCTTGCGACGCTCTACAAGCGCAGTGGCATCAAATGAATCGCGAGAGCAAAATGACAAGATGAGCAATGGCATTGAGTCCCACACACCATCCAAAGCAATGCAACAACAGCAACGGTGGAAAAAACAGCCAAGAAAGCAGTGGTGGCGACCTCACCGATCGAGCGGCCTCGACGGCAGACTCCGTCTCCCAGCCGTAGACGTGCGTGCGTGAGTGCGGATTGCCATAGTACGATGTGAGGTATGGGAGCATTGCGTCGAGGACGCGCGGGTCCATTGGCGTCGTCGCCTGCATGTCCATGTAGAGGGCCCGCTTTGGGGCACTGTCACGGGCACTCGCGCTGGCCGCCGCTGGTGCGGACGAGGATGGCTCGGCTGTGTCTTCCGCAGAAGGAGAAGCAGCGGCAGCGGTTGTAGCAACAGCAGCAGCAGCAGCAGCAGCGTAAGCGGCGCTCGGCGTGACTGCGCGGGACACGGCGCGTGTGCTCTGGCCAAGCAAGCCAGTGGAAGCCCGGCCAAGGACGACTCCTATGCAAGCACGTCAAACACATTCGGCACAAGCATAGTGAGCAAAAGGGGTTTGGTGAGCAAAAAAAGGTCGAAAAAGCACCATCCATATGCTATCACTGCTATCTCGATTGAAGCTGTATGCAAATGCATTCAGATAGATTAAAAAAAAAAAAAGGCATCGAGGAGCGGTGATACAAGTCAACCCGAGGACAAGTCACAGCAATCACACCATTGTGTTTTGAGCGAAAATGAGGGGGTATCTGTGTGAATGTGAGTGCGGTGCATTGTTTGGATGGCGTGTGAGCGACGACGCCCCGAAGTCGATTCAGCGCATTGCGTTGGGGGTTTTGCTGGTTTATTGTGCTCAATGGTTAATATGTGCTGTGGTAGTGAATTGAGAAATTGAGACACACCTGAAGCAACGCCACTGAAGCGAGTCGCAAGTCGCAATGTGTGCATGGCGCAAGAAATCGAAAAAAAAAAAAAAAAAAAAAAAAAAAAAAAAAAAGACTGAAACGCGACTGAAACAACAAACAGTCAAAATCTAAGCGAGAGCGGGTCGTGATTGAGCCATAAATACTCGTGTGGTAATGATGAGCATCAATCCCAAAGGTACTTCTCGGTCTCAGAGGTCAAACCCGACTCAGCAGACGCATTTGGTCGTTTCGCTTGCTTTGGACCTGCCATACGACGTGTTCCTGGGCACCTCAAGCTTGTCGCTTGCACGTCTGACTCGGTACTAACCTGCACTAGTTATACTCTGGGTCCAGGGCACGATCAGAAGCGCCGGGGAGTGGAAATCGAGGTGCAACGTTTTGCGAAAAGATGGGTTGACTGTGCCATCAAGTAACCGTTACCTTCCAGAGCACCCAATTTTCTGATTGACATTCGTAAAAATCAAAAACGCACACAAGGGAGAACCGAATTGATCAAACCACGAAAAACCACACACAATCGTAACGGATGTGGACTGCTCCGACAAGAAACTTTCTACTTGTCGATGAGGCGGTCTTCACCACACACAATTTACCGTTCAAGTGTGTCAACTGAAAGCCATCTTCCGCTCCCGTTCCCCCCCCCCACTAAAATTAGCTTAAAATAATATTTTGAAAGTGTTGGATTCAACACGGCGACGCATTGGGAAGAATAACTGGGGAGTGCGGTCGTTGTTTCCGGATGATTTGAAACCACTTCAACATTCGCGTTTTGAGGCAACCACTTCGTCAAGACGCTGGTTAGTTCAACAAGCAACCCTCTCTGTACTTTTCTGTTGTTGCACTTTGAACAGACAAGCACCAACCATCAATACGGAAGTGGAATGGTTGAGCAACTTTATAAACGCAAGAAGCCTCCTCGACATTGCATCAAGTGACTACGCGCGACAAGTCCATTTTACACCATCGCTCCAATTTCGCGAACGGCCGTCCCATCCTGAAGCGCTGTGAGCGCTCGAACAAGCTGAGAAAAGGTCGGGCGTTTCTCCGGCGACACGTCCCAGCAACTCGTCATCATGCTGTACAGCTCGGGCATGCAGGCTTCTGGCGCGGGCAGTCGACCACCAGCCTGCACATGAGCCAGCGTATCCATGCCGTTCATCTCGCCGTACGGCCTTGCGCCGTAGCTGGAGCATTCCCCTACCAACCAGCACCAACGCAAGTGAGATGCAAGCACATAGTTCAAGAGCAAATGGCACGTTCTACTCACAGGCTGTCACACCAAACGACCAAACATCCGACATGGTCGAGAACTTTCGGAAATTCAGTGTTTCTGGTGCCATCCACTGCGCGTGCAAAGATCAACATAATCAGCAATCAAAACCGCAAGCAAAAACCATCCGCACACTTCTACACGATCGACCCACCTTCACGGGAAGTTTGCCACGCGTTTGCATGCGATAGTAATCATTCTCGTCGGTCAGCTCGCGAGAAAGCCCGAAATCGGCAATCTTGACCACCATTTCCTGGCCCACGAGACAGTTTCGTGCGGCGAGATCACGGTGCACAAAGTGGAGAGTGCCCAGATACTCCATGCCGAGTGCTATCTGGCGAATGGCGTGGATTTGCTCATTCTGGGTCCACCAAACCGAGTGGAGCTTGGACTTTTGCAGCAGCGTTCGCAAATCGCCATACTGCACAAACTCCAACAGAACGAGATGGGGCTCGGACTCTACAAGAGCCGCGAGCAGACGCACGACATTCAGATGCACAAACGGCGCCATCAACTTGGCCTCGCTTTCAAAATCCTTGCGGGATTTCTCGTCTGCATCTGCCTTGAGCGACTTGACGGCAACTTGTACGGTTTCGGATGCTGCAAGTCCAAGCAAAGCTTGAGCTCGTGGCGGCAACACGTTGGACGGAACTTGCCCAAGGGATACATCGCCAAAGTTACCACTGGCAAGGTGTTTCACAATCGTCAAGCCCTCGCGAACACGACGAGAGTTGCTGCCAGCGACATACGCGCTTGCATAGTCGTAGACCACCTCTGGAGAGGTCTTTGCGATAGCCTGGTACAAAGGCTCTGGCTGCTTTTGACCGACCGTGGCGTAGGCCGAGCTGTCATCCTCCGCTTTGTGAGATCCAGCCGAATGGTTCAGAGGAGAGACTGACGCTGCAATTGCCTCCTGATACACGGGACCGACAGAGTCCTTCTGATCTGGTCGCTTCTGACCGACCACGGCGTACGCTGCGATGTCTTCCTCTTTGTGAGATCGAGTCGAAAGGGCCAGAGGAGAGACTGTCATCTCAACGGCCTCCTGATAGATGGGACCAGCAGAGTTTGTCGGTCGCAGGATTGAACGGGGCTGTGCGCGCCGACGTCGCAACACGATGAACACGAGTGCCAGAATCGCAATGACTGCAACGGCCGCTACAACGGCAGCGATGACAACAACTGAAGCTGAGTCTTGGGAGCTGTCGCCGCCTTGTCGTGCAATGGAGGACGCAACCGATGCAGCAGATGCCGATGCGGTTGACGCAGCAGAAGCCGAGAGCGCCGAGCTCGCGGAAACAAGAGACGCAGCCGAGGCAGATTGTGTGGACGCGACCGAAGCAACGGAGGCGATGGATGCTTTTGTTGCAGCTGTCGCATCAGAAGCAACCGAGGCCGATACGATTGAGGCGCCGGACGCAATCGATGCAGATCTGGTCGAGGCAATCGAAGCAGCCGAGGCGGATTGTGTGGACGCGACAGACGCGACAGAAGCGACTGAAGCGATGGAAGCGACTGAAGCGATCGAAGCGAGCGGGACGCAGGATCCACTCATCATGCCATAGCCCTCGTAGCACTGAATGCAGACAGCGGACGAAGTGCAGGTCAAGCAATTGGTCGCGCAACACGCGCCAGACCCAGCGGCATAGCAGGTGGCACAGACTGTATCACACGCTGCGGTACAAAAATGTCAGTCAAAAATGATCACAGGTGCAGTCCAGTCAAGGCGGAACGTACGGTAAGGAAGGGATGCATTGCCGTATGTGCTCGGCGGAGCGTCAGTGTTTCCACCAAAGGTGAAATTGTTGGGGCTCAGATATTGGGAGAAAGCCACCGACAAAACCATGCCATTTGGCAGCCCCTTAAACAGACCAGGGGGCAACGTGGTGAAGGGGTTGTCGTTCAAAGTCCTGCAAGTACCGCATGGTAAGAGAGGCAAATCGTAGGTGCAATGAACGAGAGAGTGCTTGCGTACAGTGTATTCAGCGCAGTCAGGCTTGTAAACGCGTTGGCTGGAATGCTGGTGATCCGGTTGTTTTGCAGATCCCTACAAATAGAGGCACAAATGAGGCAAGTCATTCTGTATGATTTTTCTTTGCTTGCTTGCTTACAGGTATGTCAAAGTCACGCCGGCGAATGCGTTAGCAGAAATGGCGGTGATCCAGTTTGCTCTCAGCCAGCTACAAAAATTGTGTCGCCAACGACGAGTGAGCTGTTTGTGTGACTCTTCTAGTCTTTGCTCGCTTACACGAATGCCAGCGCAGGCAGGCTTGTGAATGCGTTCGCAGAAATGCTGGTGATCCTGTTGCTATTCAGCCATCTACAAATTGTGTCGCCAACGACGAGTGAGCTGTTTGTGTGCGATGCTTTGTGTCTTTGCTTGCTTACAGGTAATTCAGCGCAGTCAGGCCCGTAAACTCAGAGGAGGAAATGTCGGTGATCTTGTTGTTGGACAGATCTCTACAGATGGAGTCACCAACGAGTGAACCGCCGTTTGTGTGTTATCTCGTCAGTCAGGGCTTTGCTGGCTTACAAGAATTTCAACGCAGTGAGACCTGCAATGGCCGAGGCGGGAATGCTGGCGAGATTGTTGTCTTGCAGATTCCTACAGATAGGAACAAAGCGGATGAGTGAGCCATTTCGGCGTGACTCTTCATGTCTTTTGTTTGCTTACAATTGTGACATCGCAGTCAGACCTGTGAATGCGTCTGTATCAATGCTGGTGATCTTGTTGTTGAACATAATTCTACAGGTAGTGTGTATCAAACGAGTGAGCTGTCTGTGCTTGATTCTCAAGTCGTTGCTTGCTTACAGAATCGTTAGCGCACTCAGACCTGCAAACGCAGAGGCAGGAATGCTGGTGATCTGGTTGGCTTGCAGATACCTATCGACCGTGCACCAGTCAGCTGGGCAACGTTTCCATCTGAGATCAACTCGGCGGCAACACTTACACCGTCAGCGTGTTACTTGGCATTGCGCTTGGAATGACGGTGAGAGAACGGTTCTGGCAATCGACAGTCGTTCCCGAGCAAGTGCACAAGCCGCCAGCGCCACAAGCGTGCGAGACGCATGATCCGCTCACCATCATAGCACCTTCAGAGCACTGCGTGCACACAGACGATGACGTGCAGATCAGGCAATTGCTCGGGCAGCACGCATCGGACCCAGCGGCATAGCAGGTGCCGCAAACCGTGTCACACTCTGAAGTGCAAAAAAAAAAAGTCAGTAAAATGCTTCTAAATGATCTTATGGGGATTGGCAGTCAACTCTCAGACTTACGGTATGGCTCGGATGCACTGCCGTAAGTGCTGGGCGGCGCGACAGTGTTCTCACCAAAGGTAAAGTTGTTCGGGCTCATATACAGTAGCGTGGGCGGTGACAAAATCAAGCCATTCGGTAAGCCCTTGAACAGGCCAGGTGGCAAGGTGGTGAAAGGGTTGTCAGACAAAATCCTAACAGTAACTTGAAGTGAGAGGTGAATGGAGAACGTGCATTAAGTGTTCTTGCATACAGGTGAGTCAGCGCAGTTAGGCCTTGGAATGTAGAGGTGAGAATGCTAGTGATTTGGTTGCCTTGCAGAAACCTACAAATATAGCGCCGCAAACGAGTGAGTCGTTTGTGTGTGATTCTTCACTTCTTTGTTTCTTTGTTTCCTTACAAGGAACTCAGCGAATGCAGACCTGCGAATGCGTTTGCAGGAATGCTGGTGACCTGGTTTTCGGATACATCCCTACAACGCGAGTCACAAAACATGTAATCCGTGTGTACGTGATTCTTCATGTCTCTGCTTGCTTACAGATAATTCAGTGCAGCCAGGTCTGCTGTGAATGCGTTTGCGGGAATGCCGGTGATCTGGTTGTAGGCCAGAACTCTGCAGATGGAGTCGCAAACGAGTGATGAGTTGTCTGGTGTGCGATTCTTCCTATTTTTGCTCGCTTACAGGATTTGCAGCGCAGTCAAGTTTGTGAATACAAAGGGAGGAATGCTGGTGATCAGGTTGGATTGCAGATATCTGCAAACAGTGTTCGCAAACGAGTGAGCCGTTTTGTGTGTGCTTCTGCATGCCTCAGCTTGCTTACAGGGAAGTCAACGCAGGCAAACCTGTAAAGGCGTCTACATGAATGCTGGTGATCTCGTTGTTGAATAAGGTCCTACAGATAGAGTCGCAAAACGGGTAAGCCATTTGTCGTGGATTCTTTCCATGCCCAGTGCTTTGCTTACAAGGAATCCAGCCCACTCAGGCCTGTAAATGCGTTCGCGGAAATGCTGCTGAGCTGGTTGTGGCTCAGATATCTACAGATCGAGTCGCAAACGAGTGAGCCGTTTGTGCTAGCTTGTTTCCTGTCTTTGCGTTAGTTACAAGATATTCAGCGCAGTCAGGCCTGTGAATGCATTTGCAGAAATGTCGGTGATCCGGTTGCTGTCTAAGCTCCTACAGATAGAGTCGCCAGCGAGTGAGTGAGTGAGTGAGTGAGTGAGTGAGTGAGTGAGTGAGCGAGTGAGTGTGCGATTCATCAAGTCTTTGCTTGCTTACAGGATAATCAGCGCAGGGAGGCTTGTGAATGAATTTGCCGAAATGCTGGTGATCTCGTTGTCATACAGAGTCCTACAGATAGAGTCAGGAGTGAGTCGTTTGGACCTTGATTCTTCCTGCTTTTGCTTGCTTACAACTCCGTCAGCGCGCTCAGGCCTGTAAATGCGTCCGCGGGAATGCTGGTGAGCTGGTTATCGTACAAAGCCCTACAAATTGAGGCGCACACGAGTGAGCCGTGTTGTGCTTGGGGGTTTTCCTGACTTTGCTTGGTTACAAGGTGGTCAGCGCAGGCAGGTTTGAGAATGCGTTTGCAGAAATGCTTGTGATCTGGTTGCCGTATAAACTCCTGCAGATAGAACCACAAACGAGTGAGCCATTCGTGCGTGATTCTTCATGACTTGGCTTGCTTACAGGTAAGTAAGCGCACTCAGGCCTGCGAATGTGTTGGCGGAGACGCTGGTGATATGGTTGGAGTACATATCCCTTCCAACAGAGTCGCACACGAGGTGAGTCGTTTGGCCTCCATGATTCTTCCTGTCTTTGCTTGCTTACAATCGTGTCAGCACGTTCAGACCGGTGAAGGCAGTTGCGGCCATGCTGGTGATCAGGTTACCGTGCAGACCTCTACAGATACAGTCGCAAAACGAGTGAGCGGTTTTTTTTGTTTGTGATGCTTCCTGTTTTGCTTGCTCACAGGTAAGTCAGCGCAGTCAGGTCAGCGAAGAGGGAGTCGGGAATGCTGGTGATCAGGTTGTTGAACAGAGAGCTGTACAAAGAGAGTTGAGCTACTTGAGTGTGCGACTCTTCCTGCCTTTGCTTGCTTACACGTAAGTCAGCGCACTCAGGCCTGAGAATGCGCCGCTGGAAATGCTGACGATCTGGTTGGAAGTCAGGTATCTACAGATCAAAGTGCCGCAAAAATGAGTGAGCAGGTTGTGTGCGTGATTCTTCCTTTTTTTTCGTTTTTTGCTTGCTTACATGACCTGCAGCGCAGTCAGGCCTGTGAATGCGCTTGCCGGGATGTTGGTGATCAAGTTGGACTGCAGATACCTTTTTTGGGATTGTATGCCAGTGAGTTGCTTCAACTCAAGGTCATCTCAACGGGAACACGTACAGCTGCGTGGTGTTGACTGGAATTCCGCTTGGAATGGCTGTGAAACCTTTGTTCTGGCAATTGACAGTCACTCCCGTGCACGCGCACACGCCCGGGTCGCATGCATTGACTGCCTGGGCCAACTGGGCGCGATTTACCACGCAAAGCAGCACCACCAGCAGCAGTCCAAAGGCAAACCCCTTTGGCGTCATCTTTCAAAAAGTGAATCAAAAAACAGGCATGGACAGAGAGTGAGTTTGCCACTGTTCCACAACCACTGCATGAAGTGAAGGCCAGACGGGGTGGGGGATGTATGGATTTGTGTTCAATTGAAGACGAGCGGGCGAACTTTAGCTGAAGCGTGCTGCTTGTCTGCCTCCTCTGTCCAAAGCGCGCTTCTTGACTCTGGTTCCAGTGTGTATGTGATGCAATGCGCCTTGGAGAGATACGGAGGCCCCCCCCCTCCCAGGGGGACAAAGGACCAAGAGGCGGCAATACCGTTGATTGAAAGTGCGGAGTGTTTTTTTTTTTTTTTTTTTTTTTTTGGTTCTGCTGCTTCCAAGGCCAGCCTCCTTCTGCTCTGTCGCTTCGTCAACATGAGTTTGATTCAGCTCGCAGCAACAAGGCGCACCAACAAGGCGCACCAGAGGGGAGCGAGACAGAGAAGGAGTGCAGGGAGGGAACGCGGGCGCAATCCACCTGGCCTGCGCCAAAACTCGCACCCTGCTCGTTTCCATGCTGGTTGCGGACTGTTCGCGATGCGCCACCACGGATCACTTCGAACACAAGGAGGCGAGACAATCCAAAAAGAAGCGACGAGACTGCTTGCTTCTTGGGTGGGGGTTGACGATGCGCTGCGCCTTTTCTGGCTTACTGTTGCTGGAAACCACAAAAGAGCGGCTCAAAAAACCCAAACAAACAATAACAGAAGTGATCAGCCCACCACCACCTTCGATCAAGGAAAGCAACTTGCTTTGCTTCGTTGGTCAGAGCCTTGTGTGGAAACATATCATCGCTACGAGCTCGCCACGGAGGACCGAAACGAGCCAACACTTATAAAAAAAAACCATTCACCCCCGAGCGCGGATGTGGAATTAAAGTACAAATCAAACATCAACTACCGGATACCAGTGAGTATTTCACTTGCGGGACGGATATCAGTGAGTCTTTCGCCTGAATATTGCAGTGCAATTGAGGGGCGAATCCAACACAAGGACAGCTGGGGCGCATGGAAGAAAGAGACTTGTGAACGAAAATTCCAAAACACCGCCTTACCCTGCTTCAGCCGACTTTGCAAACTGACAATATTGCGTGATGGGATGAATTTAATTAAGATTATATACATGGGGAAAATCCCCTGTTGTGAAAACTAACAAACTAACTAAAACTAACAACCTGGACATGTTACACAGCACGCGCCACGGCAAACTGTGCCCAGTACCGGGTAATGCCATGGGCACATCGAACGCCGTTGGCAATAACCGTGCCGTCTGCATGGCGGTCCAGGCACTCCCAGCAAAAGTGGGAGGCAGTGGTAGCCCCGTGGCAATGGTGCGTGTGGTGGTTGCACCCGCCATTCTTCTCAATGCGAATGCTGCAATCCGGGCAAGGCTTTGTGGATCCGTGGATCATGTGGAGAGAATCGCGCATATCTCGTTGCTTGCTGACAATGCTACCTTGCATCTCTGCTTGGTACGGATTGCTCTCGCGCAACGAAAAGTAAAAGTCAAAGTTTTTGGCCCGAGAAGTCTCCCACTCGCCCTGATTCTCGACCGCCCACGTCAGATAGTTTGTGCAGCTCACGCCTGCGTGAAATTCGTAGCGAGAGCCGCTGAGGTTGTCGAAGCAAGGGCAATCACGGAACAAAACAGAAAACCAAAAGAACAACAAAACCACACGAGAGTAAGTGAGTGAGTTGCCTTGGTGCAGGATGGAAGGGGCCTGCGGGTAGTGCATCACGCATGTTCAAGGCTTACCATCCACGGCACACGTCCTGCTTGCATTCCGGGCACATTACACAGTCGCGGCGGTCGGTTGGGCGCTCGCGACTCACTCCGACAAACATGTCATCGGCCCACGTCTGTGCCTTGGTGACATCGAACTCCTGTGCGTGCGGTCAAAAGAAGGATGTTTGTGACGATGAGTCAAAGCAACAGCGACGAGGCTTGTGTTCTTTTTGTTCTAATTTTGGTGGGCGAATATTGTGTAATTTTTGCGAATCCTTTCCCAACCCAACGCCGAAACGCTGCATTTTTTCGCCCTCCTCCCCCCCCTTCCCCCTCCATGCCTGGATGCCATTGGCTCGCAATAACTCACAGCATTGCACCAAGCACACGAGACGTATTCCATCTTGACCAGCTGGGTTTGGCGGTTTGCTTGCAGACGCTCAAAGACATCATACGCGAGCAGCTCGCCCGCAACCTCGTCCGTCACGGCATCGCCACAAGCAGGGCAGGTCAGAAGAATATAGCCTGCATGGGTGTTCTTGATGGTGGTGGTGAACTGTCGTCGGGGTGATCAAACATGTAAGTGATTTCAAAAGTGTGAATGAAAAACAAACGCTCGTCCATCTGTTTTTGGTTTTTGGTGAATCGCAAAATTCGTACCATCTTCCACATGCAAGTCTCACAAGCGCGACCGCAGCACGACGACATGGAGGTGAAGGTCTCTTCGTAGCAAACTTGGCAAAGCGTGGAAGTCATGGTGGATGGATGAGGAGATGGAGCTCGCGACGTCAGCGTTCTTGTTGAGTGAAAAGTGATGTAATATCGCAATTGTTTGATGTCAATGCACCAAAATTGGGATTTCAACGCGAAACAAAAATAAAAATCAAAACAAGGCTGAGCTGAATGAAATTGAAGACTGAATGACAAGCGATCTTATAAAGGGCTCAACAAGAGGACGGTCTGACGTCAGAGGTCCATCACATCGAAACGAACGAGATGGAAACAAACGAGATGGATCTTGATCCAAGTCCATGTCGATTGTGGAGATCTTTACATTCAGATGGGGGGTTGGGTCCAGTCTGATTTATTTATTTCATCCTCTTTGCAAAAGACCGTCGTTTTTTGGCGCTTTTGGATTCGTTGGCAAAGTTGCAGTAGAGACAAAAGGCAACCGAGCGAGCGAGCAATGCCAGAGGCCAGCAAGGCCAAGGCGCGACGATCGTCCGCCACGGCGTCGACATCCTCCGCTTCAGCACGTTCAACAACAACAACATCATCATCGTCATCGTCGGCGCAGCAGCCTGCAACAGCAGCAGCAGCAGCAGCAACAGTCTCGGGTGCACGGGGCATGTCGTCCGTCGTTGACATGCTTCGCCGCCAGCAGCCGCGGCCAGCCGCCACGTCCTCCACCGCCGCTGCCCCCGACGTTGTCGTCCCTTCTAGTGTTGCCAGCGCGATTGCCAGGGAGGCGCCGGCCGATCCAGCGCCACGCGCCACCACCACCACCGCAGCAGCAACGCACGCGCGCAGCTCTCAACCCAAAGCGCGCTCCTCGACCCCATCGTCCTCGTCCGCCGCTGCGTCCTCGTCGTCCTCCGCTGCGTCCGATCCCGCGCAATCGCCCTTGTCTGCCAACGCCGCCCTGCTGGCCACTCTGCCGTGGGTGGAGCGGTTTGCCCCTGTCGCCGCAGCCGAGCTCTGCGTGCACAAGAAACGCGTAAGCTTTGAATGCTCATCTGCTATGAAACACAAAAATACGAAGAGTTTTGAAACAAAAGAACAAAAAAATTGGCGCGCAAATTTTGTTGCGTTCTTTTGTGTGTGTGTGTGTGTTTTTTTGTGCTGCGTGGATGTTGGCGATGATGATGATCGTGAGGATGATCATTTTTCAATGCTGTGTTCGACGCTGCGATCTGTGACTTTGTGAGCGGGGAAACGAGCGAGGAACGATATATCGTTCTTGATTCGAGGACTGACATGTCTTTGCTTTGATTTGTACTGCGTGCAGATTGAGGAAGTCGAGGCTTGGATCCAGATAGCAATCCAACAAGCTGGCCGAAGAGCCGGAGCGACCAATGGAAAGGCGCACAAAGTGCTGCTGCTGACTGGCCCACCTGGTGCCGGCAAGACCGCCCTCATTCGCTCGCTGGCCAGTAGTCTTCGCTTTGAGATTTGCGAATGGGTCAATCCAGTTCGTGAATCGTGGAAGGTCTGTACTTGACTCGGACGGTTGCGAGTTGATCCACCTGCCCCTCCCTCACTCTCTTACTCGCTCTCACTCTGCTTCCCAACAAACGGTTGTCGATTCGCACACAGCATTCCATGGCATCTGCCAGCACCGCTGCAATGTTGTCAGCGTCTGGTACTTCCGAAGAGCGGGCCAGCAACCAAGAGGCCAATCTCTCAACCGTTGTCGCGTTCCAAGAGTTTTTGGGCAGGTCGGATCGATACAACACGGTCGCTGTTGAGGCCAACCAGACATCTACCACATCGTCGAATGCAGGATTGCTTGGCGTGTTACCAACCGTGGGTCAGGCGGACGGCAGTTCCCCTTCCAACCTCGGAAAGGTAATTCTCGTCGAGGACATGCCGCACCTGGTCCCGAGTCAGTATGCATCGTTCCATGACGTCGTAAGAAATGCTGCGGCCCATGCCCGATATCCAGTGATTTTCATTATTTCCGACACCCGCAATGGCGAGTCGGAAGTAAGAAATTTGTTTCCCCTGGATGTCCTGGAGACATTACCCGGCTACAATGCGCCTCGAGTGCATCGGATATCCTTCAATGCCGTCTCACAGACGGCATTGGTCAAGGCGATCACACGTGTGCACCAGCTTGCGCTCCGGTCGAGCTCGATTCTCGAAGTGCCCCAGTTGGACAAGAGCGAAATTGCTACTCTGGCCCTCACCAGCAGCGGCGACGTTCGTGCTGCCATCAATGCTCTTCAATTTTACTGCTTGGAGCAAAAGGTGCTTCAGCGTCGGCGTTTTGCTGAAATGGAAACGTCCAAGACTCGTCAGGTTGAACCCAACTCGAATGGGAGATCCACCAGCACAGGAACCAAACGGTCTCTCCAGGAAGAGAACGCCTCTTCAGAAGTGCGACTGGACCGCCACAGCAAAGTACGCATCATCACGCGCAAATCTGGTGGCGCGAAATTCAGTCCGGACTCGGACGCGGAGGACTGTGTTGTGATTGACGACAGCGATGACGAAACCACGCAAGATTTCATCCCCGCAAGAAAGATCGACGACAATCCTGAAGACCAAAGCACGCTGGATGGCTCGGATGATGACGCAAGTGGCGACAATGAAAGCACAGAGCCAGGTTGGCTCAAACGAAATGCCCCTGGAGCTCGGCGACCTCTTGCCAAACAGATTCCAGATGCCAAGTAGGTCGTTGCTGCCCATCTGAACCTTGAATTGATCATTGCTGCATTGTATTGGCTGAAGCTCATGCTTTCTGGGTTGCTTTTGCAGAGACCTCAGTGTAGCCGTTGTTGCCGCTCCAACTTCTTTGCTTGCGACTGGCCGCGATACCTCATTGTTTCTATTTCACGCGCTTGGCAAAATTCTGAATTGCAAACGTAAGGAGGAAGCTGTTATGTGCGAGAGCGTAGGACTCAGCAAATACTAACTTTCGGATTTGCGCAGGAGGCCCGGCTTGCCTGCCAATGGAAGAACTGCTCACAACCGAGTCAAACAGGCGGCGAGAACTGCTGATGAATCCAGAGGTACAGCGGCCCTTTGTGATTGTTGCGCCGACATTCAAGTTGAACGTTGTTCTAACAACCGCCTTTTTGACGTTTTCCATTCGCTTTAGGAGGTGATTGACCAAACACACGTCAGTCCAGAACTCTTCGTCGCCTATCTACACCAAAATTACTCCGAGTTTTATGCCGATCTGGACGATATTTCGCACGCGGCAGACCACCTGAGCGACGCGGACTTGCTCCTCGGTGGCTGGCGAAACAAAGATTCGCTGCAGTCCCACGCTTCGCTGGTCGCAGCTCGTGGCATTGCATATGAGAGACAGCACCCTGCCCCCCAATCCTGGCGACCCCTACACAAGCCTGAATGGTTTGCTTCTGTTCGTGCGCAGCGCACTAGTCGCGACACGTTTCGGTCGCTCTTTCTCGTACCGCGCGCCCTATCCCAGGGCCTTGATGCCGATTCGCCTACACCTTGTAATGAAAGAGATCGAGTCCACGATGTATTTGGGTGCATTGTGCATGCTTTGGTTTTTGTGGGGTTTTTGCTAACCTTTCAGTCATTTTTGCTTTCATTCGCCCAATCTAGTCCATATGCTACCCGTGCGATCTGTCATCACCGAATTGTTGCCGATTGTCGGTCGATTTCCGGCACCAAGGACTGGTTTGAATCCACGTACGATATTTTGCAATGCTTCAACTTGTGTTCATGGAGGATGATGTTTCAGTCGCTCACCAGGACAACCTCAAAACTTGATAGGGCAAATGTCGTTTTTGCACTTTTTCGCCAGGTTCACGACGGGAGGGAGGGCGACGATTGCCAAGTTGGATGAGAACGATAACGACGAGCGAGATGAGCCGCCCGTCGATCCCACAGCGTTGGTTGCGGCCAGCTCAAGTTTAGCATCAGCACCAGCGATCCCGCCACCAATAACAGAGTCGTCTACGCGGCAAACGGCCACGGTTAACGCTCCATTGTACATGCTTGACGATGACATTGAAGAATTCGATTGAGCGCAGAAGTGTATGTATTGTTGTTAGGATGACACATGGACAACACGTAACATTTTCCAATTGGTGGGGTGTTGGTGCTTAAGAAATCCAATTTAGTTAGAAATGAGAGGCTGGAGCAAGGCGTTACGTTGGCGTTTACTTCCACAGTGTTGCGCGGGGGTATTGCTTTCGCGCCAGGTCAGCCACGACGGTAGCTGATGCCTTGTCGCCAAAGGTCGTTGCAAGTGCATTCTGAACAGTCGAGAAGGTCTACGGGACACACACAAGCAAAAGCAGATTGCGCGTTGAGTGGTTAAACGATGAGCAAAGAGACCCATCAGATTTGGTTTTCACTTACCTCGATGGTTGCGTCGCTCGCCTTGCTGGCTGCATCGACGACCAACTTGATTGCCTGTGACTTGGATGCGGGGTCAACCAACAAACGAGCCTCAGCGTCTGGACAAGGAAAAAAAAAATCAGTGGAGCGACACGACTCGTTTTCAAACACGGAAAGGAAGGGCACTCACTTCGAAGAACCTGAAGCAATGTGGCGGGCTTGTAGGCCTCAACAAACTGCTTGGGAGTCTGCTTGTTCAAAAGCTCGGGCAGGGCCTGGTTGATGACAGTGCTGACGGTTGGTTGGTAGGTTGCGCCGTTGGCAGCAACTGCATTTCATGGTAATGGAAAGAGTGATGACAATGAGCACCAGCAGCTCGCCCAGTTCCAACAACAACAAACCGAGCAACGAATAACAAACATGGTTACCTCGAAGCGCAAACTGCACAATAGCCTTGTGCAAATCGGCATTGTTGGCATCGATGCGCTGGGCACGCTTGAGCGATTGAAGCATCAACAGTGGCTTGTCTGAAAAACCCCCAGGTCAACAGAAAACATCAAAGTGAACAAACAAACGAAACAACAACGAGCGTCTGGATTCAACGCGGCGCTCCAGCGTTCAAAAACACACTCACTCTTGCGGAAATAGACCTCAAAGGCCAACAAATGAGTCTCAATGTGCTGGGTAGCGTGTTGCTGAAGTGGTCGTACGAAAGTCATGACATCTTCCAGCAGGGTTGTGGACTGCAGGTACGAGGCACCATCGGCATCCTTGTCCTCCTTCTTGTCCTTGCCCGACGCATCTTTGGAGGCTGGTTGGAGAGAAGAACATCAGACGAAGAGTGAGCATGAAAGGGAAGAACAGGGATGTTACGACGGCGTTGGCGACGTTACCGGGCTTTTCTGTGGGCGCAGCTGCTTGTGCTTTTTGCTGAGCACGGCGCTGTTTGCTCAGAGCCTTCTTGCGTTCCTTGTCTTCGGCAGCTGTTTTTTGTTGGTTGGTTGGGGGAAAACCAAGGACGATAAGTGGAGAAACAACATTGACAGAAAAACAAAAGAAAAACAAAAACTCGAACAGATTCCATTCTTGTCATCCACCTCATGCTGCCCTGCTTGAATAAGAAGGCACACAAAATCCCTGAGACATAAAAAAACTCACAGTCGCCAAGAACAGCTTCGGCGGCAGCATTCAGCGGCTTGTCATGCAAGGCAAGATACAAGCGAATGGCCTCGGTTGCAGCGCGGAAGAAGAACTTGTGGCCACGAACAGTATCCTCATAACGAATCAACCTAACACGGGACAAAGCAAGGAAAGCAACGAAAGCAAGGAGGCAAGTTTGGGGGGGAGAAACAAATGAGTAAACCACAACAAAGACTGAATTTGCCCAGCAACACCGTAACGCACTTGATGTACGACCGCAACGTCATCTTGCGCAAGCAGTAAGAGTGGAAGTCAAACTGATCTTCATGAATGTCATTGTACTGCTTGTCCACCAGGTAGAACTGCTTGAGGGCACGACCGATATCGCCTTGCTGGGCGAATGCCTTGCCACGCTCCGTCTCAAACCACATGCACTGCATTTCAGCGAGCTTTTCGACAGGCTCTTCGTTTTCCTTGAGGAAGAACTTGACCGTGGCGCTCGCGTCAGTGATGCGCCCAGCGCGAAGTTGGTACTTGGCGCACTTGCCGTTGAGGTAGCGGTCGGCGGTGTCGAGGTCGCGCGCCGTCTCGAGAGCGAGGGCAGCTGCTGGGTAGTCGCCAGCATGCTTGAGCACGCGGCCCTTTGCCGTGTACAGCTCAATGAGAGTCGGGGTGTGTGCAATGCCATCCTCAAGGTGCTTGAGCGCGCTTTCGGTGCGGCCGAGCTTGTCGTCGTGCATGGCAGCGAGGAACTTGGCCCACAAAACAACGTCGGAGGTCTCCTTGGCGCTAGAGCCGGGGAAGGTCTGCGAAGCTGTCAACGATGCGACATAGGCAGGAATCAGCTTGTCAAACACGGCGACCTTGGCAGGGTCGGCGTACAAGGAGCGAATGTCAGTGAACAGGGTCGGGACACCCTTGCGGATGCGACGTTGCAAGTACGCGTCAACGCGGCTCTGGAAACGGTCGCCAGTGGCAAAGTTGAGCTGCAATCGCTGCAGAATGTTCGAGCGGGGATACTTGGCGGCAAGCTCATCGTAGAAGGCCAGGCGTCGAAGCTCGGTCGACTCGTCCAGCGGTGCTCCGGTCTGGACGCCCGCAGGGTCAACGCAGGACTCGAGGGTTGTCAAATAGTTGCGGTTGTTGGGGTTTTCGTCAAACAGCCCGCGGAAGATGTCCTCAGCCTCCGCTCGGTTGCCTTGCTTGAGCAGAAGCGCACCGCGCTGCTCCTTCCATGCTCGCAGGTCGGAGATTAGTGCCTTGTTCTTGTCGAGGCAAGCAATGGCTTCGGGAATGCGACCACCCTCCTCGAGCAACTGGACCTTGTACATGAGCATTTCACTCTTCTCAAAGTCGAGCGCCTTTGGCCAGCCGTCGCGATCGTATGTGGTGACGTCGGTCGAAGCGGGCTTGTCGTTGTCTTCGTATGCCTGCAGAGTTTGCACAGCGACATCGTGCTTGCCAAGAAGGTGGTAGGCAATGGCGAGGCCGACCCACGAGACGCGCTGCGACGGTTTGCTAGCAAGGATGATGTGACGGGTGGCCTATCGTCGGAGTGTTGATAAGGGGAGGGGAGAGGAGGCAATGTGAGAATGGGTATGATTGTCACGACTGCTGGGGACGAAGCGGAGCCGCTAAGACGCGGGGGGGGGGAAAAAGGGCGACACCAAACGCTTACCTTCAAGCCATCAAGATCACGAATATGCGTCTGTAGCAAGCACAAATCACGCAGAATCTGCTGGTTCTCGGGCGAAAGACGCAGCGCCATCTTGTAGCACTTCATCGCTTCGACGTAGTTCTTGTCCGAGCGATGCATCAGGCCGAGAACGTGCCAGCAAATGTGCGAGCTGAGACCAATCTTCAAGGCACCCTTTGCGGCCGTGTAACCCTCCTCCTTTTTGCCCATGCAGTGGATGATCAAACCGCGCATCGAGATGGCGTCTGTCACGAGTGAGTGTTGGCGACAAGGGTCAGCTCAAGAGGTCAAAGTTTACAAGCGAAAGCCAAACATCAAGGCGATGATGCACTGTACCAGCATAGTCGTGATACTTCTTGATGAGCTGGTCGACCCACTTGAGGCCTTTCTTGTAGAGTTTGCGCTCATATGCGTTCTAGCAGATAGTTGTAGGTTGTCATAGTCGGTCGCACACACAGTCAATCAGTGAAGAGTAGTGCATTGAGTGAGGGTTTGAAGGCGAATCCGTGGCTGTTGGCTCGGTTCGATCCGTCCATTTCCCCCCCCCCCCAGCCGTGCTCTCGGTTGAATCCCAGTAGTAAACTCTGTTGCTCCCCGGTTTCCTCCCCATTGTGCACTCGCCGTCGCAAACTCAACGCAAGTCCAGCCAATGCAAAGTTCTGCGATCGCAGACTTTTTTTTTTTTTTTTTTTTTTTTTTTTTTTTTTTGGTTTTCAAGCTTTGAAGCACAAGAACAACGAGCAGCATCGGCAGTTGCGCTTTGTTGCCTGTCACTCGCCAAGCGCACTGATCTCTAGTCAGGCAGCTTCCCATCCAAGCGCGGTCGGTCTGTCGGTCGGTCGGTTTCCCAGCGCTTCAAGTCCAGCAATTTTCCATGTGCTTTTTTTTTTTTTTTTTTGGGTTTCCATTGAGTGGGATTTCCATTGAGATTTGTGTTTTCCATTGAGATTTGTATGAGCGACACCATCTCGTCTCTCTCTCGTCTCTCTCTCTCTCTCTGTCGCTCAGTTTGCCATCGGATACTCGGTCTCATGCTTTTACCACAATCATGTTGAAACGCTTCTGATCTGCCGCAGGCAGAGATTCAGTCTTGGTGAAGTTCATTGGTGAAGCACTGAAACGATCCAAATGTGAAGACTGAACCACGGTCGTCGTTGCTCAGACAAGCGGAAAAGAAAACCACAAGGTCAACAATAGTATAGCAAGGTTGTTGGGCACCTGAGGTCAAGTCAGACAGGTTGATGAAGCGCAGATCGAGCTGGAGCGAGCCACAGATTGCAAAAGGCGACGAAAGACCAACCGCACATACCGCCCCTCCTCCCAGCAACATACACCTCGTACTGATGGGATGAATTCCCAATGGAGCAGTTATCGATTCGGCTCAATCGGATGGGAACACAGTCTCCGTTTTATTTCCAAATCCATTTCGCCGTCGTTTTGGCTGGTTTTCATCTGGCTTTTCTTGACAACCGCCAAGTCGCCAGTGACACAAGCAAACTTGGTCCTTGCAAACATTCGCACACACACCTCGTAAGAGCCACGTTGAAGACACAGCCAACGCACTGTCTCGCTGTTTGACTCCTTCCCGTTTCAAACTGAAACAGTTTCAAAATCTCACGCCAACTCTTTTCCTGCATTACGACGCGCTCTGACAGGGACAGCAAGCTCCCTTTCACTCTCAAGCTAACAAACAGACAATGCTCCTCTCTGGATTTGCAAACTCGGGCAGTCAAGGCCAGGGCTGGGCGATGGTCAACCACCACCGCCAAGAACCCACCGAACACATACCGAAACCGTTGGTGATGACTGTTACGTCGGCCGCACCCGCGAGTTCGACCGGCACCGGCAAGATGCCAGGCACGCAAGATATCGAAAACTCGCCTTCGGGTGAAGCGCCATTTGGAACGGGCAAGAAGCAGACGACAAACCATCGCCGACCAATGTCCATTCTGAGCTGTCCCAACTCAATGACCTCGCCGACCTGCATGCTGGCCATTGCATCCCCCGATGAGACTACGGATATTCGGCCCATTCCATGCCACAAGCCTTCGACCGGAAGACGCACCGAGAAACGCGTCGTCAAGGTGAATTTGCACGCCACTCCGGATCAATCGCGCTATCCATCGCCGTTCCGCGCCAGGTCGCGCATTCCCCGATCCCCATTGTTTGTCGACAAGGAGATTGAAGTGGAGCTGCCCGATATTCAGCCGACACCCACGATTCAGACAACGTACTCCAGTGCGAGTCGACGTCGCCATTCGTTCCCGTCAGCGTTCAATTCGCCCGAGCTCATGCACGCCATCGGGGAGCCTCTGTTCCCACCTACAAGCGAGGATGTGCGTGTGCAACAACAGCACGCTCGCGAGCGCACGCCCTTTGAGTTGTGGCAAATGGATTCAATCAAGATCCCGACGCCCGCAGTTCCCTCGGCCGAGGTGCGCAGAGCGCAACGGCTGCAGCGCATCCACCGTCGCCTGCCATTCTTCTCGCCGACAACTACTCCTGAGGGTGATAATGGCGGTGCGATAGTGACACCCATCAAGCCCGGTGCCCTTGGCCTTTCCTCTTCAAAAATTCTGTCGACCGCATCCAAGAAGGCCGTCCCGCTCCGCCAATGGATGGCCGCAAACCAGAAGCGTTACCAAGCATCAAGCACCATCAGCATGTCAACCATCACACCGACACTAGTGTCAGGCCGCCACGCCAAAGTCGCGCTGACTCCCTTGAGCATGCTGGATTTGGACAGCATTGACTTTTTCTCGAGTGGGACACGCGCGGTCTGTCCGTTCGATACGCCATTGCCTGGCATGGAGGAGGTTACACTTGCGGCGGCAATCGGCCTGCCCGAATCGGACGACGAAGCTGACGATTATGACGAGCCGCCAGCAACCCCGACGATTCAGATGCAACGCAAGTCGATCTGCCAGACGGGCACCATCTCCTTCTTGAACGAGACTGGGTTCTTTTCCGACCCAGACGACCAAAGTGTGGGTCTGCCCGATATCTCGGTCATTATGGGCACTCCGCTTTTGGATTCCATTTCTGCTGGCATGGCAGCTTTGGAGTGCGCGCGTGAGACCGCCAGTCGAGTGGATGCTGCAGCTGTGTCGGCCGTAGTTCCCACTGCAGCCGCAACAGACTCTCCCACTCAAGAGTCAGTCGGTGTTTCCTCCGCTGGTAGCGAAGCTGTGGTTTTGCCGGCTAGTCTCCAGCGCATGGAGGCGCTCGAGCTTGAACGCCTCGAGAAGAAGGCTTCGAAAGCAGCGTGTGGTCGCTGCATTGTGATGTGAATCGTGAAATTTCTTGAACGCATTGAAGCAAATGGCTGATGTATGGGCGCCGAAGTGTTGATTGTATTTAACAGTGTTTATTGGTAATCAAATTTTGAAAAAAAAAAAAAAAAAACAGACAAAAAAACTCCAATCCAACGCGAAAACAATCGAACAGAAATAACAGGCAATATCTCATAGAAAATCTTCCCGCCCTCATCATGTTGTGGGGAAGAGCGTTAAAAGTACAAGAAAGAAAATAATCGGCACGGCCATTACACATAAATTGTGCTGCGCAGCACAGGAGGCTGCGCCGCTTGATCCATGGCCGTTTGTTTTTCGGCGCGGTGGCGAGTCCAATTATCGTAACATGCTTGGTACCGCTTGGCAGTTTGAAGGTCGTTTAGTTTACTCGGCGTGTACAGCATTGCCAGCAGCTTGCATGGGTACCGGTCGTTGGGGCGGAGCTCGAGTGCCTTGACCAACATATTGGCGGCGACCGTGTAGCTTGCAACATCATTTTGCTCAAGGCAAGCGATGCCAGCTTGAAGGATGGAGTAAATGGGCTCGGTGGCGAAAATGGCATCAATGAAAGGCATGGCCAGGGCGCACTCGTTGCGCGCAAGCAACCAATGCACAACAACAGGTGCAGTGCGTGGAACGAGCGCGGGATCGATAACGCCGAGGCGCCCAAGCGTTTCAAATGCCAAAGTCCGTTGCGCAGAGAGGTGTTGCAGGAACTGGTCTGCGCTCTCGCGGTCTGGCTGTTGTTCGAGCCGAGCTTGGAGTTCACTCGCAAACTCGTCCGACATGGTCAACATGGGCATGAGCTCCAATAGCCGGAACTGCGCGTCCACGCGTGTCCAGTTAGTCGTGCAGGGACAGCCAACCTCGCTTTCGTCAGCCACTGTGGAAGGCGCCTCCAGCAAGTCTGCCGTGACACATTGCCCCACAGCCTGGCGGATGGAACGGGTTTGATTCAAAGGGTGTACCATTGCCGTGTACTGCTCCATCCTGAAAAGCCCATCGGCGAGAGAGACCAGGTACTCTGCCTGGCGCAAGCGCAGATCGAAGGCTTCCGTGTGGTGATCGACTGCAACGACCGGGAGCAAGGAAGAAATATCCCCAGCGAGCCACTCTTGTTCGCCTGTGCCAATCAGCGCATCCAAAAGCTGATCCTGCTCAACACGGGAAAGCAGGCGCCAAGGTGCCAAGACCTCAATCGGCTCGACTTGTGTGCGGACCTCGAGTGCCTCGGTCACCATGATCCACTCGAGCTGTTCGCGCGTCCCGCTCACTCGCCAGCTCCGCCAGTTCGGCATGGTCAGGGGAAAGAGCTCTTCGAGCGTCGGTTCTTTTGGTGGCACAAACGGCTGGACGGCAAAGCGCTTTCCTGCAGGATTCTTGAGCTGAGCCTTGTCGTGGCCTCCGTTATTGCGGTGCGGGCGGTCCGTGGTCAGGATTGTCTTTTCCTTCTGACGTTCCTCATGACGCCGAGAGGCATCCTCCAGAGCACTTTGACTGACTGGACCCGCCAGGAATAGATGCGCGCTCGGATTCACAATGTTCGTCAAAACCGGCACATACACATTCGTCGGGTCGGGGCGTAAGGGTTCAATGAGCTTCCGATTCGGGTTGGTTATATGCTCTCGCTCCTCGGGGGTCCAAAGGCGCACATCGTCTTGCCACATGTTCGCATACGCACTGCGATCTGCCGTCCTGCCAGGCAGAATCCGTCCTTCAAACAACTCCGGAGGGTCGTCCAATGCACACGGGCCCGGTTGGGTGGTCGAGATGGCGCAGGGGGTGTCCAGCCAGAATGCCACAAACAAGACAGGGTCATCGTAGCGTTTCGACCAAGTGCCATTGTGGGGCAGCGATCCGTACAAGTAGGAGCCCGGAAAAACGACAACGCGATTTCGCCGCGCAGGAATCACCCAGCTACGGTGCTCGTTCTCGCGAAAGGTTTCACTAAACCCGGACTCCATCGTCGTGTTGCTGACAACGAACGGGCCGCTCCAGCGATCAGTCATAAACACGGCAATGTAGTCTGGATGGCGAATTTTTCCAGTTCCGGTGAATTGGTTCTGTTGTTTGACCAAACGCAACAACATTGCATAATAAAGTCGACGGGTGGGGGGGGGAAGTGGAGAAAGAGTGTTAGTCATCGCAGAAGAGAGCTCTCAAGCGCAGCAGACAGATCACCAAGCCATATCTTACACGATCCATCCGCCACCGCAGTCGCTCGCTCGGCGTCGTGTAACTGGCTTCCATTGCAGGTCTTCGAGTTACCCAGTATTCTGCGCCGACGACGCGTGCTCGGATGGCTGGGGGCAAGAAATCTCCAATCAGCCAGGTTATCTGCTCAATGAGATTTCGAGGATACCGATCAAAGGGCACATAGTGGCTGTCAAACTGTAAATCTGGTGGCGAGGCGAGGTATTCACGATGATGCACCCAAAAGAGGCCCTGCGGGTGCAAACTTAACGCGAGCAGTTTGAGCAGCATCTTGTGCACGGCGCCGTCAAACACGGCAGGTTTACCGGTCTGGAATGCGTCGAACGCCGTCCAATGCTGGCCGCCAAGCTCGTCCACGTAGGGAAAGTCGGGGTTGGAGGCGACAGAGGCAAGGATTTCAGGGACGAGCAGCCGAGATAATCGGTGGGCGGAGATGGGACCCGATCGGACCACAGGCAGCTCCTCCGATTCTGCGCCGGATGTCTGAGGAATCTGATCCATTAGCGCGGATGAAAAGGGCAGGCCAAGCGGACCAAGCACAGAATACAATGCGAGAGCGTGGGTGTAGTTGCCCCTAGCCGCGAACGCGTTCGTCAGCTGATCAAGCAGCTCTGGCTTCCGGCGGTTGGGCGGGAATCTCATGGCACACTGGATGTACGCCGAAACCCGAGACCATACATGATCGAGCTGCGCAGCCCGAGCAAGCGCCTCGCAAGCGGTCGCATGCATCTCGGTTACCGGGGTGTACTTGCGCTGGTACGTCAAGCTGGCATCGTCGTTCGTGAGAGCTGGTCCGAGAAGAGCCTGCGCCCTGCGAGCCTCACCCAGCACAACCCGCTGGTACGCTTTGCGCGACGCCGCCTTTTCGCCAAATCGAAGGAAGGACTTTGCGACCCACGCGAGCGTCGTGGGATTGTCTGTGGCATCCGGGTGTTCGGCAATCGCAGTCAAGCACTCGACTGCTTCCGTCGGGTCGTTGACAAATGGAATGAGCATTTGCGCAGAGTGCAAGCTGTGCATGAGCAGCGGTTTGTCGGCAAACGACCGTTGCAGCATGTCCCTAAACAATCTGCCAATGTGCTCGTTCTGCGCCTCCAGCGTCGGCGCGACATCAATCTGAATCATTGCAGTGGCGACATACAGCTCTGCCATCATTTCGGCCTCGAGGCGATATGCTTCCGGCGATGCCGACGCGACGTGCGCTTGCGCTTGGTAAATGTCCTTCCTGCCAAAGTCGACCTTGTCCCAGTCCCGCCCGCGGTCGCCATCGTCGTTGTTGTTGTCGAGCGCATTGACAATCTGCATGAGGAGCTCTTTGCGGCTCTGGCGTCGGCTGCCCAGCACTTGGGACAGCAGCAGCTCGGCGACCTCAAAGTGGCGGTCTCGCATTGCCGCGCGCGCTCGCCTGAGCGTGTCCACGGCAATGTCCTTGAACCTGCTCGCGTCCGTGTCGACGGGCAGTCGCTTGAGCACCTCTGGATCGAGCTCCGGTGTCGTCGCGATCGTCGGGGTGGTTTTGTTGCTGCTCGAGGTCACCCGAGAGTGAGCCTGCGAGTGAGATTGAGATTGAGATTGAGATTGTGCGCGCAGATTGGCGGCAGATGCAGGTGAACATGCGCAGAGCAGCGCGGCCAGTGCCAGCAGGAGAAGGAGCACACGGGAGATGGAACATGCAGCCGACAGGCGGCGAACGTCCCTCATTTTTGTGGAGCGAGCGAATGAAAGCGAAAGAGAGCGAGCGAATGAAAAAGAGAAAAGATGGACTGGAAGTATGAAATTCTCAGAAAATAACAAAAGCACAACACACACAGAATCAATCATCGAGAAGCTCCATGCAGAATCAATCATCACCATCGTCGTCGTCGTCGCTGAGAAGGTACTCGGAAATTTCTGCTCGCATGTGCTCGCGTGAAGTCGCCCTCGCAAACTCTTGTGCAACCATGGGCGGTAGCAATGTGCCTGCAGAGGTCACGTCACGAAGAATCACACTGCAGCCGTAGCAAGTGGCGTCGAGCACGGCTTGCGTGGGGACGGTGTTTGCGTTGCTCTTGCTGCTCGAGCAGCAACTCGAAGTCGAAGATGACGGAGGGACAATGGGCGAAGCTGCTGGCTCAGTGCTGCATGCGCAGCTGTTGTTGGAGCCGGAGCCGCTGCCGCATCCGCCTTCTTTGGGCTTTTCCGAGGAAGCGGTCGCGGTGAGGAGCGTTGGAGCTGGCTTGCTGCTGAAAACCACTGGACGAACAATGGGGCCATGGCAAATCACACAGGAGCGCTCTTCGTCCTTTGGAGGAACGGCGACCAGTTTCGTGCTCGTGCGCTGAACGGTAGAGACAGTGCCAGTAAAGTCGCGCTGCAGGGCATTCACAAACGCTTCGGTCAGAGTGGAAATGGAGGCTGCAATCTGCTGGCTGCTTTGGTTACTTTGCGAGGCAGCAGCCGTTTGCTGGAAGGCCAGCTTCCACGCCGGCACGGGCGTTACCGAATCGGGAATTGCAGGCAGAGTTGTGTCGTTTTGTTGCACGCGCAATAGATACCGGCTCTTCCAAAGACGAAAGAGATTTATGCCACTGGCGAGAGTTGGTGCTTCCTCGGATGGAACGTCCGACCAACGCGCGTACAGAGCTAGATCCTTCAGCGCCAATGCGCGGAATGGGCGGCCAAGAATTGCATCGGGATCTCGTGCGTCCAAAAGCGACGTGTCGTATGCCAGAGATGCGCCGCGGCCCTGTAGATGAACAAAAAAGAGGGAGGCGCGCGGGGAGGGAGGCGAGGGGCAATGAAACGCACAGGTTGGTCGCGGCAAAAAAAAAAAAATACGAAAAAAAAAAACGCAACAGCACCAGGACTGCAAAAAACAACCATCTCATCCACTCACCTGGGCCACAAACGAAATCATGTTTTGGGCAATCCGATCCGCAGAATCTCCAAAGGCAACATAGCGATATCCGCGCGACTTGGCAATGTGCACAATTAATCGGAGACGGAGAACACGCACGAGATCCTCGCGTGCGCTCAACGATCCAACACCAGCAAGCATGGTTAGGAATTTATCTCGGTTACTGCTCGAAGCTGCAGAGGGAATGAGCTCTGCAGGAGAAGGCTCTGTGGTCTCGCGCGCCAACACAACCTCGTTGACCGGCGGGACGCGCAGCAGGACGGAGCCACCGCCGCTGACGAGACCCGAGCCAAAAACATCCTCGATGCGCGCAGTAATCAAGGGCCACTCGGGGCTATCAGAGCGCTTGGCCAGTGTAAGCAAGTTCGCCCGAATCGTCGCCTCGGTGCTCTCGGCGGCAGAGAGGGCCTCGCGCTCGGCATGCGCGATGGCAATCCGTTCCGCATCGCCGGATAGCTTACCACTCCCAGCATCCAGCGAGAAGGCATGCGCAAGCACAGATTCGTCGATATGGACCAACCCAGCGGTGGTAAAGATCTTGGAGCTCCTTGCGCGCTCAATAGACGCAGCAGCTGCCTTCGGATCGTCGGACAATGTTGCTTGATCGATATGCAGCAACCCAATGAATGTATGGGCAAGCAATGACGACGACGGGCCGCCTGAGCACGCAATGAGGACCTGTGTATCAAAATTTGGTTAGTTCTGATTGTAGAAGCCCAAAGGGTTGCAGAATTCGCGTTAAAATCACTGCTGTTGTGATTCTTGTGTCCCCTCCCTGATATTCAACCACTGATGCAAAATGTATGGACTTTGGGGTCATCGACCCATCATGAAGCTCGCTACTGCGCGATTGCGTCAATGCGACTACTGAGTGAACCGACCTTGTTCCCGGCACCCTTCGGCGCTTGGAGCTGCCCGACACCCAGGCGCGTGTTCTTGGACATGACAATGTCAAAGCATGAGCGGCAGTAGAACGTCTGGCTGGCTGTCTTGACGCCGCTCGGCTGGCCGCAGCGAACACACGCGCGCGCGGGCGACGCTCCTCCTCGTCCTGCTGCTGCTGCCCCTGCAAGGCTCACACTGGCGCCGTTAGGACGCGGCTGGCCATCAGAGCCATGCGTCGACGGCGGCGGCTCGGCGGCATCGGCCATGGCGAGTGCAGCCTCGTGTGCCTGGTCGAGGCGCTGTTGCGCGCGAATCTGCTCGTCTTCGTCCACTGAGCACATTTCGAACAAGAAACGTGAAAAATGACAACGATATACAAAAAAAAAAAAAAAAAAAAAAAAGAGTGGGAGGCGACAACAATAGGAATGGACCAGTTGCATCTGAAATTATCGATTTTGGAAGCATGAACAGCAACAGTAGTGTCAAGAGCTCGTCCAACAGGAAAGCCGACTGGACAAAGAGCCTTGAAAGAGCAAATGCGCGCCTTAACTCAAGCCGAAACCCACCAGGATGCGGGCAATTCGATGCGCGTCGAGGTTTCGGGCGCTGCCAGAGCCTCAATGTTGGCACGCTGGAAGTGGCGGAAGTTGCGGCCGGCAAAGTGACCAGCAGTCGCCTTGTCCGAGTCCCAAATCTCATACAGGGTGAACTGGCTCTTGCTGGGCGAGTGCCGGGTGTAAAAACTGTCAGCGAAGAAATCAGCGTAGCGGCAAAGTGAGAGTATGAACTCGAATGGCAACGAGGGTCAACAAACGAGGCAACAGAGGCTGCGTACTGGAGGAAGCCCTCCTCCTCGCTCGAGGAAGCGTGATAGGTCTGCAGAGACTTGCGGAAGTTATCAATCTTGTCGGGCAAAACAACAAAATCGCGCTTGAACAGAACAATCGCAACAGTGTCCGTGTCGGTGTCCTCCTCGGAAATCTTGTCACAGAATCAAAGGCACGTCGCAAAAGTGCGCAAAACGAGTATAAAAAGGAAGGCGCCAGCCAAAAAGGTCAGCCCGACAGAATCAAAGCAATCTTCCATTCGACATTCGAATGACAACTCACAGCAGTCACTGCGACCTTGCCCTCCAGGCGTCCGAGCAGTGCAGCCAGGCGATCAACCTGGGCTTGCAATGCGTGGGAGTTGCCATCTATTGTTTGAAAACCAGGACAGCGCGGTGAGTTGGATGTTTGCAGATCTTGTCAAACATGGCAAGTGCTTACCAGCAAGTGCTTGGGTAGACTGCTGGTTCTTGACGCGTCGTCCACGTTCGGTGGTGGCGTCGGCAACAGCAAACTCGGAGCTGCGTGCGGGCGCAGGCCTGGAGTCCCGGGGAGAGGGGGGCAAAAAACAAAAAACAACACGAACAACAAAAACAAACAACACGAACAACAAAAGTCAGTTCCAACCAAGAAGGTGAAAGACAAGCAGCGGCAAAACAAACCAAGACACTCACTTGGCAGCCAGGGTTCGCTCAAACAGAGTCTGGTGAGCCGAGACGATGGGGCTCTGAATGGAGTCAAACTGGCTAACAATCTGGCGGACCAAAGCACAATTTCACCGCGAATGTTAGATGCATCTCTTTTGACCAGATCTTGCTGCTCTGTTACGTACTTCACGAAGCAAGAAACGCGTGGTGAACTGCGAAACGTGATCCGAAGTGTCGTACGAAGCCGCAATGCCGTTCAACACGTCGGCGATGGTCTTGTTAACTCCTTCGATGGCACCGAAGAGCGGCTGGACCTTGCCCCAATGCCCACGGAAGAAGTTTGACAGCTCGGTGCAATCGACAGACCTGACAGCGCCAACAGACAAGCATCATAAACGCGGATTGTCAACCCAGAAGCTCGAAAGCCATCGCACGAACAGATTTTTTTGTGTGTGTTTACAAGTTCTTGTCCGTGTCGATGGCGTGAAACAGAGCATCAATCTCCTCAGCGGTCAGAACACCATCGCGGAAGAAGACGCGGAACTCTTCGAGCGAGATCTCGCCGTCGTCTACAGCACGAATTGCAAGCACACGCCCCGAACGATCGAGTTACAGTTTCAAGCACAAACATGAGCACAATACACAGTGAGCCTCCAAAGCAAATCAGCGAACGGGGCCCGTTTTGACTGAGATCCAGAACACTAAACAAACAAACAAACAAACAAACAAACAAAAAGTCTGAGACGCACCGTTCTTGTCAGCGCGACGGAAGATCTGTCGGCAAAGTGTTCAAAAAGCCCATACAAATACAAACGTCAGTGCAATGCAACACAAAAATCCGATGGAAGAAAACAAAAAGCAGTCAAAGGCACAATCCAATGGAAAAAGCAGCCAAGCTAGAAAAAAAATCACCAAAATTCAAAATCGCTGCCAGAATGACTGAATGTTGTTGTTGTTGAGGGCGATGCTGAAGCGGGGGCGATTGAGCCAAGCGCACACCCATGTTGGACTTTGGTTGCCAACGCACTCACTCACACACGCACTCGCTCAGCACGCACGGCACAGCGCAGCAGGGATCCGCTGCAACAGGCCATTCGAGATTGAAAGGATTTTTGGAAGGATTTTTTTTTTTTTTTTTTTTGTGAACGTTTGTTGTTCGACTGTCGGTTTGAGCGCTGATGCTGATGCTGATGCGCGCGGTTGATGCAAGGAAAGCAAGCGACAGGAGAGATTGAGAGTGAGAGTGAGAGTGAAAACTGACATCGGCAAACACGGCAAAGCCAGGCTCGGAAGACGAAGTTGATGACATTTTGGATTGGAACAAGAAAAAACAAAACAAAGCAAAAAAAAGCAATTGAAATTGAATGGAAGAGTGAATGAAGACGAAGAAGAAGAAGAAGAAGAAGATGATGATGATGATGATGATGATTGATGATGATGATGATGATGATGATGATGATGATGATGATGATGATGATGATGATCAACGACAACAAGAGCAACAACAAAGCAACTGAAACAAAAAGGAAACGCAGTCGCTTGAAAAAAAAAAAAAAACAGAAAAAGCGGAATGGAAACTTAGATGGGGCAAAATCTCAGTCGCTTGAGCTTGTCCGGTTGATGAGTCAGTTGGCTCAGCGGCTCAGACTTTCGATGCCCTGGAAATCACGTCAGGATTGGTTACTTTGGTAGTTTGCTTTGACTTTTGCTCAGTCGCTGTATTTGCTTTACACATCCACCACAATGAGCAGCAACCCGGAAGGGACTTCTGCGCGATCACTGCCTGCGCTCGAGAACGAGAGCGAGAGCACCACAGCCGCTACTGCGCCCACGACCACTACTTCTACTACTTCCACTGCTGTTGCTAATGCGAATGCTGGTGGCTCAGCAGTGGCGCGCACGACGGACGCGGGCCATAATGCAGCGACCATTGTCTGCCGCTTCTGCCAATGCAAGGTCTTCCTCGCTGGCGTCGCGTCGCATGTTGCGCTGACAGACCCGGTACGCACACACACAAAATGCATTGCATTTGAACCAAGGCAGAACAGTGTGGTGTGAATTGAGTGCATGTGAGCGAGTGGCTGATGTCGATAGCTGACAAACCCCCTGAACGTCAGTGTACATTGCCAACACCGCAATGCCCAACACAGCACAAAACGACATGATGATGAATGTGTGTGTTGAGGTTGAAATTTTGTGTGTGTTGAGGTTGAAATTTTGGTGGAGGTTGAACTTTATGGTGGTGGAAATCTCAGAAACCAAGAGAAAACCGGCAACAACTCGAGAGTGCTTGGTTCAGATCGCAGTTCACACAAGCAACGGAGCATCATAGAGTCGCTCACTGTTGCATGCTGGCCCTTTTTGTTTGTTGTGTTGGTGTCAGATCTCGCTGCCACTCATGCTGCAGCCCAAGGACAGCCCGACAGTCATTGAATCGCTCGAGGCTTCGTTCTGGCGCCTGGGCAACCAGATGGACTTTGAGAACGTCACTGTTGCTCGTAATATGCCTGGCACCACTTTCAAGTACCTTGCGTGTGGAGCTTGCGAGATTGGACCGTTCGGATACTTTGACAATGCCGTCCAACCGCATCAGTTCTTTGTCGCTGTCGGCCGCGTGCAAGAGCACCAGCCATGATGTTGCTACTACCTGGTGCAATCATGACTGATTCTAACAGGCATGCACGTTACTCCACTCTGCATAGCATGCAAAAGTGGACGAATGGAGGGCTTTCGATGCGTGGAAACTGAATGGCTGCCAGGCATGACATTGGTTGTTTGTAGGACTTGGTTCAATGTACATTAAGATAAAGCAATATATGCTTGCAACGTAGGACTTGTTTCACTCTTAGTTTTCACTCACGCTGCTCAGACATGTCGCTCGAAGTGACGCTCGAGTTCAGGTAAAGCAGTCCGCCACTGTTTGTTGAAAAGCCCACCCCATATGTTACTACTACTACTTCTACTACCAACTGTGATTTGACCTTATCAAGCTTGGAGTTGGATGGATGGAGGCTGAAGCGGGGGATGATGACACAGCTCACTCACATTGGCCTTGGCTTTCCCTCCCTTCCTCTGCCCTATTGGACTGTGCGCCGTGTTCCCAGTGGCGGCGCTGAGCTCCTCTTCGACAAGATCAAGTCGCGCGTGGTTGCGCTGCCAGTCCCGCGGCCAGATGGCGCCAAGTGGACCATTCGCGCCTTCCTCGTGTGGATTCGCGACAACCTGCTCAAGGAGCGACCGGAGCTCTTCCTCCAAGGCGACACAATGTCAGTGACTTGCATGTTCTTCGGTTATCATTATGATCGAACAAAGGTGGAGGACTGGACGTTGGACAAACAGCAGCAGAGATCAAAAACTTGCAGTCCTCGAACACATTCAGGCACATTACTGTATGGCGGTCTCACTCGATAGTTCATGTGTTTGTGCTTTTGGAATGGCTGCGCAGACGGCCAGGCATTTTGGTGCTTGTTAACGACCAGGATTGGGAGCTGATTGGCGAGCTTGATTACGAATTGGAGGCAAAGGACACAATCTTGTTCATTTCAACGCTCCATGGTGGATGATTTCATGGATGGGACCAACCCGTTGAGTGACTGCTATGCTTGTGAACATAATACGAAACATCTGGCCTTTGCCCGAGAACCTCGTTGTTTTGAATTGCGCGGCCCGTACAACAAAGCTCGAACAAACTCGGTCATGAAGAGCGTTTGGCCAAGTTCAGTGCTGAGTTTTCTCAGTCTCGAGAATCAACCCAATGTTGCCAACACCGGTATCGGCCTTGAGCACTTGCACCTGACGAACAGGGTCGGGGGAAGTTTCGGATGCCGGGCTGGATGGATCGCACGCGCAAAAGCAGTGTTACAGGTCATCCTTCAGGCTTCAACAGGCGACTGCTTGCTCAAAGGCGAGTGGGCCTACTTTGGTGCCATCAGGACTAACAATGTCAGCAGCACACTCACCAGAATCAATTGAGCAAGTTCCAAGCACTCTCACATTCAGCGCTCTACTCTCTCTCACTCTTTTGCTCCCCTCTTTCGGTCGTTTCCGTGCTTGTGCAGTTCACTCACAAGTCGCGGCCGTCAAAAAAGACCTCCTGGCAACGCAAACACGCAATCAGACGTTTGCAGCCATTATTGTAAATTAAAACAATAAATACCTAAACGAAGATGTTCGAATACGTAGATGAAAATCACCGACCAATGATGTTTCGACCCTCGCAACATCAGGTTAAAGCAGCATTTACTGCAACAGTGTATCTAGGATGGGTGCAGATCTGGACATTGACGATGTTTGTTTTGAACAGAGCTTTGAGAAACATCTCGACTGCCGGAATGCACTCTGTGGGTGGGTGCTTGCCTGAGTGCTTGATTCTAGAGATGCGATTTGGCGTGCTCCAATGCATCCGAGAAGTGGCAAGTGAGAATTGGGTGCAGATACAGGTCGAGGAGTTTTGGTGGCCAACTTTGAGCTTTTCGGCAGATGTATGATTCATACCCTGGTGTGTGTGTGTGTGTGTGTGTGTGTGTGCGTGTGGCTTGTTGTGGTTGGATGTGCTCTACTGCGGTGCACTTTATGGTTGGGAGTGGGGGAGCAACAAACAACAAATTAAGGGAGAGAAGACGGTAAATTGGTTGGTGGGAATGATCTACAACCAGAAACGACTCGGAAATTCCTCAAATTTGGCTAGTGTGACCGAATCGAGTCATGGAGGAAACAACAAACAACAAAATTACGGGAACCAAACAGTAAATTGGTTGGTGGGAATGATCTAGAAAAACACAACGCCTCGGCGTACAACAAAATTAGGGGAACCAAACAGTAGATTGATTGGTGGGAATGATCTAGAAAAACACAACGCCTCGGCGTTCCTCTAATTTGGCTGGAACGGTTGAACTATTGATTAATCTACCCCTCAATACACTGTTAGACTGATGTTAAAGCACAAAACCCCTTCGGGGTTCTGCTCGCGAAAATCATAAAAATCAATCAACTCGCCACTGATTTCTCACTGATATTTCATACTCGTTCCAAAAGACCAATCCAAGGTATAACGCGTCATTCAAGCACGTCAGGCCATCTACGGCACCCATCTCGCAGCTGGCGGAGAGATATCATGGATGGTTGGGCACCTTTCTACCGAGTTTGTTGCCAATGGTTGGAAATTACCAATGGGCTTGCATCAACGCCAGGCGGTTTTGATTTGTCGTCGATGTTCTTGATGCCAGCATTGAACAACATGTAATGAAAAGGATGAACGTCAGTAATCAAACAAAAAGAGACCACACTCATACTCACACAAAAAACAACACACAACGCCAGACAGGAAATACAGCAAAATAAAGACAAAGCAAAATTGGCCTCAAGTCCAATGTAGGTCGATGGGAGCAGTTTTCTTTTTCCAGTCCGTCTTGAGGGTTTCCGTTTTGCCCCCCTTGTTCGCTTCAAACAATCCGCACCATCGTTTACTTGAAAATGGGAATGTAGTTGTCAATCTTGGCTCGCTGGTTTTGGGAAATGCACTCTGCCAACCAAACAATGTTGCGAGCCTCTTGTTCCTTGAGTCGGAGCATGGCGTAGATGTTGCCGAACGAGTACTGCTGCTCAAAAGCCAGCTCGTTGAGCTTGACCTCGTACTCAAAGAAGCGATCTTCCAGAGTCTTGTCCGACGACGACGAGCCGCTGGTCTCGAACATGGCACGGTACTCGGCATAGTACTCGGCAACAGCACGAACACCGTCGAGATCGTCGGCGCGCGCGAGCTTGATCAGACCGTCAGGGTACAGGCGACCGCACTGGGGGTACAGCTTTGCTCGGTCGTCCTTGCTGAGCTCGGTGCCGAACGAGTTGATGGTAATGATAAAGCAGCGACGGTCGGCCTCAAACTGCGAGAAAGGTCGAGGAAATGGAACAAGCAAAGGAAAATCAAATAAAAACAAGACAAAAAAAAAAAAAAAGAAAAAAAAAAAAGAGTTAGCACAGATAACCACTCATTGCAAAGACAGCATGACCCCAAAAAACCCTCCAATAAACTCAAACACAAACCTCGAGAATGCGCTTCATGGTCTCGGCAGTGTTGCTGCCAACGCCTTCGCAGAAATCGTAAAAGTCCTCAAGGTATGCCTTGTACAAGGACGAGCGGATGATTTCAACGTTCAGCTCGTCGAGATCTTGCTCGGAAATGCAGCTCTGGAAGTAGGGGGCAAGCGGTGTGTCGACAATGACCGAGTTGTACAGCTCTGCGGGGGTGCTGGCCACCGTGATCGAGCCCATGCTCTCGAAGAGACCAAGAGGGTGGCACTTGGGGAGAAGCTCGGACAGGTCGCGCTCGTGCAAGGTGCCCTGGATGAGCAGCACAATGTTGTCAATCATGTAGCCGTATGTGATAAAGTCGAGGAACTTGGACAGGGGCTCGAACGAGTTGTTGCGAATGTAGTGGAACTCGGACACGAGGCGCTCCGTCAAGCGGTCCGAGATGGTGGACACCGAGATTGGTGACGGCTCGTTGGCGAGCATGTTGCCATAGTCGGTGGACTGCAAGTGCAGCTTAAAGTCTGGCAGCGGGGGATTCAGGGGACGACCAGAGTGAGCCAATCCAAATGCCTCAACGCAACCACCCCTCCCCCCCAAGAGTACAAACTGGCACACATACCGTCAATGTTGGCGCTCTGTTGCATGTTCAGGTACTCTGACTGCTTGAGGAAGCCGCTGCGAATGCCGCGGACAATGCTGTTCGGAAAAATGAGAGAAAATCAATCAGACCAAGTAAGTGAGCGCATCCAAAAGCCGCGCAACATGAGATTGGGGGTGGGGGTGTCTGCAGTGGATTGCTGGAGTTCTTAAACTTTGACCAAAAACCGACCGACGCAGGCGATTGAAAGTGAGTGAGAGAGAGAGAGAAAAGAGAGTTTCATGTCTTTGCTCCGGTTGAATTTTACTCTCCATTCTCAAATGCAAAAGTTGAATAGTTTGCTCTTCAAAACAATGCAGATTCAACAATCAACAATCGAAATCGAAAAGAAACGAAACCGAAAAGAAAAGAAAAGAAAGAAAGAAAAGAAAGAAAGAAAAAAAAAAGTCGGGGGAAAGAAATAAGAAAGAAAAAAAAAAAAGTCATGAGGGTTGCTTCGATTTTTCAAAGGGTTTTTTTTCCCCTTCTTCTCTTGTTTCGTTTGCTTTTGCTTGTGTGTCTGTTCCGCGCTCGTCCGCTGCTTCAATGCTGATGACGATGCCAAGTGCCAGCTCATAGTCTTGGTCTCGGTCTTCTCGCGCTGTGGCGGGCAGTCGTCGCTGGTTTTCCCCAAAAGCCCAAAAAAAAAAAAAAAATCTCTTTGGTTTTTTTTCCCCCAACTCAATGTCTTTGTGCTTTTTTGGGGGGGTGGCGCTCGCTTGTGTCCCCCAACCGCAAGCGACCTGGCGCTGTGAGCTCGACCATTGCTCTGCAGCAGCCGTTGCACCAGTTCCCCGGCAAACGCACAAACGCAGGCCGAAGCATCACAAAAACACAAAAAACAGGCTTTTTTTTTTTTTTTTTTTTGGAGCTTTTGAGTTTTTTTCTATTGTTCCATGTGCTTTGCATTGCGCTTCTCGTTCGCTTCGATTCGTGAAGTGGGGAAGTGGGAGAGTGAGCGACACTCGAGCACAAGCAAAAGCACAAGACAAGAAGGACGAGAGAGCCGGAAGCAGGAAGAAGGAGAAGCAGGAGAAGCAGGAGAGAAGGGGACGAGGCGAGGTTACCCTTCAATGAAGCCGTGGTTGACGTTGAACAGAAAGTCAGTCTCCATTGCAAAGGTGGGATGAAAACAAAATAACAAGACTGGCAACGTAAAGAAGCTAAGCACAGCAAGCAAGGATTGAAATTACGATGTAGGTTGATTCAGAGATGTAGAACGGAGGAGCAAGTTGGAGAGAGGGAGGGAGGAAGGGAAGTTCATAGGAAATGCATTGCCCAAAAAAACCTCTACACCTCCTGCGCTGTTTGAGCATGAGCACTTTTCGCATTGCATGGAAGTACAGTATCAGAAGCTGCTGCTCTTGATCCTGCTCTTGCATGTCAAATTCATCCATGCTTCGCGCCGAAGGCCAGTCTATCATCGCAGAACAGCAAAAATCAAAACCTCCGCTTTTTGACTGTCTGAACACTCGTTTGTGCGACCCGAACATGGCAGACTGTAACTTTCTGCAGGTAACGCTTGAGTAGTCGACGCATTTTCCATTGCACTGCCTTGCGTTCAGAGCTGGGGGGGGGGCGGGCGTGGAGTTGGGAGAACGAGTGCAATGGTGTGAGGATGCGACTCTCGCAAACCAGAGTGAGCAAACGAGTCCAGCGCAGTCCCTGCGTCTGCCGTTGCTGTCGCAGCTGCTCGACTGAAGCGAGTCCAAGCTGCATCTTCCTTGCTGTGTCACTGCGACGACGCTGTTGCTCCCCTTTGCTGAGCGCGGGGTTGACTGAACTTCCGTTCCTTTTTTTTTTTTTTTTTTTTTTTCGTTTTGGTTCTGTTCTTTTTCTTCGTCGCGTCTGCTCCTCCTCCCCCGCGCACTCTGCCCCACACACCTGTCACTGCATTGCTCACCATGCATCGCTCAGACGCTGCTCTCTTGTTGGCGCCTCGCGTCCTCGCTTTCCTCACAAACGCTGTTCAAAGAGTTTCAACCATTTTGTGCGTCAGCAAAAAAAAAAAAAAAAAAAAATCGGTCTCGAATGTGACGTTATTCACGCTCAGACAGTAAAGCCTCAAAAACCCCAAAGCAAGAAAGAAAAGAGGCATGTGAGTGATCCATGCAATGGTCACTCGAATGGGTCGCTGTACCAATACCATGCTCCATGCTTCGTGTGGCCCGGGATTTCTGGTTGTGCTGAGCGGATGAGCCTTGCTTGGACTTTTGGGCAATCCTGATTTTGTGCATGTTTTGGTCTGAGAACAGAAGGCGATCGATCTCGTCACGAAGGCTACAGAGGAGGACAACAAGAAGAACTTTGAGGAGGCCTTCCGGCTCTACCAGCACTCGCTCGAGTACTTTATGACTGCGCTCAAGTACGAGCGAAACGACCGATGCAAGCAGGTAAAGAAACCCCCCGATGTTCGACTTGGCTTGAATTGGCTCGGTGATCCAACACAAAACGCTCAACTGAATGAGGTTGGCACATTGGACGAAATTCAACGCGCAGAGCATTCGGGAAAAGTGCGAACAGTACCTGGAGCGCGCAGAAAAGATCAAAAAGCACATTGATTCCACCAAAAACGGCGGCTCTGACAAGAAAAAGGCCGTTGCTGCTGGCAGCGCACCATCCAAGAACGGAACGGGTGGTGACGACGACGATGACGAGGATCCTGAAAAGAAAAAGATGCGTGGTGCACTTGCCGGTAAGTTTTTGTTTCTGTCAACTTTTAGCCTTTTCAAAGATGTCTATTTTTTCCCAACTCTCATACATTGTTTACATGTGTCTGTTTTTTTTTCTTTAGGCGCCATCGTCTCGGAAAAGCCAAACGTCAAGTGGGATGATGTGGCTGGCCTCGAGCAAGCCAAGGAGGCCTTGAAGGAGGCTGTCATTCTGCCGATCAAATTCCCACAGTTGTTCACTGGCAAGCGCACCCCGTGGCGTGGCATCTTGCTGTACGGGCCGCCCGGTACCGGCAAGAGTTATCTTGCCAAGGCAGTTGCGACAGAGGCGCAGGCAACCTTCTTCTCCATCTCCTCATCCGACCTTGTGTCAAAGTGGCTCGGCGAGTCTGAAAAGCTCGTCAAGCAGCTGTTTGAAATGGCACGCGAAAACAAGCCAGCCATTATCTTTATCGACGAGGTTGATTCGTTGTGTTCCTCCCGTAGCGACAACGAGTCTGAATCTGCTCGCCGCATCAAGACCGAGTTCTTGGTTCAGATGAACGGCGTTGGTGTGGACAATGACAAGGTTCTTGTGCTCGGTGCCACCAACATTCCATGGGCACTTGATGCTGCCATCCGACGACGGTGAGTTCGTTGGCTTTTTTTGTTCTTTTATAGGAAGTTGGGACTACAGTTCGGTTTTGCTCTTCTGTCATCACTGAAATCACTGATTTTGTTTGCCAACCTTCTTTGCATCGCGCGCTTTCTCACTCTTCGTGTGCAGATTTGAAAAGCGCATTTACATTCCGCTGCCAGAGTTTCCAGCTCGTGTAAAAATGTTCCAGTTGCACCTGGGCAACACTCCTCATTCCATGGTCCCTCAAGACTTCCAAGAGCTTGGGCGCATGGCAGAAGGGTGAGTGCACTTTGTTGTTAGCACTGCACAACCCCTTGACGATTGTGTGTGCAGGCAACACCTCACTTTTGATTCGTTGCGATATTTTGATTTTGGCGCAGCTACTCTGGCGCGGATATTGGCATTGTTGTCCGCGATGCATTGATGCAACCGGTTCGAAAAGTGCAAACCGCCACGCACTTCAAGCGCGTGCGTGGACGACTGCCATCAAATCCTGATGTTGAAGTGCACGATTTACTCTCTCCCTGCTCTCCAGGCGACCCTGGCGCAATTGAAATGAGCTGGATTGACGTGCCAAGTGAGAAGCTGTTCGAGCCGATTGTTCAAAAGGTACGATGCAAAGCTGAAGTAGCACTCCGCGTTGTTGAGAAAGTTGTTGTTGTTCGCGCGACGTTGCTTGCTCATATTTTCTGGCATTTTACCGGTGCTTCTAGAACGACATGCTGCGCTCTCTCGCATCGGTCAAGCCCACTGTTGGTGAGAAGGATCTCGAGAAGCAGATCGAGTTTACGAACGAGTTTGGCCAAGAAGGGTAAAGCCCGCTGCTGCTCCGCTCTTCCTTCTCTCACACGCTTGTACTGTTTTTTTTTCTGCCTGGTTGCTGCCTTGTATCAGTGGTGTACGCTTTTTTGTTTGTAGTTACATCTGTGAGTTTGTTATCTTGGATGATTGGTACAATAACGAATTAACATCAAGTTGTTTCATGTTTTCGCATATTCTACACGAAAAACTGCAACCAAAAAATATCAGACATCAAACGAGAGTTTGTAAATAACAAGGGGATGATTAACAATTTTAGACCTTGAAGAGTTTGCGCTGCTGACGGTGACGCGTGCGGGACCACAAGGCAAATCCTCCAAGAGCCACAGTCACTGCAACAACGGCCAGAATTGGATACTGCAACGACTCGGGCATGGTCCATTCCGACCCAGTGTCAGGGCTGTCAACACTGTCGCGGTTGGCTTTCGGTCCAGATCCGACCGGGGCGAGTCTGTACAAGCAGAAGACAAAGCAAAAGCAAAAGCAAAAAAAAAAAAAAGAAAAGAAAAAAAAGTTAGCATGAAACAAAGCGAGCACTGCCACGACCAAACATTGTTTTGAATGAGCTTGGTTACCTTCCAAAGGTGCCTGCAAGAACATCGACATGCGGATCGAAATCTGGCCAACAACAACGGCAAGAAGCACAATCCACAAAAAGTCAGAAATCCACAACATCTGACGCAACCAACTGACTATCATACCTTCTGTAGCGTTGCGCAGAGGACTGCGAGCAGCGGTGGAAAGCGTGATGCATTGAGGGATGGGTCGTTGCAGGGTCAGCGAGTCGCGACGGAGAACCTTCGAGTACTTTTGCAGCCGGCTGGTCTCAAGGCGCTGCGGCGAGTTGGTAGCAAGAGGCGATTCGTAGCCATCGGGAAAGCTTGTCAGGCTTTCCATGAGGCGAGAGTCAATCAGCCCGGTTCCAGTGTACTCCAGCCACATGTCGAGCAGCCAGAAGCAGAATCCTTCGGAATGAGCCGAATCCAAACAATTCGAGTCGCCATAGACCACGATACGCCCACCCGATCGACCTGTTTGGAGCAGTCCCATGACAGCGACATTATCGTCGACGTGACTCAGTCCTTTCAGCATTTCGTCCGTCTGTTGAATCAAAACAACCAGGAGAAAATGTCAGCGATCGCGCGAGAGCAGTCCACTCCAAGCAGCTTTCCATCGCGAAAAGTGTGTTTACTTCACCTGGTCGGTCAGGCGAAGTTGCGATATCAAGCCCTTCGGTGGGAAATTTGTAATGCTCGTGCCCGAAAGATATGGCGCTTTGAAAGGATTCTCGCCGTCGGAGCGCACGGTGACTTCGCCGGCAAAGACCTTATCACCGAGCGCAATGCCAAATCCGTTCAACAGATTGTTCAGTGCAGGAACGTTGGCCCCGCCGGTTTCTACGACCAAAAAAACAAAGCAAAGAAGTGATCAAAAGGGTGAGAATTTTCAAACCACGCTCCAGCTCTCTCTCGCTCTTCCTCTCTCTCAAAACGTGGAAAAGAAAATGCAACCAACCTGGCGTCCACCACCGCTTTGTGTTCTCATCAAAGAACTTGATCTTGTCGCGCATCACATCCGCATTGTACCAGTCCGCAACAACAATGACAGACAGGCCCAGCTCCACCACGTCGGTCCGTAGCTTTGCAATTTCTTCGGCGAAATACTCCTCTTCAGGGTCGACCAGGAGCAACGTGCCGTACTGACGAGCATCAAAGCAGGTGAACGGTTGACCGAGGACTTCAATGAAAAACCCTTGTGACCGCAAATGCATGTACATGTCGCGAAAATTGCTGTGAATGTGGTCGCCATTCCAATCGAGCGGGTCTTCCTTGCGCTTGAGGTTGTCACGAGGAAAGTAGCCGCTCGGATATCGAAGGTTGTGGTACTGGTCCCACATGACGCGCATCTTCCGAGGCGGCGGAGGCACAATGTTGACCTTGATCGGCAGGGTCAACCGCGTCACCCGCGTCGCAACTTCAGGAGGCTGCAAGCGCGAATCAAAAGTGAGAATAAGCATAAGCAAACAAACAAAAAAACAAAACCACGAGAAACATCGCATCGTCTCCTTCTTGGCAACAAAAACACTAGATTTCCTTACCACAGGCGGGGAGACAACGGTCAACGAAACCGTGCCCTCGGCAGTGCCTGTAAAGTCAACAGCGGAGGCCCGCGCAGTGAGATGAACGGCGAGGAAGCCGCTCCATGGCCAAAGCAGCTCGGAATACGTGAAGGCGACGTCCAAGTGATTGCCTCCAGCCTCCAGCGTCGGATGCCACGACGGGGAGCCGAGAACTTGACCTGAGACGCCCATTCCGTTGAGAATGGTCACGTTGAATATCACCGGCATGGCTCCAAAGTACATTGGCTGCGCGCAAAACGGCCACATGCGCGGGCATTCGGTCAAGTCGAGTGCAGGCGGGGCCAGACTTGCACGGGGTGTGTACTGCGCCAAAAGATTGAACGCGCCGAGAAGATTCAACGAACCGTAGCCTTGCTCGAAAATGTTCGCGTCCGGCACCACGTTCGCAGACTCGATCAGCGCTTGCTTCATGCTGGCAGGGTTGACCACATTCCAGCGCGAGGCGGGATCGATAATGGACGAAAGCAGGGTGACGGCGCCTGCGACGACAGGCGATGCCACAGACGTGCCGGACAAGGTCTTGCAGCCGGTTTCCTTGTGCGAGCTCGCCACCATGTGGCCATGGGTCACGATATCGGGCTTGACGCGGCCGTAGCCGTGAGGAAGCTCCCAAGTGGTCATGCCGCGCGACGAGAACGACGCGACATGGCCGGAAATGTCGAGGCCTCCAACACCAATCACGTCCGACTGGTCTGCAGGATTGTTGAGAGTGCCGTACAGCGGGCCATCGTTGCCAATCGCGCTCACCATGATGATGCCGTTGGCACTGAGTTCCCAGACCTTCTCCACGAACGGCATGTCGAGAAAGTCCGGTCCACCAATGCTGAGATTCAAAATGTTAATCTTCTTGTGGATGGCATAGTTGAAGGCATCCAAAAACCAGGACGTGTACGAAACCTGCTGGTTTGTGAACACTCTGAAAATGTACAAATCTGCGTCGGGTGCGAGACCGGGGCATTCCCGCGAGCTGGCAATCACTCCAGCGACGAAGGAGCCGTGGCCTAGAGCATCGTCCTGGTTTGATTTGGATGCAGCGGAAAGAGAAAAAAAATCAAGTGAGAAGCAAACGGGAGCGGAAAATGCGAAACAACTGGTAATCAGCCACAAAGGGCAAGAAAAAGAAACTCTATAGCTTTACCATCGTGCTTTCGTTGGTCCAGTCGGTGCGATCGGCAATGTTTTTAAAGTGTGGATGGGACTTTGCCAGGCCAGTGTCAAAAACCGCAGTACGGACACCGTTTCCCGTGAAACCTCGTGCCCAAATCTGTTCCGCGTGGAGAACGGAGGCAACCTGGACGTGCTGGGCGTGCGGACCAGCTGCCATGGGAATGACCGGCACTCCAGCAAGCATGTGACGGCCTGCGGCGAAAGATGAGTTGTACGACTCGTTGAGTTCTTTTGGCAGCCGTCCGTGTCGTCGCCCTTCGTGGATCTGCAGGGCAGCAAGAAGCGAGGAGGGCATTGGTCAGTGTCAAAACTCATGAGGAACGAGGCACAAACTGAAGAAAGAAACAAGGGCGGCCGTACTTGCGACTCTGTCGGCATCTCGTGGTCGATAAAGTGGAGAGGCGCTCGTGTCAGTCGACGCTCTGGCGAGACCGAGCGAACGGTTGCATGCTGACGAAGTGCGGCGAGCGCCGCTTGACGAAACGAGCAAGTGGCGACGTTGCGAAACTAAATACGAATCGAAACGAAAATGCAGATGAAAATCAAACGGAACAAGAATAGAAAACAAGTGTGGAACTGAGCAATGGCAAAGAGGTGGACTGAATCAAACACAAACGAGCTGCTTTGGGACCCTGTCGAGTTAATCTTACCTGAAGCAGGGCGAAATCAGTCGGCAGATGTGAGGCGGGGTTTTCTCGATGCACGACGCTCCACCAGAGATCAGAACTCGGAGAAAAGGCAAACTCGGCCGAGCGATCGATTGGCACAGTCACATCAGAAGCGTTCTCGAGCGTTGCAAGAGCCAACTGGACAATGCGAACAAGAACATCGTGCTGCGAGTAGACCTTGAAGCGCACAATAAACGCGCCGTCCACGGCGGTAGCCGCTGGATCCGAGCCAGAGCGACCTGTTCGACGTCGCTCTGACGTGTCCGGGGCGGCGGTTCCTGAAGGAGTGGTACGAGGAGGATTGGGATCTTGAATCGCATCTGGCTGCGAATCTGCCATTTTTGGCGACTGTTCCCCATCCAACGGCGTCCGTTGCTCGACGGTTGAATTCGGCATGACTTGGTGTGACAATGACAAAGGCGATAGCGAATCTGAAGCGCGGCTGGATGGACTCGATGGCACCACAGCCACTAGAATAAGAAGAAGACCTGTTGCTGCTATTATCGTGAGGAAGGGCAGCCACGGCAATTGCCAGTGTTGCGCTGGCTGTGTTGCCTGTGTGCCACTGGAGCTCATCTTGCTCGCTTTCCCGCGCTGCGTGCGAGTGTGCTGTGGCGCGCTGGCAACGGATGAGGCAGTCAGCGAGTCGGGCGCGTCGTGCTCACTGCTCCCAGTGCGACCACCGCCACCGCCACCACCACCGCCATGACGACGACGACGCAGGTGGTCCTGTGACTGCGGCTGTGGCTGTGGCTGTGGCTGTGGCTGGGTTGGCGGTGGGTTGCGCGAGGACTGCCGCTGCTTTGCCAGCGAATCCACCTCGCTTCGCTGCGTCTGTCCTGCTGCTGATGCTGCGGCTGGTGGCCCTGTGCCATCCCGAGCGACGGGTCGCCGAGACATGAGGACGGGAGCAGCGAAGGGGAGGAGGATGAAACGGGAGGCGCAGTTGATACGAACGGACTGAAGCCGCGCAATGCAAAGGCAAAGGACTGCTCGATGAACGATGACAAAGTGTATGGAACAAAAGGATGAATGGAGCAACATTACAGAACAGAAACGGTCAGAATTGAAAGCAACACTCAAAGTCGAAATAAATGCATTTGTTCACAAATCGAAAAACAAAAACAAAAAACAACAACAACCAAAGGTTGAGAAACAAAAACGAGTCTGACAATGAATGAAAGACCACTCAACCAGCACAAGGCACTAGTAGTAGAACACTGAGAAGGGGAGATGCTTGGGAGACAGAGGAGAAGCAGGAGAGAAAGAAGAGAGAGAGAGAGAGAGAAGGTCAGGAAGTGGAAGCAAAAAGAGCGAGGAAAGAAGAAAAACGACCCCATTCACAAACGGGACTCGGAACGCACCGCGCCATGAGCTGCGGCTGCGGCAGTGTAGTCGTCCATCATGTGCTTGGCAATGTGCTTGTAGCGGTTCCTGTGGCGCTTCTTGCGGAGAATCACACGGAAGACGCGCTTGGCAGCAACCGTGGCAAGGAAGAGCTCGAGGGCGTAGGCTATTACCAAGTGCGCAGAGTCAAAAACAGCAACCGCGACGCGAGCCGAGGTAGGCAGCGGGAGCAGCTGGAGGAAGCTGTCGGACGCAGCCCAGCTCGGCGGGTTGATGGTGAGATACAGGGTCACAAAGAGAATCATGGACAAGGCGGCCATGAACCAGTAGTTGGTAAACATGGACTTGCGGAATGGCGCGCCGATCGAAAAGACAACGGCCGTGATCAAGTATTGGAAGGCTGAAATGTAGAAGAGCAACGTGTTTTCAGTGCAGTCGACCTCGTTGGCGACATTGTTCGGAACAACGACAGGCACAAACCAGGACTGGTGCTGGAGCCAAATGTAGGCGCTTGCCTGGACCACGACGACAAGGATGATGTGCAAACACAGCGACGACATGATGGTGGGCGAAATCAGCGAGCCAGGTGGTCGCAAGACGCCAAGCTTTTCCGCGGGGCCGGTGCGACCCATCACGACAGCGAGAATGAGAATCATAAACAAGTCAAAGTACAGGTATTGCTGATCGCCGAGGTTGGAACCAATGTAGCGCAAGATCAACACGGTGGTGAACTGGATGAAACTGTAGAGAGCCATGAACTTGAACATGCTAAACGAGGTCATGAGGGCGCCACGGCCTTCGCGGATGACAAACGGAATGCACTCGATCGTTTGGCGGCGATAGGTGAAGGGAGCCGCGACAGAGGCCTCAGCCTCAGACAAGGAGACGCCAATGTGGCCGGCCTTGAGGGCGCCGCAGTCGTTGGCGCCGTCGCCGCAAAATCCGACAACGTAACCAATGTCCTGGAGCGATTCGACCAGCTGGGTCTTGTGCTCGGGGGACATGCGCGCAAAGACAACGCCACGAACGAGCAGCCGCAAAAAGTTGTCAGAGTAGTTCTTCTTGAGCACTTCAAAGGCTTTGCCGGTGATGGCCAGCGTGTACGGAGGGCAGGTGGCCTTGCCGGCCTCGTCGGTCATGCGGGCGTAGCTGCTTGCGTTGACCTTGCTGCGGGGAGTGAAGTTCATTTCGAAAGGCGAGGCGACACGCGCGCCGTGGCTGCTGGTCTGAGACTCGGCGAACGGATCAACCGTTCGGAACGGGACAAGCGTCGCAGGGTCCAGCTGCCAGGTGGGATCGTCGAGGTGGGACCAGAACACGCGGCCCTGGCTCAGGTCGCCGAGGAAGACGATGCTGTCGTTGTTGATGAGATGGCACTCGCGGGCAACGCTGACGGCGGTCAGGGGGTTGTCGCCAGTGACCATGGCGCACCGAATGTTCGCGTCGAGCAGCTGGTCAATGACGGGCGTGGTTTCGGGCTTGAGACGGTTTTGCATGATGAGGAGACCCAGCATGGTCAGGTCGGACTCGACCTCCTCACGCGTCACGCGCTGAGCCTTGAGCCAGTTGTACTTGGGCAACGAACGGTAGCCGATCGCAAGCACGCGGTAGCCTTGGTGAGTGTAGGCGCTGAGTTTCTCGTTGTAGTCGGCGGGGATGGAGGCAGGGTTGCACAGCTCGCGAAGCATCTCGGGGGAGCCCTTGACGTACACGGCCATCTCTCGCTGCTCGAGGTGGTTGACAATGACCGACATGCGCTGCAGGTGCGACGAGAAGTGGAACTGACGGACAATACCAATCTCGTGGGGAGAGGAGGACAGATAGTTGTCAGCAGTCGGCTTCATGGTGGACGAGACAGTGCCTGCGGGGCGCACAAGGGTCGGCATCATGCTGTCGTAGCGTTCCGTTTCTTCGCCGGGTTCTTCCAGAAGCTGCAGGATGGGGCAGAGAACAAAAAAAAAGGGGGGGGGGAATTCGAGGAGAAGAAGAAGAAGATGAAAGATGAGTTGAAGAAACGATGTTCAAACAGAATGACACGGCAAGGCTCTCAAAAAAAGAAACCTACCCATTTGGTGGCCAAAAACATCTTGAGATCAACAGGGTCGCCAATCATCTCGTTGTTGACGGTCGTGAGGGAGTGACAAGTGGCGAGAGCGTACAGTCCGCGGTCAAGTGGAAGGGTGGAGAGGTCTGGCACCGGGTCGTGTGTTCTGAAACGGACAAGGAGCAAGTTAGGTCCGCGCAACAAGGCAGTCTGCTTTGTTTCTGTATCCCATTAGCAAAACCACACAATCGATCAATCAATCAAACGTACTTTTCGCTCGTGATGGGGACAAAGCCCCAGACATCAAGGCCGTCTTCCGTCAGAGTTCCAGTCTTGTCAAAGCACATCATCTTGATCTTGCCGCAAACGTTGACACGGGGAGGGGAGATACAGTACACCAACCCCTTTTTGAGACGCGCAATCGCAAACACCGTGCCAATGGTCATGGCGGCCGGCAACGCGGGCGGGACAACGACAGTGATGAGATCCAACGCCTTGAGAATGGCGTCAGCTGGGCCGATCTGGAGACGACGTGGAAAACAAAACAAAAAAATGAGATCAGCACCAACCACAGAAGCCACAACCACAGTCACGGCCATTAACGAAGGGTCATCTTACATGGCGGTTGACAAAGACGACAAGCGAGTAGGCGAATCCAGCCATGGCGAGCAAGAAGAGGAACAGAACAAAGCGCATGGCCTCGCTGTAGAAGCGGAACTTGCTGGGCTTGGGATACAGAATGGAGCGGATGAGGAAGCCCTTGGCCGTGTAAAAGCCGGTGCGAACAACCATGGCAAGAACGCGCGACCCAGCGGGCTGGCGCGTTTGAATGACGCGGGTGCCGCAGTACAGGGTGTGCTTCTTGTCGCCGTCAGGGTTGTACTTGGGAGGGCGCAGCTCCTCGTCTTGCAGAGGCAGGGGGGATTTGGTCACAGGGACACTCTCGCCCGTGAGCATGCTCTCGTTGACAATGCACTTGCCACTCAGGAGGACGGCGTCGCAAGACAGGACGAGGCCCTCGGCAGGAATGACCAGCAGGTCGCCAGGCGCAAGATCGTCCGACGGAACTTCGACTGCATGGGGCGATGAAAGGACGAGAGAACGCAGTGTGCAGAGCGTTAGAAGTGCAATTATTCGCGAGATGCCGTTCAAGAGAAGCGACTACTTACAAGTCGAGCCGTTGCGAACGACTGTGAGCTTTTCGTGGAAGAGCGCCATGTTGCGGAGATTGCGTTGGTTCTGTAAAACAAACAACAAACAAAGAAAAGTCAGTAAAGAAACGCGAGAGACGGAACACGGCAAAACGCAAACACGCATAGGACAAGTATGCTCCATACAGTTTTCGTTTCGACCAGCGATATAGCGATCGACACGCCCGAGACGACAATGATGCAGGCTGCATAGTAATAGTAGGCAATGCCAATCCACACGAGAACGCTGAACAGTTGGAAAATGTAGAAAGGATTGAGAACCTAACCAGAAACAACGGACAGTAGCAACAAGTCAGCAGTGGCAACAAGTCAGCAACGACATCAACCACAAAAAACGCAAAAAAACAAAACAATAGAATTGCAAAACAGAAAAAGCGAGCGACATACTTCCTCAAAGAGAAGGCGAACGTAGGATTTGACTTGCACGTCAATTTGGTTGGGACCAAAAATGGCAATGCGGCGGGCGTGGGTGGAGGCATCCAAACCCCTAGTGACGTGCTCGGGGAGGGTTTCAAAGTCGTCTGACGAGAGACCGCTGTTGTAGAACGGAATTCGAGGGCAAAAGAGAAATCGTGAGCAATCCACGCACTTTCTCCTCTCCTGAATGTATCCGTCAGACGAAAAAAAAAACCACACGCCAACAAAGCAACAAACCTCATGCGGTTGAACTCGCCGCTCTGCTTGTCCAGAACGTAGCGAACCATGCGATGAGAAAAGTACTTGAGAGAGACGGGAGGCTTAACAGAGTCCTGCAAAACCAACAAAATAATCACGAAAATGAGATTGAGCACGCGAAATCACATTAGCATTGCACGGATTGGCGTGGTTCACGTACGTTGCGACGAGACATCAGGATGGGCTCGCTGTCGTGGTACGAATCCAGCGAGTGCAAATCATCCTGCCGGTGAGGGGTCGAAGCGGACATGAGATCGGTCATGATTGCCTGGTCGAGGTCGATGCTGAGCATTTCTTCCACCGACCAGCCATTTTCAATGTTCTAGCAGCGCACAAAAGCAACAAACGGGTGAGATGCGTTTTGCAAAGAAGGACAAGAACAGCAACGACAACAACGACATCAATAAAACGTACGTCAACCAGAACACTGTCTGCTTGGTCAAAGTACTTGCAACGACGGTGCGTGAGCTTGAGTCGGAGGACTGGGTACCAGCGGAAGAAGAGGGTGGTGATGCCGACGGTGGCAAACCCGGCAAAGTAGTACAAGACGAGGCCCAGCATCCATCGTTGGTATCCCTTGATGGTCTGTGTGTCGGAGGTGGAGTGAACGACCAGATTAGCATGGCACAGAACAGCAATCTCGCTTCCATTCCAAGTCGGTCCAGCCACGCGCGAACAATCGAGCGATCGTGGTAGGAAATGTCAAACACAATGACGATGAAGACGCTTTTTTGCATCCCACCACAGACAGACACAAGAGCAAGTCGTTGGCATTGAGCCGGTGCTCACGCGCTCCATACTCCGAATCCTTCCTCCCTCGCGATCTCGCGCTCGATCGCACTTTTCCCCGCACCGGTGCTCTTGTTAGTGAAATAGCACGAAACTGCTTCATTCGTTCGGTGAGAATGTGTGGTTGATGGGAGAGCTGCGGTGGACGGTGCTGCTGTGAGGTAAAAGCGCGGCAATCATATGATTGGAAGCAGAGCGATCGCAAGCACCACAAACCCTTTAGTGGTGGAGATTCCACAAGAGCCAAGGCTGTGGAGATTTTCTTCCGGTGCCGACCACGAGAGACAAAGCAACTCTCATGCTGCCATGCTGCCGTTGTTGAGCATTTTTTGAGCGGTGAACATGTTTCATCCGTCTCTCGTCTCGTGCAGCACCCCCTTTCCAGCTCTTCTTTCGCGCTTTCGTCTCGCTGTTTCTGTCGTAAGCTGCATCCTGTTGCAATTTCGCGGGTTTGTTGTTGTTCCGACCTCACATCCTTTCCTGTCATCCGATCTCAACAACAACCATGCCGCTCTTTTTTTTTTTTTTTTTTTTTTTTTTTTTTTTTTGTATGTGTTTTTCCATTGCGTGGCGTGTCTTTTTTTTTTTTCAATATTTTTGGAGCACGAGTTTCAAGCCAGACCTGCCATTTTGGCTGGATTTTTCTGGTCCGTGTGCTCATCGTTGTGCACCTCCCTTTTTCTTTTCCACACTCGTTTCTGCTGTCCATGTCTGCTCCTTTGCTTCTTCCATTATCCCTTCGTTCCCCTCGTTCAGTGTAAACAAAGAGCAGCACATGGTTTTTTCCTCTTTTTTTTTTTCCAAACTCGCTTTTCGCATACTGTTTGTCAACATTGTTCACCTCCATAACACAAAGCAATGCTCTGCAAGTGCGCCACTCTTCATCATCTTGCTCTGCGTGTATTCGCTTTTTCTTGATTGCATGTGCCCTCGATCTTCAGTCTTTGGTCTTCCCCCCCCCCCCACACCGGGCGCTTTGTTTTGTTGAGGAGGGAGAATGTTGGGAACTCTGTCGCGATGGATGGATTTTTTTTTTTTTTTTTGGTTTTTGTTTGGCTTTCTTCTTACTCGAATTTCATGCTCGTCTTGGGACGCGCTGCCGTCGCCTTCGTTGCTGGAGGCGCCAGTGCCGCCAGAGAAGGGGTCTGGCGGGGCGGCGCCGTTGGTCGAGTCGAGCGACTGGATGGAGTTGCGGCGCTCGAGCGGTGGGCGCGGGCTCCCCGAGCGACTCCCGCGCTTGCTGCCGTTGCCGTTCCGGCCCTTCTTGTTGTTGTCGGAAGACAGCGGGTCGTTGAGTGGGTCAGAGTTCAGCGACATTGACGAGTCGATCGAGTCGCGGCGAGGCTGCTTGCTGTCATCGTCAAACTCGACCAGCAGCGGCGGGGTTGTCGAGCCCGAGGTCGTCGTCGTCGTTGTCGGCGTGGTGGCAGTCGGGCTGCTGCTCTTGGGAGTGGCTGAGGCACCACCGGGAACGGGGCTGAAACCGCGTGGCAGGTCGCCGCCGCCGCTGACGCTGGGGAAGGCGCCGACGCCCGCGACGACCGTGTTGGACGAGGAGCGCTGGCGGAACTGAGGGTGCTGGGGATGGTGCGGCGCAGACATGAGCGTCGCCGTCGAGAAGGCAGGTCCGGCGCCACCAAGCAGGTTGCTGCGGCTGCCGCTGTTGCTGCCGCCGCTGAGTGAGGATGGCTTGCGGCGGCGCTGCTGCGGAGTGTGGTAGGCAAGCGGTGACGACTGCTCTTGGTAGCCAATGAGTGAAGATCGCTCTCCGCTCATCGCAAGTCAAATCAAGCAGCGAACACACACACACACACGCACACACTACGAGAACACACACACACACGTGAACACGAACAAGCGCAAACTAAAAAAAAAAAAAAAAAAAACCGCACGGAGCGAGGAAAAAGAGAAAGGAAGCGAACCAAAAAAAAAAAAAAAAAAAAAAAAAAAAAATGGACTGCCATCCATACAAAAAGTCAATCCACAATTGGACATTGAACAAGGATTTGAACACCTGCGAGAGTCATTCAACAAAAAGTATTCGCGGTAAGAATCGCATGAGAATTGTGCGGGGAAAATCGCGTGCTTGGTGCTCGATGTCGGGATCTGGCGCCGTCAGGTGGTTGAAAACTCTGAGACCTGTCAAATGTGCCACTCACCAGCCACAACACGACATTCGCTTGCATCAATTCAAAATAGCATTTATCCTTCTTACCTCGACACTAGAACTCTGGATCGAAGCAGTCCTCCTTCCAAGTTCTTTGCTTTGGCTGGAGTGAAGTTCGCAAGAAGTCTTCTTCACCTGACACCTCTGCAGCTGTTCCATGCGGGCCGTCCACTGTGCATCCAGAGTGGTCTCGCGCACCCCGCTCGCGATTGCGGAATCGGCGCCATCAGCAGCGAACATGGCTGCGATGCGTCCCATGTTGAGCACACGCACTGGCGCAAACGCTGCCGGAGAGTCACACGAGGTCGTCGTCGAGCGACGGCGGTTTGTGTCTTCGCGGCAGTACTCGACCTCAATGTCGTCGCTGCGGGCCACTGCCACTGCCACTGCCACTGCCACTGCTTCAAAGCATGCACCCAAGATGCAAGTCCGCACACCTACAGACGCGCCAAGGAGAGCCAGCGCTGGCCCGAGTGGTGGCGAAACCCACCATCGCAGGTTGGTAGCGCCAAGCAACGCGCCATCACCGGCAAGGCATGATGGCAAGAAGACCCACTCGGAACTCGCACAAGGTCGCCAGACTACCACTGGAGCACCTGCCGCCAAGCATCAGGAAGCACCTTCGACTGTAGTGCCACGGTGGTCGACCATCTTTGAGCGAATCGCCCTCGCAGAACATCTGCCACCTGCCAGTCCCGCGCAAACGACCGGTACGCCGATGCCGATACCTGCGTTGCATAGCCGTTCAATGCAGCAAGTTTCGCGTGACTCTCGAGGCGCGGTAACAAGCAACCAGAAAGAGATTGCTCGACTCGTGGTAGCTCTCGATGATGGGCTTGCAGCCGTCGGTGCTGTCTTGGCTGATTGCCCAAAGCTGTCCATCCATCATGTGCGCCTGGCCTTCAAAGCATGCAGTGTGTATGATGGGGTGTGGGAAGCAGTGGCTATGCTGGAGCGGTTTTGCCTTGGTTCTCCGCTGCCGAGCAGGGCGGCCACTCTCAGTCCCCCTGCATCGCTGACGCCAGGATTTCCGGGATGGCTTTCCAGGCAGCTCGCCGAGGATGAGATCCAAGCGGCTGGCGGGCTGTTGCGCTTGACCTCGGACATCACGTCGCCTCTCATCCCGATGCTGCTGAACCAGCGTTCAAACCCGATCTTCTTGGACATTTTGCGAGTCGTCGAGCAGCAACAGACTGAGATTCGACCCGTTACCGAGCTTCGGCTTTGCGCCGCGGCACTGCAAGGTGGCCAGATTGAGCCAGTGTTGCAACGACTGTCGCACAGCAACTCGACGTCCGCCATTACCAGCAACCCCAGCTTCCTCCCGCTCCTGTTCGAAGGCTTACCTCGCTCGAAGGCACTTGCTGCTCGACAGTCCACCACTATCGGACTGTGGACATGGGCAGTTGCTTCCTTGGCCCGAAGCTCTATCGCTCTCACCGCCGAAGGAGCGCAGGCGATTTTGAACTATGTGCGGTGGATGAGGTGAGGCCCTTGTTTTCCTGTTTTCGAGAGCACAGGACGTGCGCTTCAGTGTGGCCCCGCTTCAGGTTTTTTGAGCAGGAAACTCACATTGAACGACCCCCCCCTTTTTTTTTCTTTTTGCCTGTTTGGTCCCTCATAGTGAGTCACCTGAGATTGGACAAGATTGGAGCGCCTCCACCGCTCACAGCGACGCGACCAGTTTGTAAGCAATGTTGGAGGGGGATTGTATGCTTGTCGCTTTCTGGACGATTTTTTTTTTGGCACTAACGGTCTCCTGCGGGGATCCCAGCAGCTCCTGCAGTAGCTGTGGCCATTCGCTGGTCAACCAACCACCTTCGAGCGCCGTCTTACACAAGCTGGTCGAGGCGTTTACTGCAGTGTACCAAACGCGCTCCAATTTGACCCAAACCTTGCTTCGCCTCGAGTAACTGATTTTTGTTTTTGTTGGCTGTTGGCGGATTGCACAAATAATTTCGGGTTGGCTCATCATACCTTTTGATGCGTGTTTCAGACGATTTGTCCGCCAGAACGGCCCGTTCGACATGGTTGTCGATTCGTCCAACGTGTGTCACTATTACCAATCTCTGCGCTTCTGTCCTTCCGTGCTGACTCGCGTGTTGGCGGAAGTCCCGGCGTCCACTCGGGTGCTCATCATCTCCGCAAGACCAACGCGGTTTGAAAACCTCTCCTCGAACATGCATACATTCGTCTCGGAGGCCTACGACGATGCGAGCATCATTTTGGGGACGCTGCATTGCCAACTCGCGTTTCCAGATCACCCCGTAACCATCCTCTCGAATGACTTGCTGCGCGACCACTATGCCCGGCTCAACGGCGACCTTGCCATTGCTTTTGCCAAGTGGTGCGACCTTGTTCGCGTGGGCTTCTCCATCCGGCACCCGAACGCTGCGCAACCCACGCAGGCGAAAATGGCGTCGGCAGCGTTCCTCAGCCAGCTCTCCAACGCCTCGGTCTCGCTTCTCCACCCGCCCTCCATTCGACCCTTCCCTCAGCACTCCAAGCATCCAGACGGAAGTTCAAGCTGGCATTTGCCTTTCCAAGACGAAGCAGCCGAAGATGCTCCCAGTCCCCTGAAATGGCTCTGTGTTCGCTCGCGAGAAGGCCAAAGCTCATCTGCGTGATGCGTGGTGCTGTCATTCATTTATTTATTTTGCAAACAAAGTCATTCGCAAAGCATTTGGGCTTGTTTCTTCGACCGCGCATGTGAGCTGAGGTGATGCATGTGAAAGATCATCTTTTGGCATAGCCTCCTTGATATTGATGAATTGCTTTGAAAAAACGTCTTCCAAAAGCCATCACATTACACCAGATCGCATCAGTACAGCCTGCAGATGCAAAGTTCGATGCGCTTGACAATTCTCCCTGGATTGGAATCAATTCGTGTATGGTATTGCCCACTGGTACCTTCATCTCCGCTATGGTATAGACGGTCAGCATGGGGCACTCTCACTGCCCAGACCCGGGTTCGAGTCCCGGTGGCGGAACATGTTTTTTTTTTTGGTTTTTTCGATTGTTTTTTTTTTTAATTCTCATTTCATCATTGAATCCTGCACCAGAATTAATTTATCTTTGTGTCTCTTGGTGTTTTTGAGTCTTTGGTTTTCTGATCGCGATGATGCTGCACCGAGCGTTGAAAAGAGCATGGTCGCACAATCGCCCGTTTTTCCAAAGCGCCGTTCAATTAGCCGCATTCCCATTCATCCGACTTGTCGATAACAGTGCAGTTCTCCTTTTTTTTTTCTACCATGCAATCCGCCATTACCTCGCTGGTTGCACTCGCAGCTTTTGTCGCGCTTTTGAGCTCGCCTGTTCAAGGTGTGTTTTTTGTGTTTTTGTGTTTTTGCGTCTCACTCCGCTCAGCTCCCCTGCTTCCCGCCAATCGCTCTCTCTCCTCACTGCTCTTGGTTCTTGGTCTTGCGTTGCCCCCTGTCGCTGTTGCTCACCTCTGGCGCTCTGGTCTGAACGCTGCTTTTGCAGGCCAACTCTCCACTTGCACTGCCTCGTCCAGCACCGCGCTGACCTTCAACGGCACTGTCCTCTCCATCGGCTGCGCTGGTACGTGTGTCCTTCTCCTCTCTGATGCTGATGCCATGCTGCTGATGCCATGCTGCTGCTGCTGCTGCTCCCCTTTCGCCTTGAAGTGAGAGAAAACAAGTGTTGAATCAGCGCAAACAAATCGCAATCCTGATTAAGGCGGTTTAATTTTTTTGTTTTTTCGTTTTTTTGGTTTCCGCCTCGTTCTCGTCAACTTGGCGTCCCTCTCGTCCCTCTCTTCCCTCTGTTCCTCAGCTGTGAATGGTTCTTTCTCTTGATCTATCGCGAACGCTCCGTCTCGGTTGGATTAACGCTCGAGAGAAAAGAAGAAGAAAAAAAAAAAAAACACGAAAAAAAAGTTCCGCAAATTGGATGATTTTTTTTTTTTTTTTTTTTTTTTTGTAAACAAACGAAAATGGGGGAAAAAACGCAAAAATTCACCATTTTTGAGCACTGCAACAATTGTGTCAAGAAGAAGAAACCTCACGATCATCATCCAACATTCAATCACTCGGAGATGGTGGACGAGCAGCAGCAGCAGCAGCAGCAGTGGAGTCGCTTTGTTGCTGCATTGTTTTTTTTTTTTTTGTTTTTGTTTCTTTGTTTGCGGGTTTTGGCTACACCCGATCTCGTCCTGCTGTGCTGTGCTGTACTGTGATTGGCACTCACGTTGCTTGCACTCTACTTTATCACCATCCTTGCAATCCATGGTTGTCGCGTCATGAATTGCTTTTCTGCAATGGGGCAGGGTAAGTCCGAGTCAAAAAATGCGAGTCCATTTCGTTGTTTGTTTGTTGTTTGTGTCAGTCTAATACGCTTGCTCCTGCAAAATCCATTGCATTGTCCTTTCCTTGCTCATTGTTTGGCTCGCAGCTATGGTCAGTATGAATACTTTGTGTCCATGCTGATTGTCGTCGTGGGGGTGGATTGTGTTGGTGACTGATGTTGTCAACAACTGGGTTGTTTGTGTAGGCAACTCTGTCACCATGACCTGGACTGTGAGCACCACTGTGCCGCTTTTGCTGACTTTCCAGTCATTCCAGACCGAAGCTGGCTACGACAAGGTCCTCGTGACGGCGAGTATGTGGTTAGCTGTTTCCCAGAATGCGCGTTTTTCGTTTGTACTTCAGTCCAGTCCTGCTCATTTTGTGAATATTGCTTGCCACTAGGCGGCACGGTGTACGGCCCGTTCTCTGGCGCGACCATTCCCAGCCCAATGATTACTGGCGTTGGCAACGTTGTCATTCAGTTCACCTCGGACGCCTCGAACACTTATGCAGGTTTGTGTTGTTGTTGTTGTAGCTGCTGCAAACGTGGATCTACCTGGGGTTGTGTGCGATCGCGCACTCATCTGGCTTGTCGGTGCTTGGTTTTCGTTGGTTGTCTGTTTTTTTTTTTTTTTTTTTTTTTTGTTTTTTTTTTTTTTTTTGTTTTTTGCATCTGTTGATCGCAGGCTTCACTCTGAACATTGCAACTGGCCCTGTCGTCAACACGCTTGTGTCCTCTCAGCCCACCGTCCTCACCAAGACTCAACAGGGTGGCTTTGTGTACTTTGGTCTGTACAACTACCTTCTCGGTGGCTCAGCTGACTTTTCGGTACGCATCCACAGTCGCCATTTGAACTACTTGTTGAATCAGCCCATTGCTTTTGGTTTGCATGTCAATTCTTGCTGATCTGGGTTGCATGCTTGTGTGTGTGTGTGCCAGGTGACCATCTATTCGTACTCGGGCCTGCAGGCGCCTGGTGTGTTTATTGCTCGCAACCGCATTCCCCAGTTGGAGAGCTACGACTTCACCAACAACACTGTTCAATCTGGCTCTGACTACACCTTCCGCCTGACTATTCCCAACCCGACTGACGGCTCGTACTATGTTGGCGTCTTCTTGTACGGAACCAGCAGCAGCTTGAGTGTCACCGGCACGTGGAAGTTCAACATTACCGCTCTCGGCAATGGCATCAAGGTTACCAACACTGCTGGCGCCTCTCCCGTCTACTACCAGCTCACCGTCCCGGTCTCGACCGCCTCGTTGCAGTTCCAAATTTCTCGCCAGGTTCCCGGTGGCTACCCTATTGCCGTGATCTCTCAAGGCACTGCCCCCAACGCGAACAGCTTTGACTACAAGATGGACACGACCCAGCAGTCCTACCAAAGCCTCGTCATTCCTTCGCCGAATCCTGTACGTTGAATTGCTAGCTTTTCCTTGATTTTTGAGTCGGCTGATCTGACCTGGGCGGCGGTCTCCTCACTTTCACTTCTATCTCGCTCCCTATCTCTCCACTTACAGTCGTCCAACAGGAATGCCAACCCTGGCAACTACATCATTGCCATCTACTCTGCCACGACGGATTCTGCCGGCTATATCTTCCAGGCGAACTGGTAACAGGTTTCAATTCGGTGTCGTCTCTGTTGATCTCTCGTATAGTTTGCGCTGCATGCTAGTGCTGGAAAAACTGTCGAATACACCTCTACACCGACTGGCCATGCACAGAACTGCACAGATGTTTCATCCTGGTGATACGATTGACACAACGCTCGTCCATGGTGAACTATAAACGCCTGACAACGTGAAAGCCAGGTCTACGGATGCATCACGTATCATTGATCACAAGTGGAAGTTTCGTTTTTAGTTATTTTAATACTTTCATTATTTTATTAATTTTCCATATCAATAACTTCATCCTTGATCCTTCGCTGACACGCCAGAGCGAACGCTACGGACGGCAGACTGACATCGTCCGCTGCCGACACGAGAAGAGACGCTTCCTCTGCCAACACAAGAAGCGATCCGTCCGCTGCCGACGACGCATTCACAGGAAGCTCTGCCGAGCTTGCCTCTACTCCGACCGTAGCTGCCATCGGAGTTGCGTCCGTTGAGGAATCACTCGAATCACCGACAACTGCTTGGAGTGGCCAGTGACGACGTGCGTCGTGCATCTACAAATTCACATTGCAGGTCAGAGATAATTCGGCATCTCAAAGCAATTGTTACCTTGACTAGGAGCGCGGCTCTCGCCTTCTTCTTCATTTCGGGGTCCGACAATACAGATGGCTGGAATACCACCCTCAATACACAGTTGATTGCCTCAACGAACGCTGTTTCGACTTGATCGAGGCCAGAGGAAGTCACACAAAGCTTTCCCGCGCGCTTCGGTAGGAACCAATCTTTATACCGATCATGTAGCAGCCACGGAGGGAAATGCGTTCTAATTAACTTGGTGATTTGTGCGCCTTTGGCAACTTCCTTTGAACAAAGATTATCAGTGAAAGAAACGCTACAAAGCCACGTTTGCAAACATCTCATTTACGTACGGTACTCGCAATTTGTTGCTCGGCATTCGCTCGATATCTGCGATCGTTCTCATCTTGCAGTACTCGAACATGATGAGACAAAAAAGTTATTGATTGACTCAGTCTCTCGTTGTCCGACCTCAGTTGAATGTTAGAGTGACGGTCTCTAAATCCGGATGGCGCCTCCTACGGCCTGTGTGCAAGCTTCCGCTCGCGCCTTGCCCCCCTGTGTCAATCAGTGCATCAATACCAATGTGTGGGTGAAGTAGCGGGGCGCTTTGGCCCGAACTCATCGCTAGGCACGCGAAAAACGAAAAAATGACGAAAAAGCGGATCCAGCCAAAATCCAATGCATCCGGATTAAAATGCAGGTGTTTTTGGGGCCGCCACGAGGTTGATCGCAAACGCGCCCTGCGGGCTCTGTGACATCGCCAGCCCGCCTTCCGCGAGCCAAATGCAGTCTACACACGATAGGTGTTATCGTGACCAAGCGGGCGCGGAGGTGCGGTCGACACGAGCGTGGGAATGGAGGATACGCTCGAACACCACTTTTGCAGCCAATCCATCGTGAGCTCCCGTCCGGCTGCTAATCGCTCTTCGAGCTAGATTGATGGAGTATATGACATATCAAACCATTTTATTCAATAAACAATACAAAAATCAGGCAGAGTTTACATTTAGTGCGACGAACGGCCGTCGGTGAGCATTTGTTGCTTGTTTGCTCAGGCGAATCACAAGAGATGGTGGATCTTCAACACGAGGACGCTTGTCAAGGTGCTCAGGCGTCGGGGCAGCATTAGAGGCTAGTTGAGTAGCGGAACTGCGCGTTGGGAGGCGACTTTGGCGCATGCGGGCCACTAGTTCATCGGTAAACTGCACTCCGTCGTATGAACCGTCGCTGTCGGACCTTTCAGAGAATGTTCGTTTTGCTGGTGTGATTGCGATCGTTTGCTGGGTCGTCAGGATGGGGAGCGACGGCGAGGGCAGGCTCTCAGTCGGATTTGCAGCAACAGGTGCGACAAAACTTGCTCTGATTGACGCAAAGCAATCTGTCGGGCACGAGCGGGAGTTTGAGTACGAGCAACAGGGGCTCGAGTACGTTTCGGAGTTGAAGCTTGAAGTGCGGCCAGCTCGTTGCGAGCTTGGGCGAGCTCTGCTTCGCGCAAAGGGTCTTGCAACTCGGCGGCGGCGGCGAGTTCAGTCTGCAGTGCACTGATTCTCCGTGTCAGAGCAAATTTTGCGTGCTCGGCGGCGGCCTCGGCAGCCATGGTACGTGACCGGTTCATCAATCGAGTCATCTCCTGCGCAATCTTCGTTTGTTCTTGCAGTTTTTTTGCGTTCGCCCGCTGCATTGCCTCCTCGGTAATCGCCAGATACGCGCCTTTCGTATGCTTGTGCTTGTAGGTAGTGCTGGTTTGAATTGCGAGGGAATAGGAAGCACGCTGCACGATATCATCGACGGTGATGGGGACGCTCAGCAACTCGCGAAGTTTGCCAACGTGACTGAGTGCATCTCGTTCTAGCGCCTCGGAACTGGGACCAGCTGCAAGTTCAACATCGGCATCATCGAGGATTAGGCGAGCCTTCTTGAATATCAAACGCACCGGCGAAAGCGAGGGAGCAGGGTCTGGGACGCTGGCATACCCGCTCTCCACCGAGGGCAAAGGCGGTGTGGGGTGGGATATCTCGGCACTCTCGACGACGGGCAGCGTTGGAGTCGACAGGAGATTGGGGACGCTCGCCGTGTCTGTGGGCGTTGCAGAAACTGGCTGGACGAGCGCAGCCAAGGCCTCTTTTCCTATGAGTGATTCAGTTCTGCTCGCATGGTCCGGGCTCACCACCCACTCGCAGTATGCATTCTTGTCCAAAGGCCAGATTCCAGTCTTTTTAAATCCAGCAGTGATGACGGCTGTATTTTGCGAAATCTTGTACCACGCATTCAGAGCGCAATGCACTCGCATTTGGTCGTCCGAGGCAAAGACGCCAGCTGCAATCGCGCTCGCATACTCTGCTTGTAACTGACGCTTGAAGTAGCCAAACACAGTGCGATCGAGTGGCTGAGTCTCAGTGCTCGTGTGCGCGGGCAAGACAAGAATCTGAATTTGATCGTAGAAAAACTCGGCCACCAAATCGTGCTCGAGGCTGTGCGTGGATGAGCCATCCATGATCAAAAGCAGCGGGCCTGACGGGTGTCTTTCTCGCATGCAGCTTCGCCACTCGCGCAGATAAGTTTTGAACAAGTCTGAGGTCATGTACCCCTTCTCGGTCGTTGCGGTAGAGCAGGCGTCAATGGGAACGTGTTGGCAAACCGTCGCGACGTTCGTACCCTTCGTAAAAATCAGCATGGGAGGGAGCGGCGCAGTTCCATCGGCACACACCAAGAAGACGCCGGTGATGTGCCGTCCGAGGCTGTTGTTGTGCCCACCGCCAACGAGCGCGACACGACCCCACGATGCCCCTAATACAGTCGATCCCTTGACGCGAGAAGAAATCTCGCTCTCGTCAAAGTTGCTGACGCGGCTCGGCTCGACGGTAAGGAGAGGATGTTGATCGTAGGCCTGTTTGAGTTGACTCGGGAGAGTCCCGAGATTGTCGGGTGTCAGCGCTGCAGCCCGGCACACTTCCAGCACACGGCCCTTTCGAAGCCTGACGCGTCCCTTCGCTCGCTTCAAAAAGGTGGCCCACCAGGACCGGCTAGGCGTGTCTTGGACAAACGCCCGCCTTGGTGAGCCGTCGAAAGAAGTTGTTTCAGAACACGGTTTCAAGTACTTGGCGGCCTGCGCTTTCGTCAGACAGCATGACGCGCGAGCAAACGCTTCCAATAAATTGATAATTGCATCAACTTCGTGATCGGTAAAGATGGGTGGTCGGCCTTTCGTGCGGGTGGACCGCGCCAGCTCGATCACTTCATCCAGCGTTCCAGACTGAATCAGTTCGCGGTGGCCCGCGTGGAGTTGAGCCCAGTCACTGACAGTCGACTTTCCGCACTTGAAGCCAGCCTGCCCCAGCCGCGCGGCGACCTGTTCACATGTCCATTGAAATGGTGTTGTCGTACAACCAGTCGAGAGGGTCAGCGGACCCGGGGTTAGCAGCTTGAGGGCGATGGCGATGGCGATCGGTCGTCGGTTTTTTCCAGCCGCCTCGGCGAGTCGCCCAAACCACCCCGCGACGATCGCAGCCACCTCAACAAGACACTCCATGTGATAACCAACTCGATTTATGTACAATGGTGAAAGAGCCGAGGCGAAGCGATGAATAGACTGCGAGAAAAACGCCTCATCCGGATTAAAATGCAACTCTCGAGGTCTGTAATGCGTCCGGATTTAGAGACAGCTACTCTATTTATCTTGAGTGTATCGTTCTCAACCTTCAGTGCATGGTTCTTCGCTGACAGTCTTGAAATAAATTCAAAGGTTGCTTGGTGATCTGATCCACACATCCAAACGAACAACCAAATCAAAAAATTAACCAATGTTCGTTTGCTGGAAATTCACCATCCCAAGAAAAAGTGTGTTTCCCGCGCTTTTACTATCAAAATCCCTTTTCACCCTCCCCAGGGTCCGCGTTCCCCGAACGCACGCCATCGCGACGCAATTCCATCAAGAAAGCCATGACAATTACAATATGCTTGGCGGCAGCGCGCTCCGGCGAACGGCTGCTGATCTGCAGGACCGAGAGCAAACTGAAAGGTTGGTTTTCCCGCGCTTTTTGCTTTTCTTCTTTTTTTTTTTTCTGCTTCGCCATGCGTGTTCTTTTGAGCTGTTGGTGTCTGCTTCGAGTGCAGTGTCCACTCAGGAGGAGAACGATTGTAGGTAGGCATCCTCTTACGTTCTTGAAACGAAATGAACTGAGTCGGTCCATTCGGAATCAGTTGGTGCTCGTACGACATTTGCAAGTCAAAGAAAGAAAAAAATTCAATGCTTTTTGCAATAAAATAATAAAATAAAAGTAAGTAAAATAAAATACAAAGACTGTGGAGAACAGAAAATAAAATAAAATAAAATAAATAAAAATAAAAATTAAAAAAATTAAAAAATACAATAAAACCATTGGAGTGACATTGGTTTTTCTTTTTCTTTTTTTTTTGTTTGAGTGCATTGCTTTTTCCATTGTCACAAAAAAAAAAAAAGGCAAAAAGAGCAAAAGCAGGGAATCGGCTCAACTGTTGTCTGGTTGGGCAAGACGCTACTTGATGCATCAGTGCCTAAATGTGAAACGTCATAAGACTTTTTGACGTCCCTTCAGTCTGACAATCACATAATTAATCTCTAGAATATAATGTGCCAATCGGCTGGTTGATTGCGGCAAGCAGAAGCTGGAAATTCGCTCGTAAAGTTTACCGGCAACTTTGGAACGGCCTTTTGGTCGTCCTACGGCTCTCTACCTCGCTGCTCATGATCAAATATGATGTGTTGTGAGACTCCGATTCCCATGGGTTGGGGCTTAGAGCTATTGGCCAGGTAACGTCGATTGATTGATACAAAATGCGCAATGACAACTATCCAAAAGCATCCAAATACACCAGAGTATGCTAAATCCTCATTAACTACCACCGGCTAACCTCGCCGGCTGGACGGACGCAAACTCGGGTCCTGACACTGTTGTGTTGTTGTGTTTTTCAGTCTTCTTGATGTTAGTCTTTGTTCGTTGGGTTGTTGTGGCGCCGCTTTTGTTTTGTTTTGTTTTTTGCTTTTGTTTGCGTCGCTGCATTGTTCGTACCGCCTGGAGTCTGCGCTCTGCGTTTGAGAGATGATTTGTGAAAGCACAACCAAAGAGACTGACTCAACAAGCGCGTTGTTTCGACAGATTGAAAGTCAGCAATGCTGTCGTACCAGAATATGAGCGCGAGACAGCACGAGTTGTACGACAAAGTCAAGAATGCGAATGAACGGTTCTTGTAAGAAAAAGCCGGAAGTATTGGAAAGAAAGTGTGACAACATGTGTACTGATGAAATGGTGGATAGACAGCAGTGCGAGAATATTGACGATGCCGGCGCACAAGCGATTGCTGAGGGACTCAAAGGCAACTCGAATATAACGGCACTCTCGTAAGTCATCTCGCTTCGAGTGTGGTGCGTGAGTGGGTGGCTTCGGCAGTGGACATTAGAGTGGCTCACTATTGGAGGGGACGGACAGTCTGGGTTGGAATCAAATTGGTGATGCTGGAGCGCGGGCGATTGCTGAGACGCTCAAACGCAATATGACGGTAACTGAACCCGGTAGGTCGTCTATCTCCCTATGGCTAGTGCATGTGAGTGGGTGATATCAACAGAGAACATTTAGAGTGCTCAGTGGTGAATGGGACGGACAAGTCTGACTGAGAATCAAATTGGTGATGCTGGAGCGCGGGCGATTGCTGAGACACTCAAAGTGAACAGGACGGTGACCGACCTCGGGTAAGGCAACTCGCTTCGATTGATGCACTTGAGTGGGTGATCTAGTACCAGTGCTAACTATCTGGTGGACAGTCTGAGTGCGAATCAGATTGGTGATGCTGGGGCACAAGCGATTGCTGAGACACTCAAAGTGAACACGACGGTGACCAACCTCGAGTAAGGCATTTGCTTCGATTGATGCGGGTGAGTGCGTGATGTCAACAGAGGACATTTAGAGTGCTCACTGATGGACGGACAGCCTATGGCAGAATCAGATTGGCGATGCTGGTGCCCAGGCAATTTCTGTGGCACTCAAAGTGAACAAGACGTTGATCAAGATCGAGTAAGGGGTGTCACTTTCACTCAACAGGGTGAATTCAGAGTGCTCATTGATGGAGGGGATGTACAGTCTGAATGGGAATCAGGTTGGCGATGCTGGAGCACAGGCGATTGCTGAGGCGCTCAAAGTCAACACGACGCTCGCTAACCTCGGGTAAGTCATCTCACTTTGATGTGAGTCAGCAGAGGTGCTCAGAATGCTTACTGATGACTGAACAGTTTGCACAATAATAAGCTTGGCGATGCTGGAGCGACTGCGATTGCTGAGGTACTCAAGGTAAACACGACCTTGAAAGCGCTCGGGTAAGTCATCTAACGTTGATGCAGCAAACGACATTCAAATGCTCACTGATGGAGAGATGTACAGTCTAAATGAGAATCAGGTTGGCGAAGCTGGAGCGCAGGCCATTGCTGAGGCACTCAAAGTGAACAAGACCCTGACTTGTCTCTTGTAAGTCATCTCTCTTCAACGATGCTTGTGTATGTGCGATCCAGCAAACGAATTCAGAGTGCTCACTAATGGAGAGAATGGACAGCCTCAAGCAGAATCAGATCGGCAATGCTGGAGCGCAGGCAATCGCTGAAGCACTCAAGGTCAACACAGGGCTGATTGTGCCCTGGTAAGGCATCGCACTTTGACTGATGCTTGCGAGTGGATGATTCAGCAGAGGGCACACAGAGTGCGCACTGATTGTGTGGACTAGTTTGCGTGAAAATGAGATTGGTAATGCGGGAGCGCAGGCGATTGCTGAGGCACTCAAGGTGAACTCGACGCTGTATGGCCTCTTGTAAGACAGCTATCCCTCATAGTTCCACTTGGCGCAAAGAGCTAACTGATGGATGGAACGCACAGTTTGGGAAACAATCAGATTGGCGATGCCGGAGCCCAGGCGCTTGCCGAAGCGTTCAAGGTGAACCAGAAGCAGGTGGATATTTTGTATGGTGTCTCGCACTTTAACTTTGCCAGGGTCATCCATACATCCTGCTCACTCACTCGCATTGCTCAACAGTCTGGAGCGGAATTGCATTAGCAATACTTGCTCTGAAGCAATCAATACACGCAGGGACCATGATGAACGGGGACCTTAGTAAGTGGTCCTTGCCAAATGAAGCCATTGAAGCTCACGCGAGCTGCTTCCAACCAATGGAGTGTGCCTTCCGATTGCTCATTTATGGTGCTTGTTCGTTGCGCAGCATTTACGACCAGGTCAATCCTCTTGCATTCTCCTTACTTCCACGCTTTGCTACCGCTGACGACCTTCAGACCGTATTTTGCTTGCTGACCGGCGAACCGGCGCTAGAGGATCAGTCCTCACTTCTACCAGCATTACCCGCCGAGATTGCCGACATCATTATGGACGAAGCGCAATCCTGGCAAGGCGTGCAGCATACCAAACGAGACTGGTGCGATGACCGTCCTGTCAAGGTCACAGTGCCTCAAAGCATCTATGGAAATTCGACCCGTGTGAAAGCAATTCAAGTGGTTCGGGACACGAAGAAACTTTACCACCGCATCGGTGACAACGTCTTTGACTTGATTGTTCGAGATGAGCAAGGTACTGTTCAATATGAATACGCGGCGAAAGCGACGTTTGTCGATTCTACGCTCGTATCCGCGACGCTCTGGCCAGCGAGTACTCCTATTATCAGGCAGATCCGTGTGGGTTGGCAAGTTCAGGTTCAACCCAGCAAGTCTGCCCGAGATGTGCTGTTTGAATCGCTCGTTGTTAGATGTATGTAGAGTACCTGTGTCATACTGTCAGGACCCGCAGGGTCTGTGTTAGGATCCCGGACTGGACAGGGAAGGGTACTCAGGTGTTGGCGCAAGACAGGACAAGGAATTGGGGATTTTGGGGATTTAATAAAGACAAGACAAGAAAGGATCCAAATCGAATCAGGTTGATCAAATTTTGACGACTGACAGACAAACATATTTGTCATTTTCAAATCAGAAAATCAGTGTCAGGACCCGCAGGCTCTGCGGTCCCGACTGGGTCGTTCTTTGCTAAGAAGACTCGGCGTTGATGTCTTTGTATTGCTTGTTTGCATGCATTTGGAATTGCAGTTCAGTCTGCAAAGTGAAATAAAACACTTTACAACAACATTGCCTGGCTAACCCTACCAAGGTCTTACACCACAGCGGAAAATTTTTTACCGGAATCCGACCGGAATCCGCACCGGAAAAATTAGAATTCCGCGGAATCTCACTTTTGCCCCGGATTTCGACCGGATTTCGACCGGATTCCCCATGCTTGTCCGACATGGTTTGGCGACGTTTGATTGGTAATGACTTTTTCTTGTCTAAAATATTAATAAAAATATTTTTAATATTTTATTTTATTTTTTTGCGTTGCTACATTTGGACGAAAATACAAAAATCTCAGATCGCCCCCGCCTGCACCTCCTGATGCTTTTACCCGGGTGGACGGCTTGCCTGACAACACGCTGGCCACGCGTTTGGCCACGCGGTTGGGCACGCGGTTGGGCACGCTGTTGGACTCGAGCACTCGGTGGGCGGATCGGAACTTCGCTTCGCTCCTCCGTGCTGACTCGTGCCTGTTCAACCAGGAATCACACATTAGTCACTGTTCTTTCTCGTGCACTACAGCTGACGGGCGGGAACTTACACGTTTTCTAGGACGGCTGCTGTTGTCGATGCTGGCGCTGTTGTCGATGCTGCTGTTGTCGATGCTGCTGTTGTCGATGCTGCTGTTGTCGATGCTGCTGTTGTCGATGCTGCTGTTGTCGATGCTGCTGTTGTCGATGCTGGCGCTGTTGTCGATGCTGCTGTTGTCGATGCTGCTGGTTTCGATGCTGCTGGTTTCGATGCTGCTGTCGTCGATCCCGATATCATTGTAGTCTCCACTTAGATCAGTGTGGCTATTGATGTCTAGGAGGGGCCGTGACACTTGTAGTCTGGCATTCAGTAGTACTGCAAAGCCAGCAGTTTTTTGTATCCCGCGCGCCGATTCATACACCTATCAAAAAAGCATCATCGCATAAGTACAAAAAAATCGTGTTTTTGGCGCCAACTTTCGTCTTTTTGGCGCGAACTTTTCGAAAAAAACATTTTCCCGCCATTTCGCTCCCTCTCTGTTCCAAAGTTTGGTGTTTTCCCCGCTCTCTCGTGCTTCTGCAGTTCCTTCGCGACTCACCCTGCATCCAACTGGTGGATTCGACCGAGGCCGATGCTTTCCGCGCATCCGCACGGTGTCATGCCCCACTGGCCTTTGCACTGACTCTGACACACGGTCGCCATCGATCTGCAGGGAGCAGAACGACCAGAGATCTCTTCGTTCTTTTTTTTTTCTTTGTTCTTTTGTCTTTTTTTCTTTTTCTTTTTTTCCCTCTTTCCCTCTGCCCTGCCCTCCTCCTGACATCTGCAGAGCTTGCTTGTAGTGGCGTTTGCACAAACAGAGAGTGGCAAAGCTCAAAAACAGGCAAGCATCGCAAGTCGCCCGGCGCTCTGCGGTGTTCGCCTTCTTCTACGTTTTTCTTTCCCCAGGAAACACTAATGAGCACATTGTTACCGTCGGCCATTGCGATCTACACTCGATGCCACAAAAAAAAATAATAAACAAGACTTGAATGAGTCGAGCTTGGACGA